GAAAAAGAACACTATGAAGTTTTAAGTGAACAGATCACTAACATAAAAATTTCCAGACACTACAGCAGTGGTGACCCAAGAGGAGACTTTCCTTGCTCGGCATTTGTCAAACTTGATTCTAAATTTTTGGAGTTTATAGTTCTTGTTACTATTTGTTTATGAACTTTTTGTTTCTGAGGCATGGCCAAAACTGTTTGAATGTCAATATGAAAGTGAACATTCTTGCTTTAGTGGGTTATTTTTGAAAACCAAGCGCAAACCATTTACTTCAAGAAATGATCAACCTGTAACTTCTTCCTGTAACATTTGTACATTATTCAACAAACCAATATTGAGAATACTCAAACTTATCAGGTAGAAGTTGTTATCATGATCTAACACCAAATTCTTGTGACTAATTTACAAGGAAATGTGTAGCATCTGGAGGGAAATTAATAAAAAAATCTTGGAAGTTAAACAATTTAGAATTTAGAAAACATGATTTTAGTAAAACAGAAATCACATTTAAAAATTTAGTACTTTGTAGCACTCTCTGAATGACCCAAGGATTGATAGATTTTTTGATACATACCCTTTATCTATATATACATTGCAGTTAGATGATTCAATTAGGTTTAGACAATAGGGTAGTTGTAAAACTGTAATATTATACAAAAATACTTGTAAAATAATGATAGAAGTGAAACTGAAATATTTGGAGAGCACCAAAGGTCATCCTCTGACTTTGAAGTGTTCTGCTCTAGCTTTCTTCATTTATTATACCAGGGTTTATTCTATTTTACCCAGAAATCTTTATAAGGGCAATGGCTGTCATCTAAGGATCCCCATAAATCTGTGCAGGAAGAGAAGTGACCTTCTTGTGTATTCCTCCAAATCCTGACCAATCCCCAACATTCTCTCAGATGGGTGATGAAAATGCATGAATCCCCCTAACTCCACTGGACATGAATAGCTACCACTAATGTATTAAATCCCTACCAAAGCCCCCTTAATCAGTACTACTACAATTCCCTCAAATGTGATCAGTGCAATAACTACTTTATTTTTCACTAATTATTTTGTGGAGATGTAATCAAACAGTTGGCTGTAATTGGACAGTTCAAGCAGCCAATTGTATTAAGTTCACTCAGCTAAATCCACCAATCACAGAATCAATCACAATAATCATTGCAACAACCTCTTATCCTAAGAATAAGGATAGAATGGAGAATTTCCAAATAAAAGAATTTTTAATTTTAAACATTGTCTCCACTGGAGATATTTGTTCTAGATGTTTTGTTTTTTTGTTTTGTTTTTTTAATAAATTGTATTGGTTATGATTAATTGGTAACAGGACTTGATGTCATCTAATTCTGTCTATAATCATACTCATGATTAACCCTTTAACTCCCAGAGGTGATTGACATGTGAATTCTTACCTAAAATATCTGTATATAATCCAGCAAACATGCAATGAGAATAATCAAACTTATCAGGTCTGAGGTGTTATTTCAATCTAACACCAAATTCTCATGACTAATTTACAAGGAAATGTATGGAAGTTATTAGGGAGAATTAACTATCAGATCTAGATCTTGGGGGTTAAAGGCCTAACAAAATTAGACTCCTGCTTCAGGGTTGTCCAATTTTGTCAATCACTCACATAATTACAGATGGAATTAGACTTCCTATAACCATTATGTATCTGGAGTAAGGCATAAATTTCTAACTTTTACCCCTTTCATGATATTTAATTGTACATTTTTCCATTTGCTTCTTCAGGATTTTTTTCAACCAAAATATTTCACCCAAATGTTGCCAGTAATGGAGAAATCTGTGTAAACACATTAAAGAAAGATTGGAAACCAGATCTTGGTGTAAAGCATATATTATTGGTAAGTTTATTTAATTGTATGCACTTGCAAAGCAAGCTTTATGATCTTTTTGAACAGCGTTTGGTTAGCTTATGTTGTAGAGTGCTGGAGTGGTGTGGAAGGGTGAGGGTTCAAGCCCCAGACTGGACCAACACTCTTAAAATAACTGAGGATGTGCTATGCCTTTGCTTTGACATCAGCAAATGGTTAGACATTCTAGTCTCCTGGGATAAGGATGATAAGTGGTAGTAGCTGTCTCCTGCCTCTTTTCTGAAATGGTTAGCAGAGGACATTAAAGAACTCATGCACTTCTTGCAAAGAGTAGGGAACAAAACTCCCAGTGTTGAGGTCTGGCCTTGTCATTGTTTACACAAGCCCCTATTTAAACTAGCTCTGTGCTGAACTGGGCCAGCCTGCCTAAAATATCACAAATACATTTTTGGCCTAAGATCTCACACAGGATCTAAAGAAAGAAAAACAAGTTGGAGTAAAAGCGAGAATGCCCTTGTGGAGCAGGTCTGCACTTGAGTCATGAATGTGGTCCATCTAGCTGGAACTTATTCCTGTATCTGTGACATGAATTGACTAGGAGTATTACCACTCCCCCTAAATGGGATACCATTCCATTGCAAGGTTAACCCCAGCATTTCATCAAGCTTCCCTGACAGTCGGCAGATACCCATTTAAACTCTAGGGTGGAGAGAAGCACTACAGAAGTAATTTAAAGTGTGTTACCCAAGAACATAACACATCGACCCACTAGGTCTCGACCTGTAGTCTAGTGCACTGGCTGTAAGGCCATCCTAAGGAGAGGAGAGTGGCTTCCTGGAAATGAATGGAAGGCTGCGATAAATGCATTTCAATGCAATATGTACTTGTATCTGAAAGCCTGTTTTCATTCCATCCCAAGTATTGTTGGTTTTGAGCCAAAATAAAATGCACACTTTATATGTTCATCACCAGATCTGGGTGACAAATCAGAAAAGACAATAATTATTGTAAAGACTCACATTTTGGCCTCCATAAGTTTTTTGTAAACCCTCCATCTACAAGCCCTGGAAACTATAAGCCCAGGGGTGGAGGAAAGGGGGATGGGGGGGTTTATCATTGTTTAGGGAAGCATTTTCATTCAATGTTTTGCATTGGAGAATGATTCATGTTTTAAAATTTGACTCTTCTTAATTGCCTTTTGGTAGACTATAAAGTGTCTTCTTATTGTCCCAAATCCTGAATCTGCATTAAACGAAGAAGCTGGCAAGCTGCTCCTAGAGAGATATGATGACTATTCAAAACGAGCTCAGTGGTGGACAGATATCCATGCCAAGACCAGTCACTGTACTAAAATGGAGAGTATGGAAAAAGGGGAAAGTGTTGAAGCTACTCAAGGGATTAAAAGAGCTAGTGATAAAGCACTAGACAAGAAGAAAAAAGACAAGAAGAGAGCTTTAAAAAGACTCTAATAGATGCTTAATGTCTCAATTATTGAAGTAATCATGATAATAATTCTATCATATGTTGAGTGTACAGTGTATATATATAATGTGGAGCTGCTCACACATTTATACAGAAAAAGATCACCCCTGCTTAAGAGAGGGTAGTGATTTTTGAAGTGAATAAATATTAAAACATTTAATTTTTAGTTTTGATTTGATTGATTACTGCTGAAGTAAGTCCAACAAAGGGGTAAATATATTTTCTTCTTGCAGAATGCACTTCTAAAATGCAATATCTCAGGTCAGGCACAAACCATTTGACTACTCTATTCCATCTTTGATGTAAACCTTAACTCAAGAAATGTTTCACCTTTACATATAATTCTGTGATCTTATTTTACAGAATTTTACTTTTCCTTTTTTCGGGATCTGTGTGTTAATTTATTGCGGAGTTTCTTATGAATTAGCTTTTGAATTTAGTGGTGCATCAAGGAAAAGGAACTTAGATTTCTTAAAATAAAATTTTTGCCTAATCAGGCATCCTGGTCTGGTGTCTTGTGTGTTCTGTGTAAAGGCTTAGTCAATTTTTGTTGTCATGTAAATATTGTTCATAAATTTAGTAATTTGTAGAATTTTATGCCACTCCCCTTAAAAGGATGAATGTAAGTCAAATTATACCTTATACCTCCTCATTTTGTTTTGAAGCATTTCATGAAGTTAGAGGTTTACCAATTATACAAAGATCAGTTGTTCTCTGAAGTTAGTGTGCAAAATGATGATTTGAGACTTGCAAAAGTTGTGATTCACCCCCAAGATAGAGATATCAATTATCTTAACTGTCAGCAATACATTTCATAGAATTCAAGCACTGTGAATTTGCTGTCAAGTAAACCTATATCCCTCGTTTATACATATTATTTTTTCTTTTGTTAATTTTAATACTTGCAATTGTAATCATGACACTGTAAGGAGAAATTCCTTTTGTCCCTTTTGGTAGTGAGAAGGCAGAGGTGAACAGTAAACCCGACTCGTACTTGCTCATAATAAAGTGTGAGTAACCAGCATGGGTGACATGGCAATGTAAGAGATAATGCATAGAGATATATAGAGCAAGAGAGGGAGAGTCCTCTCCTTCCCATTCCTTCACCAATTTCTCAGACAGAGTGCTCTCATGTGGGGTCCTCTCATTGAGAAGACAACTTGGGAGAAACAAGCCATTCTTCAAAAGGGGCACATTACAGTTGGACCCTGAATATGGTAGTCTGTTGGCAGCCCTCATTATTACCACTTCGGCACTATACTGGTGTTTTATTCACTTGTGGTATGGTACAAAGCCTTGAGTGACTCAAGCAAGCTAGAAGTCCGTAAGGGGTCAAGCACTGATTAATAAGCATTCCCTCATTATTAACACCTTGGGCGTGAGGGAATACAACAGATCATCAAAAAGCCCTTGACCTGAATTTTGAGGTTTCTACTATCATTCTACGTCGGGTTAGAGAAGGGTATCGGTTCCCTTACCGTAAATGTAAGAGTCGGTGGAAAGTAGCAAATAATATTCTGCACCAGGTTTCACACAGCGCACTCTGGGGATCTGTTCATTCGATTTGATTGGGGGCCCTGGATTAAGTTGGGTGTCCTGAGGTCTCTAACCAACCTTGTCCATATTAGGAAACGGAGGAAACGATTCGGTCCCATTCCCACTCCGAATGCGGTATTAAATCATATTTGTTCTCGAACGTCTAACATTATTCGTCTAGTAGGAAGTTCATCACATTCGGGAAGAGGGAAGAGGTTGCAAAATGGAAGCTGTAGCGAAGCATGAATTCCAAGCTACCGCAGAAGATGAGCTTTCCTTTAAAAAAGGCTCGATTTTAAAGGTAAGTCGAAGCTAGAATGTCTTCCTTGTGCAGACGCCATTGCTCAATATAAACAAGGATGCCTATACCGCTTATAAATTCCCCCACAGGGGAGCTTATGATTTTGTCTCGTTTGGTTGTCGTTTTAGGTTATCAAAACAGATGACGATAAAAATTGGTACAAGGCTGAACAAGAAGGGCGGTTGGGACTTGTTCCAGCGAACTACATCCAGTTGAAACCACACAGGTCAGTATAGAATGCAGATACGTGTACAAGCTCGTTTAAACATTTTTCTGCTTTGTGGTTTTTCACCGATTTGAGGTATATAGACTACACTCTTGAAGTGAACTCTCCCTCCTGCTTAAGTTATGCCCGTAGGTCAGCATGTTTACAAGGGTTTATGAGAAGAATCATTTCAGATAGAAAACAGCGTATTTTGACAGAAAAAAAATGACAACTGCGGTTACTACATAATTCGACCCCTATCGCTGTAGTCAGATTGTATGTTGATCATCAATTCGATGCACCCGGAACCCAAAATGTTATATTCCATATCAGTTCAGAGGTTGATTTTTTTTAGTTTGAATCCTTGCGCTCAAGGTTGAATGTTTATTTGGGAATTAGTGTTTAAAGTGACCTTTGTCTCTGCCAAGTTGATAAGCTGTTAACATTTTTAAACCTTCATTACTATAATGCAATAGTCAGACTACTGGTACGTTGAAATACCCGATTATCATATACGATAAGAATAAAACAAGCAATCTTTTTCTCTGAAAAAAACCTTCCGAAAACTCTACTTTGTTCTTCCTTGTCACCTTGTGAAATATGTAATAGTGCATTATAATATTCATAAATAGAACACTTAAAATGAAGTAGGTTGTGATGAGGAAGTGTTAAATTTTGAGCAAATGAACATCTGTCAGTAAAAGGAGTCAATTACATCTCTGTAGAGAGAAGCCTATCCACTGGAGTGAATTTAATTTTTTTGTGTCATGAACATTAACTAATACTCGCTGTGTTTGTTTGTTTGTGAAATGTTATTTTTATTTCTGGAAAATGAAATTGGTGACATCCTATTTATCTAATAAATGATTCATCATTATGTAGCAACAATTACTATTGTATAGCAAGGTTTTTCTTTTAATTATGGTTTATAAACATATATGTGTATATGGTAAGCTGTTTGTTGATCTGTTCCTCTTAATAATCCACTATGATTTGGAAATCAAAACTTTCAGTGATGATGTCATCATGAACTTGGTTCATAGTAAAAGTTGTCATAATGAATATGAAATTTAGGAATCTTAATCCGATAAAGCCTAGGAGTGAATTAGCATCTGATTTCTCCTTAGCGTTTAATACTGCAGAGTCATTCATTAAAATCATGAAGATAAAGGAAATGATCACCAAGTTAAGAAACTTTGATTGTCGAAAATCCACTATCATTTGGAAATCAAAACTTTCAGTGATGATGTCATCATGAATTTTGGTTCATAGTAAAAGTTGTTATAATGAATATGAAATTGAGGAATCTTAATCTGAAAAAACATACAAGTGAATCAGCATCTGATTTCTCCTTACAATAATACTGCTGAGTCATTCATTAAAATCATGAAAATAAAGGAAATGATCACCAAGTTAAGAAACTTTGATTGTCAAAAAAATTCTCCTTGTCTGTGCCTCAGGAAATGTACAGAGAACAGTATGGAGAATATACATACTCATGTTAAGGTATAAAGTGATAAGCAGTCAGGATGACAATGCTGAGGAAAACATTGATTGAAAAATAAATTTATATTTGCAATTAGAATTTTGTAAATGGTTGTATGTGTAACCTTCGCTTAGGTTGCCACATCTTAACTTCATCATAACATATGTGAGCACTGTTAATTTCCAAATGGAAACTTAAATAATTTGCCTTTGAGATTTCTATTCTTAGACCATACAAATCTTGGTGATTTCACATTTTGGTTTTGGACAGCTAAGAAATCTAAAAAGTTTTAAAATGCTATTGCTCTGCTCTTTAGAATTTTTTGTTTTGCCATGTCTTCTTTGAGTTATATAGACAACATATATATAGAGGTTGATTTTTTGTAGTTTGAATCCTTGCGCTCAAGGTTGAATGTTTATTTGGGAATTAGTGTTTAAAGTGACCTTTGTCTCTGCCAAGTTGATAAGCTGTTAACATTTTTAAACCTTCACTACTATAATGCAATAGTCAGACTACTGGTACGTTGAAATGCCCAATTATCATCAACGATAAGAATAAAACAAGCAATCTTTTTCCCTGAAAAAAAGCCTTCCGGAAACTCTACTTTGTTCTTCCTTGTCACCTTGTGAAATATATAATAGTGCATTATAATATTCATAAATAGAACACTTGAAATGAAGTAGGTAAGTTAAGAAACTTTGATTGTCAAAAATCCACTGTCATTTGGAAATCAAAACTTTCAGTGATGATGTCATCATGAATTTTGGTTCATAGTAAAAGTTGTGATAATGAATATGAAATTCAGGAATCTTAATCCGAAAAAACATAAGAGTGAATCATCATCTGATTTCTCCTTACAATAATACTGCTGAGTCATTCATTAAAATCATGAAAATAAAGGAAATGATCACCATGTTAAGAAACTTTGATCATCAAAAAAATTCTCCTTGTCTGTGCCTCAGGAAATGTACAGAGAACAGTATGGAGAATATACATACTCATGTTAAGGTATAAAGTGATAAGCAGTCAGGACAACAATGCTGAGGAAAACATTGATTGAAAAATAAATTTATATTTGCAATTAGAATTGCCACATCTTAACTTCATCATAACATATGTGAGCACTGTTAAGTTCCAAATGGAAACTTAAATAATTTGCCTTTGAGATTTCTATTCTTAGACCATACAAATCTTGGTTATTTCACATTTTGGTTTTGGACAGCTAAGAAATCTAAAAAGTTTTAAAATGCTATTGCTCTGCTCTTTAGAATTTTTTGTTTTGCTGTGTCTTCTTTGAGGTATATAGACAACATATATATATAGAGGTTGATTTTTTGTAGTTTGAATCCTTGCGCTCAAGGTTGAATGTTTATTTGGGAATTAGTGTTTAAAGTGACCTTTGTCTCTGCCAAGTTGATAAGCCGTTAACATTTTTAAACCTTCACTACTATAATGCAATAGTCAGACTACTGGTACGTTGAAATGCCCGATTATCATCAACAATAAGAATAAAACAAGCAATCTTTTTCCCTGAAAAAAAACCTTCCAGAAAGTCTACTTTGTTCTTCCTTGTCACCTTGTGAAATATGTAATAGTGCATTATAATATTCATAAATAGAACACTTGAAATGAAGTAGGTTGTGATGAGGAAGTGTTTAATTTTGAGCAAATGAACATCTGTCAGTAAAAGGAGTCAATTACATCTCTGTAGAGAGAAGCCTATCCACTGGAGTGAATTTAATTTTTTTGTGTCATAAACATTAACTAATACTTGCTGTGTTTGTTTGTTTGTGAAATGTTATTTTTATTTCTGGAAAATGAAATTGTTGACATCCTATATATCTAACAAATGATTTATCATTATGTAGCAACAATTACTATTGTATAGCAAAGTTTTTCTTTTAAGTATGGTTTATAAACATATATGTGTATATGGTAAGCTGTTTGTTGATCTGTTCCTCTTAATAATCCACTATGATTTGGAAATCAAAACTTTCAGTGATGATGTCATCATGAATTTTGGTTCATAGTAAAAGTTGTCATAATGAATATGAAATTTAGGAATCTAAATCCAAAAAAACATAGGAGTGAACCAGCATCTGATTTCTCCTTACAGTAATACTGCTGAGTCATTCATTAAAATCATGAAAATAAAGTGATTAAACTTAAAATGATTAACTCAAAGAAGTCTTTCTCCAATGAAATTCTGTGTCTACTAGATATCCCTTTAAGATGACTTTGATAGCTGGCAATGCATAGTAGTCAACCCTTCAACACCCAAGATCTGATTGTTAATTCTCTCCTCTAGATACTACACATTTCCTTGTAAATTGGTTGCGAGAATTTGGTGTTCAATCAAGATAATACTTTATTCCTGATAAGTTTGAATAATCTCACTACCTGTTTGCTGGATAATGTATGGATATCATAGAGAGAAGTTACATGTTGATCACCTCTGGATGTTAAAGGGTTAAGACAATGGCAGCAAATGCTATTGGATCAACATTGACTATGTTGCATATGATGTGAATCTGATGAAGTCAGTACCGCGAAACAACAATATCATCTATAATGATTATTGTTTATTATTTATCATCCTGGCTTTGTTTTTTAGCCAGCTGAATAGTAAAAATACTAGTAAAAAATATAGAATAACTGATTTTAAATTGCTGAAATGTTACAGGGAAACATACTACTTATTTAACAAAGAATATTTTCATTATGCACTTTTATATTTTTAGAAAATCTTAACCCTTTAAGTCCCACTAGTGACTCAGACAAAATTTCTCCTTACAATATTGGTACAATATCAAGCAGACAAGTCATTAGAATAAATAAAAATGTAAATTAGGGGATCATTGGTTGATTCAGTTCCAACTTCTCCAAACTAACATCATATGGATTGTATAACAGACAGTAACGAGAATTACTTGTGATATCTTGGGGAGTTAACAGGTTATATCATGGTAAAGTCACACATGCAAATGAATTGAAATCAGACCTTTCTCCCAAGGCCATTTTCATTGGTTTGAACAAACAGTTCAGTTGGTAATTTTAGAAATTCATTGTCTTACTTATTTCTTTGTTTAGCATGATTAAGATATTGTATTCTTTAGAGTTTTGGGGGTTACAAAGAAGCATGGGTTCCTCTTGGTTAAACCTTGAGCCACTTTTACTCTTCATTTGCCCTTTTTCAGGCTCTCTACTGTTATCATGCATGTGGATCAGTAATAGAATTGAAATAATGGATTATAAATTAATATATTTAGTGGTAAAGTTTAGGAGTTCCTTAATCACAATTCTTCTTGGTAAGAGTTGAATATATTGGATTTTTCTTATAATGTTGTTTGGTAATACGTAATCTTTTTTTGAATCATTATTTCATGAATTCTTTTTATTTATTTATTTTTCAATTTTTGTGCAGTTGGTTTCATGGCAAAATCACAAGAGCAAAATCAGAAGAATTGCTGATGAATCAGAAGCATGATGGAGCTTTTCTCATCAGAGAAAGCGAAAGTACACCAGGTAAAGAATCTCTTTTCCTGAGTGTGTGATTTATCCCAATAATCTTGCCTCTTTTTTAGCATTTGGGTTTACATGCTTGGATTTCAGATCTTTGTTACTTGACAATAGCTTCAACTATTCACCAAAGTAGAGGTGAAAATTGGTGAATATGAAAATATCCACCACTTTCAATGACACTGAGGTGGATAATTGTTTTAGCATATTCCATACAGATACCAAAAAATTTGTTATCTTCTTTTGATGTATGGAAAAATGATTGGAAATTATACACTTCTGACACATGATTTTGTCTCATTGGCTGCTTAGAGGTGGACAGTACTTGCTATTCACTTTTGAAATAGCCAATTGGCATGCAAAAAACGCTATTCACCTGTGTGATATATAATAAAATTAATTAATAGAGTAAAATACTGGATGGATTATAGCCAGCCAAAATACATACTAAGTTAACCCTTTAATTCAAAAAAATGATCACCCAACATGTAACTTCTCCTTGTAATATCCATACATTATTCACCTAACCTGTAATGAGAATACTCAAACTTATCACATAGAAGTTGTTATCTTCATCTGACACCAAATTCTTGAAACTAATTTACCAGGAAATGTGTAGCAGCTAAAGACTAAATTAACAATCAGGTCTTGGGAGTTGAAGACCAAAACAGTACTGATTATTCTGACAGCAAACATCAGCAGAGCTAATGCAAATATTTTGTTTCTTTTGATTACAGGAGATTTTTCATTGTCTGTGAGGTGAGGGTGTGTTGTAATTTAATATCTAAATCAGTTCATGTGTGTAAATTGAATTTATGTTCAAAATAGTGTCAAGCACCAAACAGTGTTTATATTTACTTTTCCACTAGATCAACCATGTTTACAAAAAAGGCTTCTTTATTTTATGGAAAAGCTCAGTTTTGATTACTTGTTAGATCACTGATTTAAAAGATGGTATAGGGTTGTAAGGGGAAAAAAATAGAAAATTCTGAATGCTCCTTACAGGAGTTGAATATTAATTGCAAACTTATTTTTGTTATTGATAAATTGTGCAATTTTATTTGCTTTCCCCTTGATACAGATTTGGTGACGGTGTACAACACTTCAAAGTCTTGCGTGATGGAGCTTGCAAGTACTTCTTGTGGGTTGTTAAGTTTAACTCATTGAACCAGTTGGTTGATTATCATCGCACATCCTCAGTCAGCAGATCACAAACTATATACCTAAGAGACATGGCAGATGAGGCTGCTGCACCGGTAAGAGTTACATTATGATAACAGTTTAGTTACTGCATTGGGAGCAAATTTTGCTGGAGCTTAGTTTTATTAGAGTTGATTGAAATATCTGTTTTAAACAAGTGTTTGCACTGTTCTTTTGGTAGATAGATATTTGCAGTGAGTTCAGATAAAAATAATGCAACTTGACACTAGATTTGTCAGTAAAGTTTGTTGTTCAAACTTAAGGAAGTAAAGTTTTTTGCTGGTTTCTTTCCATTGGGACATATTTTTACATTTCAGGGACTATTACTTGAATCTGCAAGAATTAAACCCTGTAATGTACTCATATTTTACTCTCAGGCAGTAGCTGTCATTTTTCACTGAATAATTTGCTAAATTCATATGCTCATTTGAATCGAAATATTCCCCCTCTGTTTGAACCTAGAGATATAAGAAATACCTTACTAACCTTGTTTTCTCTGAACATACTGTAAGTTGCAGAACCATGTTTTTGCACTCAGATTTATGGCTGGTGCACTTAGTGATTGAGTCATAAATCCAGCTGGAAAAACTTGGTCTGTAACTAACAGTACAGAACTCAAACTGGGTTTGTAAGAGGTATTTATTACCACTTAAAATTGCTTGGAATTCTTGAAAATTCAACAGGTAAAAGGATTGCTCTTACTACTGGTTTGAAAATTTATTTTACCCGTTGCACTGAAGTAAGGGGCAACATGGGCACTGTCTAATTGTCAGGAAACTTGATAAGATGAAAAAAAGGGAGGAAAAAAGGGGAAATGGCTTGTTCATTGTACAGACAGATTTTACTGATTTAATACCAACAAAAGTTGAATTTTTACACTCAAATAACAGTATTTCTAATTCCTAATATTTTTCAATGAACAGGAGCAAGATACATATGTCGCTGCTTATGAATTCCGACCAGAAGAAGAGGGAGAGTTGTACTTTAAACGTGGGGATTCTATATTGGTTCTTGATAAAGAAGATGCTAATTGGTGGAAAGGCAGAAACGTAGCAACGGGGAGTGAAGGGCTGTTCCCAGCTACTTATGTGCAAAAGAAGTCTTAAAATTCAATTTTCACTCTGAAGAAGTATGCCATTTCATATGACCGTTAATACATTAATCTGAGTGGTATCATTTGATATTTTGGAGTGAAAGTTTCTGAAAAGAAGCACTGAAATTGCTGAATTACCCACACAAAAAAAAAGCAACACAGGAAACTTGTATTGAATTTCTCTCTTTGTACAATTTTTTTCTTTTCTGCTAATACAAAACAATAGTCAAAGAGTATATTTTAAACAGATAGGTGAAATACCGAATGTTTTGTTTTCCTTTGTTATATCAATTGATTCAGAGGATGCAGACAGCTATGTACATTTTTGCCATTTAATCAAACAATAATGATTATATATAATATGCAGTCTAGGTTAAGAGAGTAAAATTTGCCCTTCCACTCCTCTCAAGATGATTACATTTCTAAGCAGAAAGTTGATGAGGAAATCCTCAAGGCTAAAATTGTGAGACATGTGGCTCAAAGTTAGGGGAATCAACATTAAGAGGGTCTACAAATCCTAGCCTGTTAACCCTTTAACTCCCAAAAGTGATTGACATAAAACTTCTCCCTACAATATCCATACATTCTTCAGTAAACAGGTAATGAGAATATTCAAACTTATCGGGTAGAAGCTGCTATCTTGATCTAGCACCAAGTTCTCATGACTAATTTACAAGGAAATGTGTAGCAGCTACAGGGGAGAACTAACAATCAGATCTTGGGAGTTAAAGGGTTAAGAGACTGTCAAGGCAAGGATCAATCAAAAATGAGTGGGGAAGGGTAGGCTTACTCCCCTTTTCCTACCCTTCCCCCTCTTTGGCTGTTTGACAAACAGCCAGTTCCTTCTCATCTCTTCCAACAGGAACCTGTTCATAGGCTAGACAATAACATGCTCATTATGATTGCAAACATAGTTGAATGTGACTTAATGTTTATAATGATATTTTGAAGAAGAGATACAACTTAAGTGGAGTAGGGCATGATTGTGTGGATGCTGGTGTGATGTCAATGTTGTGTAAAGCTCTTTACTGAATCAAAGAACACAAGTCTTTGCAGTGCATCTATTTCACTTCATTAAAGAGTTTGGATTTTAACACATGCATCTAACATACCTCATGAAAGAGCTAGGTCACTAATTTGTACTGATAAACATATCTTTTGATTACTTTTACAACATGTTGCAGGTCCAATATGCTTTTAACTGGGTTTGAAGATCTGGGCCACTTTTTCATGTTCTAAGTAAGACCTGTGGGGAACTTTTTCCTGCATATGTTAGGGTATGGGTTTTTGGAGACAATCGATACCCATAAGAGACCTAGATTCCTCTTTGACTGAGAAAGTTCTGTAAATAAAAAATCCTTGATCTCTTGTATTTTTAAATTGTAAACATAACTAGATAATTAAATACCAGTCATTGTAGTCGCCCCTGTTAGGGGGTCAGGTGGGGGGGGGGGGATGTTTCTGTGGGCCATCCTTTCCTGCTGTTCATTTGATTGCAATTATATTCCTCTCTCTCACCACTGATCTAATCAATTACTTTATCTCCACAAAGCATGGAAGAAGTTCCTCTATGGAGGCTTGGGTCATGTTTCTCCCAGCCTTACCAGCAATAGAATAATCAAAATTGCTTTTTGGGAGCTTAATTTAATATATCATATGTATGTATTCAATCAATGCTATTGTTTGTCGACAAGAATTTATGCATTATAGTTTTCCAGCATGAAGTTGTAATGAACAAGATTGTAGTGGGTCTAAACTTGTCAGGAATTGTTTGGGTGTCACCTAGATTTATTTTTCTCAGTTTTTGTTTACTGCACACGTCTTTTTTTTTTTTTTTTTTTTAAGAATAAGGTCCTGTGAGAAAACTTCAGGGTTGATAGAATGCATATAATGTAGAACTCCATATTTGTAACAAGATTTAAATGATTTACCGCAATAGAAACATTTTTTAATGGCAATGCATATAGTAATAAAGAAATAATTTTCTGGTAAATGTTGTCAGGTGCCATTTCATTCCTACTTCTTCTACCTTGGGAGCAGGCTCACATTATTAGCGCTTCGGAAAGAGCATTTCTTCGGAACGAGTATTTCTTCGGAATAAGCATTTCTTGGGAACGAGCATTTCTGCGCCCGCGGTATGAGGCCTCAAGCAACGCAAGTCAATGAGAAGTCTGTAAGGGGTCTAGCACTGATGTTAGTCCCATACCCCCAGCAAACTTCTTCCTGACTACTCTCAAATCTTCCCGCGGTAAAGGAACGCGCGTCCCTCATCATCAATAATCAAGGTCTCTTTGAAGGCTATACTGAATATATTTACCATAGAAGCCGCAGTGCTTATGTCAAGACCCTCTCTTATTACAAAGAAAACAGAGATAAAGGGAGGGCCCGACGAACATTGACTTCCTGAATAACCAGTTCCTTCAGTGATAATGGCTAACTGTACCACTAATTGCTTTTGACTTAGAGCTCGTTTCGATTGAGTATCGCGAAACAGAACCTAAGGTAGTCACAAAGGCCAATCAGGACAAAGATAAAATTAACAGATAGCCAATTAAATTTCAAAGAGCCGGTAATTGTCTGAAGCGTTGAAAAACGTATGTTGGTAACCAAGTTGCTTTTGCGACAACAGCAACTTGAATGATCGTTTGAAAGGGTGGCACAAGCTTTCCAGGTGAATCCTGGAGAAAAAGAAAGCAAAGCCAGCACCATCTTTAATTTCCTCCGACACTCATAAGAAATTCGCTTTGTAAGAGCGGATTTGTCTTTGCCGTGATGGTTTTACAAATTTATGTCCTTTGAACCTCTCTTCCTATGCACAGAAATCGAAGGTTCTTTTAAGGATGCGAGTGGAAGAGAAGATCCTGAGTACGAATTTGAGCACGCGCTAATTTCCAAGAAGTCATTATGACGTCATTTTCTGAGAGATAGACAAAAACCCAAAGGATGAAGAGTCGATGTAGAAGGCCACTGGTAGCACTTTTTATTTGCTTTCTTGGCCTCTCGCTGATCTTCCCTTGCGCTGGTTTAAAATCTAAACGCAAGAAATTGGTAAGTGTATTACGCACAATTTGAAGATGCATTGGATGATACAGCTATACTCTTTCAAAGTCAGATATTTTGGTAGATCATTCTTGTGAGGTCAAAGCAGGACAGTCAGTTGTATAGCTAACGAAAATTAAAGTACTATTGCCGCGCAAATCCCAAGTGAAACGCATAAAAACCAAACAATGATCCAGAATTGCATTTGCTTGGCTTAACAACATCCTGAGATTTGTTAAAAGGCTAGCGCAATTTTCTCGACCAATCAGGGGCAAAGCTTGAGCCAATCACGACTTTGTCGCTACTAGCGCATTTCCGCGATCAAAGAAATTTACAAAATGCGTATCTTTTAAGTTCTCAGGAGCTCTTGGTTGAGTTTTTCTTTTTGTATGTGATAAGCTACTGTGGTTACTCCATTTTGCTAAAAAAAGCGCTCTAATCGGACGCAAGGAACATCAAAACAACCGCACTATTGTATTGATATTCAAGCTACGTAGCCTTTGTCGACGGGCAACTATCACACAAACAACTAAATAAGCGACACAAAACCACACGAAACACAGAATCGTTATCTAAACAATTGATCGAAAAAACGGAAAGAAAATTTTTTAAACAATAAGGCGATAACTAGACTTAATGCATTAGTTCTGACTTTTGATCAGCAGCGACGCTCAATGTCGGAAAACATCAAAAGTTGCAAACATTGGAAGTTCGAGACCACAGAAGACCCACACTTTGCCGATATCAGTGTGAAGCTACATAATGCGGTGAGGAATAATTCCGAGTATCAAGGAGGTCTGCAAACCCATCCCAATTTTCAAATACCATACGCTAATTTACAAATATCAGGAAAATGTTGACCCTGATTAACGCCCCTCCCTCCCTCCCACGGATTTTTAATTTCTACCGAAAATTTGAATGTCACATTGCAACAATTTCCTACACAAGATATAGAAGACTTGAAATAAAACTTGTTTCATTTGTTGTACGTTTAAAATCGACCAGCAAATCACGTAATATATCTTACCATAAACTTATCTGTCGCTGTTAACCAGGCTCCTTCGACGAAAAAGATGTCTGTAGCCTTACAATGTGCGGCAATGAAAAAACTACAGGAGCCGAAGTCAGCCTTTACGGTTCCAGCGGTAAGATTCCCACGGTTTTATTGCTTTTTTCCGGGCAAAAACTAAATTCAGTATTTTTTCGCTGTTAGCTACCGCTTCTTCCCTATTGGCACTCGACCCTGTACACCCAAACATCATCATGCATATTCAACATAGTATTCTCTATACATTTCCTGAGGTGCTTACGTGGAGAATTTGTTCAACAATCAAGAACGTCTTTAGTTGGTGATCATTTCCTTTATTCCTGTGACCTTACTGTTTGATGCAGGGGTGATATTGTGGGGAGAAATTGGGTGCTAGTCACTCTAAGGGTCAAAGCGTTAAGATGTAAAGTTCATTTACTGACGTGGATTTAAAAGAAAGTGAATTGTTTGTTTTGACCTTAAAGGGCCTTGGTCCAACTTTCCCGTAATAATAAGCTATAATTATCAGCCGTGATGTGGCAGTGGCCTATTGGCCTACTCTCTGGTTGGGAGGGGACTGGACTCCCATGCTCTTTACTCTTTCCTTTCGAAGAAATATGTGGGTGCCGGCGATGGCAATAAATGGTTAGGAAAACTGACCATGGTGTCGTGAGTATAGGACGCAGCATACAGTACATTTCATAGACTATGTGCCATCTTCATGGCTAAAGTCATGGGGTCTGCCCCGCAGCAAGACAAAAAAAAGACTTTATTTAATTCGAAATCTGCGCTCGAAGAGCTTGCGATTTTTGCAGTCCTTGCTGCGATCCTGGCTTAGTATAAAAAATATCTTTCGTTTTCAAATTTCAAGCAACAACTTTTCTCTTCTTCTCTCCCCTTTGTATTATTTTCGTATTCACGCGCGGCGCGCGTGATTTCACAAATTAGCCAATCACTTCAACTCCAATCTTGACATTGGAAAACTGGCGAGGACATTTTTCGCTTACTTTTCATTTTGTTTCGCGGAGTTTTAGTAAGTTGTTTTTTGAGCATTCGTTTGCACAAAATAGTTACCCTTTTGTTCGAAATTTTATGAAGTTTCGGAGTTCTTATTTTAGCCAAATGTTGTGGTTCATTTAACAAGTGTAATAAATATTTTCTACGGAGATTGGACTTAAGCCTCTTCTTTCGTAAATATATTTTTTACACTTAGCCTGACAAAGAGACCAGTCTCTTCTAAAAAAACTTCCAATCTTTTGATCCACGAGCCTGTAAGCAAAAAAAGCAGTCCTGAACGTTGTAATAACGTTTTATTCATTTCACAGCGCCAGACACACCGTTTTGCCTTTAGGATCGCTGTTGCATCTAAGTACCACCACAAGGACCGAACCGTGCATAAACATACATGTAAACTGTCTACATGGACTAATGATGAACACAGTCTTGTCACTTGCGAAATAAAAGTCAGCGTTTGGCCAAATGGGATGTTTTACTACAAATGCTCATCGTGTAAGTGCGTAGAAATGCTCTGTAATCTCTAATTGGTAAAAAATTAGTCAGCGCATTTCAAAAATTGCGGCAGTTGTCTGGTCGTTACCCTCGGATTGGGCTGTTTTAACACAAAATACGACCACAAGTCAGAGTGTCGCGCTCTCTGAAAGAGACTGAAACCAGCAACCTCCCGCGCACGTCTTCAGGCTGAATGACGTGGATTGTGTATTTTATCTTCCTGTTGGAGAGACAAGACAAAGTAAAAGTCGAAACTAAGATTCTGAAAAAAAATCGACGAAAACCCGCATTATCTAGCCGCCCCTCCCTCCGGGATCTAAGCCTGTTAGATTTCGTTTCGTGTCCTGAAATTTTTCCCTTCGAGCTCAGCCCCAGTGCTTGCGTCCTCAACCGCGGTCAAAGAAGCACGTCCTGCGCCCTCACATCTCATTAGTAAATCAACCTATGTATCAAAAATTATTCACCTAAAGGAGGGATTCTTAAGTTAATTAACTTGAATAAATCATTATTATTCTTATTTTTAAGGACTGACGGTCAGTATTCATTGTATTCCTCAGTATGCGACCATTTTGATATCGTCAGTTGTAAATTCGCAGGTGTGAGCCTTACTAAAATCTAATTTTTTTATACCTTTTATTGGCATGTTTAGACCAACAGGGACAGCTGACAGTTTCACAATCAACTTCTTTGAAAGCACGAAAGATGAATTTTCATAATAATGGGGAGGTTGGTGATAAATTTTACACTGATCGTTGAGTTACTAATTCATGTAGTTGTAGAGAAAACTTACCATCTCTCTTAGTCAATTTACAATCATGTAGTTATGTTGTAGTTATGTTATAATCGTTTTACGGGTTTTGAAATCAATGTTCTCTTCTTTCCTCGCTATTAGTCTTCTATCCTGCTTATAAATTCGACTTGCAAGCCAGTGGCACTGACTCTACAACTAATCGACATGTACAAGCAGCTTGACAAGGGAAAGAGTTGGACTCTCGAACTGCCATTATCTTGGTAAGTTAAGACTCAAGAGTGTTTTAATTAATCCTTAAAGTTATTCCTCTGAAAATAAAAACCTGCAACTTTCACTCGTGAAAATGTAAAAAATTTTACCTAAAATGAAGATGTTGAGTTCAAACTCTGTTAGATACCATCTCCTCACTAAACGAGCACGAGGGCTGTACTGGTAAATAAGGGCCCGAGAGGGGTCGTGGCCGAGTGCGGACTGAGCACCGCGAGGTTCGTTAATATATGGCCAAGGGCCAATATTCTACATTACGGCTCTAGCATAATAAGATGTTAAGTAATATCATCCCAAATGTTACGGAGAAAAAACCCCAGAAAATTTGAACGTAAGCAAACTATTCTTTTCCAAACAGTTCAGGAGCAACGAGTCTGAATTACCGGGGAAAGTGCTCAGTTAAAATATACCACGTCTGTCGCGAAGTCAAATCTCAAGTGGATAAAAAAGTGTTTGACTTGAAGGATGGTGAAATCGACGAATGTGAACACGCCAAGACCATGCTGGGTAAATTTGCCGTGAGTAGTTTTGCTGCATCTTTTGGAGTCAATGATGACTGGTCTGCGGCTCTGGCTCTCACCACAATAATAGAGTTGGTTTTGATCTTAACAACTCTCGTCATCAAGGTATCATAATAATCGATTATTGTGTGTTGTCTATTGCAAAGATAAAAAAAATTCAGTACTTGTCTCTTGCCAGAATGAAGGGAAAAATGCTAAAACAACAATGTTCCTGATGATTGTACAAAATTCTTTTCAGGTCATTGTCGTTGGGCTTCAAAAAGGCTGGGACTCATCAAGAGAGGAATTTTTTTATCGCTTTTACAAAGCCGTGAGAATAACTCACAGTGATTCAACGTACAAGATCAAGGAAGGTAGATCACGTAAATGTTGCTTAACAGAAAAGAAAATACATTCGATAAAATTCCATGTAACTGCGATACAAGGGAGAAGGAGGTCTTTGACTGTCGTTTTTCTAGTGTTTTGGGGCACGTCAAGTTGCTGTATTTTTTTCGGCATCAAGCCTCAATTTTCTCTAGCGATGTCAAATGCGTCCTAATGACCCCCTCCCTCCCCCCCCATTCCCTCCCACGCGCGCAGTTTTGTAATTGTGACACACTTACACAGGTTACCATTCACCAGTTACTGATTACATTAACTTCCATTCTCTTTCCCGAAACCACTCCTATCGTTATACGCTAAGAAAGTGAGGTGTCTGAGGAGGAGAACTGTCTCCATTTCGATTTTAAATTTCATGTAACGACATAAAACAATCTTTATGAAAGACATTAGTAGGCGAAATTTCAGTCGGTAAAGCCAAGCAATTTAGAAATCGGTTAGGAAAGAAGATTTATGTTTTAACTAAAAATATGCTTGTTTAATGTGAAGTTTTTAAATTTGTATCCTTATTAGAACAATACTGTGAAAGCTTTGTGACAGCAGTAACATGTCTCTGCATCCATTTCTAACAGATAAGTGATCCATCCCTCCTTGAAATCGCTTGACTGATGGCCAAACAGATAGGCTGGAGAAGGAATGATAAAATTGTTTTGTACTCAATTAATAAAGTTTCCTCATTTTAAACAAACGTCGTGTTTAAACTTTCATGTTGGGCGAAATTCTAATTACTTGCTAACGGATCAGTCTGAGATACCCACGGAGTCCGGTCGTTTCGATACAAACTCGTTTCGATAAAAACTGAAGTCGATTTAATAAATCGAAAAGTCGATTTGATACACGTACAAAGTCCTTTCGATACAAGTTCTGTCACTTCGATAAAAACTAGTGAAGGATAAATTAGGATGTTTCCAACTGTCCAGGAGTCCGAAAAAAGGAGTTTAAGGACCTTCAAGAGGTATTGAATCGACGTTGTCGATGTATCGGATCGACTTTTGTTTGTATCGAACCGACTTGTATCGAGATGACTTTGTATCGAAACGACCGAAGAACAGCCCTTAATTCAGGTTGACAAAATCGCATGACCATACAATGTTTTTCAATGGAAAGAAAGTAGCAATTCTGCCAGGTCATTTCAATACCTGATGGACCCATGAAGTACCAATTGACACTATGAGCTCACCGACTTCGCCAACATTCGAGATTTAATATGAACAACTGATTTTTTCAGCCAGTTGTGGGTTTATAAGGTACTTCATAGTTATTTTTTTTAGCTGCGTAGCCTGACGTACTCAAGTCGACCTCCTTGATCAGGCCGATTCCACAGATTCTTCATCATGTTCAAAATATCCGTCATTTTGCCGTTCTTGTAGTCTCTCACATAGTCGATAGATTCAATCTTCGATGCTTGTGGAGTATTCACTTTGACGTAATACAGGAATGTCTGAAGCGACCAATCCGGATTCACGTCAAGGACTTGAGCCTTTGTAACCGCGCCAGAGTACATAACCGGGACACTTGGCCCAGTGACCTCGAAAACCTCTACCAATATTCCAGGGCGAAATCCATGGTTACGAAGTGATTTCTTGAAAGCTGAGCATTCCTTGTACATATCTTTGACTCTTAATGTTTCCATGCCTCGGTCTGGCTTTGGAAAATTTCTCTTCCCGTTGGATACAAGAAACTTAGCAAATTCCTCTTCGTAACTTGAGTAAATCATCCTTCCTGCGTGAAATATGGTGCGGCCCTCGCTTGGAAGATACAGTACTAGAAAACTCCACGGCTTGAGTCGAAACATTTGGCGCAACTGAATGTCTAGGTATCTGAGGGGAAGGGACAGGTTTATTTGGAGTTCTTTCATTTCTCTTCCAACCAGCGATGCTATAATAACCTTTAAGAATTCACAAGAAATGTTCTTAATGAATAAGTTTCAATAAAATGCTTAGCATGTGTCACTAACCTGCGAGAAGTTCCTCGTCATTAGCACTTCGGCGGGCGCGTTTCTTCATCCGTGGAAAGGAATGGAGCCTTGGGCAACGCGAGCCGCCAAGAGTTCTGCAAAGGGTCTAGAACTATTAGTGCCAGACCCTTCGCAGAACTCGCCTAGTTGTCTCAACTCAAATCTTCCCGCCGGCGGGAAAACGCACGTCCTTCAGCGCTTATACTGACAGTCTGCTCGCAAGCACATCATATCAAATCTTTAGAGGCGAACGCTAAGCTCGATTCGCGATTATTTCCTTTTCAAGCCTTCCTCGGTTTTCCACCTTTTACTGTTTAGCTTTCGTGTATCGAAGACCGCCAGATGGAAAATCTCACAATTAAGAAATTGTTTTAAAATTTTACTCCACTTTATTCAAACGCAATGTTCTGGTCCTTACCTCCTTATTAGGGCTTGCCCGTATGTTCCCGTGATGCTTTTCGAGCTGCACTGCACTGGCAATGGCTGTTGGGCTATGAGATGGTGAAACGACGCAATCATAGTAGACATTTCCATCCATAATGACCTCATCTTCTTCAACCGGAAGGCTCCTTCTGAACAAGCACACGTCTAAATCGCTTTTGAGCTCTAATTTTTGCCTTAATAACAGCAGTACTTCGCTGATGATCATTTCTTTTTTCACCATCAGAATTGTACTCTCTCCTTTCCCAAATACATGTCGGGGCCAAAGGTTAAACTTGACCGGAATGAAAGAGTCTGGGACAAAAAGCTCTCGATAGGGACTGGGTAGATACTGGAGCTCCTTCTTGGGCATGCGTTCCATGTTGATAACAACTGACCTAAGACACTGCACCGTCAGAGGTGCGGGCACTCTTTCCACGTTTGATGTAATGCTGAGCTCGTCGTCGTTCATTCTATGTTCCCTATGGAAATATAATTAATGAGTTGATTCAAAGTTAGTTCTCTAAATCTGGGTATTCATCGGCCTCTCAGTCACAAGAAAACAAGCAACAAAGGGCACGTGTGGTTGTCAGGTAGTCCTCAATTTTTCCTCTGTCTGACCTTGACGTTTTCCGCGCCACTTTTCGCTTGCCGTCACTGCATGCAGGATGGTTGTAGAAAGTGAGCCCCCTTCATTATCCAATATTTATGTCATGACCCCCTCCCCGTCATATGCCTAGTAATACTGTAGGCCCAGTATTACTAGTAATACTGTAGGCTCAGTATTACCAGTAATACTGTAGGCTCAGTATTACTAGCCTACAGTATTCCCAAAGAATACTGTAGGCTCTGCAAAACATTTTTGAAAACGCGTGCTTTAGCCTCCTTGTAAGACTTCTCCTTCTTTAATAAGACCGCTTTTGCATTCATTTATTATACATGCGCAAAATGTATAGATTACACAGTAACTCAATAGTTTTGTAATACTAGTAATTTTTCTTGATTATTGTATATGTATATAAATTTTTATGGATAGTACTTTTGTTGGGTGTTCACAGATGAAGAGCCACATCTTTTTATGTGGATATTCTGTGAATAAATCATGAAATAAATTTAAAAAGAACAGTAATTATCGAAATTTAAGTCACATACAACCATAAGATGTTTATTTTGCATAACACCCACCTTGGGCAATGGACCACTTTTAATATTTACCTCAAACTTCTGACCCCTTTTAACTTCTTTATAAATAGTTTAACCCCCCCTCCCTCGCTGATCCGAAATAGCCTTGACCCCCCTTCTTTTTCCCTCCTCTCCCCTCCCCCCCCTCGCCTCTCTACATAAATAATAACCGGTCCCTAACATAAGTTGAGGAGCTAATAAAAATTAGCTCATACATTCACGCGTATTGGAGCACTCCGAACGCGTCCCTAAACACATAAATGGGTTCACTGTCTACGTTTACGCATCATTATCCAAAAGCGATACATTTTCTAGGCTTACAAAATACCTGTTGATTTCCTTACCAAAACAGAACCATTACAAGACACCCTAATCATCCTTTATATTGCCTCATATACTGTGACACCTCTCGCGTTTCTCTGTTTCGCGCATTATGACGCAGTCATGATAAGCGGTAAGAAAGAAAAAAATTAAGTAGAGAACGCTAATTTAATCAGAAAGGGCAACTAGTTTTCAAGCAATGAGTATTTCAGATTTGAAACGAAACAAAATAAATTCATATGAATATAAAAAATGAAATTAATGACTTTGAACGGTTACGGTCACGCATCGATAGTCTGAGGTCACTGATCGCTAAATCCCGTCCATAGTAAATATCAGCTTTATAAGAAATCTTTGTACCAAATAAAATTTTCTGTCACTACGTCTCAGAAACGCAATGCACTGCTGTACACTTAGTGTATAAATGGATCGTCAAATCAAAAGATTCGCTTGAAAATAAAAACACAAATTAACACCTTACCTTAAAATCCGCTCGGCGTCGCTTGAATAAAGAAAGTTCAGACAGAATCGTTGAACACTTTCTGGGGAAGTCCCTGCTCGCAAAAACATGACGTAAACTGAGTTATTTTCGGTCGATACCACAACCGTGTCCCAGTCATATTGAAAGACGACTCGTTCGCCACTGAAACGGCCGAAGATCGGCGATGCAATCACTTTTAGTTCGTGATATTTCACGTTAAACTGACTGAATTGATTTTTGTAAGTCAGTGATACGACATCGGCAGGGTCTTCAATGTATTTATATTTTGGCTGGAGATTCTTCGAAAGGAATCCGTTCGCAGTCGTCCCTGTAATTCTTGTTATTTCGCTGTCCGGCATTTGTGCTTTTATCTGTAAGGCTAACAGATGTTCGTCGCTCGGTGCCCGCCAAGGTGAGCTTTTGTTTCTTCCCTCGCTCTATGAATTATTCAGAAATCTACGTAATCCATGGTAACAATCAAGGCGTGAAATAATCTTGTTTTGACTTAAGGTTGGAAATTACAATATACCCACGGCTCTTAAAATTTTTTGGATGAAATATTTGCCCAAGGATAGAAACAGAAATTGCAGCTTCCACTTCTTCAAGAAAACAATCACTCTTTCAGTTGCCTCCGGCTAAAGAAGCATATCGCGATTCACGTGACTCCCGAGTCAAAGATCGCAGGCGGAAAGCAAGTTTCCCACGAACTCGCGCGCTTGATTCCCACTTGGCAGATGGAACACAGATATTCATGAGTGATAAATTCAAGGGAAAAAATAAAATATCACGAGGAAGCTTTACCAATCAATTAACCACACAATTCGACAAAGTTTGGAAATGTAAATTAGCCACCGTAGAGACTATCTAGAGCTAACATTCGCCCTGATGAAGGGCTGACGCTCACAACGTTTGCTTTGAAAACTCTTTACGATGGCTAATTCGCATAATCAACTCAGTTGATCAAACCAAATTATCCTGTCATACCCCTACTGACGCAGTACCATAGTTTCTTTAGAAACTTACCCCCTTAAATCAAACAAATTGAGTTCAAAACTGTACAAGTTTATTTGATTTGAACATGTTCTAAGTACACGAAAACATGTTGGGAAAGATTGGAGATTTATCATTTATAACTCATGCTGCTTTTCAATGTACTTTGATTAATAAAGGTACACAATCGTTTGTTTTTTAAAAATGTGATGAAATGCCCGAAGGCAAGCCTCAGATCTATATTCAGAGAGCGCGCTCAAACACCGTGGCAAGAATTTTCAATTCTTAAAAGAAAATCTCTGTGACCCGCGTTAACACTGACTCAATTGAGACATCTAGAGAGAGCAATGTACAAAAGTTATCTTTGATACAAAATCGGTCAAAAAGTGGTAAATCGAAATAAATCTGAAGAAAGTACATTCATAATGTTAAGTGCGCATGCCATCAATAAATACAAATAGAACCCAATTGTTCTTCTGAAGTTTCCTTGGGGAAGGTTCCGTCAGTCTCCTAACCCTTTACACCCTGCCATCAGTATGCATATTCTCCATACTGTTCTCTAAAAATTTCCTGAGGTACTGACAAGGAGAATTTGTTTTACGATCAAAAGCTTCTTAAGTGATCATTTCCTTCATTCTCATAACCTTAGAGATGATATTCGAGGGAGAAATTAAATGCTAGTCACTGTTTGGTGTGAAAGGGTTAAACAAGACAGAAACAAGCCCCAACGAAACTTTCGTACGGAATAATGGGGAGAAAATCTGATATTTGTTTACAACTAGTCACCCTAGGTAACTATTAAGTTTAAAATTCAATGAACTCAATTTATCTCTCAAAAGTCGCAATTTCACATAACTTATTTCTTTAGGCTCATGGTGGATTTAGACTACGAGGAATTTTCTCAAATGCTCCTCATGCAATGTTTTGGCCATGTGTAAATCTAATATGCTTCCAGACCTCATTTTGAAGTTAAAATGTCCGCGCACCTTGCAATTCTTGAAAGTCATTACTTTAACCATGAAAAATAACCGATAATAAAAAATGAGCTGAAAACTGAAAAAGGTATCTCGCGAAAATTATGCTGTATTCTGTGATACATGACATTCAATTTAAATACAATTTTTTTTCCTTGACTATTACCTCGTCGGTTACAACGAGCAGTGGTTATTTCCCCCCATGAATGAGGCCAACCGGAAGAGAAGGCGGGCCTCTTTGGAGTACTGTCGCCTCAAGGCTGTATTACTGAAAATTAACTTGGCACTAACTTGTGAGTTCAGCCATTTTTTCATTAGCAACATGTTAAACTGCGTCGCAGTTCATTGCTGACAAACGTTACCATTGATCATAACAAGGGGTCTACAGGGAATAGGATCAGACAAAGCTGCCATTTAGAGCGCTTTTCAACTGAGTCTAGAGATAAAAAAAAAGACAAAATCATCATATGCCATTACAGCCCATCAGGGGAGATGCTAACGTCTAAAGAAGCCCATACGGATTCGAAGTAAATTCAAATGATTGACCTCCAGCGCGGGAAAACGATTGGGTCTAAGATTTGAAATGAGCAGAGCGACGTAAGTCACATGGAAATAGCCGATGCAATTTTGCACTATTTGCAACATCAGTTGAAATTTGTTCCACTGTTTCAGTTGAAGCACATACTACCTTTTGAGATGTATGCTACTTCACCACATCGTATTAAGTTTTACAAACAATTATGTAGGTAGTACGGTAACGGAAGCCTCCCCTGTTCCTTCCTCTAACCGGATGTAAGTCGGCGTGGTCGCTGACGCGCTCCCGGCACTAAGGCTGCTGCGCCCACTGATATCACTACTCAGCGGTGTGCCGGGTAAGGATACGTCGACGTGTACTTGGAGGTCCTGTGCGTCTTCAAACTGTTCTGTTTCCTTTGTCATTACAGGGCTTACGACTGAAGAGGAACATAAACAGGTTCGCTCAGTCATACGCTCTTAATTAAATGTATTAAGTCCGGTTCGTGTAAACTGATATATCAGACCAATCAGTTTACACGAATCGGACTTAGTACACTTCACTGACAAAAACTCTTCACTTGATTCTAATTAGGACTCCCGGTCAGGTTTTCGAGACCTCAGTCACCACTATTAAAAGTCCTTGTCAGGACTACCCCGTCTGGACTATCAGACTACACGATCACATTACCACCGGGTGGGTTCAAACATTTTACTGTACTGTAATCACCTTGTTCCTCCTCGTGCACCGAAGTAGCTTCTTCAATTTCTGCACCATTAATCGGCGCGACCTCGTCTTTTGACTCTAATGTAGCCTCCTGTCGTTGAATTCGCTCAACTCTTACGGGTTCCCCTACTTGTTCAATTCTGCCTCTGCTCGCAGGGGCTGTGCTGGGACGCGACATCCCTGAACACGCTGAAAGAGATCTCTCAACATACCGCTGACCGCGAGCACTCTCGACTCTCCTTCTGCCCGAGGATCGAATGCTTGACGCTGATCTTCGACGCATACGTGCAACAGCTTCTGTAATGATGAAATACACAGAAAAATAGTGATGGTTGAAGTACGAGGAAGAACGTTGAAACCGCTGTTTGAACAGGTTCGCTTGGGTTTCCTGTCGATCCCTCTATTTGCCCATGACCATTAATTCAAGCCATATCTTCTTACAATGTGAGTTGGTTTGAACTCAAAGAAACCGGCCAATTAGAATAAACGTGGACAAATCAGCGAACCAATGAGGATTCAAGGAAAGCGGCACAGCGGGGCGTTATAAAAAGAGCGACCGTGGCTCATGGATAAGTGGGACATATGTTTTTTTCTTTCAACAAATCCCAGCAATAAAACAAAATCAAGGCAATTTCAAGTTACATGTTTTAAAAGCAGTTCTGTAATCCAGAGACTTGTGATTTTGTTTTACTCCGCGCTGAGATTGACTTCACAAATTCGCGCCGTGAACCCATAGTCCCTCGGGTATCCCCTCGGGCGACGCCTACATATGAAAGTACATAATTTTTCATCTCTAGCAATTTTTGATTTAAAATAATTTTAAAATATCAAACCAGTACCTTCTGGTATATTGTCTGGTTTAATTGTTCCATTTAGTGCCTCTACAAGAGGAATTTCTTCATATCCAGGCCAGGCGCTCTCTCCATGAGTTTCCTGATTTGAGAGATGCAAAACATGGAACTATAATCAATATATCACTTCCTGTGACAAAATTAACCCTTTAACTCCCGTGATTGACCAAGATAGAATTTCTCCTTACTATATCTGTATAATATCATGCAGACAAGTGATGAGAATAAAGAAAAATATCAATTATGGGATTACTAATTGATCCGATACCAAATTCTCCACACTAACATAGTGAGAATCACCTGGCAGACAGTAAGGAGAAATACTAATGAGATCTTGAGAGTTAAAAGGTTTACACTAAAATTAGTATGCACGTCATGAGCTGACCGACTCTATCCCATGGGTTTGCCACTTCTCATATTTTATGGGGGGGGGGTGGTTTGGAGGATTTTGGGGGGGGGGGGTCACCTGGTTTTCAGGGGAAATGGAGGAGAAAGGAAAAGAGTCTACAGCAACAGAGTATAAAAGGGGGACTATTGAAAATTGAATAAATAATGGCTGGTTACTAATATTCTCATATTTTCTAAGGATTTGAGTCATGAGCTGAGGACTGAGCAACACGATGGGTGATTCCTACATACATATTGGGGGGCAAATGCGTAGAAAATGAATTGACATTTGCTTTGCCTACACCATTTCCCCTTTGAATGAAGACAGCACAAAATATCCCAAAGGAGTGGCTAATGGTGGGGAGGGAAGGTCTTCATGGGCATGTGACCCTTTCTCCTCCACCCACCCACCCCTTATCCCACAACAACTTGGTTAAGTGGAAACATTATTAGAAAATCCCATTGACATCTATCTTGTTTATCAATCAACAAAACTGTCCCTGAAGTTTGCCATTTTCAGAGTATTATACCTGAGAATTTGGGCCATTTTGCTTCTTGATATAGGCGCAGATCTGTAGCAAGGCATGAAATGCTGTTGGTAAAAGAGTAACATATGATTACAACACAGGGCTACCAGAAAATAACCAAGAATTCAGCAATCCCTTAGGAATTGTATTAAAATAGACCTTGTCTGACAGTGCAAAGAATTTAGATTTTGAGTTCGGGAGTATTGGGTTAATACTTGTAATACCCAAGATTTCAACCTGATATCACTTTCCTTTCTAAAAAGCAACTACATGAAATCATAAAGCTTTTTAATTCTTATCATGCAGTTAATACATGTTTGCTACTTAAATAGCACTATGTGGTTGTTCTACTGTATTGTCTACAAACACTGAAGAGCCACCTACGTGATCTGCAAATCGGGCAGTTACTTGCTTGAAATCTTAGTGATTCCGCTGAAAGTATTGCAAAAAAAAAAAGGTTAAAATGACTGAAGCAGCAGTTTACTTTTCTGCAAATAAATTGCAAAATTGAACAGTAGTATCCAAGGTACTCAAAGCTCTTAACCCTTTACACCTTGATATCAAGGTGCATATTCTCCATAATGTTCTCCATAGATCTCTTGAAGTGCTGACAAAGAGAATTTCTCAAACAATCAAGAACTTCTTTTGTATGAGATCATTTCCTTTATTCTTGTGACCTTAATGTTGGATTCACTCAACTGATGATTGCAGTATGGTAAATCTCCTGAATATGAAATCATGAAATGCAACAAACATCAACCTACCACAGTCTCTACAAAGACACAGATGTCTGCAGGGTAGGATCAAGGTATCTCGCATGTCACTCATGCAAATGACACACTCCAAACCAGTTTCTTCTAACTCGTTATCTTCATCCTGTCAAAAATGTTTGAACATTAAAAACAAAAAGCATCAGGAGGGGAGGGGAGACTTTAACCTTTTCACTCCTGTGATCTTATTAGTAAAATTTTCTCCTTGCTGTCTGCCATACAATTCTGACTGGGCTCTGTGCACAATTTTTCTTAAAGTTGCCTTTTGGCGACCTTCAATTGTAAGACAGTCCCCACAAAAATATTTTGTTAAGAAACAGATCATGGTAATATCAAAGTGCAGTATGAATGAAAAAGTCACACAAAAGTCACAGGATCAAGGCTAAAAAATGTGAATGTCATTTATTTAAAAACCCATAAAGTGAACACAAACAGACAATAATTAGACACTAACCTTTGCACTTTTTAAATTAATTTTGTTTTCAATTCCATATATTTCTTGGAGAAGGTAACAGAGACCATCAACCTTTTAAAAGTAGAAGACAAATATTGAACATTTCCCCCTCAATTTAAGAATTTTTTAATCATTTCAAAATAGGACATAGATTGAAAAAAGAAATCCACAAGGTTAATGAACATAGCTTGTTAAGTGCCTGTAGATGTAGATTTGTTCAAGATAAAAGCTATCATACCATCTGCTTCTGTTTAATAGGCTTTATGATGTATGATCCATCAGACATTTTTTCAAATGTCGCTAGTGTGATGTTAGAATGACCCAGATATTCTGTGAACAACAGATATATGAAATTATTGATCCAACACTATTCAGGGAAGAGAGAAAGAAGTCATGAGAAGTATCATAACAAGTAAATAATAATAATAGTCATTATCACCCTGGAAATAAATTTATCATTGGATGATAGTAATAAAAATTCCAATCCCCTGATAGGAAACAACACATTGACTGTACACAAGAAAAAGAGCAAACACTGAAGGGTCAACCATTCATGATCAAAAGAACAAATCAAAGCTGAAACAGAAATAGTATAAAAGAGCATAGATTTAGTAATAAACTAGATGTATATCTCCATGTTCTAAGGTGCTCATAATCAACACCATTTTCGAATCCAGAAAATTCCTTACGAATGCGAAATTTGCCATGAGAAAGGCATTTGAAAAACAATTGAAAAGCATGTGAAAAATGTTTCCCCTTCCCCAAAGTGTTTGCCCATAATTTCTCCACTAGTTCTCAAGGCAGACAGGAACACTTGTTGTGACACTTGCACTTAGAGCTGAAACTGGAAATTGTCAGTCGAGACAAATGATGCCAAATTTTAAACTCAGTCCTTGTCTGAAGTGCCTCAGTAAAGTGAACTAAACTTCTAGTGTTAGACCACAATCTAAGAAGAACCCTCTAAAATTTGTCTAGCTCCCAACATGTGGCTTTGTAGTTCAGTTGGTACTTAGCACCCAACCAGTATCAGGGTGGCACAGGTTCAAATCCTAACAGAGCCTGAATTTTCTTTGGGCTTCTCTTCTGCAATTGCTAAAAATTTCAGTTCCTCTGCAAGGATTAAGCCTTTAATTGACAGACTTTTATCTGATCATTAAAACATTTGAATATATTTAATACAATCTTGATCATACCTTCCTCATCTGCATCAATTTGAATCACGACTGGGATGCGTGGATGATTGAGAGGGGAATAGTTCAACTAGGGTAAAAGAAAAGTAAAAAAATTTATATTAATAATCAAAGATAAGAGAACAAAAATACTGATAAGATTAAATTTAAAAAACCCTGTAAGTTATGTTACAACATCAAACATTCAACTACAAGAATTTTGCATTAAATTTTACTTTAAAATAAAAAAAATAAAAAAAAAAACAAAAAAACACTAATTGAAGGAATACATGGCATAGAGCCTTAGGCAACTTCTAATGTAACATCAGATTCTCCCTGGAGACAAAAGGGAATACAGGACAATCTGAAAAGAGAAACTCAAAGTCTACTGCAAATACTAAGGGCTTTTTTCCAGAAGTCTATACCTTTTCCTCGCTAGGCTAACAGAAAGATGTACATATAGCCCATAAAATGTGATAAGAAATGACAAAGGGATGATATTGAGGAAAAAACGTACTTCTGTGAGTTGTGAGTGCATTTGCAAACATTTTAAGTCGTGTTTAGTGTAGCACCACACTCACACCTTGCCAGTACCTGTGCCACTGGGGAAGCCATGCAGTTAATTTTTTAAAGTTTACACCTATAATATAATAGTACACATGAAGTGTTCCCATCTACCTAAGTTTTCTATGAGTAGTGTTTGGAGAGAAATGATAGAGAACTTCTTCACTTGGACCTTAACACCCCAACACACCAGTGTGCATATTCTCAATACTGTTTTCCATACATCTCTGAAGGTGCTAACAAGGAGAATTTGTTTGAAAATCAGAAGCCTCTTAAATTGGTGCAATTTCCTTTATTCTAGCGACCTTAATGTGTAACGAGGGGATGATATTGAAGGGAGAAATTACATGCCAGTTTACTCTTAGGGATCAAAGGGTTTCTTAAAGAGCATATGTTACCACTGCTTCATAAGTCAATGCACAGTAAATTCTAGGGTAGTGACCCTGAAATTAGAATAAACTCAGAATCATATGCACCATCCTAGAAATATCTGGCAAATAGCATACAGTGTTCATGGTATAGAAAATAATTTTGTCAGTCTTATCTCATCAATTATATTATCAATCTATTGAAAAATTAAACCACTGTTTCATGAGTCAATGCACAGTAAATTCTAGGGTGGTGACCCTGATATCAGAATAAACTCAATTTCAAAAGCACCACCCTACAAATACCTGGCAAATAGGATACAGTGATTTTGGCATAGAAAAAGAATTTTGTCTGTGTTATCAGTCCATTGATAATTTACAACTTGGCCGATGATAATAACAACTCACCTCCTCCTCAGAAAATAAACTAGGTCTGATCTTGTGTTTAGGAGAACTGTTATACACCTGACCTGATCCCTTTGGGAAGTGTGTCTTTGGTGAAGATGTGAGAGGCTCTTGTGATGTGTAGCTGAAATGAAAGAGACCATATAATAAATACAAGTCACTTGCCTTTCATGCTACTTGTTTAGATTGACAAATGAATAGTGAAGCCTTCACCATTATGGCTGCTAAAACACTGAAAAATTTGTATTGCTCACAGACAGTGATTTTAAAACTTTCCTAGAAGGGGAAGCTTTGGTAATGGCATTCTTGCAGCTGAGAATGAAAATCAACAACTAGAAGATTTAACACAGACCAATTTTGGCCGTGCACCTGAAAGATTTCTTCTGTTGGCAAGGACCAAGTCAATAACTGAGAATTTTGTATATTGAAAACTACACCCATTGTTTGTTTTCATAGTGTTTCAACCCAGTTTTTCATCTTGAGCCCTAGTGCCAATGTAATTTATGATTCTTATTTGGGGATTGTCAATACTTTTATTTTCACTCATAAATAAAGTTGAATTTTCTTGTTAGTAAAGAGCTATTGTATTTATATGATAAACAAAATAAAACATGGTTGCTTGTGTATAGGAAATTTCTCTTCTTGTGTTCAACTCAACATCTGACTTGTTTGCTGCACTCACTCGTAAGCTATTGAGTTACACACTCAAAGAGAAATTCCATATCCACGCACGTCCATGTGTCATTCTCTAAATATTTAACTTGCTGTTCAAGTACCTTATTGTAATTTATTTTTGCAATAACTTAATTTTAGAAAATGGAATGGGCATGTTACGCAGAACCTTAATTTTGCGATTTTGACAAAAAATATATGTTAAAAGGAACTAGATTTTGCAAAAATTAGGGCCACCAATGCAAATGTTAGCTGTTGTTTAACAAAATTGTGTTCTAAGCCATCTTCAATTTAGCTGAACCTATTATCTAAATATTTCTTTTTGTGAACAGAGTCAAGAGGGCTGAAAGCTACTCAATTAAAAGGAAAAAGGCATTTATTATAGTGGAGCTTGCATAGCCCCATAATTATACAAAATTGTAGTAACCCATCAGGCTGAAAAAATTTGGATGTACGGCCGTACAACCGTATGACTGTACAACCATACAAGGTGCTACTTTTAACATGTGTGGTCAAGTGTACTGCAGGCACACCAATGCCACGGCTTTGTCCAGTAGTCCAGTGGTCAGTGCACTGGGCTCCAAGTTGGACAACCTGGGTTCTAGTCCTGGCCAGGGTAAGGTGTTGTGCCCTTGAGACGTGTGGGAAAAAAAATGCAAGCTCCGTTTTTAGGCTTGGCTAAATCTATATATCATTAAATTAACCCTCTTATAGAGAATCCCTAGACCCTCTGCTTGTGTAAAACCACAGTTTGGGTTAGACCTCCTGTAAATAACTGGCCCTTATGTTAAATTTTTCATAACAATAGATCCTAAATTCTCTGAGCTAAAATCATATGACATAGATGGAAGACCATTGATTGACAGCAGAGAGTATTTCTTGCCATCTTTTGAACTTACATTGCTAAGCCTGTGGACAAGTCTTCTGTTGCCATGTAATGTACTGCTACTGCACACTTCACATCCGCATCAAAAACAAACTCAATTCCATAGCTTTCTTGATCTAAGCTTCTATCAAAACAAATATTACTAACATAAGATCACACAAAAATGCACTGAAAACCTGATTTTAAATTTCCAAGAGGGAACACAAGGATTACCAGTAGGTACATGAAATGCAAAATAAAAAATTATGTGAGAGCAACATACTTACTTCACAAGCCTTAATGAGTCTTTCCTTAAATTCACAAGACTTCTTAGTGTTTTTGTTGGTTCATTGTCTATTGGCTGCCTGTATGGAAACTTGGGAATGAAAATAAAGAAAAACGAAAAAAATTATTGCTTGAATAAAATCAAAAAGATTATTTATCAGAATTTTCAAATGGACACAGGATGATAATGGCTGACATTTTCACAACTTGGGCTGCAGTCTGTATGTCAGTCAGACCCTAAAAGTGACTTCAGCTCAGGGTCTCAGAAGTTGCAACCTTTTCTCTCCCATGATGTTGCATGAAATTTTCCTTTCTGTCTGCTATACAATTCTTCTGTAAAATGTAGTTTGGAAAATTTGGTATTGGTTTGACTCATAATCATAACATTTTACTTTGTTCTCATCACTTGTCTGCTTGATTTTATATTGATATTGTAAAGATAATTTTTTTCTTGATCACTCTAGGGAGTGATAGGGTTAATACTTCTTTGATGCTACCATGCCCACAACATTTATTTAAACTTTATGCTAAAAATTAATTCAAAAAACCACTCACAGGGTTATCAAAAAGATTTTGAGCAACTGGACTGTGATAAAATAGGCAGCATGATCACATGCTTCTTAAATAAGAATTGAGCTCCAAACATTTGCAACAGCTGGTGTGTTTTTCAGAGAAGATATTGAAATATACCATTTGCTAGCTTAATTATGACAACCACTTAAATGTTCATTTATCCATGTAATTATGATGAACAACAACATCTTCTATGATGACTAACGCTGTAAATGATTTTTAGAAGGGAAAAATTAAATGTGTGGCAGTCAGGTCTGCCGGGAGACGCTTAGAAAAAAAACTATTATACTCTGTTGCACTTGTGAAGTTAATGCATTCATTCCTAAAATTTAAAGTCAATTTGCATCATACGCTATCTTATTTTATTCCAGCTTAAAGGATAAAACTTTCCCGTCAAAATTTGATAGACGAAAAATAACTTTCCTTAGTAATAACACCATGTGTTCTCTCCTGTAGAATGTTTTACTGAGACAATGTAAAGCATAAATGTACATTATGTTTACTTTCCTCTGACAAAAAAACGTCAACAAGATTAGAAATTTGATCCTTTTCAAAGAGAATCACTGCTTTTCAGGAGTAAGGAGTCTATCTAATAGTTTAAAAAACTTGTTAACATACTAGAGTGAGTTCAAAGTCACACAACTGTGAATTGCGGTCGTTGTCACCCTAAGTAAGATATGTGTTCAAAGTCTGTTCTCGCGGAAAAGTCGCTCTGCTCTACTGAAAATTTAACTTAAAAACTGAATCAGCCACGATAGTGATATTAAGCGTGAAATACACAGAGCATCAAAAAGCTGTGTCTCGTATGACTGTAATTAATAATTTTATATCAGCTTATGTTAACTTAGAAACAGCTGTTAAATACCATTAAAAAAGTTTTCCTTTAGAAGCGGGTACTAATGAACATCGCTTACCGTCACGGGCTTGGGATTCAGTAGATTCAAATCACTGTTCTCTCCAAAGAGGTACGCCTCTGGCTGTGGGGTATCAAACTTCGATCCTCCCATGAGAAAATAATCGGCAAAGAAGTTCTTTCCTACAGACCAAATCCTTAAGTTAGAAACCACTTGGAGGGAATGCTCATGCATAACAAACATAGGCTAGAGCGTTCTTATGTTGTCAAACCCAAAAAATAGCGAAAGATATTTACCTGAACTCGGAGGATAACGGTAAGGATGCGAGGAAACGTCGATATCTTCGACTCCCTCGTTCTGTCTGCTAAACCGATTACCCATTTTAAATGCGGTTTTAGACAAAGTGGGCTGAGAAAGTCGCTGTAACTACACTACATGTTGAACCATTTCTTCTATTTCGTGCCAAAATACGCATAATCACTGTGGATGTAAGGTTTACAAATAAGGAAATGGTAAATGACGTCAACCAAGATCGCGGGCTCCAGATTAAAGTCGCCAAGGAAACAAAATTCAATCTTGTTTTTGAAGGAAGAAATATGGCGGACAGGTTAGGTGAAAACGGACCCACTGATTCAGAAGGAAAAGGAGATGAACGAAGGCCGGTATCCGGAAGATCAAAAGGCTCAGCTGATTCCAAAAAGTCTATTCAAGATGCAGTCAGTAAATTGACCGTTAACGCACTAAAAGAGTTTCGTTTGAGCGATCCAAGTGATGTAGACACCGTTGTTACCGGTGCAGAGAGTGAAGGTCTTGTCCCTACCGCAACTTTGACACAGGATATTCCAACGTTTGACCCTCGCGGAGCGCTTGGAGCGCAGACATTGCTTTCTGAGGATATCACTGGCAGTGGTGAGGAAGCTAGAGATGACGAGATTGAGGGTGATATCGGTGAAGATGGTGATGAAGGTCTTAGTGATGAAGAAGAATCAGGTTCAGATGGGGAGAGTGATATGGTGGTTCTTGATCCTGACCATGTAAGTCAATATTGTCTTTTGAAGGCTAAATGTGATACACATTCATTGTAAATCTTCCAATATAACTGTGATCGGTGTTGTGTTGTTTTTCAGCCTCTTATGGTCAGATTCCAAGCTGCATACAAATCACATTTAATCAGACAGCAGGAAAAAGTTAATTTGGAGCTAAGAGAATTGGTAAGTACTTCAATGAATATCTGGAACGTAAACTGATTATTGCTTTGTTTTATCATGGTGCTGTTTTATTTGATCTGGATTAAAAACAACAATGAAAAATAGCTCAGAGGACAAGAACGCTTATCTCTTGATTATAATAGTTTTTTTATTGGTAACAAAGATTATTATTACTAATTTAATGACTCACACTGGGCATTTCCTCGCATAAGTGCCCAGGTGCTAATTTAAAATTTTGGCTAAAAGGAAGAGTACTTATTATAAGAGGGGCACCAAATTAAGGAGGGCATCTGTTAAAAAAAACTGTTATCCATTGCCAATACCACTGTATTTAAAGCTTAAAAAGTTATAAACAAAGTGGCAATAGAAACAGGTTTTCCTTGATTCCCTATTATTTAAGAAAGTGAATGAGGAGGGGGCTGCCCTTATTTGAGAGGGGTGCTTGTTTGATAATATTGCCTCAAAGGTTCAAAGGGGGGGGGGAGGGGGGAGGGGGGGCAGTTATTCAAAGAGAAATGGTAAGTATTTTTAGGCATTCATTAAGTTTTGTTTACCAGTACAAGAACTGTAGTAAAAAAGTTAATTAATTTTGTCCTGAAGAAAATGTGCTCACGTTAATGAAAATGTGTTTAGACTGAAGATCTCAAAACAAAGAAGCGAGAGAGAGAAGAACTTGGTGTACAGTTATATGGCGTACAACAGGAACTTGCCAGGCAGCAAATGCTCTTGGAGAAGGAACATGACAATTTCAGCTCAGAAAATCATCTCAGGCAGCAAAGTGAAAAGCTTCTGGAGGAAACTAAAGAGCTTCATGATAAGACGGTGAAAGATGCCATCCATCAGCGCAAACAAGGTTTGGAAAGATGGGTTTTACAGTCAATTACTTCATGTTTCTCCCCTCTTGTTGATGTACACTTTATTGTAAAATAGTGAGGAGAATTTGGTGTTAGATGAAGATAACAACTGCTACTAGATACACAAAAGTTTGAGTATTCTCATAGCTTGTTTGCTGGATGATAAGGAATTAAGGAATTTCTTCTCTCTAGGTATTAACTTCTGTAAGGCAGTAATTCTTAACTAACTTACTTAATATGTGTGTGCGTGTGTGTGTGTGTACGTGTGCGCGGTCAAAGTTAATTACCATAAGTCCATATTGTAATTCTAATATAAAATTAGTTATTTTAAGTGAGAAAGCCTGACTTGTTATAAGCCTCGTGGTTTCTTTCAGGTTTTCTTGCCATTTATTTTCTGTCATCAATTTTCTTCATTTTTTTTTTTTCCATCTGTAAATGTCGTATATGGCAAAAATAAATAAAAAATAAATAAATAAATATTGTATAATGTATGGGTATTGTAGGGAGATGTTTTATATCACTTCTGGGGGTTTTAAATTGTCAACAATCTCAATTCTAACATTAGTATGCATGTTCTGCATACTTTTCCCTATACATTTGCAATACTTCTGACCAGTTGAATTTGTATGACAATCAAGAGTTTCTTAAGAAGGCAATATTTTTTCAAGTTCATTCTTGTGCTCTTGTTGTTTGATTCAGTGGTGACTCTGCAAGAAGTTAGATGCTAGTCAATTTGTGAGGTAAACATACTGTATGAAAACAAAACCATATTTGATTCCTGTTTGTAGCTAAGGAGCTTAGAACAGAAGTTGAAAATCTGGCAGCTCGCTTGCATTACATGGAAGAGGCTAAGGAAGATGTAAGGGCTGACATTGCTGTCATGAGAAGAGCAGCTGAGAAAGCAGACACTGAAGTTACCAAAGCAGAATTAGAGAAGAAAAAACAGGTGTGGTATTCCCTGATAAATAGGTAGAGACAATACCAGTAAGCCATCACTGTTCTACAGAGAATGCTCCCTCTCTGTGTTACCATGAATACTCCATTCCAGTCTAGTCCCACCAGTCATTCCTACTGATGCATGCTGGAACCTTATATATTTGTTTTGACCCCTACTGATGAGTGGGTTATTCAGTACTTCACAAATACAAAATACAGCATACAATTGTATCTATATCTACACATGTATTCACAATTACCGTATTTCTTCACCTATAAGCCGATCTTGGCTGTAAGCCAAAACCCTAAAAGTTAAAGACCTTCCAACAGACTCATGTAAAAAGCAAAACCATCGGCTACAAGCCAAGAGTGGAATTCTTGATTGTAACTGGTCATTTGAATGAGTGAACCTCACGGAAAACATTAGGAAATGGAAAAAAGGGAAACAGTGAAAATGTAAATACTACCATGCAACTGCAGAAACACAACAATACTCAGTGACTGTAACCTGACAAATGTTTCAATTGAGTATCTCTTTTGTCGCTGTTATTTTTCTCGTCACACCAAAAGCACACTGCTCCTCGTATACAACGGCTAAAAGAATACAAGATAAAAGTTATTGCGGAAGCTGAAGCAAAACAACTCGGAAATCACTCAAGATTTATGGACTTTGTGAGTCCATGGTGCAATGCTGGAAAAGAGACCAGGCAACTATTCTTTCTGGCAAGCTTAAGATGTCTGCAAAACGTGCAAATATTGGCTGTTTCACTCCTAAGTATTCTGAACTAGACGAGAAAGTGATGGAGTGGTTTTCTCAGCAGAGAGACCAGATATTTCATCCATAATGTGAAATGTGAAGAGTTGAGTGAGATCGTCTTTCAATGTGTAGGAAGCAAAGAATCTGATTGGTGGCCAAAAATACGTTTTGTCATAACAATTTTAAAGCACACTGCAGTCATGGAATTTAAGGTCATTTCACATTAACATTGCAATTGTACTTGTTTTTGAATCCCAAACCCTTGGCTATAAGCCGAACCCTGTTTCTCTGGAAAAATCTCCCAAACTTTTGTGTTAAATACTGTAAAAATCACTCGGCTTACAGGTGAAGAAAAACATTAAATAAATGATATTTTAAATGGCTGATTATACGCAAATAGGGAAATGATCTTTGCTGGAATTTCTTTTACCTGGAAAGATTGTTCTCCACCTGTATATCATTCATGGGTCAAAATGTTATTTTTTTCGTTGTGAATAGATTCCTTAATGAGAAATTAGAACCTACTTTAATTTGCCTTACTCCCAACATGTGGCTTTGTAGCTCAGTTTGTAGAAGGGCCAGCTGGTGTCAGGGAGGCACAGGTTCAAATCCTGCTAAAGCCTCAAATTTTTTCAGGCTTCTTTTCATGTTATTGCTTAAATTGCAGCTTACCTGTAAAGATCATTTCTCTACTTCTAAACATGTAGGTAGTGACTGACATTGATTAACAGGCCAGAAAACTTATAGATGTTGCTGTGAGGCCTTTATACACACTAATTATTAAGTTATTTGTCTAACAGCTGCACTAAATTTTTCCTTTTGGGCATTTACATAGGACCTCCTTGTGGACAGATTAACACAAACAGTAGATCGGCTGAGGGAGGAAATTGACATGTTTGAGACCCAGTGTGCAGCTCAAATGGAGGAAACTAAAGCAGCTCAAAAAGCTCTCTCAGAGGCTATTACTGAAATAGAGGTTAGTAAGAATTAAAATTTATTTTGAAGACACACTCTTTAGTGAACAAAATATAAACTATATGGAAAATTTCCCTATTGGTGGCATCTTTCACATCAGAGTCTCATCATTGCCATCAATATTCTCAACAGATTACATTATTGCCTGCACTCTTTTCTAGCCATTGCACTCTTTTCTAGCCATTGCTTGAGCTTATCACACAACAAAGCATGTGAAAGCATGTGAGCAAAACAAGTCCAAGTGATGACTATGGAAAATACCAGTGATCACAATCTGTGTCATGGTACTGTGCGTCAAACACTTCTTCCTTTGCGATTGTTTCGCATTCAAGAATAAAATTGTTTCCTAGAAACTCACATCAAGATCCTTGAAAAGTTGTCTGAGTGTCTCAATCTTTGATCCTTTATTCTTAAAAGTTTCAAGGATTGATAATTGAGTTTTGAGTCAAGATTGTTGACTACTTTTGAGTGATACTGTATTGCACATTTTAACCCTTTCACTCCAAATATCATATTAATATTTCTCCTAACTGTCCACCATACATTCCTATCAATGTTAGTTATGAGAATTTGGTATTGAATCAAATAAGAATTCCCAAGTGGATATTTTCCTTTATACTCACCACATTTCTACTTGATATTGTATCGAATGGATATTATATTGACATTGATACTGTTCTCATGGAAGTGAAAGAATTAAAAAAAAGAAATTATTTATGTACAGGCTCTTCAGCTGGAAAAAAAGCAGCTAACACAGCAGTGGTACAGCAGTTTAATTGGAATGAGGAGACGAGACGAGGCATATGCTGCAATGCAAGAAGCTCTGAGGTAAATTTTGTACATTTACTACACTTCTGTTGAAATTAAAGGAATTATCTCCTGTTTAAGAAATTACTTTTTTTTCCTTGATTATCATGGTTTCACATTGGCTCAGCCTTAAATAGGCTGTGAATGACTGACAATACTCAAGCTATACTTTCTTAGTTAAGTAATACCACTGAGAATGACTGTTGCAGTGAATAGAATGAAGGACAAACAATATTGCAAACTAGTTCCTTCTGTCCTTTTCCAAATTTTTGTTATTTATAAACACCAGCAAGAAAGAGATAATTGTCACTCTGTTTGGCAAGTAATTTACAAAGCAAAAATAGAATTCTAGTCTTGCGTTTCCTCAGAAGACATCAGTAAATAAGACAAGAAATTATCTGGTTAAACTAACAAGTTAAGAGTGATATCCAAGTGTCTGAATGACAGCAGCTTTCTTTTGCATGCCTCCTAGCTGTTTTGACACAGGTATAAGCTCAATCCAGAGGCAGCTTAGTCTTTCTAGCAGCTTTCTTTATGATATTATGATTTAAGCTTCAACTTATTGCCTGGATATCTGAACTGCCTGCCATTTCTGGCTCATTGCTGCCATGTTTGTTTCAGGAGTGATGAGAGAAATTAGATGCAGGTCACTCATAAATGCCATAGGGTTAAATCGCATTCTGTAAACAACTTTATCTCTTTTGCTAGTTAACCCTTAACCCCAAAATAGAGCAAACTAGCAGATGTTAGCATTTTGCTAACTACATCTCTGCATTTGCCTCTCTCTTTTTTTTTTTTAAACAGTCTTCAAAGGCAGAGAATCCAGGCCATTGAAACAGAGATTGAAGGCTATAGAAAGTCCATCAGCAAAGCTCAGGAACAGAATGAACAGATCACACTCATGCATAACAAGATTGAGGCTGACATCTCCATGGTGAAGAAACTGGTTGCAGTGAGCAGGAACAAACAGGAGGTCCTTAAGACTGAATATAGTAAATACTCCAGGACACTCCATGAAACAGAACAACAACTCAACAGGGCTGAAACTGTAAGTGAGGTTGTAATCAATCAAGTAGTAACTGTGATCAACATGAAACTTCTCCCCATAATATCCATACAATATTCAGCAAACAGATAATGAGAATATTCGGACTTATCAGAAAGAAGCTGCTATCTTGATCTAGCACCAAGTTCTCATAACTAATTGACAAGGAAATGTGTAGCAGCTATAGGGGAGAATTAACAATCACATCTTGGAAGTGAAAGGGTTAAAATGTGGTAAAAATGAAAAAAGTGGCACACAAGGTGCAGCTGAGTGGGTCACTGATGTTCCTGTCACATTTTGACATCTTCTGTAATTCATTACTGTCTAGACAGACCCACAGCTACATGAAATCTATTTGTTTAATATGACAAGAAAGCAAAATGTTTTAAATGGTGATATCAGCAACATAAGTAAGAACCAATTAAAGCGTGTGTAGAATTCAGCCTATCTTATGATGTACAGGTTCAGACATGCTTTGCGGTATGACTTTCAAGATAAGAATAGACATAGGCCTAATATAGCTGTCCCTTTGTAAGTACGGCAAAATGTTGCTTGACTGCTGTGGTTATTTCTCTTGGACCTAATTAGGAAGTGACACTGAAGGAGAACGAAATCACAGCATTAAGAAAACAGATTGAGCGTGAGTTTGGGGAGAAGATAAAACTAGAAGACAACATTATGGAAAAGATGAGAAGCCAGCTTACATTGGACAAGGCGGCGCAGTACACTAAGAAGATGACAGACAAGCTCAGAAGGAGGGCCACAGAACTGGTAACAATATTTTTACTACTGATACAGTTAGGCTCGAATGAACAGAGTCCGTAATTGACGGGTGAATTCTGAAAATACCCATTGTCCTTGTCATTAACCTATTTATCAAGCTAAATAGAAATGTTCCACATTGTTTTGAGTCGTAATGTTTTGCTATGGGCAAAATGACCTTCAATTCGGAAGAGGGATGGTCTTCAGTGTTACTTGGTAAAACCTAAAGTTCTTTTTTTACACAGCAATGTAACAGAAATGAAACTTGTGGGATTGATCAACAAAGTCATCTTAGTCGCGTATTTATAGCGTACATACACACCTGTATAGCGTATATACGCGTCTAACGACCTGCGTCTGTGCGTACAAAATACGTATGCGCAGTTAACGCATATCTGAGCGGTACTTTATAACCTGGAAAAGTTAAGAGGAATTGAAATCCTTTCAAACCCAAAGTGATACAAAACTACTTCAGATGTGGGAGGAACGAGTTTACTATTGAACAGTTATTTACGTTATGTTGTTCTTCCTTACAGGAAAGTTCCGTTGCTGAAGTTGAGAACGAGATTTCCAGGGATATCTTGGACATTTCTAACACGACCACTCGTGTTCGTCAACTTCAAGATGTCATGGACAACCTGAATGAAGAGATTCACCAAAAGAATGGCACCATTTCTAAGATCGAAGGAGAAATTGTGAAGCGAAACGCTATTATTGAACGGAAACAGAGCACTATTGACCAGTTTAACAAAAAGATTGATCAGTTGAGGAGCAAAGACGGGGTACGTCAATGGAATTTTAGTTGTTGCAGACGGTTCACAATTATTATACTGCAAATTTCAATTGACCATGGAAAAGTAGTCTAGTTTTCTTTCGTTTACGTTTACGTTTACGTTTTACACGAACCGGACTGATAACTCTTCACCTGACTTTGATGATAACTTCCGCTTTGGTTGTCGAAAAGTCAGTTACCCAGTACTACCGACAACAGTCTTTCTCAGGACTGTTTTTCTGCTTTTTGATTGAAAGAAATAGACATAAATTTCTAAAAAAAATAGGATGCTAAACTAAAATCAGTTTCAATTTGAAGTGTTGACCAACTTTTTATCGCGCTTCTAGTTTTTACGTAAGTTCCCATTAGCTCTTACAGATATTTTCTTTTGTGCTGATTGTCTTGTGATTATAAATTTGAGTTGGGTTTGACGATGCTCAATCGAAATGCGCACCAGAATTCGGGATTTTGTGAGATGTGCGTTGCTGCGCTCTGACTGGTTTAGAAACTGAACTACATTACCCTTTCAACGAATCAGATGCAAAACTAAAACCACTCGCAACTCAATGGTTTTCCGCCATGAAGTCTTTAGAATGTATTGACTTTTGTTTCTCTTTGGCTGGTTGAGATATTTTCCTTTGTTCCGATTGGGCACTGCAATTACTTTGGTTTCGTTACCACTGCACTCAATCGAAATACGCTCTAATGAGGAAAGTTTCCTTTGTCATTGTTAGGGAGAGGAAATAGGACCTTTGGAGTTACAGATCCACACGTTACAAAAGCAGATCGAAGCCCGCCTTAATGAAATTACTGAACTACAGCAGTTTTGGCTGAGAAATCAAAGTGAATTGGTGAAGACCTTAAAGGATGTACAGAAACAATCTGAAGACATGGAGTACTTTAAGAAACAGTACACCATATTACTGCAAAAGAAACTCAGGATCGAAGGTAAGTAGAGAAGTTACAGACGTTGCGGATCAAAGGACTTGTCGCGTTTAATGACTCTCCTTTACTCCTCGTTGTTTCTCTGTTAACAGTCTTTTGCCTTTGACCTAAAAACGACAAATTTATTGAGTCTTAATGATCGTAAATTAGCAAATGGCTACTTAGTGAATTGAAGCTTGCTGAACGACAATTTTCCCGATAAACGCCGAGAAGATCCACCGTTTACAAGTTGATTAAGTGACATCTTTTACATCCATTGAGGAATCAATCTTCTTCAAACTTGCTGTCATTATCTTCATGTTTTGTTGACCAGTCTTCGGCTTGAACTGCAGAATATTTATCTCATTGCTTTTCAAGTCTCTCACTCATTTTACTTTGATGAAGCTCACTTTCGGCTGAGAGAAATGCGAATTAATCTCTTTGCGCCGCATCGGGAGGGGAATCGAATCACTCAGTTTCAACTTGCCGAAAATTGACCCTTTGAGGGGGAACCTTTCACTGGTGTGAAAATCATCTGATGATTTCCCTGAACAGGATTTGTCGGAATCGATTTACTTAACTGAGTTTGCATTTTTCTGAATATAATTTCTTCTTAGGCGAAATCAACTCACACAATAGCGAGATGCGAGATATTGAGCGAAACATTCGCGGCATGCAGAATGACATGACGAAGCTAAATACTCTGATCACCCAGGAAAGTGGCCTGAGAGAGGCCTTACAGCAAGGAACTGTGTTGATGGAGAGCGACTTTATTCAGGCGCTTAAGGTAACTCACTATTCCAATTATGATAGATAGGTAAGCCGGTGTGGCCGCAGAGACTCCCACGCGGGTGCTGAAAAGGTGCGTGCGTGGGAGTTTTGCGTGGAAAAAGTTCCTTTACTTTTACGATACAACTTTAGTCATTTCGATACAAGCAAGAGCAGGATAAATTTTCAACTGTCTACCAGCCTGATAAGGGGAATTAACCTACCTTGCCAGGAGGTGTATCGAATCGACTTCAGTTTGTATTTATGCGACTTTGTATCGAAACGACCTGCGCGTAAACCTTCGCGTTCATTGCAGCCAAAAGTGTACGACTTCGTGTCAGAGAGTGTATGATTACTTACGTGTCAGTATAGAGTTACATTGATCCTATGATTACATTAAATGACGATTCTCAAAACCAATGAATTCACTACTTTAGTATAAAATGAAGAATTTTCTCTTATCAGAGAGCATAGTAGACTTCAATTGATCCTAAGATCGATGTGACACTCAGTTAGAAAACGGATTTATCGCCGTACTCTGAATATAGTTCACCTAGGATTTTTATCCAGCACTGATGATCGAGCCCTTTTACTTATTATTTTTCCTGATTAACAGCCCTTAAATGGTACAGCTTGGGCATGCACAATTACCTGTATTGCTCGGCGTTGCACTTCAAAACCTAACTGATGAATTGCTCTGCTGTGGATATATACGAAGCGCATTTGACTTAATATTTACGTTACAGGAAGCTGAAGGGGAATCCATCAACATGCAAAATCAAATTGATGCCCTGAAGGAGGAGAAAGAAAGGCTGCTCAATAGTTTGGTGGAGGCGGAGTAAGTAAACATTATTGTGTTAGTTTTTTTTGCGTGTCGGCGTTATGCCTTGTGTGATCACGCAACATCTAGGGAAGAGCAGTGTTAGAAGCAGCGTAGAAAATGTCACGCTACGTTGCTGTTTGACTGGCGGGGATGATAAAACTAGGAGGAACGCGATGAATTATCAAAAGTTAGGCATCAAGCGTTGTTTGCTCCCGTTATATCGTTAAAAAAATGTGTTTATATCTCTTCCTTTCCTTTTGACTGGCTTTGATTGTCAACTTTTTTCTCAATAAATTTAATTTACTCTTACCCTTTACTCAGACGTCAAATCATGTTGTGGGAGAAAAAGACGCAACTGGCCCGTGAAGCGAAGAACGCTGTTGACATGGAGTACGGTCAAGGAGAGATTAAGTCAATGAAAGCAGAGATTCATAGAATGCAGGTCAGTCAGTCAGTCAATTTGGTGAAGTTGTAGGAGGGTTCTTTATGAAGTTCTGTTTAGGGATGAGAGTCAGGCGTTGGGTTTTTTTGCCCGATGGCAAAATTTTGCAGCATCTATACGCGTGTTACCATGAAGGACAAAAATGCTGCTAACTACGTAGGTTACGCTCCTACAGACAGGGTTTTAGAAATAAATTTGCGTTTCGTGGTAGCTTACGTGGCAGTATCTTCCCTTTAATGAAACGTGAAACGTGAGCTGAATGGGAGTGACGCGAAGTCAGGGGGCGAAAGGGAACAAAAATCAGTATTAAGAGCTCCCTTAATTAACTCAACTTCCTAGCTTCCTGGTCGTCTTTCTTTAAAATTAAACCGGTGCTCTGATCATATCATTAATTGTACATCCAATGCAATTTAGAGCTGGGGAAGAGACAGAATCAGGAAAAAAATTTACTGTTTGTTATCGAGGTTGTCAGGTCTCATTTGCTAATAGGTTATGTTTGTTTGTAGGTTCGTTACTCGCAGCTAATGAGACAACAGGAAAAGATGATTCAAGACATGGAGAAGTCTGTTGTACGCAGGGAAGTTATTATTACTCGGTAAGTGATTCCCATGATACCAGTTACAGATGGGTATCTTGATGGTTGTTTAGGATATTTTAATTGGGTTTTCGTAACACCACGACCAAAGTGATCGCAATAGCGCCACAGGCAACCTAAGCTCAGAATGCGAAACACGCTGATATACTTGTCTTGAGTAAGGACACCGAAAGAAAATTCAACCTTGAACTTTCATAGAACACAAATTGCATCCAAACTACCTATGATGTTAGTGATCTGTTTGTTCATTCGTAGTTATACCACAGGATACTGGACTAAAATACCTATTTTCCGCGCAGCCTCTTTGATTCGTTAAACTACCGGCAGTCCCTCTTTTTGGGCGCAGTCCGTCGCGCGAGTCAACAAAAAAATCAGTTGATTCACCCTTTAACTCCCATGAGTGACCAAGACAGAATTTCTCCTTACAATATCAATACAATACCAACCAGATGAGTGAGGAGAAATATCACTTTGGGGATAATAAGTTGATCCAATACTAAATTTTCTAAACTAACATTAAAGAATTTGTATGTTTGACAGTAAGGAGAATGACAAATTTGATCAGGGAGTTAAAAGGTTAACAGTATCGTTTATTGTATTTATTAATTGATCGCATTCTGCGTTAGGGCTGTTTGTACGGACTTTTCACTGGGAAAACTTTCCATAAATTTATTTTACCGATGTAATTTTCTTTTTGTTATCAGTGGAGATGCTCAAGCAAAGATGGGTAAGGTTTCAAACACTAAAGGCACTTTCCAAAAGAAACTCGCCGAGATGAAGAAGAAAATCAAGCAGACAAACCAAGACGCTAATGCCTGTGATACTGGTAAATAAACGAACTAACGCGTGATAGTGTAGTCCTCTGTTCTACCAGGAGCTTACTTTTTCAAGGGTGTTGAATTCAATCATCGCGAGAATGTGACAGTGGAAAAAATCAGAGGTGGATCTACTACGAAGGAACAAGGAAGGCTCTGGCGAAGGCCTAACGCTCGAAACTTCAGCTTTAGAAACCCCTTTACGGTGGTTAATCACATTATCAATTTAGTTGATACTATCTTGTTCTACCCCCACTGACGCAGCACCACAGTTTCTTTGCAAAGTTACCGTAATGATTCGATTTAGCACCCTCATTCCAATAAGCTCCCCTATTCCAATACACGCCCCTATTCTGTTTCAGCGATAGCACTGTTAGATTGTATGAACATCGAGATTAACCGTGGTCCCTCTTCCTTTAATCACTCACTTAAAGCCTCACGACAAAAAAAGTGGTCTTCTTCTCTGTCTCTCAACTATCGTGTCGCCGTGAATGCACAGTTCCTTCAAACGAAAGATCCTGTCTTAAAATTTTGCAACGATTGCTTGGCTAGTCGTTCCAGCAAGGAACGATCCAAGGACAACAAGTCCGTTTTCCAGTCTTTTTGATCCACGGTCAAGTAAACATCAAAGCTTTGTTTCACATTCTGCTGTTTCTCAAAAAAGAAATAAGCGCCCTGTTTCAAATAAGCACCCTTCCTTTAGCTAACAAAAGTAAATAAGCGCCCTGAGCACTAAATCGAATCATTACGGTACTCCTTTTACTATGAAGAGGTTGAATATGAAGTTGGCAGAAAACGGCAATTGGAGAAAATTAAACTTTCTCCTATCTTCTCTCAACTGTTTTTATATAAATGCGACAATATATTACAATCTTATCTTAGAACTTAAAATAATAAATTTTGTTGCTTCAAAGTTTAGTGAAAAAATTGAGTGAAACCAGAGTTCACATCTCTCTTTAACTCACTGAAGTGACCTTCTTTAGGCCGACTTCTCATTTATCAGAGCTTAAAAGATCCAAATAGGATCGGACTTAAGATTTCTTACACAATCTCGACCTGTCTTCAAAAGGTTATAGGTTATTTCTCTCAGGGAAGCAGTTTTTTCCTCCGCCCCACGCTCGCGTCTTTGTATCGACTACCGAGTTTCGAATTGATCCTGAATTTTCAACGCATTTGTTCTTCGTAATTTTAATTACTAAGTGTGTTTGTTTCGTGGTTGTTGATGTTTTTAGATATTCAAGTGCTTCGTGAAAAGCAAATGACCGTGAGTCGTGATCTGGAAGAGAAACAAACAACATGTCTACAGCTTCAAACCACTGCCGATGAACTGGAGGTGCAAATCGATACACTGTCGGAAGAGAGACAAAGGGTGAGTAACCTTATGCCTTTGACCACAAGTGATCAGTTTTCAACTCCTCTTCGCAACATCAGCATATCGTCCAGAAATATAGAATATATACGAGAAAAGTCGGACTTTTTAGCTAGATTTGATCTCATTGTTTCCTCTTATTCTGTCAGAATCTGGCTGACATAGTCGCCAAGCAACAGAAGTTAAAGTACTACAACCAGCTAAAGAATGGACGCTACACTCCGCTGTGCAAAACACCGGAGACGCTAGAGGCTGAACTTCAAAAACAACGAGCTCGTCTCCAGTCCCTTATGACGATAGTTGATCGATTGAATCAGGAGTTTCCTCAAGCTCAACCAGCGCTGCGCAAAATCACCCTGTCTCTAGGCTACAGGGGAATTCCTGAGGAAGCTGCAGCCTAATCTCTGCTCACCCCTCCCATGTAGAAAATCATTTATTCATTAATGTATTGCGAATATGAGTAAATTTTCTTAAATAAAAAAACGACTTAAATTTAATTGTTTAGATTTCCATAGTTTTCAGAACCACGTTTCTCGATATCTTTTTTCTGCTAGTATTGCTGTAAATAAAAGATATCAGCACATTAAACTGAGTGGTGAATATTGTACCGACATCAAGATTTTGGTGTTAACCCGTTGTTTGTTTTTATACTTCGCACTGCCTCCTTTACTGCTTGACGCCACCTCGCGTGCAACACGTTCACTTTATACTTGTACCTGACGCAAATAGATGCCCGTGCCCAATGTCCATGGATAACCAGCGAGCAGGCGCTCATTGTTAGTGTTTCGGCACGAGGACCGTCTCTTCTCCCGCGAGAAAGTATGAGGCCTTTAGCAACGCGACCTGACGAGAAGTCTGAAAAGGGTCTGGCATTGCTTAGTCCCAGCCCCTCGGAAAACGTCTCCCTCACTCGTCTCAGAGCTCTCCACGAGCGGAAAAACGCACGTCCTCCAGTGCCTTGTCGTGGACTAGCACAAGGAGAGATAACGAAAACAAGTGTGCATGCGCATCTAGAATACCGCAGACATCAGGACTACAAGTGGCACGAACTCAAACCCAAACTCAAATTGATGCGAGGAATCACTGTTGTTTCAACGAAGATCTGATCATTAAAAGAAGAGCGTTGGGAACGAGATCGAGTTGGAACGCTCCGGCAAGTTCTCTGTCATCTGCAGAATGTTTTAGGAATTATTCGGGTTATGTCGGTACCTTTTTCCAACCAGTCAATTTTCGCAGAATCATCTTGAGAACCACTGCGGTGAACGGAGCCTCATGGCATAACTATTGCCATTTGCAATGATCTTCGTACGATTGATTGTCAAAATGACTGCAAAATCTCAGATCAACAAGGGTAAAAGACTTAAGCACGGGTTGTTCAAAGCTGGGTCAGTTAAGAGAACAGGGTTAGTGTGAAATTTGATTTCACGTCTGAAAGCTATGAAAGAAAATTCAGTTCAAATCTTTTTGCTTACAATTTGATTATTGGATGTTCTTGAAAAGGAATACGGAAATTTTTCCCTAAAAAGGCTTTTGAGCAAAGAAATAAAGAAATTTGGACTAAACTTTAACCCTGGGTTGGCGCTTATCGGCCTTCGAACAACTGGGCCTTGTTGGAGACTGTACCTTGACTGACCAGTACCAGTCTCCATCCGTTGGTTAGGACAAGCTACGAAGCTAGGGAAATGTAAACGGTCATATACAATATATCGTGAACACTGATAGTAATTTGCTTGGAATAAAAATTACAGTATGGCTATTCGAAAAGGATGAGATTAAAGAGGAAAAAAGGCGACTATTCAATTTCTTTTCATAGTTACTAATGATCAGTCACCGCGTTTATTAATGCCAATACGTTCAAGCGTCTTAGCTTACTGATGATGTAAAGTTGTAGCGGTTTTCTTGAAGAAATAAGGTCCATATTAACTTTTTCAAAAGGGACTTAAGATAAAAGAGACTCAGATAACAACTATTTCTAAGATAGGGAATTGAAACTGCTTTTTGAAAATAATAGGGCTGAGTACTTGTCGTCCATGTCCGCTTAAACGGTCTTTGACATAGTGCGTATTTTATGTAAATCGCGTGCTTGAGCGAAATTGAATTTTTAATTATGCGTGTTTTCCCAAGAAACTTTTTTCAATTTCGGCCACCATTTATGAAGGGTCTTTTCAGAATTGTTCTACTTTCTACGATACGAAAAACAACCATGTTGAATCCGGCACACAGTAACAGATACGTATTCAAAGCTTGAAACGTAAAGGGGAAGTCCTCTGATCTCTGGCGCAATTTTTAATTGGCATGTCGAACTTACCTTTGCAAATTACCTTTCTGTTAGCGTTGCGAAATTTTCTTAATTTGCAAATTTGTCATTGTTGCCGGAAAATTGTTTTCGTTTATTGGTAGCGTGCTAGCATATCTCATAAGAACCCTATGTGGGTGTAAACATTTTGTGACTTTCGCACTTTTCTGTGAGGATTTCAAAGTCTTCAGTTCTGTTTTGAATATTTACACCAGGGAAGGTATTTAGCAATTCATTACCACAGATATCTCTTCCATTTTTAATTGTAATTAGAGCAGTGCTCGATGTCGAATGCTTCCATTGACTACGCAGCTGGTTAATGAGGCAGCCGTAACTCGCTACGCATGCAAACTCATTTTCATCTAATCTTAGAAAACGGCGCCTAATAGCTGTCGGTGACAGATGTAATTTTAAGTGTAAGGTGTATTTACAGTATATTAGCTTAATACACGCAGCCGCTCTAACTCGATTTTGTGAAGCTGAAGATGAATAAGTGAAAAATGTATTTTCATTCTGTGATATTAAAAGCAAACCTTGGAAACCTTGCAAATTTGTCATTGACGCCGAAAGATTGTTTTCGTTTATTCGTAGCGTGCTGGCATATCTCATCAGAACCCGATGTCGATGTAAACACTTTGTGATTTTGTGCTTTTCTGTGAGGACTTCGGAACCGGGTTTTGAAGTCTTTCTTTTTTAAATATTTATACCAGGAAAGGTATTAAGCTATCCATTACCACAGAAATTTCTTTCATTTTAAATTGTAATTAGAGCAGTGCTCGATGTCGAATGCTTGCATTGACTACGCAGCTGTCTAAGGAAGCAGCTGTAACTCGTTACGCATGCACATTCATTTCCATCTGATCTTAGAAAACGGCGCCTAATAGCTGTCTATGGCATGTAATTTTAAGTGTGCTTAAATGAGCTTAATACACGCACCCCCTCTGACTTGATTTTGTGAAACAGAAGATGAATAAGTGAAAAATGTATTTTCATTCTGTAATGTTAAAAGCAAACCTCGGACTTTTCATTTTCACCATGGTAAGCACGTAAAACTTTGACTATTTTGATTGTGTCTGTGTGGGTCTAATTGGGTCGCAATCTGTCTATTGATAAGTATTGAAAGTATGCGTTTAAAGTGAAGCACTAAACGACTCTTGATTTTCATTTGATCTTATTTGAAGTTGGTGAAATTTTCGTTCACTTGTGAAAATGAGGTCAATCATCTATATAATACATCAGGTAAGTCAAACTTTTTCATCTTTATATTGATAAAAGGATGACTAAAGAAAGTATTTGTATACGCATTTGAGGACAAAATAAACTTTTACTTCAGCAGTTTACCAAAAATATTCAAAGTCACGACATGAGACGAAATAAAAAAGAAAACCCTTGCTTTTCTTACACCCTCCAAATGTCCATTCTCATCATGACCTATGAACCTCTAAAAGCACGAATCAAGTGTTTCAAGGCGATGATAAAAGGCGATGGAGCAGGGTAAGCCTCAAATCGATTCAGGAGCGCGCTCGGCGAGATAACATTTTGTTCAATTTTTTTTTTAGCAGTTGTTTACTTATGCGTTCCCACGAATCGATTTCACGTCCGCGCTTGAGACTGTTATGACTGCAAATAGGTTTGCATATACCATCGAAATTGGCAAAATACAATGCTGGAAATCTGAGTGGGATAATGGGGTTTGCTCGGCGTTCAAGCAAGCCCCCGTACATTTCAAAACTCTCCGCCGGCCGCTTCTCGCTGATCAAACTCGGTCCGAAACTCTATGGAAAAAATATGTCTGAAAGGAAAAGCGTTACTTTTTCCTTCTTGCTTATCTGGGGTACTTGACTCAAAGTTTTCATCTTTTTTCCGTGGTATACATTAAAGCCGCTGGTGCAAGCTTTCCACAGTCAACCCAGGTTACATTTTAGTTTTTCCAGTCTACCAAGAAGAACAGAAATTTTTTATAGTTTTCTAGATTCAGTAAGTTCTGTAAAGGGAAATTTAATCAACAATTTCAGTGGCGCTGAAATGTAACCTGAGATGCTTAGTTTGGGAAGTCACATCAGCACCAACAAATAGAAACTCCGGTTTGGACGTATAAAGCTTAAAGAACAAACTTTTAATAAATTCAGCCTAATGTACGGCGAAACTTTGAAAGATTAGAGTTTCGAATCCTCACAGAAGGAGTCATATTTCTAAGTCGTATTACGCTTGCGACGAATGTTTTTACTCTTTTCTTTATAACTGTGGATTATTTAAACGTCTTCGTGCATAGTTCAGTTAAGCAGTTCCTCTGTTACTGAGCACGGCATAGCGGTAATTTATTGGACTGACAATCTATTTTCGTGAAAATTAAATGAATAGAAACGATCCATGAGTCGATAACTCATGAGTAAAAAAGCGAAAAAAAATGGTTTTCGAGAAAGCTGTGTTGACGCGACCCACTCCTATCGGATAAATCGTAGATGATCAGTTAAAGAGGACAAACTAGCTAAGGATAGTTAGAAATGCAATTACAGTATTCTTGATCAATGTAATAAACCAAGTGCTTCGAGTTACGTAATAATAAAACCCGTTTTATGATTGCGCAAAGTTGGCTTGTTTCATGAATCAGTGATGATGTCAATTTTCTCGACGACGAGTTCAAAAAGAAACCTCCCTTTTATCTTTATTGTTGTAGCATTGCTACAGTATCGAAAATTTAGTATGAACCAAACAAGGCACTTAACAAAAACGTATATTTCTCTAAAAGAACCTATTGAAACTTTCATGTCAATTCAATTACCTTCACCTGAGAAATGAAGCGCTGTAAATATTTAAATTTACAAAAATTTGTTTAACTGAGGAACAACCGTTGAATTACATTTTCTTTGATAAAATACCTGAAAAGTTGTGAAATTACCCTTTGAGGGATTCTAATATTTTTGTTGGTAAAAATTTGTTTTAAAGAGCTAGTTTTTTTTTTCAAATATGGTAGTTTAAAATTTTCAGCAACACTTTGGAGAAACATGGCCTCTTCTCTCAACATAATGTTCTGATTCTTTTTATGGGTTCTCTTTAAATTATTTTTATGGTACAAAGGAACTCTTCCGTAAAATTCCGTACGTTTACATAAGATACACTCCAGTGTTTAAAATATTAATTTGTCCGCGGGCTATTTTGGTCTATGAAAAGGATGCAACATTAATAAGCCACATTAGATGTTAATCAAAATGTCTTAAAAAGCTTGTAGCTTTGGGGAAATATTTATTTTTTTGACAAAGCATGTCTTCATAAAGGCTAAATTAAAATTCTACTTACCCGTAAAAAAAATATTATCAAGAATAAGTAACAGTTACAAATAGTTTAAGTTTATGTCTTGCTGGTAGCTTTTCAACTGAATTTTCTATTTCGGGGAAATCCACTTCTTGGATGTTAATCGAAGAATTTTTCTAAAACTTTTGGCTTGCAAAACTTTCCTTTTTCTATTCTTCTCTACGAATAGTCTAAATTATTAGCGATTTATAAACTTCGCACAAATTTTCGGTCAACATTTATTCAGTCCAACATGGAGTGCCTCATTTTCCGCGTTTTTGGTAGCCTACGTGCAGCTGCATTAGCGGCGAAACCCGCAAGATTCGAGCATGCGAGAGGTCTGTTAGGGGTCTGGCACGAAAACCAGATCGTGCCAAACCCCTCGCAGAACTCTCGTACACTCATATCACGGGTGCGCGGCGCCAATTGGAGCATGCTCGTCAGCTACGTTCGTTGTCGATGAATGCCTAAATTCGTGATGAGTTCTTTGATGTCGTGACAACTCGATTTAAGTCTGTCTGTATGCCAGAGGCATATAACCTAGAAGCTTATATGCTTCTGGTTAAACAGAATAACCGAAATAGCTCTATTGAAAGGTTATAACATATTAATTTGACGGATTTTTCTTGGCAAGTCTAAATTACACATCCATTAAAATTTCAATCCAAATCCTTCAAATCCTTCAAATCCTTCCTCCTGCTAAGGATTAATTCTTACACAAAGCCACTATCATTTCATCGACGGATCGATTGATTCCTTTGCTCTTATAAAATCTGCCGTACATCTTTTACAGTGGTCAGCTTTCTCAAGGTCAAGGTGCGATCCCAAGCGAGGGGTTTGGCGTCCATTTTGGTTGACAATAGAAACTACACAACTCAGTCTAAAGGATACAATGTGGTAGTTCTTGATCCGCTGTCAGGTACATTCTTCTAATTCACAAGACGAGCGATGTCCTTTAGTTTGATAAAACAGTTGCACCAAAGTGATTCATTGCTCAATGTTACCCTCCATGCACCATTCCGTTTTAGTCATTCCTTATAATTTTAGCTGTATAGGTTGGTTTCCGTTTTTTTCCTCATCATATCTGTGCTCATTGCTCACGTAAATCAAAAAGAAAAAGGATATAGCTGAAAGATCATAGATCTTTTTACTTAACGCAGTCGTTTGGCTGATATGGAAAAGCTCTCCGAATGAGGAGAATTAGATAAGACAGAGGGTTTATAGACACACGAAGATTATACGGGGATAGTCACCTTTTCACATATTCTACTTTTGACTTACGCTTTGGTCGGAAATTTTCAAGTGCAAGCGTTTTGCTTTTCCCTATTCAGGTCGTTTCCTCATCTCAGCTGCGTTTGATTGCGCAACGCACCAAGCTGAGTGCGACAAGCTAGGTGTGTTCCTGAAAGGCTTGCCTCAGGATGTTGTTGTGTTGCTGGCTGCACAAGGCCCCGCTGTTGTCACTGGTCACGTGCTTCCAACGAAGGAATTGAAAAAAGTAGGCGCCAATCATGCTGAAAATGTTTCTGCGCAAACTCGCCACGCAGTCATTGGATATAAAGGACAGATGAAGGGAGTGACGTGGATAAAGGAGATCTTGAGCGACAAAGGATCGGCCGAAGTATCATCAAGTATTCCAATCCGTTTTTCATACAAACCAGAAGGTAAAGGAATGACTGCCTTTTTTTTTTTTCGTGTTTAGGTGCAGGATGCTTTTGCGTAATTAACTGCACTTAGGCATATCTAGCCGTCCGTAGCCATACTAAGGAATCCCTAGCCATACTCAACCATAATTAAGGTGATTACTCCGAAAAAAATAAGTCATTAAAAACTTTGTCTGTTTCGAAAAATACAATAAAATGATTTGCATCTTGGAGGAACGGGCTTCGTGCACGCTTTTAGCTTTATATTTTTTCTCTTCGAAGAATTTTTTTGATTTCCCCAATTTAAAGGGGATAACCTGTACATAGAAATCATGTAAAAAAATTTATATATATATAAATATATATACATATATACATATAGGAAGTCTGCAAGTCGATTTTCGCGTGGAACAGTGCTCAATACGTTGAAGCAGAGCAGAATAAATATTATGAGAGGAAAAAAGGACGTAACTACATTTCCCGACAAGCCTGTTTCGTGAATCGCTTCACTCTTCAGGGGTTTATTCATTAAACCCCTGAAGAGTGAAGTGATTCACGATTCACGATTCTCTTCAGGGGTTTTTTCATTAAACCCCTGAAGAGTGAAGCGATTCACGAAACAGGCTTGTCGGGAAATGTAGTTACGTCCTTTTTTCCTCTCATATATACATATGTATATGTATATAGGTCACCGTGCTCGTTCTTCTTTACTTGTTCCAGGTAATTGATTGAAAAACAATACTGTGTTCTCGGAACATGGGCGCGCTTATTTGCCTGATTACGTGATTTTTATGCGAAGTAGAGGATGTGCCGTGTAATACCGAGGAATCTCCTTAATCATCCATGGCCATTCTTGGCTGTACTTGAGAATAACTAGTACCAGATCTCCATTCGAATACCTGTCCGGACCACTCTATGCGTGCCTACACCAATTAGTTACTCACTTTCGCCTCAAAGAACCGTTTCGTTCGTGGAAATGTAGAAGGGGGATACAACATCCCCTTCAGGAATACTCTTAACACTTCCTGCCGCCAGAGCGAGTGTTTTACTTTATAGTCGCTCAACACCATGAAATACGGATCAAACTGACTCAAGAAAAGACATAACCTGCCTAAGATTTGGAGTAGATGTTTAGGCAACTGTCAAACTGTTTAGTTTTATCATTCATTCACATTTCTTTCAAAGGAATCCCAAGTTTTATGTTTCATTCTCCGTTTTCTTTAGATTCTACATGTTGTACCCCGTTCAATGTGGCGTCCCAGAAGTATGGAGGCAGTTGTTTGAATCAGTCCTCCAGTTGGGGAGCCTTAGAGATTTGTCAACATGTCATTGATGGAAACATAAGTGTTGGCTGGAACTCGTCGTTCAAGAATGAAAGCATCGATAGCGTCAACTCTTCCATCACAATTGGTTTTCACTCAATCGTCGTCATCAATAAACTAAGAATAAGGCAAAACGCAACTACCAATCAACAAATCCAGGAAATTTTGTTGGAGTTTAGTGACAGTACCATGGAAAAGGTACTTCGATTAATCGACTATTTGTGTTTTTCGCTTTATTTAAAAACTCAAAATATCTCAGTTTCCCACGGACATGAGAAATGTTTTTGATAAATCTTCACTTGGATGAAGCTAACTTATTCATCTATACACAGCAGGTTGTTTTGTTTTTTAATTGTATTTTGCAGATTACACTGACAGAGAATCGGTCTGATTTTGAAGAGTTTTTCTTCACGTCACGTAAGGCAAGTTGGGCTAAGTTTACAATTACAAAAGTGAATGGTACCAGCGGAGGGGCCTGGATACAAGAAATTGAACTTTACGATGATAAGTGCGATCACAGTAAGTAACAAAAATAAGTTAAAAATTCCAAAATAGAAAGCAAACTAAGATAAGCAAGATCAATACCTGAAATTTAGAAAAAATCAATTTGTTTCCAAGGGTTTAAGGTGAATGAATTCATCCTATAACAAGTTTGCCTCTACCACCTTTGCATGTTCGCCAACGAACGTAAATCAAGTCCCCCCCCCACCACCTTGAATGATTTGGGGGGCGAACTGGTGAAGGTGAGGGCGAACTCGTTTACGTCAGAGGGCGAACTCGCAGAGGTGATCGGGGGCAAATAATTGGTACACCCAGACGAACCACCCTGCGATGTTTTGAGCCTTTGGCTGCGACAAGCAAACTTTTCTACACAGTGAGATAACAGTCAACCACAAAGTATAAGTTTGGTTGAATGGAAAAACAACCTAAATGGGAGGGAAACGAAAAAAAGATAACAAGGATGGTTCAAGCTGAAGAACATTGACACGAATTAGAAATGACCAACTTGTAAAAGTGTAAGTAACTCCTTAACCCTTTAACTCCCAAGATCTCATTAGTAATTCTCCTTACTGTCTGCCATACAATTCTTATGATGTCAATCTGGAGAATTTTGTATTGGATCAACTAATAGTCCCCTAATTGATATTTCATTTTATTCTCATCACTTCTATCCTTGATATTGTATTGATATTGTAAGGAGAAATTCTCTCTTAGTCACTGACGAAAATGACGTTGCAAATCAATTTTTCTCACACTTTTGTTCACAAGACTGACTTCTATTCTGAACTTGCTGCTTTACAACAAAAAGACATTGACTTAGCCCTAAAGAAAGCTGATGTGAGGTGATCCTCGCAAAAACGAAAACAAACTGATCCTGAGGAAATCGAAAACGAGGTGACCTTAACAAGGGCGAAATCGAATTTTAACTTAAAAATCTTTACAAAGTAATATTCTTAAAAGTCTACCATGTGCACGAAGAATTTTGTCCCAAATGAGCACGAAAACTTCTCACCAGGTTGTGAACGACGCCTGTCAATTAGTGCTTTTGTTCAACTTTTCTGTCAGAAACATTCTGTGACACCATACAGCTTTTGAACCACAGTCGATCGATTCACTACCGCTTGCAAAGTAACCAGTTGGCACTACTGATCGAAGCTGAGGCTGATGTTTCGGTGCTTCTCACAAGTGACTCACAAGACACTGATTATCAATACAAGATTAAGATTGGTTCAAACGGGAGTATCACTTTGAGTAGCAAGACCAACGAATGTGAACAACGGATCGAATTGAACGTTACTTTGTTGAAAGACAACGAAACACGGCCATTCTGGCTGGATATACAAACGGACCGGTTGGTTTTTGGTTCCGGAGAACAGGTATAATATAAAATACTGCATTTGCCATAGCCTCTTTTTAAAATGTCAGTGTTTGGGATAGAACGGGGCGAGCGAGAGAAAAAGAGACTGGGAAAAGGACACTTCTCTCGCTCGCTCTTCTCTCATCTCCACTGACCAAAAGCATGGCTCGGCTGACATTGATAGTTCCCTATCGGTAGAAAGAAACGAAGCAGAACAAACAAACATAAAAACAAATATCCTTCGTTTATCAGCAGCCATCTTCTCTTTTGCTTCATATAGATTTACCTATTCTGGAGAGAAGCAAAACTGATCAAGATCAAGTACGCTGTCTTTAACACAACAACTTCCCCAGCCTCGTTTCAGATCTGTCCAATCATGGGTTAGTACTGACATGAAATAACAACTAAAGTAAAGTTGAAAGTTACAGATCTTTGTAATTGCTGCTTTGGAAAAGCAATGCTTCTCGCCAATTCAACGGTTCTACTCTTTGTTACTCCTTTATTACGTTACTACTTCCCAATCAGTGGCGTATGTAACAGTTACGATTTCGCTTATTAAGTCGATAGCAGTGAAAGTGGATGATCAGATTTCTGGCTAGAATTGGTCAGGGGTGCCAAAAAATTTTAATTGACTATTCGTTAAATCAATCACGTCTCCGTCTGAATACTTCACAGACACATTTGATGGCGCTCTCTATAGTTAACCGCTATTAATTCACCGAAATGGAGATGAATGTTTATCTTGGCCTATTAAAAAAAAGTGAGATAATGTAGCTTAAAAAAGTTGCAATATTTTCGGGCACAAATCCTGCGCGAGTTGCTTGGAGGTTAATTGCAAAGGATATTGGACTTTGAGTTGCTAATTAGAGTGCGCCTTCAGCGCTATCCACTGTTTTAGTATATACTTAACTGTTATTACTCTCAATTTTCTGCCTTCAGGAGTCATTAAACGTCTCAATATCACCGTGAGATCTGAAGCACATCATACAGTTGGCAGGAATTTGCCAAATGGTTTGGCTTTCATTTGGGTTAACAATGAGAACTATGCTCCACAGAAAAAAGGGTACAATATTGCAGTTTTTGACGCCCTGTCAGGTTGGTGTAAAGTGTTGATCAGTCATGAAAAGAAGGCAAAAGATGATTCGTACATTAATAATATTCTCATCTTGAGAGTTGTCTGTTAAATCTCCAGCGATGTTTATAGCGGTGGCGGATCAACACAGAGGGAAGGGGAAATGGCAACTAGTCTCCTCTCCGCCCTATATTTAGACCAAACCCCAAGCTCGTAAGGGTAGAGTGCCAACCACGCTTTAACGTTAAGAACGTGTTTTCGTCTCGAGCAACTGGCTTTATTTCCAGTGGCATAGTGTCGTTTGACCTCTTTTGGCGGGCTTTCACATTTGACAATCATTTACCTTCCGAAACTGGAGGGTTGCCTTTGATAACACCGTGATTTTAAGGTCAAAACCACGTAACAAACTTTTCATTTGTCTCACACTGAAAATTGTAATTACTTCTTTCGTCAAATCAATTTTCAAGAACAGGCCCCCATTACTTCGCATCCAGACCCCTTGCCATAACGTGCTGTCCTTTGGTTTGCTCTTACTCTTGCTGGTGGTTACCAAAATGGATAATGGATAGGCTTAGTTTCTCTGTTTTACCACGCAGGTCGTTTCCTCACCTCAGCTGCGTTCAACTGCTTTACAAGCCAAGATGAGTGCGACAAGCTGGGTGTGTTCCTGAAGGGCTTACCTTCGGATGCTATAGTTTTGCTGGCAGTACAGGACTCTGCAGTCGGCTCTTACAAACTTCCAACGAGTGACCTAATCGGCATTGGTGCACAAAAAGCTAACTGCGTTGTTAGGCAAACTTCTCACGTTGTTATTGGATACAAAGGACAGAGAAGTGTGACGTGGATAAAGGAAAATTATAAAGAGAGCGGTGGAGAGCCGGCTGTAGTGTCATCAAGCATTCCAATTAGCTTTCTGTACCTACCAGAAGGTAAAAGAAAAACTCTGTTACTTTTAGGGTGGGGCGGGAGCTTTTTCTCTTTTTTTCTATTTTATACTCGCTTTTTTTTACCTTTTTAGGGACCAGTCATGATGTGATCCCCTGTAAGGCTCTGTATTTTAAATATGATCCCTCTTCATTGGAAGTTAACTAGCTGTAAATTTTCAATGGCGCTTTCTTTATACTCTCATGGCGACGACTGATTTCCCCCTCCCATTCCTCCCGAAAACCATGTGTGACCTACCCACCTCCCCCCCCTTAGAAAATCACCTTACCCCCCCAGGCTGTAAACGAGGGCTGGTACTTTATTTTGCGCCTTTTGGCCCGAGCAACATGGATAGTACTGTTATCTTCACTACTTTCTTTTGCAAAAGCTTTTTATCTCTATCCCTCTCAGATTCCACAACCTGTACTCCGTTCAACGTGGCCTCACAAAAGTATGGAGGCAGCTGTTTGAATCAGTCCTCGAGTAACGGAGCTTCGAATGGCTGCGAAAAAGTCCTTGATGAGAGCACAGCTATTGGCTGGAAGTCGTCTACGAATGAGAGCGTCAACTCCTTTTTCGAAATCGGTTTTCACTCCACTTTCATCATCAACAAGCTGCGAATTATGCAAAATACGACTTCAGGACGACGGATCCAAAACATTTTGTTGGAGTTTAGCGACCATTCAGTAGAAAATGTAAGGAACTATTTCTTTGACGAGCTGGGTCGCAATACTTGATGCTAACCGATCTAACTACGTTACTGGGGACTTAAAGTCATAGTTAAGGAAAATACATAAAATGAATAGACAAGCTTGATTGTCCAGTCTACATGTACAATATTTTTCATTCATTCGCACTGAAAGGTTCCTAAAACGACAGTACTCACAATGTATCTGTGGTAGGCGTGAACCAAACTTTGCTCAAAAATGTGAGAACTGTTTTAAATAGAGACCGGCCTTTGTGTTTTGCAACCTACATACATCTATACAAATAGATATGAAATTTTCCTTCGTTTAATTTTTCTTTTTTTCATTGTATACTGCAGATCAGCCTTAAAGAAAACTCATTTGATTTTGAGGAGTTTGTCTTCTCATTCCGCAAAGTAGACTGGGTTAGATTCACAATAATAGATGTGTATAATGGCAGCGGGGGAGTTGGAATACAGGAAATTGAATTCTACAATGGAATGTGCAAACAAAGTAAGTTGTTAAAGAAAGTTGCCGTTAATAGCAAGTAAGTACAGTTAACAAAGTAAATTGTTTTTGCAAATCAGACTATTGCCGGCAAGAATGTACAGGTTAGGTTAATGGCGGAATACAGGCGTGAAGAAATAAACAAACAAAATGTAAGAGGAACGAGCGAACTGCACATGTACTGATTGAATGAATGACTATAAAATCCAAATTACTTCATGACTGTCTGTCATTATTTAAATTATTTCTGACTATCTGTCTGTCTGTCTGACTGAGTGACTCACCTGACTGCCTGAATGAACGGACCAATGAATGAATGCGGAATAAATAAAAACAACGTCTATGAATAGCTTTAAAAGCATCAATATCCCTTTTTGTAAAGTTCTTGTATGTCTATTAATTGGAGCAAATGGTAACTCTCTTTTCTTTTATTGATATACCATTACTAGTCTAAAGGAACTTCACTTTGCTTATAACCAGGGCAAGCCTTCAGGAAGTCCTGTAATTTCTCTTTGTATTTCTTTTAGAAACAATTTGTGACGCCATCCAGCTCTTAAGCCACAGCCAATCAGTTCCCTACCGTCTACACTCCACTCAGTTCCCGCTGATGATCAGCTCAAGAGACAGTGTCTCAGTGTCACTCACAAGTACTTCACGCGTCGACAGCCATGGATATAAGATTGAAATTGTTGCCAATGGGAAAGTGATCTTGAAAAGTAACGATGACGAGATTAAACGAGTGATGAAATCCAACGTTACTCTGTTAAAAGAAAACGAAACACGGCTATTTTGGGTGGAGATACAAGCGGAACGATTGGTTTTTGGTTCCGGAGATAAGGTATGATAAGTTCTGATTGGCTGAATCAATTGTAGACGCATTTTGGTTCAACTTCCGATCTATTGAACAACAGACGCATAGATAACGACATTATTAGCAAAAATTTTCTTTTTTATCACACGAAACAAATAAATTCCGTGTTGCCGTAGGTCTGTACAGTAATACGTCTCAGAAGACGCCAAAATCTGGTGAGAACATTAGCTCCATGTGAGCCACTTTTTTGTTCTGACCACATTTTGAAGTTAACTGTGATCTATTACCGAACAGACACGCGGTAGCATGGAATCTATTTGTTGAATAGACAGTCTGCGTCAGTTTAGTGACCAGAAATATCTGCCAATCCTTTGATGAAGATTGTTACCATTCTTCCTCCCAAATTTCTTACTAATTGAACAGCTCACCTTAGAAAAATTTTAGTGGTCTCTGAGGCCTCGAATTTCTTTCACCCTGCACATAAATATACCCCCAAGAAAGCAAACACTTCACGTCACATTGTCGAGCTTTGACGATCTTGAATATGGAAGAACTTGCTATATATGAGATGTACCCCGTGAGACGCTATTTACGATGTAAAGGTTGATTTGAATAACTTTCGCATCAGCGATATTTGTATGTTTCAAACAGCACACTTTTTTTAGAAATCTCATATCATTAATTAAAGAAATATTGTCATGATAGATTTACCTGTTCTGGAGGGATGCGAAACCAATCAAGACAAAGTATGCTTTCTTCTCAACAACGAGTTCAACAGCCATGATCCAGGTCTGTGCACGTATAGGTAAGTAATTTTTTTTTATAAAATTCAGAGACAGTTACTTAAATCAGTAGTATTTATCATTAACACTTACAGTGGCACAGCACGGCTACTTTTACCGTAATTCATAATGAATCCACTAGATTCAACACTGAAAATCAGCGCTTAAGACCGAAGGAAGTAAAGGTGACAAGTAATGTAGATTAAATTTACTCTTCGTTTCCCCTTAAATCAGATTACTAAGTTTTGGGTGAGTGACTTCGGCCGGTGACACTGTCGCACTGTAACACAACAAAGACTTTTCCGGTGCAGAGGCATTACTTCGATAAATGGTAGCTAATTTCAAAGGGGGAACGCTGAGATACCTGTAGTGAGTTCAAGAGGCGCGGATTCCTTCACGACCCCTCACCAGCGCCTCATGTCCGTCTATCGCTCACTTGTCTGTGCTCCTGAAACGCTTAGCAGGCCACATTCCACGATTTCACTTGACGTATTTTTCAGATTATTGCTACAAAGACGCTTGTCATTATTGGCCATTGGACAAGTCCACATTTTATCAACAAGATTTGAAAGGTGACAAATCTCTGCCGGGAAAGATACACGGTCCGTGGATCCTACATTACTTACCTGCCAACCTAAGCTTCACACCGCTGGCACTTTCCCCCTCTGGCTCGCATTCTTGGATTGATCTTGGTTCCAAAAAAGAAAACGAAGAAAGCTGTCTTTTCAGCCCTTTGCATTGCCAGAACGGAATTTCTGTTAGCTTTAAAGCCAATCTTTCAGCAAACGGAATTGGTTACATTTTATCTTCAGGCGGGCAAAGCTCAGGTGGTTTTTCAATTTACCATGTCGATGATGTCATGCATTTTAATCTGCGTGATGGTCAGCGGATCTGGCAGGTCCAGGGATCGTATGAAAAGAACGCATGGCACGCATTTGTGATGAGCTGGAGTCAAGGAGACGGTCTAACCGCAGTTATTAGCGGAGAGTCAACCAGTGTGTTGCGTGACACAGCTGGAAGGATTTTCACGCCAAAGCAAGCCTCTCACTCTTCTTTGAGAATAGGTCCAGGAGTCCATGCAGATGTTGTGCTAAGAGATGTAGCCATATGGGAAGACGCAATTGCTGAGGAGAGGATGTCGACACTGCTCGGCTGTAACGGTGAGCGTACTAAGATCTTCATTCTACAAAATACATTTTTCTCTTCGCTATCTCTGTCACGCAATCTCATTTGATAGCGTTAGGGCCCTAACAGGCTGCAGTACATGAAAAAATGATATGAAAATGAAAAAATAGAGTGTATCTCGCTTTTTGGATGAAACTACATGTGAGTATTTTGGAGAACGGAGAAACATTATCGAGATGGCGAGTGGTAACGACACTACTGACACCCTTTTGGTCACGCAGACACTAATGCGAAACGGGATCCGAGGTAATGGGAAGGAACCCGAGGTTCGGGATCCCCGCGGGGAGGGATCTTTAAGGATCTTTATGGAAAATGGATAGTTGGTAAAGCACTTCACCGGTATCGCAGAGGTCATGGGTTCAAATCCCGTGCAGGCCTGAATTTTTTGAGGCCTTATTTTCACTACTGCCCATGTGATGTTCACTACTGCAAAGATCGCTATCAAATTCACGTCTTTATCCGCATTATATGACTTTCATGTATTCCCAGTCGTTTATTCACCACTTCACGGGTTTATGTGGTACCAAGATAATGACCAGCTCCCAAGTGACTTGTTTGCTCAGTTGGTAGAGCGCCGCATCGGTTTAGCAGAGGTCATGGATTCAAATCGCGTACAAGCCTGAATTTTTTTCAGGCCTTATTTTCACCACTGCTCAAGTAGTGTTCACTCCTGCGAAGATCACTATTATATTGACATGGATAGTTAATTTTTGCAGTTAAGAAGGCCTTATTGGGGCGATGGCTTTTACGGCTAATGATTGAAATTTTTGGCTAGTTTACGGCAAACGGTTAATATCTTTCCGTTGTGGTCACCTGAAAATGTTTTCACAGTTAACTTTTTTTTACAACTAACAGTAATAATTGCTCAATTTTTACGCCTAACAATTTTTTTTGGCCGTTTCACGGCTTACAGTTAACCCCATTGAAACCCTCGGTTTACTTAACTCAGATGCGCCAAGAAAACCCGTTTGCGAACTAGGTAGTTTAAAAAGCCGAATCAAAAATGCATCGTGAGGGAATAACTGTTTAATATGCAGGGAAGCGTGTTTCTATTAAAGCGCGCCCATCGAAAACTTCAGTTTGATTTTTTAAATTATTTTTTCGTTAATCACAGATCTCGAAAGTTGCAATCCAGGATGGCTCTATTTCGATGGCTCGTGCTACAAGATGACGGTTGAACAGCCGTACTTTTCTGGAGCTCGCGATTCATGCTTGAACAAAGGAGGAGAGTTAGTAAAGATTTCTTCGGAAGAGGAAAACAACTTTGTTAAAGATATGGCAAACAGTGAAGAACCATGGATCGGACTCCAGAAAGCAGACGATGGCAACTTCAGTTGGACTGACGGTTCTGGACTTTCTTTCAGCAAGTTGAAAGGATTGACAGAACCATCTGACCCATGTGTAAAGATGAACAGCAGTAGAGACTGGGTGACTACAAGTTGCTACGTTTCAAATTGGCCATATCGCAAATCCACTTGCGAACAAAGTAAGTTAAAGAAAAACTAAATTAAAAATTCTCATGTGTGAAAATAATTTTTGAATCACGAGAAAGCACGGTTTCGAGAGCGCCAAGCTAGCATACGGGACCTAGGACGACCAGACGCCTTTACTAAGTGATAAATAGAGACAAATATAATTAATTAAACGTGGTTTTCAACGCGCGTGAAAAGCACTCTTCACTTGTGTGGTATTTAAGAATCCTTCATAAGTCGGTAGTTCGTAATAAAATTGCTGCAGTTACAAACGCGAGTTCTTGCTAAATCCACGTCAATCGTTTCTTCTGAGAAAGTTATTTTTTCGATTTAGGGAAGAGAAAAAATTATGAGTCACCTAAGTCTTTGTTAAATAACTGTCTACCTTGCTAGGAAGCCTCGGCCACGAAGAAAAAGCCCACCACTGTAGTATACCCGCGCTTACTACGATTAAAACTAGGCGCCTAAGGAGTCCGTAAGTTATTCACGCAAAAAATGTATTATAACCAACAGGAAATTCTGATCCGGTGGTTTACATGTATCTTATTCAACTCCTTCTGAAGGGACGATGAAATAGATAGATAGAGAGACACCTTTATTTAAAAATAACCGATGGTGAAACTCAGGGTAGTCCTGTCAGAAGCCTAACGGTAGAGTTTCCTGCCATCACTAGGAGCCCTGAGTTTAAATATATTCTGAATACCAATTCATAAAAAGTATCTGTAAAAACATTTACAATATACGTGATCTAGTGATAGATGCAACATTTTTGATAAAATTGAAGATGTCTTTTATGTCAGAATTGTCACGGTAAGAATGCCACAGGGTGTTTTGTTTCAGCGCTGATTCGGTAACAGTTTATCTTAATTCCTTATCACAGTTCCTTGGAATTACTTGGGTTGCTATGAAGACAGTACGATTTTACCAAGGTTCGTTTTCAATCCAGGTGATTACCGAGTTAGCAGAATGACTCCTGGTCTTTGCATGCACTTGTGCGGCAATTTCAACTTCGATTATGCAGGATTGAGGGATGACAACATATGTCTGTGTTCCAATTCTACGGCAAACGTGACAGAACGTCCTCGAGATCTGTGCCTATCTGCGTGCCTTGGTGCTGGAAATCTTAAGTGCGGTGGAGGATCTTACCTATCCGTTTACAAGGCAGTCCAAGTGCAACATCTAACCTTAAACCTATCAGCTGATTCTTCCGCTGTGGCTCTCACCGCGTTCAACTTAAAAATAAAAATATTACCTTCTCTCTCAGAGAAGACAGACCAAATTGTTGAGTCTTACGTACTATTTGTGGGGGACGGTGTGGACTTTTTGAATTATAATGAGACGAAGTCTGAAGCTACGCTTATATTCAGTGACCCGGGAAACTACACCATTAAGGGGAGAGCGATTGTAAAACATACAAAAACTGGCCATCGGTCAGCGGTGGAGTCTTTCATGATAACACCAGCGGTGTCTAATGTTACGGATATCGCGTTCATCTGTCCTACGGCGTATCCTGTGAATTTTACGTTCAGCTGCTCTCTGCAATTTAGTCAAGGAACAAACGTGAACGCTACTATAGAGTTTGAAGGAGGATATTACAGATCTGGTTTTGTTCCGGGTAAGTTTTGCTACACTGATAATCTAGTGAATTTGTTGAACTGTTTGGAGACTACATTCATATGTACACTACATTCCACTTAATCAGTCAGTCAGTCAGTATGTCAGACAGTCAGTCAGTCAGTCAGTTGGTCGGTCAGTTAGTCAGTCCGTCAAATGAATAGAGGGGGTTCGTTTCTGAGGAAACTGTGGTGCTGGGTCAGTGGGGACCGAGTGAAACATGACAATTTAGTTTTATCAGTTCAACTGAGTTGATAATGCACACTGACCACCAAAAAAGTAACGTTTAGATTGTTAGCCATTCGTCAGAGCCGTCAGTCAGTCGGACAGTCAATCAGGCAGACAGGCAGGCACTCACTCTATTGAGCAGGAGGTAAACAGCAAAGAATCAGATATTCAGTCAGTAGGATAGAAAAACAGACTGTCATTCGGGCAGTCGGTCGTGCATGCTGGCAAGTAGACCGGCAGTGGACAGTGATTTTTTTTTTTTAGCGCAAGCAATATTTTTTTATGTATAGATGCCATGGTCATGACTGCGGGCATACCAGTTTCTGACCCAGGGGGCCAGGTTACTTCTGACGGACTGTACCTATTACCTACAACGGACGTCACAAACAAAGGAAAAGCTGTGGCTTTTGAAATGGATGTCGATCGAGGTGGCTTCCTAGAAATCAAGGTACCTATGAGTAGAAGTTTTTTCGCCTGAATATTCTAATTCTGTGTTTGAAGAAAAAGAAATCCCTGCAAAAATGTCTTCCGAAATCATTTATTTTAAATTTTTGTTTTAATACGTTTTTAAATTTATTTTCTTCATTCAAAAGTATCACAAAGTTGCCACTGTATAATAGAAAGAATTAAGTATTCATGATGCCACAAAACTGGCACACCTTCACCTCTTCACCTCCCCACCCCTCCCCCCTTCAGCTGTACCAATTCTTGACTAAAACCAGTTCTCTGAGTTTTTGTTCTTTCTGAGTTTTATTCTGGGTCGTAGAGCTGTGTATCTCTGGGTATCTGTGTTCTCATGTTTAATTTCGCCTGGATTTAACACTACGTGTCAGTGACACGAAGTACAAAATTTTAAACCTTTGTGACTTGGCTTTACAGAACATATCATATTTGGATTGTAAAATTGCATTAAATTGTTGCCAACACGTAAAGCCAATTTTTACAGTCCAGAACCTAGAATTGCTTGAATACTCAAAAGTGTTGTTTCTGTGAGCGTTTTCCATGGATTCGCGGAATAAAGACAACAGCTCTATTTTTAACTTGTGTGCCCTAGGTTTATCGCCCGAAGTGTTTAGATTCCAAGCAGCGTTACTGTCGAGTACAAAGGATGTGTGATTCCTCTGTTGGTTGCTGGGATGGTAATAAAACATTTAGCTTTGCAGGAACACAGTGCGTCAAGGAAGATGGGGCATTCAGCGAAAACAAAACGACGTCCCAAGCAAACTTTGATTACGAAAATATCTCAAATTGTACGATTCAGACAACCAGCGGCCATAAGGTTATTTTAGTCGAAAGTTGCACTCAGCAACTTGAGGTTGAAGAAGGCGATATCATTGCTGTGCAATTTCCTTCTTCTAAGCCAGGTGCGGCAATTAAAACAAGTTTGTCAAGTATTTCTCTTTTTTATAACACGTCGCTCTCAGGTGGTACCGAAATTCTTCGCAGTAATCGCCATCCGGTAACAGCTTCAAGTCCAACAGAACTTCGTCATGCGCCCGCAATAGCCATTTTATACACCGCATTGTCTGGGAGAAGCGTTGATCATCTATATCAGACACCCGGAAATAAATCAGTTTCTCTTACACTAAAGAATTCATACGGCAAGTTCAACTTTACAGCACAGATTTTTGTCCAAGAACCGATAAAAGGACTCGAGTTAAGCTCGCCTGACACTTTCGCATTGTTAGAACCCGTTAATATCACCGCTGATAAAACTAGTGGCACTGATTTAACATACTATTGGGAATTCAGCGACGGTGAAAAGAGCATGACGTTTTCTCCGTTTGTGACCCACAATTTTACGAGTATCGGAGAAGTGGATATCTTTGTCTTTGCGACAAACGATGTAAGCTTAGCTGCTTTTCGGTGTTCGGTTGATGTTCAGGAAAGAATTGAAGGCTTAAAATTTAGGAACAATTCCCTTTTGCCCGTTGAAAATGGAACACTAGTTAGCATTGACTGGCTTCTTCGTAAAGGATCACACGTCAACTTTAACTTCAGCATCACATCCAAGGAGTCTGGATACAAGTTTAACAAGTATTTTTATAACGCCAAGACCGTTAATACAATATTGTTCTCCGTTTATAAAACAAAATTCAGTATCCCTGACTTATACCTCATCACAATCATAGCTGCAAATAGGGTAAACAATTTGACTCTCAGAGGAAACTTGAGCGTAGAGCAAAATCTTACCAGTATTGAAATGAAATTTCCTCCTTTGGTAAAAACAAAACATGAATTTAAATTCGTCATGTCGCCCCACCAAGGATACAGGACAGCCACTTATACTCTGAATTTTACTGGAGGGATGGATTCCATGGATTCTAAGAAAATTAACACCTATCAAAAAAATTTATCACATGTGTACGAAAAGGCGGGAAACTACTCAGTCGTCTTAAGTGCTGTGAACGATATCAGTTCACTCGTTCAAGGCTACTCAAACATGATCGTTCAAGACGAGATAGAAAGTTTTTCTTTCAATGACCCAGCCGGTGATGTTATCATACAGAATAAGTCTGAAAGGGTAAACATAAACTGGTCGTTAATTCAAGGAACGGATGTAGAAATTGTTATTGACTACGGTGACGGTTACGACGAATCTTGGGTCATCCCAAATCCCATATTTTACACAAACACAACAACCTATGATTACAAGGAACCTGGAAAATATACCATCAGTTTCAAAGCCAAGAATCTTGTGAGTGAAAAGTCATTAAACAAGACAGTTTACGTTGATCCATATGAACTTGACATCAGGTGAGTACTTTAACTGTAGAGCAAGCAATGACGAATACAACCCCTGCTTAGTTCTTCAAATCAGGGTCAGAATCGAAATTTTCTAGGTAATCCCGCACATCATCATTCGGACGATTTAAACTGCCTTTACTTCCTCTTCGTCGAATAACTACTCGGATGTGAAATGAAAAAGTCTTCTTGTTGCTTTGATGTAAGGAGATTTAGACAGGATTATTCACCTATGCTCGTAGTTTGATACTAAAAGCGAGTAGAGAGTTACCTATTCTGTTTTCGGGGGTGGGGGTGTGTTTGGGAGCAATTTTTATCTGGGTGTCTTCGTAATCCCGCAATTACATTTCTTTGACTTGCTTCACGCTTAACTTGGTATTGTTCAGCTGAAGTCGCTCACCTTTCTCAACGTCTTGGTCACGCGCGTGTTTCCCCGCTTTTGAAATTTACATCTATTATCCAACGATTTCATGGGCTCTTTGTGATAATTAACTCTGTTATGATTGACCGTCATGATTAGTTTGTTTTTGGTTCTAAAAGCGACAACAACACAGAATCGAAAATACAAACTAAAGTTTAACGCCACTCTGGTACTCATTTCGAGATGGTTTACATGTAGTCAGAGGGTAAGTGTCAGTATCTGAGCAACTGCACACCTACCCCTCCCTTAACCCGAAAAAATTCGTCTAATAACAGTGTTAGTGTTATAGTCGAGATAGGGTAGGGATAGGTGCGCGACTGCTCAGATCAATGACCTTGAACCGAGTGAAAATAAATTTATTGAGCACAAAGTTATTATTCTTCCTTCGTTTCAGCTGTGTGCAATGTGGGAAGGAAGGAAACCCATATGTTGTCAACCCTTCCAGCAAAATAACGTTTAAAGGACATGGAGAAACCAAAGGAGGCAAATCGATCAAATTCAACTGGAAAGTAAAAAATTGTTCTGCAGACGGGAACGACTGCTCAGTGGCGATGGACTTGAAGGGTTATAACAGCACCCCATTGAATTGGAAATATTTTGTTATTAGACCCGACAAACTTCAAGGTAACCTACATAACTTGACATAAGAGGGCGTTACTAGGGATAACAACGAAACAGAATGAAAATAACTTAAGTTATTGTACCATTACAAAACGTACATTCTGGTGACATGATGTCGCAGCATGAGGCAACTCTACAAGCGCAATGTTATGTGAGGTTTCATGACTCATCTTAACCCTTTAGCTCCAGAAGTGATTGACATATTAATTCTCCCACTAATATCCATACACCACTTAGCAAACAGGTAATGAGAATACTCGAACTTATCAGGTAGAAGTTGTTATCTTGATTCAAAACCAAACTCTTGTAACTTATTCACAAACAAATATGTAGCAACTAGAGGGGAGAATTAGTATTTAGATCTTGGAAGTCAAAGGGTTAAAAGTGATGCGCTATATTACTAAAAATAGATTTGTCACCAGAGAGTGTCGCACAGACTCAGACAAATTTCAAACCAGGAACATTATCGCCATCACAGGTTAAAACCGTTAAAGATCGATGCAAAGCGCCCTCCATTCATATGCATTTTCCTTATCACAGACTTGTATGTCTGAGTCACGAGGGGAGGTCTGAAAACTCCTGACGTCTTAAGTGCGCTGCGCTATTTAAAGTAACGTCACGTAACCTGTTGGAGTATAACTTGACGTCACCCGACGTAAAAGAACGTCACACAGCGTTTCGTATGAAATTATAAAAATGTGCTTCTTCTTAAAGAAGTTTAGAGGGGACAACTTCCATATTTTGTTTTGTAGGTGGTGTAATATATAAGATCATCTTATTTGGAGAAGTTGACGGTGGAAAAAACCGATCAAAAGAAGTAACAGTCAGGGCGAACACACCTCCTTCAAAAGGGAATTGTACAGTCACGCCGACGGAGGGTCAAGCTCTGGAAACGCTTTTCAACTTGACCTGTAATGGATTCAGTGACACCGATAAACCAATATACTATGAATTTCTGTACTCCAAGAGTCCGAGAGACTTAAACCAAAGTTTAGGTAGTGGACCAGACCCTTGGCAGAATAATGTTATCCTTTCTAGTGGGGACAACATCACAATATACGCCAAAGTTTCGGACTCAGTAGGGGCTACCACAATCGTAACGTTCACATCAGCTGTTAAGGTAAGTGAACGCGTCGATATTTGATGCAAGCAATCCAGGTCATCCAAGGAAACAGTCATCACCTATCACCCGAGGGGTCGTAGGATTTACCTGATTTCCCTCCCCCCCCTCAATGGCAGTTAATTTTCTAAAGTACCCCCTTTTATACTCTGTTGGCGATGACTGGTCTCCCCTCCGTCCTCTCTAAAAACCATCTGATCCTCCCAAAATCCCCCCACACCCCCACCCTAGGCGATAGAGTGACTGGTCCCTAACTTTAAGCTAGCTCTGAATATATTGCTCTCTTGCTAAAAGGTCGGTAACTTAATCTGTAGGGATGCAACATTATTTGCGCATCTTGAACATTTTTGTCTTACTTTTGTGGGTTTATTATTTGCAATCTGCGGCAAGCTTCTCCATTCCTTGGTATATCATTATCTTTTTACTTTACTGTAATAGTATTTTCCGTCATCTTCAGGGTAATGGTTCATATGCCAAGGAAAATAAGTCTCCAAAAATCGTAAGGTAGCTCCCTTAAATTCTTTGGCATTGGCGTGAATTAAAAAAGATGATCTGAGTTCCCCGTGAGAACTCTTTCTAACCCTCTGGGTTGAGTTAGGCTCTCGGTTTTCAATGGCAATAATGCTAGCCAAAAACTGCAAGGGTCTTGGCAATAAACAGACAAATATTAGCAACCTTTTTCTCCAAAAACTGCCATTAACGACTCGCGCGTTTTTTTGCTTGTCTTCATTGAGCAAGTACCTAGAAGAAGGCCACTACCTTAGGAACCAAGGAAGTTTTTCTCTTTGGCGTAGGAATAATGTAATGAAGTAAGCGTCTTTAAACTAGGCCATTAGTATATGATTATTGGTGTTTATTGATGTTGTAGGTGAAAACACTGCCCGTAAGCTACGCAGACATGACAAAAAAAGCTGAGGGACTTCTGAATTCTACTAAAGGAGACATGAGGCGCACCACGTCTATTGCTCTCACCACTGCTGAGGTTTTGAACGAAAGGAGTACATCAACCCCAATTGATGAAAGCGAGGAGGAAAAAAAAGTGGAGGTAAACTTACGATAGGTTAAAACTTTTACACTGAAAAGGTTGACATTGGTGTAAATGCAGCCTCGTGTGAAGTTGAAGGTTTCATATAACACGTACCCTAAATAACAAAGAGTTCCAAGGAAAATATGACGTTTGAATGATGTATGATCGTTAGTCTCACTATACAGTCCTTACAATGTTGTTACACGGTGAGCAAAACGACTACACCCAATTACAAGCGTATTGGTCACGTTTTCCAGCTGCAATATTTTTTCACAATGTTGATAAAAAGCCTGTCAAGTGATATAAAATGTTTAAACGGCGCAGTTTCAGAACAGTTAAACAGTCGATAGCGTAATACAATATTTATCTGTGACTTGTTGGTTTGCAGAGCAGCCGCTCGGTGAGAACTGGATTATCTCACGCATTAGAAAGAAGACACGCGTACTGTGAGTCGTGTGCGTGTGGGTACTCACCTGGATTTACCCACGCGTGTACCCATGCATTTGTTCTGTCGGCGGCATAGTGAAAAACTCGTCTTGTGTGTCATGCGCGCGCGTGACCATTCCATCGTGTGCGCGTGAATTTTCGATCGCGTTTACACTTGCCTGTGGCTGCTAGGCAGGCTAGTTCGATGTTTATTAACTGCTCGTTTGTTTTACTCGACAGCTGAGAGAAAAACTTGTGGAATATGTGGAATCTAGCGTTAGAGCGACACTGAATACCAGCGTGTCGGATGTTAGACAAATTGCTGGCACTCTTACTGTGGTAACAAGCAAACCCGAACAAAACACAAATATTATGTTGGTAGGTGCTCGTGTTTGTGCTCTGTTTCTTTCACCTTTTTCATTAGCAATTCTCTTCATTGTCTGCCAAATGATTTTCGTTGTGTTAGTTTGGAGAATTTGGTATCGGATCAATTAGTAATTCCATAATTGATATTTTTCTTTATTCTCATCACCTGTCTGCATGAAATTGTATAGATGTAGTGAGGAGAAATTCTGTCTTGGTCACCCACGGGAGTTAAAGGATTAAGATTTAACTCAAGTCTCAGTTTTATTTTACTCCAGAACATAGGCTTCCTGAAAAAGGAACGATTAAAAATTGTACGTGCATCAAGAATTTAGTACAATGCTTCTTTTAAATGGAGGGAGAAATGAAAAGAAAAAGAGACGATAAACTTTGGAGCTGGGGCAAGAATCATTGCAAAACGTATCAGTGGCAAAACGCCAGGTCACGAAATTGAACCTGGGTCACAGCGCTGCGTGGAAAGTGCGAAATTTTTTCAGGACATTACTCTTCCCTATCATACAACGATTATGAGCTGAACAATAGTAGCACGGTTGTCCAATCACAGTAAGGCTATTCTCTCAAAACGGATTGTGTTAAGCAATGATTGTGTAGCGGGAAATGCAGCTGGTATAGAAGCCTGAGTTTAACTAACACTAACTTACACTAAACTGTCGTGTTGACGTTTTTGTTTTGTATATGGTAAAGCCCTATCTCTGTTGTGTCGTCTTAAACAGGAGAAACTCTCCGACCTCTATGATAACGCAAGTAAAACAATCTTCGAAATTGCTATCCACAAAAGGGAACCTAGCGAGAAATTAAAAGAGGCATCGGCAGCAGTGCTGAACGGAGCCGTTAATCTCATCAGAACGGTGAACTTCACTCGCGGAGGTGAAAAGGTAAGATATGCATTTGGTTCAGTTGAAAATCGTTGTGATGATGCGTGATGCAATGCAAGTACATTTTGCGGAAGAGAATAACAATTAATAATTTATTACTTATATAGCGCAAAATACATGTGGATATGATCTAATGCGCTAAGAGAGAAAAGACGACTGAACGGATTAAATTAGAAGTCGCCGCCACTCTTCGCTGGGATTTTTGTCGCGGAAACGATTTTTGGTGTGAAATTGATAATTTCTGTGAAATTCTTTTTCCTCAACGAAATTTGTGCAATAATCACCGTGATAAGGTGTCTAGGTACGAGGGCGCGAGAGCTTTTTGCGATTTATGTCTACGAGGCAAGCCGATTGGATGGAGCGTTGGTTGGAGTCATCGTAAGTTGTTTCGGTAATCGACGACTTTGTACTGTAACAGTACTTTCCTCGAGAATAAAGTGTCTATCTTACCCAAGCACAAGGCAGCAGCGTGACCCAGTCCCCAGCTAGGGGTTGTATCCGCACCTTTCGATCTGGAGTCCCGCGCGCTGAGCATCAGACTTCCAAAGTCTCACAGACTTTTTATGTAGAAGTTAATTTAAGCGTCACTTTGAAAAGGTTTTGTTTCGTTTCATAAGCTGTCGTCTAAGATAGCACTATGTTTTTTAGTTGCCGTTTGAAGACTCAAACACAACAGAAAAAAATACAACAGAGAGAGTCATCAGAACGCTTGATAGACTGTCGCAAGCTCTTGTAATTTCAATGGTCGATGGAGAGGAACCAACGACTATCGACAATGAAGTTCTCTCAATGGGACTTTCACTTGAAGGTGCTGAGTTTATCGGCAAGAAGCCCTACAAAGTTGGTGACAGTGAAGTGAAGATTCCAGAAGGCTCAATTGAGCTAGGAGATGAAATCCTCAATCAAGTGGTATGTTGAGTTTGATATGGTAACTAAACCCTCCAAAGGTTTAAATAGTTAGAGAACAAATTCGTATATTCCTTCGATTTGTTTTTCTTAGAGCATACTTTCTGCGATAAAACTGTTCCCCGAGGGAAACGACTCTGGCCGCCTAAATGACAGCAAGTTCGTACGCTTTTCATTGTTCGAGGTAAATACTGCCGACAACAGTCGCAAAGCTGAGCATGAAGTGAAAAATCTGACGACTGGGAACGAAATCAGTGTCATAATCCCGCTAACTCGTACGCAATTGAACAGAAGTTTATATTGGGCTGAGAGGAAGCTGGTTCTGTCTCAATACAGTGCGTATTCGTTTGAAATTAAAGACAATATTTCTACCGTCACGTTTGAAGTTACAACGGAGGCTCCTGTCGATGTCGAGATATTTGTCACCATAGGCCGTGAACCTAACACATCCCAGCATTTGTTCAACTTCAGCGCTAACTTCTTGGCTGAGAATTACCTTTTACAAAACAAGGTGGCAAATTTGTCGAATTCAACTCTTCAGTCATATTCCCACAGATTACTTTTGGCTGATGATGTCGTAAATTTCACAGTTGCTGGAAGATACTTCGCCAAGATCATCTTCAAGAAGCCCAGCAATCTCACATGGCTCTCTGACGAAATATTCACTGAAAAAATGCATTATAACATCTCTGTTTATCGATCTTGGTGTATGTTCTTCGACGAGGGAAATAATTCCTTGTCAACAGAGGGAGTCAAGGTAAACAAACTTGGACATTTTTACTGAAGGGGGAAGACCAGTCAACCAGTCGTTATGCATCACCTTTTGGGGGGGGGGGGGGACGTTGACGGATCCACATGGTTTTCAACGGGGATTAGTCGTTGGCAACAGAGTTTAAAGGGAAAGATAACAGTGACATAAGTCCACGATTAGGGATGCAGCCTCAGTTTGAGATATTCCAGACAGAGTCGTCATACATTGTTACAAATCCAATTTCAGGGAAGGAAGAGATATTCAGGGTTAAAAAGTAGTCTCACACTTAAGAGTGTTCGCTTTTTACTCAGTCTTTTTACCTTAATTTTGAACGATGTTCTGATCAGTTCTGTGTTGTGAAATACGAGTTACAAGGAAAAATGATTGAAATCTGGGCAACCCGAGACGCCATCGGGAACTCTATGTACTTATCCATAAAGAGGGTCGTGAGACCATGACCGTGGCTTTATCAAGCTTGGGAAATTGCATTTTGGTTCCTCAATACAACTCATGCGGTGTTTCATGTTTTCTCTTTTTTGTGATAGGTGGGGCCGAAAACAAACCTCACTCACGTCGAATGCCTTGCCACGCACTTGACTACATTTGGAAGCGATTTCTTTGTGCCACCGAACAGATTGGACTTTAACGAGTTTAGTCTGCATGAACTGTTTCAGAGCCCTCACGCACTGATTGCAGTGTGTACAATTCTTGGTCTTTACTTTCTGTGTCTAACCGTTGTCATACGTGCCGATAAGAACGACGCATTAAAGGTAATCATTGTGTCCTAAGTTATGACAGAGCAATGTAACCATGAGCAAGAATAAGACTTTCTGCCTTGTTTTCTTGATTTCTTGAATCGTTGTTGATTTGGACTTGCTACCATAATAACTTTATTTTTTTACAAGAACATAGGATCTTTATATGATTTCAACGCTTACTTTTGTTTCTCTCTGTCTTCTTATCGAGGGTTGTGTTAGTTAGGAAAAAATCAGACTAAGGAAATTTCTCTACCTTGCACTCTCTTCTAACATGCAGAAAAACAGTTTGAGTGACTTAAGTCCTTAATTTTCAATACTAAGTTTAAATGTCAGTCGGATTTAATTTCCTTACCTATCAAAATATCTTATAATGTTATTTTTGCAGGCAGGAGTAACTCCACTCCTTGATAACGATTCTCGGGATACGTATTGTTACCAGATTCAAGTTCATACTGGTTTTATTCGCGGGGCTGGCACGAGTGCTGAAGTATCTATAGTTCTCACTGGCGCTTTGGGCGACAGCGAACCTCGACTTCTGAAAGATCCGAAAAGAAAAACTTTCAAGACAGGTTTGTTATCTCGCTTTGTTTGCCTTTTACAAATTATGGGAAACCCCTTCCCAGTTGGATTATGAACGAAGCCAGAAAAAAGAAGTTAAAATCAATAAGCAATGCGCGCGCATGATTTTTTACCATCACCATTAGCTATGCTTATACTAAGGGCATATACATATAAGGGTATGGTTTAGAGTGTGTCACAGAAGGGTAAGCTGGTTATACTGGCATATCATGTTACTTTGTCAAGTTACAGCAAAAAGGTATATTTTAAAAGAAGGGTTTTAAAAAGATAAAAATGGTTCATATACGTCAGTAGCGAGTCAAGGTTGAATTCTTCTCCTCGCTAGGAGCTGTCGATGCCTTTCTTTTAATCGTTCCCCAGTCGCTTGGAAACTTGAAACAGATTCGCGTGTGGCACAACAACGGTGGGACCTTTCCATCGTGGAATCTTCTGCGCATCATGATCCAAGACATACAAACTGATCAGAGGTGGTGGTTTGTTTGTGACAACTGGCTGGCGGTCGAGGAAGGTGACGGCAAAATTGAAAGGACTCTCATCCCTGCGTCTAAGAAGGAGCTGACTAAATTCAACGTCCTTTTCGCGTCTGAAGTAAGGAAGAATCTCACCGATGGCCATATTTGGTTCTCGGTCGTGGCTCGACCACCACTAAGCACTTTTACTCGAGTTCAACGCCTGACTTGTTGTTTGTCCATCTTACTGTGCACAATGCTCGCAAATGCCATGTTTTACGAAGTAGGCAAAAACGAGACGACAAAAAATGCCATCAAGATTATGGGCTTTAGTTTCTCGATCCAGTCAGTTTCGATAGGAATCATTAGCAGTTTGGTAGTGTTCCCAGTGAATCTCGTCATTGCCACAATATTTCGGAAAGCTAGGCCGAAGGAAAGTCGATACGAAGTGAAAACCGGCGCTGACGATACAGATGACGTTGATGTCGAGAAGGATGGAGAAAAGAAGAACGCTCCTGCAAGCAAAGGACTCCCGCATTGGTTTGTGTACGTAGCATACGGCCTTGCATTTCTATCCGTGACTACTTCGGGGACGTTTGTGATAATGTATGGAATGCAGTTTGGAGCTGAAAAATCTGTAGAGTGGCTCTCCTCGATGGCTGTTAGCTTCTTGCAAGATGTCTTGTTAACACAGCCAATCAAAGTCTTCATACTAGCGACACTTTTTGCTCTCCTAATCAAAGACCCGAAGAAGGCCGAAGATGATTCATACGCGGATATCAATGCTCTTGCAAAGGACGAGGAGTGGTTGCACACGGACATCACAGACCTTGCTCCTGAAATACAGAAGACAATGAAGAAGATAATTAGCGACAAGCCGCCAGAAGAGGCAAAGCTGGAGATTGCTCGTCAGCTCCGCTTGAAAGAGAAGCAGATGAGCTCCACTATCCAAGAAATTTCCTGGTATATCATCTTCTTGTTGGTTCTTCTCACCATAAGCTACACCAACAGGGACTTAGATACATCTCGGGTGACCCAATACATGAGGAATACCTTTGAAAGAGCAAGTTACAGTGGAAACCTAACTTACGACAAGGTAAGCCCGTGAACTGAGTTACATTCAATGTGACGGTAACCCTCACACGTATTATCTCTTCACTTCAAGGCATACGAGTACGCTCGTGTAACAGAGTCTCGAGTTAATTATCAAAGGGGGAGAAAATTAATTTAATCACTATTTCCTTTACAAGGTACACGAGATAAAGCATTACTGGAGATGGTTGAGTGAGACATTCATTCCTTCTATAAAGCCTAAAGTTCACTACGATAGTTCGACGCACTATCAAAAGGGCTATCTTGCAGACATTCCAACCGCCTTTCTTTTGGGTGTGGCGCGTCTAAGGCAGCTGAGAATTAAAAAAGGCAAGTCTTTTTTTTTGTTACTATTCATGGACCAGAGGAACTTCGTGAGAGGGCCACATAAAATGATTGTGAATAACATTCAAATAACAAGGAACGTCTTACGTTTTCAACGTGCATCCCATTGTATTACGAGAAGTAGGTGTAAACCAAAGACAACTTTTATCCCAGTCATTCCAAATGTTGTGCTTGAAATTCGAGTATTTCACCAGTCCCTTAATTGGCTTTGGTATTAATAAAGATTACAATGACTGTCTTTCTTAGATACCTGCGTATACAAACGCGTTTCACGCGACATAACCGAGTGCAACGACTTCTACAGCATAAAAGAAGAGGACGATGGCTGGTATTTACCAGGTTGGAAGGCCACACAAACCGCAGGAGCTCAATCTCAGTCCCTCTCTTCTCACAGGCAAGCTTCTCAGTTAAAAGATCCTTGGATCTATAGAAGCGGAGAGGAGCTGAAGACATTCCCATATTGGGGTTACAAAGGAACGTATAGCGGTGGAGGTATGACATGCGCATGTACTCGACAGATCCTTCTTTCTTTATTAACGAGTAGTGGAGGAACTGTTTGACAAGATAAGTTGAATAAAATCGTGAGATTTTCAGCGAGCGAGAACTACATACTTTAATTCAGAACCATTGAGCGAGGAGTGTGTAAACAATGAAATGCATAGACAAATCCACGCAAGACCTTACCATCTGTCACTGAAAGTTACGATCGAAAGAAATGGCATACCTGTGAATTCTTAAGTGCATTGCTTTTCCTTTAACTCTATCATGATAAGTTCAGTGCCAATTTCTACCACATGAAATTGTTTAATTATTTTTATGATAAGTTCAGTGCCAATTTTTTTATCGTAGTTATCTTGTATTTATTATGAGTTTAGACTATTTTTTAACACTAATTTTTTTAACCAGCGAAATAATCAAGGCGGCTTATTTTAAGGAATCTTGTATTGTGTTTAAAGCTGTCCTCAAATTGATTGAATTGACTTGTTCAATGTAATTCATTTGGAATTTGTATTTAAGTTAAAGTTTGTCTTGTTGTTGCAGGATATGTACAGAAATTTCCACAGAATCAGGATGTCAACAAATTGCGGAAGATAATAAGAGATCTTAGCTCACAAAATTGGTTGGACCGCTACACAAGAGCTGTCTTCTCTGAATTTGCCATTTACAACGCAAACACCAACTTGTTCTGTGTTGTCACTCTTCTGTTTGAACAGCTCCCAACGGGAAGTCTGTCTCCGTATCCTAACATTGTTACCCTTCGTCTCTTCAGGTACGTCGGAGGCGAAAAGGTCTTCGTGATAACATGCGAGGTTGTGTACTTTTTGTTCACTTTGTTTTTTGTGGTTAGAGAGGTCAAACTGGTGTTGAAAAAGGGAAGGGTACATCTGAAGAATCCGTGGAGCATTCTGGAAATCCTTGTTACTCTTCTTTCACTCTCTGCAGTGGGACTGTATTTCGCAAGGTTAAAACTCACCAAAGATGCGTTGAGGGATATGAAAAATGACCGAGCTGACTTCATCAGTTTCCATTACACAGCTTTCTTGGACGAGTGGCTCAAGTGTGTCATGGGCGTTATCGTATTCCTGTCATTCTTGAAAGTGTTCCGTCTCTTGCGGTTCAACCGGCGCATGTCGATGCTACAGCAAGTCCTCAAAAGGTCCTTCACCAAATTGATGTCATTCATGGTCATGTTTGCACTCGCGTTTGTAGCCTATGCTTTTCTTGCATGCTTGGTGTTTGGGCAAGAAATGAAAGCGTTCGGAACATTTTTGAGAAGTTGTACTTCTTTGATGGATACATTACTCGGCAAGTTCACATTAAAGGAATTGTCAACAGCCAATCGTATTCTTGGACCGATTTTCTTTTATACCTATACACTGACCATGTTGTTTGCTCTTCTGAACATTTTTATTTCCATCATCAACGATGCATTTGCTGAAGTTTGCAGCGATGTAGAGAAGCAGTCTAACGATTACGAAATACTCGACTTTATGGTTCATCGGCTGAAGGAGGTATTTGGCAGGACAGATGGCCACGCCGTTCCACCAGTCTACAGGGAGCGTAAGAGTAAACTGGAGACTAATTTAGATAAGATCGCCGATGATGCAGATAATGCAACTCACTTCATGAGGAACATAGCATTTGAGGATATGAGGGTGACGCGGTGGTTTCAATTGGAAAACTGCACAAAAAAGAAGAAAAATTTGATGCGGCTGCTAATGGAAGTGGATTGGGATTATCACGAGGACGAACTCTGTGATTCTATACCAGTGTTCGAGAGGTTCCTTGAGAAGTACAGCGAGGAGGAACTGGAGAGAATTCTGCAGCATTACCACCAAAAACGGATGGTGGAGGACATTGTCTTCGATAAACTCAATGCTACTGGTGAATTCGACAACTCATCCGATGACAGTAACAGTGCTAGCGATGACAGCAACGATAACAATAGCGGAATCGTCAGCAACGACGAAAAGATGTTTGATGACGAGATGCCTTTGGAGGACGAAGACGGTTGCAGAGAGGAATCGAGGATTACGAGGCCAACACTCAATGCTAGCCTTTACAGCACGGAAAGCCGTCAGCAATCAGGTCTTGGTACCAAATTTGAAACGATTGGAACTCGAAGTCCCTCCCCGTCAATTGTGGATTCAGAGACAGCAACTCTGCTTGCTGGTCTTGCCACAGTGATGAGTGGCAAAGAGCTTATAAAGGCATTGAAGGATGCGCAGAGGGAAGTAGAAGATCGCTGGGTTGGTGACCCTGAGTTAGCAACCAGTTTCGAGAAGCCTTTATCCTGTGATGATATCAGTTCACTGACGTTTGACTGCTAAAAAGGAAGCTCAGGTGAAGAGGACGACGGATGAGAGAGAACCGCAACAAACTGAATCAACGAATGGAAACTAATTGAATAGCCTTTAAAAGCAAAACAGTGAGGTATTTTAGTGGTTTTGGTCCGAAATCAAACCACCATTTGTATAGTTGAAAGTGTTTTAAGTCAGACTTTAGAGATGCCTATGTCGCGATGATATGTCGGCAGATTCTAATGAATTGTTAGATAAGCTTGTTAACACTTATGGAATTGTATTTCTTTAAGGTTTACAAATCCATAGAAAGTTTTTCATTTTATACATCAAATTTTAAGCGTTAATGTGAACGTAATTTTTTGATCCTCGGCGCTATTTGTTACTACTAGCTATACGATTAGGTGTGTACCATTTCAGTGTTAGTCGAGTAATGATCGATATCCAAAGAAAGAATTCTAATTTAACTCCGAAGCCGATACGCAAGAATGCTTTACAACTTTAATTATTCGAATGGTTTCTAAATACAGATGAGAACCTCCACATCTGTTTTTGTGGCTCAGTTGACACAAGCATGCAACTGGTGTCAGGGATGCCCAGAAATGTTTTTGCTGCAATACCTAAAATTGCATTTTAATTGTACAGATCAATTCGTCTTTTAACTTTTGTTGTGGAATAAAACACTTCCTTGATCAAGCCTAGTTTCGAGCGAGGCAGAGAGAGAACCAGTTTTTTCTCTTAAAAAGTAAAAATTTATTGCTGCAATGATTCCGCATAAGGTAGCAAGTTTATCGTGGTGGAGATGAGCAAGATATTTATAATGATGATATGAAGCTGAAAATATTAATTCTTAGTAACCGAGCGTGATACATATATCTTATCAGACGTTTTGGTGTGTAGTGTCGCTTAGTATTTTACAAGTTGTACCGTATTTTGACGACACGGCACAACTCGTAAAATTTCTCAGCGATACTACATTTTAAAATGTCCAATAAGTTATTTATTATCCAACTGCTTTTTTTCGTGCTACGTCTTTCTTCTCCGTCATTTCTTATAGAGCGGAAAAAGCAAAGCGGATAGAAACGCGTAGCGCGCGCACCCGACTGGCTAAACAGGTTTTTTACAATACAAAATAATGAACCGTCCAAATAACTGTCCAGTATCTCAGGATATTTGTACTATTCACGTGTTATTTGTACTCTACTTTGTGCAGTTGGATAATGAAAGGGAATATTGGCCTGAGGATTAATATCCTTCACTACGGCTCGAGCAAGGGAGGTAAATACGAAGTTTATTGTATGGTACTCCAATCAAACTTGTTTATTCTGAATTTTCTGGCTTCTGTGGAAACGGTCCATATGGCAAAACACGGATCAAGTAAGAGCCAATCAGAACACTCGGATTTACCTAAGGACTATCCGGCCATATGATAAACAATTTCATTGACAATTGAACACACATCAAAAACATTTGTTTAACAACAAAAAAAAGGAAATTACGAAACACTGAAGAGCGACAGTATCTTGAACACTAGACTTTTTTTTGTTAAGGTGGGTTAGAGGTCGAAAGGATGAGAAGAAGTGATGAAATCTGGACTGAATTCCAGCACATGTCATCTTGCAGATCTACCTCTGAAAATTTGTTTCGAGAGGCTTCCCTCAAACAAAAGTGTAACTTTCCTTTGAAATTGTTAGATGTAATTACTTGTCCGTTTACCTCACCTAAATTGTTGTTGCTCTTCGCCGAAATAACAACGATACACCACGTGATACAAACGTCATAATCATTTAGCTGTCAAGCTGTTAAGGAGCTCGGCTCATCTTTTATGGAAGAGCAGTAACCAGTAAAGTAATGCTATTTTTAAATTTAATGATACTAATAAACGACAAACAAGGTACATGGTTCAGGTGTTAGTGGTTCCTTTCCCCTACATGGGTTGAAAAATTACTTTACTCGGCATTACTCATTAACCAAGAGCCGAGCGAAAGGAATTCTTGTACAGTCCTACATTCCTGATTCCTTCAAATTGAAAATCCGTGCAGAAAAAAAGGCAGCAAATAAATTAACTTGCCGAGACAGTAAACGGAAAATGTGTTTAATGATTTGTGAAGTCAAGGGTAAATGTTGGTTACGTGTGAGTAATTTCTGATCTTCCGGTGGGGGTTGTCGTGACAAAGACTCTTGTCGGCGGTAGTAAGTTTTGACATCTATTGTTCCAAAAATGGTTGCGTTAATTAAGAGTGTTTAAGACGTCAATAAAGAGAAAAAAGAGAAAACGCGTTAAAAAAAATCATTCTGAAGGTGGTCAAAATCCAAAAGCAATTAGGAGAAGACAAATCTGAGATAAATACAGCAACTACGTGCTACTAGCCATTTCTGAGTCGTCAAGTGTCTGTTCCGGGTCACCGGCTGAGAAACAATAACAGAACAATATGGATTTTATTTAACGCCCCGTGACCATGTTAATGGTTGCGTAATGAATATTTATGCACGCGCAGTTAGGAAATTGCTTTATTCAGGGGTTATTGGAGTACTTCTTGACAAAAGATGTCAAAAGCTGTCTTGAATAGCAATCGGGACATTGAGATTCTCTGATCTTTGAGAGGATTTTTAGACGCAGCTAGAGGCGTAAACTCTACATGCAATTCTGGTGTATTTAAAAACCTCTTTAGTTCATCGGACGCATCTCTGGATCATACAAAATCGCCCTCTGGGCGCTCAAAGGTTCGAAAAGTTATCACTACAAGACGAGTGACATGTTCAAGACTCGTCGGAAAAATGCCCTTTTGGTTGCAGTGTTGCTCCTACTGACTCCCAGTTTTGTTGTAGCAACGTTATCTTCGTGTACAAGCAACTCTAACGCAGACATCTCATCACCATGTAAGTTTGCACCGGGAGTTCATTCTTATACCTCGTTAACTGTCCGTACTGAAGTCTTCCTGGAGACAACCTCTGGCTCCTCGCAGCATTTCTTTAATGTCTCTCAGACGTTTGACATTAAAGCAAATGGCAGATTAGTTCTTGATTATAACAAGGAAAGTGGCAGTAATCCTGGTGCGGGTGTGTTGACGAGTGGAAGCACCGGTAGATCTGGCGGGAGTTACGGAGGCAGAGCTGGCGCTGCCGCTGAAACACCGCTATCTACATCTCAGGCTGAATCATATGGTAGCGCTTTTGTCGTCACACAGCCTGGGAGTAATGGTGGCGGCGATCCAAATACACGCGGGAGAGGAGGAGGTTTCCTTAAGATATACGCTCGTAAGCTTGTCGTCGCTGGAACAGTGCAGGCTAATGGTCAGCGCGCTCAGCAGAATGACGGTGGAGGAAGTGGCGGTGGCATCTCTGTAGACTGCTTCGAAATCGACGGCAACGGAAGAATGGAAGCTTCTGGAGGGATGGGTAGCGGCGAAGGGGGTGGTGGAGGCGGTGGAAGGATTTCGGTGCAGTTTCAACACGGTTCCTTTTTAGGCCAAGCAAAGGCGTACGGAGGCAGGACGGGTAAGACAGAGAGTTTCATCTGCTTTATTTTCCGTGATCGAGCTTACGACTTCCGCTTTGACTGCGTTCCCTTTTGCTCCTTGAGACAAACCTGTGACATTTACATGACAGAAGACAGCAACAGCGACTTCTATTAAAAATCCCCTAAATTTGTTTACTTTCCCACAGATTATTTCCAAAAGTTTTCGCACATATCAAACCTCAATTTTTATCTGGCCCAACAAAAGTGTGATCGTAATAAACCACACTTGAATGATTCTGAAAGCCAAGCGTCTAGGCGAGGGAACATTAATCATTAGAGACAATAAACGATGGCTATCGGAGAGCACCCATTTGTCTGATAATTCGTGAAAAAATAGATGTTTTCGTGTTGGCGATTACATTTCCGTTGCATTCTCGGATAAAGCCTAGAAATTAGTGGAGAAATCAATATTTGATAAACGGAATATCATTCTTTTTTTCTGCCAATTTAAAGGAGTCGGATCACTTTCGCATTATAAACAAGGATATCATTAGTATTATAAGCGAGGATATTATTGACCATTTAATATCACTGATATCATTTAATGATCTTATCAATATAAGAGTGAGGTATTTTCTTGTGCAAGGCCTTGCAACAAGTCGATATGTATCTCAGTCTCATCGGCTTAATACGCCAATAAGATTTTTTTTGTCAATCAGTTGAAGAAATATCTAAACTTTGGCCTCATAAAGCAAAATCGCTTTGATCTCGATTCTTGGAAAATTCACTATAACTAATTAGCTGGCAACCGGGCACAGTCTTGATTGGACAAACTGCTCGCGGTGCAAAAATGTTTTCATTCGTCTCTTTTATGCAGGAGTTCCTCTTAAACTAGAACTCAATGCGATGTGTACATATTTTTAGAATTTCTTTTGGTATAACAACCTCGAGACCACCGAGTGCATTTCATCAACACAAATATGTAGAAGTAATTTCCTCATAATTACAATATTCTTATCAACACACAGAATAAGAGCTTGTCATTACAAAAATGTAGCAAAACACTTGAACTTTTTTCTCCCCCGGGCAAAAATCACAAAAACGATTGTTGTGTGCAGTCGTGCTCGTAGCATTTAAGTGTTTGTCAAACTATACGTGCGTCCAACATCGCGTCTGATAGCGTCACAGAAACCATTTCCGCTCCCACAATAAGGAACTTTGCTTTGTGGCACGTCTTAATTAAACATTAAGTTACGAAAACAGTTTCCCTTTTAATTCTTCTTCACTCACCCTAATTAAATTGATTATGACAAGGAATTTTGGATAGATGTCGAAACAATAGCTTAGGAATTTTTTCCGTTTTAGATCTCGGAAACAGAACAAATTACTCACGACAGGACTGCGAGATGAAATGAGGTCTGATACGTGAAAACTCTATCAGCTTGATGGAGTGGTCGGGAAATGCAGTGTCGTATCTATGAATTTTGGCTTAAGATTACACACGATCGCATGTTATCGAAAGTTTGCGCTGAGTGAAAGCTTGTGATTACAGACTTGAAATGTAACACTTAAATTTTTTACCCTCGGGCAAGATTTTTAAAATTTACGGTCGTTGTCGTTGTCGTTGCGTTTTTTCAACCACGGGCTTAACCTATCTAGATTTAATAGGCGTTTTTTCGAATCTCTGTTTCTTTTTTATGATACGTGCGTCCGAAATCGCATTATTTCGTGTTTCACTGCGTCAGGGGTTTGATTCTTTTATAACTCATTGACGTAATCGCTGAAATCAACAACAAAGAGGCCAACAACAACAATAAGAAAACGTCTTAGATTTTCCTTAAGCAACAATAAGAGCAGCAACGAGATGCTTGTTACACGCGCAGCAGATGAAATATCATGTAAAATTGGGTTTTTTGCTTGTACAGAGCGATAATTAAAGGAAAATCAAGAATGATGTGCTTCAAGGTTGAGACATATTTGCACGTTTGGGTCTTAAATTCATGAATGTGCACCAGGTTGTTCTTAGGCTTTTCCTAAATAACCGTGGTTGTCAGCAGAATCTATATTTCGGTCCCGATATTTTGTACACGAATCAGGGTATTTCCGGGTTAAAATGTTATCTATAATTTGGGCTTCCAGATTAAACAATATCGTTTGCAAAGTACGTGACCATTAGCTGCTGTTGTAAGTACTAAAAAAGCGCAAATCAACACTCCAAAGAACGTATTTGAAGGTTATAGTCTGCCTCGTTGGAATTTCACTTTTAAAATATTGACGTTGCCACAGCCGTATTTGACATTATTACCGCACCTCGTCGTGATCTGTGGAAATCGATCGCAGTTTTTGTCATTCATTCATTTATTTTTTCAGAAAATGAAGTTAAAGCGCAAGGTGTAGCTGCTGGTTCTCACTCTTTAACTGCTTCGTCAAGGAAGAGTGTGTCTGCACCTTACCCTTCACCCAATATAGTCTACGACCCCTCTAAAGGCCGATTAAATTACCAGGGGTCCCCTGGCGGATGGATGCCAGCGACCAATAATATTGGATCTGAGTGGCTCGAGGTAAAAATTTGTCTTGAGCTTGTTTCTCTTTGTTATTGTGTTTGCAATGTTAAAATTCGACCGAGACGAGAGACTGATAATTTTTTTTATCGCCTAGGGGGTGGGGGTTTAGATGAGCAAAGGCGAAGCGGGTGGCGAAGTCAAAGGCTTAGTGACGCATAAGAGGAAGAGGCGAAAAAAGATCCCCCTGGCCTCGCGCTTGCTGTTACGGGCATTTTTTGTGTCGATTACTTTGAACCTCGGTCACCATCCCGGCCAGAAAAGGGTCTTCAGGACTAATTATATTCTAAAATTTTGTGAACAGGTTCGGTTGTCTAAAGAGGCTTACATAACTGACGTGGCTACTCAAGGTCGACATAGCGGAAGTGAATATACCTCTTCATATACGTTGAAGTATCTTGATCCTTATATCAGTTCACCAGAGACTTGGAGAGATGTAAAGGTAAGAACTTTGTGTGTCCCAAAGCAAATACTCTGTGGCTCTTATAGCTATATAAAACGGTAAAAATTCGAGATAAAACTTTCGAAGTTTTCATGTAAGAAAAGAACTACAAATCCAAATGCAGCACTAATTTTTATTGGCACAGTAGGCAATGGACAATTAGTTCTTTACTGAGAAGAATTTTACAGTATGTGACATCAAGTCAGTAGGTAGATTTGTGTGTAGTCACGTTTCCGTCACACAATACTTAGCAGTGGGTACGTCACTTTTGTGCTGCTGCTTGTCAACCCGAACTTCCCGTTTAAAAGGTAGTTCTTTGTCGTTTAAATTTGTGCAACATCAATTGTTTTTATTTACGAATTTATATGTAATTCTATTCAAATAGAGAGTGAGCAGTTATGCTGTTATAGCTTGGCAAAGACAACGAACTGATGTTAAGTGTATTATTAAAATGTTCCTGTTTCTTGTGAATTAATTCTATCATCTTCATAAAAATTGGCGATTATTTTGATAATTTTTTTAGGAGAATGGTGAGGTAAAAACCTTTACAGGAAACTCGAACACAAATACAGTCAAGCAGAATGCTCTACCAACAGATGTATATACGAGAGCTATTCGATTTTATCCGAAGGCATTCAGCGGTGGAATCGCCCTCAGAGTTGAACTATATGGATATGCTGCAGGTTTGTAAACATATTTTGACATTATTGCTGAATGGAAATTACTTAGATGTGTCGATAGAGATGCTAATCCTTCCTTGGCTGTCAAATGTTATGAAATTCAGTCAATTAACGTCGTTTCATTTGCAAGGCTGCTCCGGTGCATGCGGAGCACGGTCTGTTTCCACAACTATTGAAGACCCAGTAGCAAATGATCAAGCGAGAAGAGGATAAAACGGCGACTTTTCCCTTTAAGGAAACTTTTGCAGCCCAAAACGCCGCTTTATCAACTCCTTGCCCGATTTTGGGTCTTACAGTTACCGAGTAAGGAAAGTAATGTAAAATTTTTGCGTCACACAACGCGTCACGCCAATTTCGGTTGGAATGACTGATGGGTTTTTGAATAGGGAGTGCTCTCTCTACTTGGCAAATGTGAAAAATTACTAAATATATTCATCTAGAGGCGAATGTGTATAACTTGCTGGGTGTCAGATGTATTTCAAAACTGTTATCGGGGTCTTAAAAATGCAATTCATGTTTGCATTATTACCATTCCGGCCGATCCTTAGCCAGCTAATGAATCCTTAACGCCGTTTTTTCTCTCTCCGAAATGTCTCCTGAAATTCTTGACCTCTTCCACGTATATGTCTAGGAAAGGGGTGCAAGGGGAACATAAATCAATTTAATTTGCCTAGCGACAAAAATTTACACTGTTGCTTTCATTGCAGATCTTGCCAGTAATCCTGGTTGCAGCTACGTGCTCCCTCAAGGTTAGTTTAATCATATCAGTTATCAATGAATCGCTACATTTGGTTGGTACCTCTGCAGTATACAATATTTATAAGGATGTGGTTAAACCTTAACATCCAGAAGTGATTAGCATGCAACTTCTTCCCATGATATCTATACATTATTCAGAAAACTGGTGGTGAGAATACTCGAACTTATCCGATAAAGGTTGTTATCTTGATATAACAACAAATTTCCGTAACTAGTTTACTAGGAAATCTCTAGTAGCTAGTGGGGAGAATTAACAATCAGATCCTGAGAGTTGAAGGGTGAAGTGGGGGAGAGGGGGCGAAATATGCCCTTGTGGTCTGAGTTCCCAAATATGTACTTCCTTCCTCTGCCCAAAGAAGGTTCACTTTCAGTGAAAGAAGGCGGCGTGAGTTTCCTACACCGATTACAGAACTCAGCGAGGAAAACCGTACACAATCCTGGATTACTTTTGACAGTCGATTAAAAATGGAACTAACATGCAGTTTTGTAACTCTTCAGATAACAATCCTGAACCCGGAGGACCGGGAACAGTTTACTTCGACGGCTACAAAAGCGGTTCCAGACATCGAGTGCTGAGTGTTGACAACCAGGGAAGGCGACCGAGGGTAAGTTTCAATAGCTTCTACCGCAAGAAACCAACGGAAACTGTTTTGGAGAAAAATGAAAAAGATCGAGAGAGACAAAACAAACCAAATCAAGCAAATAATGGACCAATCATTCTTTATCGCCTTAAAGGGGGGGGGGGAAGGGAGTTTGTAGGATCTTAGTTGTGTCACGATTAAACTTACCTGGATCAATATCAGTATCTGGGCAACTGCCCACCTACCCCTCCCCTAACCCAACAACAGTCAATTGATAACAAGTTAGGGTTAATGTTGGGTTAGGGGAGGGGTAGGTGGGCAGTTGCCCATATATTGATATTGATCCACTTACCTAATCCCCCAATAAAGCTCTGTTATTTTTGTGATTCCCCCCACATTGGCAGTGGTCAATTTTCTGTGGTCCCCCCCTTTTATGCTCTGCTGGCGACGACTGATCCGCCCCTCTCCCCACTCCCTAAAATCCATGTTGTAATACTCCATCCCCCGGAGATAAATAACGACAGGTCCCTAAAAACAAACGAAAAGAAATAATATAAAAAACACACTAATATATGCACATAATAAGCCATAGCAGTTGAAGGAGGTCTAAAAGCGTATTCGATCCCCCGTTCCCATAGAGAAAGAGATGAAACAAAATAAGCGAGATACCCCACATTCTAGCAGACCGTTAGTGAGGGACAGCTCCATTAGAAGACTGATTTCTCTGCTAGAAAAAGAAACTAGTACTGTTTCACTTTAATGGCCAGATGTCTCTTCTTGTTTCACCCTTAGTTATGGTTGTAACGGTGTAATATCTATCTCACGAAGTTTGCCAATATCTTTTTTATTGCGATATGTATTTTTTCATGATGTATTCCTTGTCCTCGAAGTTATGATTCATACAAAGAATGCTCATTAATAAGGCTGTATTTGCTTACTTACAGATCAACAGTTCATCAGATGTCAGCGTGTTCTTGCAAACAGGTAACCTAACTAATCTTTGTCATGGCCTCGTTGGTCTAGAATGTTATCACTTCGCCTGAGGTTATCATGACAGCAGTACCATATTATCAAATGCTCTACCAGTTGCAGCGACCAATGAAAACTTAATCAACGTAAAACGTAATCCCGTTTTCTTGATGACCAGGTGGGAGGTCGAGATAACCGGTTACTGCCCCAGCATTTTGAGTAATAGATGAGTAATCGATGTTATTGAGAGAGCGAAAAAGAAGACTGCATAAAGGAGGCAGTTTTGACCGAATGGGCGTGGTGAATAATGAATAACGCATTTATCAAGTGGGTAGAAGATTACACCAAAGAAAAGTTAAAAAGATTCACGAAACGCGGAATGGTTTCCTTTACTTTGTGCTCTCTCTCAGAGTGCAGTCGGTCGTGTGAAAAGGGCTTGCTTAGAAAAAGGCAGAGCGAGGATTTCTCAGGGGGGGGGGGGGGGAATTTAGGAATTTTCGCGCAACCTACATGATTATACCGGGGGTTATACCATGTGTATCAGTAAGCCCGTGTTCATGCGGTGACGAGGACCAGCAAGTGGATTATAAAGTGGGAATACATGTATGCCATACAGATTCTTCAGATTTGTGCGTTTTCAAAAACCTTAAGTAAAAGATGCTAGCTGAATCCCCCGCTGGTAAAAAAGGCCCATATCTCACGCCCTGTTGGTCAATCAGAACGTAAGGCTCACTTCATCGTGCTCGATCACGCAGCTAACCCCTGGATAAATTTAGCTCTCCGGTAAACTTCGTTCATTTTAGAATGAATACTAGCAGGGAAACTAGACGGAAACCGTCAGTGAAAGTTATAGAGATATGCTGGCTTCTAACAGGAGTAGACTGGTAGACACCTAACGGTATTCAGGGTGAGTTAGTCCAGACGGGCTTCCATGCTCACGAGAGACTAAGCTTATTTTAACAATTTTAATGAACAAAAAAGTGATTGCTCTACGTTAACTGGGTAATTTAATTCCTATGGTAGGTGCTGCGGCCTGGGTTACAGTCTCCGCTGACCATAAGATAGAGGAGGTGGAAATTTCAGGAGGAGCTCAACTTGTCATCGCAGGCTCAGCTAAAAACCTAACGGTCGACAGCATAACGGACGACAACACTGGGTACTTGTATCTACTGTCATCCATGCAACTGCAAATTAGCACACTTTTGTCACCTTGCACGCTGATATATCACGGAGCAGAGCTCATCTTATCCGACCTAGCACCAAACGTCTCTCTTGAACGCTCGGTTGATGTACATGGTACGCTTTCCACTCTTGGTGCCCCGAGTGTCTATGTGGGAGCGCAAAAGGGAGTGTTTACAATGCATCCAGGTTCTGGCCCAAGTTCGCTTAGCTTTGGAGAACTCATTATCGAATCTTCAGGTCATCTCCAGCTGTTGAACTACGATAAACAGTCTCCGGCCTCCTGTCGCTGGTCTGTGGCTCTAACATCCTCCAAATTCACCTTAAGCGATAATTCCAAAATGGACGTCGAATGTCCGTTTAATCTAACAGGCGATCAAATGAACATTGGGCTCAACTCTGCTCTGAAAATAAACGGTAACAGCTCAGTTTCGTACATTTCCATGAACGGTGTCTCTATACGTGGCACCTTTGATCCAGGAGTTCTTTCCCTTTTAGAAGGTTGGAAAACTCTCAGGATTGAAAGATACGGTGATATGAGCTTTTTCCCTCATGGTGACGTTAGAATAAACACATTTTACTCGAACGGGAACTTCCACGTAGAAGGAGTCGTTTACCTAAGAGGGAGAGATCCCGCGGTTACTCAATTAATCGAAGTTGACGAGTATGGAAGTGTGCAGTTTGACTTGCCCCTTAGTTCGAACTCTTTGGTGTTTGTGCACAACAACTCACACGAGTTTGGCTCCCATGGCAGACTGTCACTAAACGGAGTGTCCCTCGTTCATGCTGACATTGTTGTTGTTGATGGAACTTGGTTGCCAAACAAGTTGAAAATTGAACCAGGATGGAAAGAACTGACTGTGGAACACGGAGGTAAATTTCACTTTGACCCGGTTGGTATTTTTCAGCTCAACAAGTTTCTCCTTGACGGCGATGTCAAGTCTTTAAATGTGGTAAAAATGGAAGGTTTATCCCAGCAGAAAGTCCAACAATGCGAAGTTGGATTCCATGGTACAGTACTTATCGATTCAGCTGACCTTACAACAATTCTCTGCGAGTATGTCCTACTGTCAGGAACCCTGCGGGTCGGGAACTTGTCAATAGGCTCGGTATGGAATGATCTACACGTAAATGGCACAAATGGAAAATTCTATTTCGAGACCTCAGAGCCCCTGAACATCAATCAGATACGGGTCAGCGGATTAATCGACACCGGATCAGCGATCGGTCCAAGTGCCCCGCTAATTAGCGACAATTTCACCATCGAATCAGCAGGAGAAGTAAACATTCACTTTCAAGCCCAACCTTCCATAACTGTCGATGGTGCCATCAATTCTACTTTGTACGTGACCACTTTGGAAGTAAACGGTCTTTTCAAGCTTGGCTCGCTGTACCTCATTACTGATAACCTTAGCGTTGGATCATCGGGGCGCATTTCTGTGAACGGTGGCGGTGCTCAAGGAGGAATGGGACCTGGAGCCGGTTCTCAGAAAGATGGCGGAGCCTCTGGGGCGAGTCACGGTGGACGAGGGGGACGTGGGTCGCAGACACTAGCTCAGCAGCTGATCTATGGTGACATTTTCTCACCAGGAGGGTGGGGAAGTGGAGGTGGTAATGGCAGTGGGAACAGTGGCGGAGGACGAGGAGGTGGAGTGATATTTCTTCAAATCAACCAGACATTTGATGTCAACGGCGTGATCCAGATGAATGGACTTCCTGGACAGGTAAGCCGATTTAGGTTCTTTTCATTTACTCTACAAGTAAATTAACCTTGCCAATCACTTCTCCTTCGTAAACCTAAGGGTTTCAACAAATTAAAGTTTGTTTTACGTGGCATTTCATTGGACCAAACAAGACTTTTAAATTGCAAAGAAAACAGCAATTTACTTGATGTCAACGTTTTTTAACATATCAAACAGTTTTGTGTCTTCATTCGTGGTCAGCCTATGTAGTTTCGTTACGGAATATTAGCTGATATGAGTGATATAAAACATTGTGTGATGTAAGTTGAATACTAAAGAGATGTTCTTGGACCATTGTCAATGAACATTCTTCCCTTCTATCTTTTAGACTTCCACGAGTGGCGGCGGAAGTGGTGGGTCTCTGTGGGCAACTTGTCAACAATTTACCGGAAGCGGTAAAATCGAGGCCAAAGGGGGTAATGGAAACACTTATGGCGGTGGTGGTGCTGGGGGAAGAATCACGGTAAATTACGTCACTGGTGGTTTCCATAGCGACGGTACGGATGCCTCTGGGGGACAGGCTGGTTCTGGGAGTAATGTTGAACACGGAGGACCTGGAGTCATATACTTGGATGGGAAATCATCCATTATAAAAAACCTGCGCATTGACAACAAAGGACTAAAGCCACTGGTGAGAGCTTCCTTTTATTTTTTCAATACCTGAAAATTTCTAAAAGTTGTATTTTAGCTCTTATCCCGAGGAAAGGCGAGAAGATAGATATTCCAAATACTTCAAAATGTTTCAAAATTAAAGAAATCAATTATCATTTGGAGCTTTTTAGTTATTCTCTCCTAGGAACTGCTGGTTTTATAATGTTCAAGACGTAAAAATGAATACTCAATCCAGAATAAGATTGGTATTTTCGCAAAATGTCTGGAATTCGAATACTACCGGGTCAGCGCTACATAAAGACGTGGCTGTCAGTTTTACAACGGGAAAGTGGCCTTTGATCGTACTTTGTAGTCTTGACTGTGTGATCAGTAGTGATGTCTAAAACAATCCATCTCTCTTCACCGAGAATAGCAATGTCTTAAGAAGGTTTTTATTTTCTTTTACTTTTCCTTTGCGTTGCAGACTTCACTTTCGGGAGATTACAGTACATTCATATATTCAGGTTTGTTACTTGCTTATTTCATTATGAATATTTCTCAAGTCACCGTCTAGGTTGAAACGAAGTCAACTGAAAGATGGTTTTTCGTACAAGTAAATTGATTTTAAAACTAAATATCTATCTAAATTTCGAGGGATGAGACCACAAAAGTATAAATGTATTTTAAAGTCGGAAGTCGAGATATCTTACTTAAAATTCTATGATCTTTGAAATGTTATTTCCATTAGGTGCTGTCGCTTATCTCAACCCACCTTCGGATAATTTTGTTTATGATTTTACGCTGGTTGAAGTCTATGGCGGGGGCCAGCTGGTTTTCCCGCGCGCGGGAACTGAAGTGCGCGTCGATACCATAAATGGAGATGACACCGGATACATACATGTGCCTCCTTTTAACACCCTAAACGTGACGGGAACGTCGGAATATAGACGCATCAACGTCACTTGGGCGCCATTTATTTATGAAGACGCGACGTTTGTTTTACCAAACGGAACTGTCGAAATCCGAAAGGCCGAAAGTTTACTTTATCCGAATATAGAACGAAGCTCCCACATAAGCTTTTGGGGAAGTGTGTTGGGGTTTAAAGCACATCTTATGGTGGCCTACGGAGCAACGGTTTCCTTTGAGAACTCCTGTCCACGTAATTTAAATTTTGTCGGAATAACCGTGCAGAAGACCAGTCGGCTTTTGTTTAAGAGCAATATGTCAGTCGAGGCCGATGGCTGGACCGTAGAGGTTGCAAAAGATAATGGACCAGTGTATCGTGATGGTATTGTGACTATAGAGGGTGATGGATTAATTGAAGCGCGAGCTTTGACAATTAAAGCTGCGTCACTGATAGTAGATCCACGAGGAAAATTGACACTTGATGGAAAGGGATACTTTGCTGGTAAGCTTTTAAGTTTTGAATCTGTTAGTTAAATAATCAGTTAGGAAGTCCATTAGTCAGTCAATGAGTCAGTGAGTCGGATAGCCAGCCAGCCAGCCAGCCAGCCAGCCAGCCGGCTCGACAGTTAGTTCCTTAATCAGGCTGTTTGTCTGGTCAGTAAGTAAGTGAGTGGGAAAGTCAGTCAGTCCGTTCATCCTTTCGTCCGTCAATTGGTCATTCAGTCATTCAATCAGTCAGTCAGTCATTCAGTCGGTCTGTCAGCTTTCCTGTCCGTCCGCTCGTTTTTCTATCTGTTTTTCGGTCTGAAGGGGGTAAGTTTCTAAAGAAACAGTGGTGCTGCGTCGGTTCGGTGGGAGAGTATAACAGGGTGATTTAATATGATCAACCGATTGGTAGCGTAAATTGAATACCGTAAAGAGTTTAAAAGCTCACGTTTCGAGCGGTAGCCCTTACATTCGCTCTAACGAAGGGCTAGCGCTCTAAACGTGAGCTTTGAAACTCTTTACGGTGGCCAATTTACGTTATCAACTCAGTTGATAATACTGAATTACCCTGTTATTCGGTCTGTCCCTGTTTTTTGTTTGTTTGTCGGTCTGTCTATCTGTATCTCTACCCGTCTGTCCGTTTGTTGTTCTGTCTGTCTATCTGTCTGTCAGTATGTTTGTCTGAATTTCCCTAAGTCTATTTGTCTGTTTGCTTGTTGGCCCTGTCAATCAGCCAGTCAATTAGTCAGTGTAATTAGTCAGTCAGCTTTTAGTGTTTGCAAATCAGATACTCTGACTAATCACACATCCCGAACTATAAAGGTTCTGGCTCTGGTTCCGGATCGTCAGACGGATCAGGAGCAGGTTATGGAGGCACTGGCGGAAACGGGAGAGTGACCACGACAACGGGTGTACCGTACGGTGATTACACCAATCCTCGACTTTTTGGAAGCGGTGGTGGACTGGGCTCAAATGCTGGCTTTGGAGGTGGAGCACTGCTGCTAAAGATAGTTGATACCTTAGTGGTGGAGGGTAAGTCGAAATAAACCTAGCATTCTGTTAACTTGCAGGATAACAAACGCTGAAAAACGGTTCCAGGGAGTTCCAGTGCTATCGATATTGTCACTCCAGGGGGTCCACCAGCTGTGAGCCACTAGGTTCAAAATGGGCGTTTGCTTTGCCGTTTGTATCCCTCTTTATGTATGACTATGATTTAAGTTGAAAATCGTTCATGGATGTTCTTGTCCCCAAGCTAACCTCATAAGTCATAGCGATCAACGTTACACTACGAAAGTTATTCTCTGTTAGGAACCATAACTGTAAGTGGAAGCCAGGGAGTAAGTTCTAACTCAGGTGGAGGCAGTGGAGGAAGTATCCTGATCCGTACTCGTGCCCTTGAAGGCTCAGGAGTCATAGCTGTCAACGGTGGCGCTGGTAATGGTAATGGGGGTGGTGGAGCAGGAGGAAGGATGGCTATCTACTGGCAGGACAGGGAATGGTGGCGCGGGTCCTTGACTGCATTCGGTGGTAGCTCTTCTCAAGGTGGAAATGGCGGAGCAGGCACAGTGTATCTTGTGGTAAGAAAAATTTTATATTCAGAGGGAACTATGTGTTGTTATCCTAAATACGTTCTTAAACTTACCTTGGTTTTTTTTGTCTCACATCAGGATACTCAACATGGTGTGAACAACAGGACTCTGATCTTCGATAATAATAACTTGAGTCCAAGTGCCATGGAGATATCAGATTATTCATCACCCTACACGAATGGTGGAAGAGCATGGATACTACCAATAGATCAGGAGTTTGAGCTGGAAGAGGTGCATATATTGAGGAAGGCTCACGTAGCTCTCCACCCTAACATAACCAGGTAACAGTAACAAAGTTTTTTTTTAATATTAATCGTTAAGATTTGGTCGTAAATTTCCTTCTTGGTTTCATTTTTCGGTTTTTACCTCTTTTACCTGGAGATAGGTAACTAGAAGAACCAAGTTGCAAAGCAGCGATCGACTTCCTGCTCCATTTTTTCGGGAATTTTTTCTGACAGTTAATGACAGTTTAACACGAAATGAATGGGTGTTGTTTCGCTTTTTGAGTCGAACTCAGTAACTGGGTATACAACTGTGCGTCATGCATTGGTTACGTGCATTTCCTCAAAGAGTAACATAGCAGATTTAGTTGAACTCAATATTAGGGGAAGTGTGACCGTGAGAATTGTGTTCAATTTTTTATGGGAAATCATCTTTTTTCACAGACCCCATGGATTGAAGGTTTACAGCTTTGTGGGTGATCGCACAGGAGTTCTTCACGTGGGTCCAAACCAGGTTGTGATTGGTCAGTTTGCTGATCACGAGTTGTTTGAAGTAAATGTCTTTGTTTACAGAGACGGACACTTCCACCTGCCACCAACTTTCGCGTGTTACGGTATCGATATCACTGTCAGGTTAGAGAATACAATAAAATACAAATTTCATTGGCCATTCATAAAGAGAAAGGTGTTTTACATTTCCAAATAAGTTGGTTTACAATGCTTGTTAAAAACAATATTTTAATAGATAGCAAGGGGTCCTGCAGAAACCACGGGGCTTAAAAAGAAAGTATTGGTGATAATCTTTCAACATGGTAACGATGGTTAAAAGAGATACATTGTATTAAGGTTTTTATATGGTATTCTATGGATGTGCGATTTGGTATTCAATCTCCATAAGCTTTACTGTCGCCATACCCTAAAATGAATACAGCCCATTCCAAAATAGAATGTCTTTTAATAGTTTGTGGCCCTAAATCTTTCCAAGTGCAGGTACTAACGTCCCCCTTTTACTGAAGCATTTAAGAGGAATGCCTCCTTTATTTCAGTTATTTTCATTAAGGCCTGAAATATTACATGCTTAACTCTTTAACCTGTGAGAGTGACGAACATCTAATTTCTCCTCACAACATCACCCTTAAATCAAACATTAAGGTCATGAGAATAAAGGAGATGATCATCACCTAAAGAAGCTCTTGATTGTTAAACAAATTCTCCTTGTCAGCACCCTAGGAAATGTCTCGGGAGTAGTATGGAGAATATGCATACTGATGTTAAGGAATAAGGGGTTAAGAAATAGATTCCATGTTACTATGCATCTGCGCAATAATAGATCACAGATGACGTCAAAATGTGGTAAGAACAAAAAGGTAGCTCACGAGACGCAGCCAAGTGTGTTACTGATGTTGTTACCACATTTTGACGTCATCTGTGATTTATTACTGAACAGACGTACAGCAACGTGCAATAAATTTATTTTATATAATTAAGAACAAGCCTCTGTAAGAATCAAACATCTTGGGAAATGAAAATTTTCAATCCCCCTTCAAATTTTGCATGCAGTTAGGCGCTCAGGGGGGGTGCACAAAAATACCCTTTTTAAAGGTTGCAGCACTCTTGTTGCCATGGTAACAACGACTGCTTGTTCGAGGCCTGGGGCCTCATTATCATACAAAAACGTCGCAAAAAAAGAGTTAAATGTTTATTTCTCTATCTCAAGCTAAATAAAACATTACAAATTGGCACTTCTACCATACATAGTGAAATCATTCGTCTTCACTTTAATACATTTAATTTTCCCTGGGAGTGAATGTGAACTCACCAATAGATTATTCATCTCGGTACAATTTCGGTCATTTTCGTTGTAGGGTAAAACAGCGAAAACGTTTATCTGAATTTCTCTAAAAGTACACCGATTCTGGAACTGAAACTACCCACCTAGCTTGTTATAATATTCTTGTTTTTAAATATGTAAAAATCTCTGCGGGCCTGCCTCTACTTTTTATAGGGGCGATTCGCGATAAAAAGCTCAAAATCAGATATTGCATAATTTGGCGATGTTTACATCTAAAGTTCTCAATAACAAACGTTTCAGGCAAATAAACGTGCGAGGCTTTGAAAGAAATGTTATCTTATGAGCAATATCCCGAAGAGAAATCTCACCTCTGGTTGTCATCTTTTAAAAAATATTGATCAACCTTCATGGAGGACAACTCGACATAACTACAAACATATACCTCAACTTGTGTGCATATCATCTAGATTCCGAGTGCTGCACTTTCTTTCATGAAAATTTGAGCAATCCGAAATCCTCTGAAGATATACTGTTATACTTGTATGTCATTTGAAACATGTCGAAGTCGGCTGATTTACACGAAACTATCCTCACACCGGTCATTTGTCATAAACATGTACGTTATCACGATGGCGTGACGTTGTATTTCTCCATGAAGTTTCCATCGGTCGCTCCAAAGAAGACGAGAAATGAATGTTTTTCATTGATGTCAGCAGATTTCCGCTTTCTGAAGTAAAAACAACCAAAAAAAAAAGGGGGAAACCTCGAACCTCTTCCATGAAGATTGATCAATTTTTTTTAAAGGTGACAACCAGAGGCGAGATTTCTCTTCGGGATATTGCTCATAAGATAACATTCTTTCAAAGCCTTGCATGTTTCATTTTTCTGAAACATTCGTTATTGAGAACTTTAGATGTAAACATCGCCAAATTATGCAATATCTTATTTTTGAGCTTCGTTCGCGAATTGCCCCAATAAAAAGTAGAGGCAGGCCCGCAGAGATTTTTACATATATTAAAACAAGAATATTATAACCAGCCAGGTGGGTAGTTTCAGTTCCTGAATCGGTGTACTTTTGGAGAAATTCAGATAAACGTTTTCCCTGTTTTAGCCGACAACAATAATGACCGAAACTGTTCCGAGATGAATAATCTATTGGTGAGTTCACATTCCCAGGGAAAATTGAATGAACTAATGTGAAGACAAATGATGTCACTATGTATGGTAGAAGTGCCAATTTGTAATGTTGTATTTAGCTTGAGATAGAGAAATAAACATTTCACTCTTTTTTTGCGACGTTTTTGCATGAAAATGAGGCCTTAGGCCACGAACAAGCAGCCGTTGTTACCATGGCAACAAGAGTGCTGCGACCTTTAAAAAGGGAGTTTTTGTGCATCTCCCCTGAGCGCCTAACTGCATGCAAAATTTGAAGGGGGTGGAAAATTTTCATTTCCCAAGATATTTGATTCTTACAAACTTGTTCGTAAGAAGCAAATATTGTCAATGATGACGTCATTTGTACGTCTATCCTCAAATAGATCAAAAATAAGGACCAATCAAAATGCGTGCGTAAGTTAGCTTAATAATGCATGCAGTCTTTACTTCAATTGAAAGACCGTAGAGATATCGCTGTTACTTTAATCTTTATTAAGATAAAAATACAAAACTTAACAACCGCACTTGCTTTGGAAAGCACTGCTTTTTCTTCGAACCTCTTAATGGTCATGTAGACTTTGTCTTCTCCTTCTTGCAGAGGTTACTTGGGCATTGAAGACATGACTATCGCCAAAAGCTGTCGACTCTTCCTGGCTCTAACAGGTTCTACAGAGCTGGCAAACAGTGAGGGAACTTACAGATACAATTCCCTGACGGTTGCTGATGGGGGAGAGGTGACATCAACATCAGATGTCGGAAACAACTCACTGACACTCGACGTGGATGATATCACAATTCAAGGAGGTGGAGTGCTTCACATGGTGCGCATGCGTATATTTGTTGGAAACTTCACTGTGGATGATCTGGGTCACTTAAGGGGTGACACGTTCGATAACAGGTTTGTTGAATGGGGCACTTCCATAGCTTCTGTGTCCTAACATAAGGAGTTTTCATAGTTCACCTGGATTTTGAGGACGTCGATAATTTATAAGAGGTTATTTGTTGTTTAAACTCGATCGTTCCCATAATATTCCTCTACTGTTTCTCACTATAACTTGTTCGGTGAGGTTTTCATGCAGCTCGTGTCAGAATGTATTGTTGAACGACATGCGTGAGACCGAGAGATTCGTCACAACAAGTTCTCAATGTGTTAAAGATTAGTTAGCTCAACGGCCCTTTTCATTTGAGATTTGGTTACAGAGGCATTAATTTCACTCAGTAGTGTTGATGATAAATTTATGGTTTTAATTACTCTACGGAAACTTCACTGAACGCTGTTTTCTTTCCATTTTAGCTGTACTAGCGGTGCAGGTGTCACAAATTCTAATGGTGGGTCTTCAGGTGCAGGGCATGGTGGAACTGGAGGCCTTGGAAGGTATGGAACACGTGTTGGAGTGGCATATGGTCACGTGTACGAACCTGAACACTTTGGATGTCGAGGCGGAGGCTCGGGGGGACTGGGTGGAGGGATAATTCGTATGTCTGTGAGAGGGACTTTGCAAATTGACGGAACAATTAGCTGCAACGGTGATAATGGTCAGCAGTCTCGATCTGGTGGAGGAAGTGGAGGAAGTATATGGATTGACACCATTCTGATGAAGGGATACGGTACAGTACAGGCTAATGGAGGTAGCGGCCATGTGGAAACAAGGTAAGAACCCTTCAGTGTTGCTTAACTGTGGGATGATTTTCTTTGAAGGGGACATAAAACATTGCCCTTTAAACCATCGTTACTTTTTTTAATCCAGTCACTTTGGTTCATAGACCAACCTGCAGTCTAGATTCCTTGGTTTCCTCAAATTATTTTGAACTGTGTTACCCAAAATAAGTTCAAATTGATTTGATGAGTGTTCTGTTTTACGACAGTGTTGATACATCTTCTCAAAAAGGAAACAGACAAACAAACAAACAAATCAATTCCAATTATCATTTTGACCTCAAATTCATTTTAAAAGTGAAAAATTAGCTTAAAACGCTTAGGGCGCATTCTTAAATAACTCACACAGGCTCTTTTAATTTCTATACGCTGTCAACCTTTATGCTGAAGTTTTAAGGTGAATTTCCAGGGTTATTGACAACTGTTAAAAATGCACTTTGTATCAATATTCAGTATAATTATTCTGTTTTTCAGCCATTCACTTCACGGCGGTGGGGGAGCAGGCGGACGGATAGCAGTATACTTCAGAAGTAACAGAACTTACAGTGGGGTTTTTGAATCCCTGGGAGGAGATTCTACCGGAGACGCTCTCCCTGGAGGAGCTGGCACTGTGTTCCTATATCACCTTATTCATAAACATCGCACTCTTCTGATAAGTAATGCCGGCAGAAAGGCGTTACCTACTGAACATTTGGTCATTAAAGACTATTCTGAGCCAGCCTTGATATCGGGAAAAACTTGGCTTCTACCAAGCTCTGGAGAACATAATTTTTCGCGCAATCAAAATTATTACTTTGAGGAATTGCAGATTTATGGTGCAGCTCACTTAGCTGTGTTAACCGAGCCTCATAACCGATCGGCGACGATTTATTTCCGAAATATGATCGGTGATCGCACTGGGACCATCCACGTTGGCTATAATCAGACCATGGATTTGATCCGACCGACTATTGATTTACCGTTTAATGTTCGTGTATACCGAGGCGGATTTCTAGGTCTTGCTCCAGCGACAGAAGTTCACGGAGTCGAGATTCACGTGGACGGTGTAATTTCGTACTTAAAGAACCTAACTTTGCATCATGGTGGCCTGTTAGCGTTGAATGAAAACTCACGCACTGGAAACGAGGCGACGGAAAATGATTTCAAGTTCGACTTTCTGCGTGTACAGTTTGAAGGAGTCATTCAGATGACGTCGTCACCTGTGACACACAACGGGATGAATTTGACCGTACGAGTGCTTCACATTGAGGGTGGTGGCAAAGTGGAAGGCAGTGATCTACGAATCCTAGCCGAGAACATAAGCATCAATACAGAAGGTCAGCTAACTGTCAGTGGTCGCGGATATAAGCACGAGGATGGAACCGGCGAGGGTGTTCATGGTAAAATTAACCGGGGACTTGGATCTGGAAGCAGCTCGGGAGCCTCTGGTGGAGGACACGGGGGAACTGGAGGAAGGGGAAAGCACACGTCTAAAGTAGGATTACCTTACGGAAACATGTACGAACCAATAGAATTTGGAAGTAGCGGGGGAGGAGTAAGCAAAAAGCAAGGTGAGCACAATTTGGTTTCAACTATGAGTACAAAGTCTACGTCATCTTTATGTCTATGGTGATCCGCAGTATTATGCTCACTTCCTGGCACTTAATTTAAACATCCCTTAATATCGAGTAAGGGATAGTAAAGAGGGATGTAGGAATGGTCACCTGAATTCTTCAAAATGTGAGAAGCATGAAAGAATGAACTACTCTTGAAGGTCAGGTGACACCTTTGAGAACCCCGAGAAGGTATCGCTGTATTGAGAATATCCCATTTTCTAGTGCCAATCCTATTAAGAATATAGCAACAATAAACTAAATTGATGAGAAAACGCTCGCTATTGCAAACAAAATACAACTTTTAAATGTGCTGGTTTTTTTAATGGCGACGGGCCATTAACGTTTGAAAATGGAACACCTGTAATCCTCATATGATGCTAGACAAAAGAAATAAAACTCAGCTCTCTTTTCTTTTTTCCAAGGTGTTGGAGGTGGAACAGTATTTTTAAACGTCACTAATCTCCTGGAAATCGACGGGGCCCTTTCTGCCGATGGTGGCGATGCTCTCCCCCAGGGAGGAGGGGGCAGCGGTGGTAGCGTATGGATCTACTGTTATATCATAAAAGGTTTCGGAAAGATCACTGCTAATGGAGGTTCATCTCCCTCCGATGGTTACGGAAATCACGGGGGCGGTGGAGCAGGTGGACGAGTCGCAGTTTACTTCATAAAGAATGACACCTTCTCCTACTTCAGGTAATATGAACTAAATATTGATCCACATGGAATCCAAGGGTGATAAGAGAAGTTACTTTGCTATCAACTAAACGTTCAAACAAGCTTTTATTGATAAACTGCAAGACTACCGATTGGTAATCAACTAACTGTTTTATCTTCCGTCGACTTATCCTGTTTTTTTTCGTCGGATGCGGATACTTTTGCTTAGAAGTCTTAGAAGGCTACAATGTTACTTTAAAATCGCTATAGCTTCATTCATTAACAGAAACACAGACCACTTGACCATGCGCTAAAAAGATTGCCAGCGATTTTGTGTCTTATCTGCAGATCTAGGATAGCCTTTCAGTTATGGTTGCAGCTTTTTCGATTTAAAACTACACGTTTTTGAAAGCAATTTCTTCTTGAAAGATTTGCTATATCCGATAGGACGAGCACTCTTTCTGTGAGCTTATTTTTGTTGATCAAACAGTAGGCCACCTTAGAGTTCTCGCGATTCAGTGATCTGGTGCCGAAATTACGGCGTGAGAACGAGGCTAAGTGCGAAGTCGCACAAAGAGTAAATGGCTGTGGTGGTGAAAATGAGCGAAAATTTCTCGAAATTCATCGTGTGAGAGTGAAAAACTAATTGTGGGAGAGAGGCATTGAGTGAATTGATGACGGTAGAGGGAAGAAAAAATCACAACTGTTCGATTTGTGAAAGAAAGGAGCAGCAATGAAGCTGATCAAGGTAGCCGCTTCTTCAAAGACCCAAAAGCTGTTGGAGGAGAAATAACAAACATGTGAAGGCAAATTTCTAATACCTAACATTTTGAATGCTTGTAACTTATGTGTTCTGCGTTCGCATGCAGCCTTGCCAAGCCTGGCCTCAGTTTCTTTTAAGTCATCATTCAACCGTTGCTTTTTTCCCTCACTGATTTGTAGCGAGGGCTTATTGTAATTTGCCAAACGATCCGAACTGAACGAATTGGAAATCGGTTATTTTCGAAATGAGCTCAAAATTTATAATCAGCAAAATGGAAAGCTGTAATTTGCGAAATGAAAATCTGTTATTTACGAAAGGAGAGTTCGTGCGGAAAACTCCACCGACCAGAACAATGAATCGGTCAGCCCGTCACTAGCGTGGGTTACAAACTCAACTCAGCATAAAATGTTATTGTTATTAACAACTTATCACCGAACTAAACTTTTTTGCCGATTTAATTTTATCTTCGAAGATATTTGTTGTAAAAAAGGGCGACGGCATAATATTACTGCCATGTTTTCCTGCTGAGGAGGATTGCGTGACGCTTCCAATTCAAGTAAAGTGTCTTGTTACATATTCAATTTATTCATCGTAAACGCTCAAGTGCATATTTCGTAAAGTACGCCCCGAAGATTTCACTTTCGCCTTTCCCCTAAAAGCTATCATTTGTTAGGTTACTTATTTAATCCAAACTGGATGTGAACTGATCGATTGGTGGCCATAAGTTTTATGCACCTCTTGTTTTGCAAATTATAGATTTCCATTTCGCAAACTATAGAATTACAGATTTACAGATTTTGAGTTCATTTCACAAATGACTCATTTCAATTTCGTTTCCTTTCGTTTCGCAAACTAAAGTAAGCCCTCGTTACGAATCAGCAAGAAATAAAACAACAGTTCAACAGTGGTTCAACAACTGAGGCAAGGCTGCATGTGATCGCTGAGAGAGAACGAGAGCTCTGGAATGATAGAGGAGTTGTTCGTCCAAGCATTCAAAATTTTTGGTACCGAAATTATCTCACACTTGTTTGTAATTTCTCTTCTAACAATTATTTGTGGTCTTTTGCAAAAGAGGCCAACTTGCTCAGCTTCATTGCTACAGCTTTCTCACTTAAATCGAACAATTCTGCCTTTTTCTTTGCTATGCCTCCATCACTTCACTGAATGCTTCTCTCACAAAATAATTTTTCACCCTCCACCTTTGAGTTTCGAGAAATTTTTGCTCATTTTCGCCACCACAGCCCTTTACTCTTTGTTCAGATGAAAATGGCGTCGCACTTAGTCACGTTCTTGCGCCGTCATTTTGGCACCAGATCACTGAACCACGAGAACGCGGAAGTGGCGTATTCTGGTAACAGTAATGGAGATATGTAACCAAACAGCTCACAACTTGAGCTGGAAAAGCCAATCGTAAATTATTTAATAGGAAATTATGGTTCGAGGGTCACTGATTTCATAACTTTGAAGTCATTAAGAAAGATGGTATTTTTTCTGTCTTTATTCTAGCTACCAGGCACATGGCGGACAGGCTAAGGAAGGCCAGGATAAAGTGGAGAATGGCGGACCAGGTACTGTCTTCTTGTACCATTTGGTTCACACTCATCGAACACTTCTTATCGACAACAATGGCGGTAAGCCATTGAATAAACATATTAATTATGGCCGTCTGGATGAGGAAGGTGGCAAAGCGTGGATTATGCCAGAATCGGGATTCCATCATTTTGCTGCTGAAGAGGACAAATTTCACTTTGAAGAGTTGCAGATCTACAGCAAGGGCCATTTGGCAATATGGCCACGCGCGGGAAATGATTCAAGAAATGTTTCCATGTTCTTTAAATATATGATCGGTGACAGGAGCGGCATGATACACATCGGAGATAAGCAAGTTATGGACCTGAAGCGGCCAGAGATCGATCTTCCCTTTAGTGCTCAAGTCTACCTTGGTGGCTTCCTTGGTCTCGCTCCTTACACACAAGTTCATGGCATTGAGATCATTGTTCGTGGTATTCTGGCATACATTAGGAATATGACCATTCACAATGGTGGTGATCTGTGGTTGAACCATGGAGGACGAACAGACCACGAAATCATAAACCACTACGACTTTGATTTCATAAGAGTCCAGGATACAGGAACCATTCACTGCGTCACCTCACCAGTCAACGACCCGGGCGTTCTCTTCACAACTCGTGCAGTCTTCATTGAAGGAGGAGGCCTGATGCGAGGTTCTCGCCTGACATTTGTGACAGAAAATATTACTATAGACGATGGTGGGAGATTAATAGCAGATGGCCTCGGCTACAATACCTCACATGGTTATCAAGGAAACGATATATCTGGTGCACCAATTAATCCTGGTCACGGTATTGATGATAATGAAGGAGCCTCTGGCGCTGGTCATGGTGGCAGTGGCGGCCGAGGAAGCCTCACCTATGGCACTCCCAAAACAGGTTTTGCCTATGGGGACCTGTACGAGCCTTATATATACGGTAGCGCTGGTGGTAAAGGTAGAGGTGGTACTCGAGGAGGTAACGGTGGTGGAATGCTGTGGATGAACGTAACTGGACTGATTGATGTTGATGGGTTGGTCTCCGCAAATGGTGAAGACGCTTCGTCCCTGACTGGAAGTGGAGGTGGTAGCGGTGGAAGCATTTGGATGTATTGCAAGACGATCAGAGGCTATGGTAGGATAGCTGCTAATGGGGGTGCTGGTTCTAAAGACAGCTCATACCCTGGAGGTGGCGGTGCGGGAGGAAGGGTTGCCATTTACTTTCAAATAAATGAGACGTCAACTTATTTTGTTTACGAGGCCCGAGGTGGATCAGCTCTTGGATGTGAGGTAGGTAAAGAACATCTTTGTAAAGCAGAGGCTGGTGGTCCGGGCACCGTGTTTCTTTATCACATGATTCACACCCATCGCACATTACTGATCCACAATGGTGGACAAAAACCGTTGGTATCAGCAATAGCAGACTACAACGATTTATCCGAGGATGGTTGTCGAGCTTGGATCTTACCGCAGTCAGCCAATCACGATTTCGCTGGAAGGGGGCGTGATTTCCACTTTGAAGAGCTTCAGGTGTATGGAGGTGGTCATCTGGCAGTGCTTACTGAACCGGTCGGCGAGAAGGCATCGTTATTCTTCCTTCATATGATAGGAGATCGCACTGGTACATTACACGTATCGAAAAATCAAACCATGGACTTACATCGACCCGAAATAGACACTCCATTCAGTGCGCACGTTTATGCTGGCGGTTATCTTGGGCTTGCCCCATACACCGAAGTTCATGGCGTGACATTATTTATTTCCGGCACCGTAGATCACATACAGAATATGACAATACATCATGGCGGTGCATTTTGGATGTATCACGGGGGAAACACAGCGAATCAAACGAACAGTTCTTTTGAGTTTGATGCAGTCCGAGTGCAGGATAATGGTGTTATACAAGCTATAACATCTCCAATCATTCACCCAGGAATCACAATCATAGCCAGGGCGTTTTTTGTTGAGGGAGGCGGGCTTTTCCATGGGACAAGGATGACTGTCTTAGGGGAAAATATCACTGTCGATGATGGAGGGCTGATCTCCGCAGATGGCGAGGGCTACAACAGGTACGAATATTTCGTGAAGGGAAACGAAAGTAGAATACTAATCGCTGATGTGTGATATGCAGAATTCTTACTGAATTGTTTTACATTACCACAACAACGCGGTTATTAATAGGCAAACGAGTTTAAATTATGACTTTTTTCTACCTTTTGTTCTTAGGACGCATCCCCAAGGATCAGGCCTCCATGGTGTCATAAACCCAGGTATTGGTTCCTCTCACATCTATGGTTCCTCAGGGGCAGGCTGTGGTGGAAGAGGAGGGAGAGGCGACCACAGTGCTGTTGTCGGAGCTGCTTATGGGGACCTCTACGAACCTGTCCGATTCGGAAGCTCAGGTGGAGGAGATAAATCGGGAAGAGGTGGTGGAGTTATTTGGTTTAATGTCACCAATGTCATTCAAATTGATGGAGAGGTTTCTGCAGATGGACGTAAAGGCGACAACTCAGGTAGCGGAGGAGGAAGTGGAGGAAGTATCTGGATGCATTGTTACCGGATAAAAGGTGTTAAAATTAATTTTTACACTCCTGACATTTGTTTTTCGACTATTTTTGTTAATTACCCTCTTGAAATAACATACTTTTCATGGTTTTGTTGGATTCATAATGCACTATTATGTAAACTGTATTGATTGTCATGTTACTTTCATATAAAAGAAAGTCCTTTGAAAAGCCTTCTTCTTCGAATAGGTGCTACCCCTTGTATTGTAGATTTGAAGAAGGCGACTGCGTTACTTATTCCAGGAATTACCGTAAGACACCTTACGAAAACCTGTCATAAATGAAAAGTTATTTTCTTAAGCAAAAACGAATTCATCTCACTTCTGTCCTAAAGGTACTGGTGCTATTAAGGTCAACGGTGGTGCCGGTGGTGGGAATTCTGGAGGTGGGGCTGGTGGAAGGATTGCTGTGTACTTCACTGAGAACACCACATACACGGGCTCCTTTCAGTCACGAGGAGGTGCCAAAGGTGGAGGGTCTAATACCGAGGCTGGCGGACCTGGAACGGCGTTCCTATATCATCTAGTGCATACTCATAGAACACTGCTTGTAGACAACGGAGGTCAACATCCGCTCACCAGAAGAATATCGGACTATTCGGATCTCTCGCGAGATGGAGGTCGCGCTTGGATCTTACCTGAGTCAGGTGGCCATGATTTTGCCAATGGCTCTCACGACTTTCACTTTGAAGAACTGCAGATTTATGGTGGTGCTCATTTGGCGATATTGACTGAACCGGTGAATCGTGCAGCTTCATTGTTCTTTAGCTACATGATCGGTGACCGAACAGGAATGATTCACATCAGCCAAAACCAAGTCATGAACCTACATCGCCTGTTCTTGGATATTCCTTTCAGCGCATATGTTTATGACGGAGGGTACCTTGGTCTTGCACCCATCTCTGAAATGAATAAGATTATTGTGTACGTGGAAGGAACCCTTGATCACATTCGAAATCTCACCATTCTAAACGGCGGTGAGCTTCACTGTTACTTGACAGGCTCAACTGGAGAAAGAATTCAGCGTCATTACAACTTCAACGAGACCGTCAGAATCATGGCGAGATCTCAAATCCAAAGCCACAGCCCCAACGCCCATAAAGAAACATTCAGCCTCACAGCCAGGATCCTATTGGTGGAAGGCGGGGCAGCAATTAGCACTTTCAACATGAACATAACAGCTGTCAATCTTACCGTGGACGATGGGGGCTCTATTGATGCAAGCGATGGTGGTTACACAGCAACTAAGGGACCAGGAAGTTTGTTGACAAACAACTGGAGACGAAGTGGCGCAGGACATGGTGGAACAGGTGGAAGGGGAAGTTGCGGGGGCTATCACACATGCCGGCTCAAGAAGGGACTACCATACGGAAACTTGTATTATCCGAGGGATTTTGGAAGTGGTGGTGATGGTAATGGAGGCAAAGGTGGCGGCATTTTAAGTATTTCTGTGGCGCATACCCTACAGGTATTTAACTCAAAACTTATGTGTTTTATTACATGCTATGATACTTAAAAACCCATTTTGTATTGAATTTATATTTGTTGTTGATGAATGCAAATGGTGCGAATTGAATCCACCGAGTATGACTGCTCTGCTTTCACATTTCTCCTCCCCTTTTTCAGCTACATTTCCCTAGCTACACGTTACTATTCCTTTGTTCTGTTTGACTATGATACAGCTTGGATTCTTCCTGATATCTTTGCCTTATAAAGGCTTTTCTTGGGAGGCAATGAGCACGATCTGTTTTTTTTTGCGTCAGAACTGTATAACGAATGCCACAGTAAGAGGATGCCAAAGTTGTGAATAATCTGTCACGACATACAGAGGTTTACATGAACATGCTTTTGGTGTTTTTCAGACGGTAAAATTCTTGACTTGGTTCTGGTTCAAGTTTTGGACAAATTTTCTTTTCTTTCCTTCTTCCTGGTAGGTGGATGGTAACATTTTTTCAAATAGCCGAGCTGTCAATAATGATAATGGTGGCGGGAGCGGTGGAAGTATCTTAATTCACACCCAGGTTCTCTCAGGTGGCCATACTGGTGTTATACAATCTAAAGGTGGAAGTGGTACCGCAGGCTCGGGTGGTGGCTCGGGAGGTCGCATAGCAGTTTATTACAGCAACAATGACACACACCATCCGTACAGGGGGAAATTCGACACCAGTGGTGGCAGCGTTACATCTGGCGCGGAGGCTGGTGCTTCTGGAACAGTTTACCTTAAACACACCGGAAGTGGATTCTCGACACTTCGAGTGGATAACAATGGACAACAAGCTTTGGATGACGAGATTCCGAATGCAGGTGTCCTGTTAGATCTGTCTGGAGGCAGAGCAGACCAAGGCACAACCTACAATGCGCCAAATGGAATGACAGTTACATCCAGCTGTGCTATTAGGTCACCTTTATGTCATAACCCATGCCACAGCTGCCGCGACTACTCAATAGCAAACCTTTTCGACCAGACATTTTCGACAAGCAGCTGTGCCGGTTATTTCTTGTCTGGCTGCCATTACACGAAGCTGACGGTCGATTTAAAGAGTTTACTGTTTATCAACCACATAAGATTCTACCCATTCTGTAGCGGATCTCGACCTAACTTCCGCGTAAGTAGAGTTAACGGTCTCTCTTATATTTTCTAACTCCATGCGCTCAACCGAAAGGGACCTGTATACTAGTTTCACTGTAGTTCTATACCTCAAAATAGTTTTTCTTCACTGCCAAGGACAAGCTCTATTGCACTATAGCTCCAACATTTTTCTTTAAAACACTTAAACTGAATTTTTAACTCTGACCATGTTTTAGATCTCCGAAAAGTATTATATTAATTATTGCATAAAAAATTACATAATACCATTCCTTTATTTGTCACTTGCGTTCTCATATTAGACATTTCTTTGCTTTTATTTCTCGAATTCCCAAGGTCACAACGAACGATGGCATCCGTAATGTGCCAGTTACGAGTAACTACGTTCAAATATCTAACGGCTGCATTCAGGGATCTTATGTTGATATGCCGGTGAGAAGGAACGCAACTCAGATATATGTGGAACTTAACCATCCCACAAGTAACACGTATTCTGGCCTCTCTGAATTGGAAGTATTTATTGATGGAAAAGAAGTTTGGGACAGGTTAGTAGTAACTTAGCAGAAACATTTATTATTTGGCCGTTGATTTTTCTGTTGGTGGAGAAAAAAAAAAGCGCAGAAGTTAAGCTTAAGTGTGAAACCATCGGGAAGCGATATATCGTTTCTTGGGTGGACGGAGGAGTGGGGAGTGGAAGAGAACTCACCTTAGTCATAGCGAACTAATGACACAGGTTTACTTGTTTTTTATCACCCCCTTATGAATGCCATCGGGCTTGTCGAAATGAACGTACTACACATAACGCAGTTAAAGCCATAACTTTCCAGGTAGTTCGTAAGATTCAAACTTACCCTTTTCTCTAAAAAGTAACAATTCTGGTTAAAAATGGGCAATAAGACTCTTAAATAGACATGGTTTAGTGGATCTCGTGCTCACTCTTCTTCCTACAACCAGGTACAAGTACAGGAGTTTCGATGGCGCCAAAACGTGGATTGAACCAGCAACTGGCACTGATGTCTACAGCTTCAGTGAGGTTCATATCCGGGGATCTGCTCAGCTTGCTGTGATGCCGCTGAATGGCTTGCAGGCTCCGGTACATTTTCATGCTGACAGGTTGTACGGAGACAAGAGTGGCTTCCTTCATGTAGGATACAATCAAAATTTCTCTGTGGCAGTTACCGATCCCGACATTCCATTTGGTCTGCGTGTTTATGAAAACGGGAGTATGATGCTACCGAGAAGAGCCTTTTTGCAAACAGTTAGTTTCAAGTCATCAGGAAAGGTGTGGATTTTTCTTCCTTATAATTTGTTTTCCTCTTTGAAGTACCTATGAAGGGGCATTGAGCTCTTATTTTCCCAAACAATGATATCTCTCAGCCACAGTCACATTGGCTCCTTCTTTAACTCCGTTGCAATTCGTTGTAATGCTAGCATTATCAAAATCCCTCTTGCGAACAAAATTAGGTTTGAATCCACAATAGTTTATGTTTTAATGCCTCAGATCTGTAGTGTATGAAATTTCTTCACAAGGCTACAAATATTCCACCGAGAGGTAGACCCCTGTTTGTCATTACTTCTCTCATTTTGTTTTTGTTTTTTTTGTTGTAGATATGGGGCGTCCAGGACTTGTTTGTGTTCGATCACGGAACCTTTTACGGTGATTCAAATTCCAGTCTTGGAAAAGACACAGTTCCTGGACAGTATTTGGTCAAGTCCCTCCACGTGCAGGATAGAGGGGTGTTTGAGCTGCATTCAACTGACAAGAAATTGACCAGTAGACTGTCGCTCACTAACTTAACGGTGAGTGCATGGAGCATGTGTAAGCAAAGCATGAGCTCAAGCGAAACTTTGGGCACTTCGTGATGCTATTGAAAGTGTTTCAGAGACATATTTTGTAAAAAGTGTTCAAGAAACAAATAACGATATCAAACATTTTCAAAAGCTTGAGAAAAAAAAATATAGATATATCTCGGTCTTCCTGGTGTGAGAATTTAAACCAGAGACAGTTCTAATTTCACGGTCTACCACCCGAGAGACAGGGACGTTGTTTTCTATGTCATATTCTAAGCTAATACGTCACAAGTGTGTGACAAGCGCTCTAAGATCATGCAGCTGCGCTTTAGAGGAATTTTAATATTCTTCTTCTTCATCTTATTATTATTATTATTATTATCGTCTTTATCATTGCTTTTATTAGCATTAAGCGTCCGGTTATCTCTCTGATCAGAGACGTCGAAAATCTTAGTAAAATTCGATCGGGGTCCCTTGATGTTCCTCAGTCGTAGTTTATCTATCTCTGTATGGAGCACCGAAATAGTTATTAATTCTTTACTGAATCACCGCTTCAAACTTCTTCAAAAAGAGGGGGGATAAAAAACCTCCATGTGAAATGTTTTATGAGTGGAGTGTGCTCAGATGAAAGACTGCGTGTCGAGAAATCATAGTTCGACGCCAAAAAAGTCTCGGTATCACTATCAGTGGTCTTTAACAACCACATTGTGTCAAAATTAACAAGTAGATAATTTTTTTTAATCATATGATATGCTTTGCCAGATTTTCGGCGGTGGTCACTTCAAATCAAACAACAAATTGCACATCGCAGTGAAACATCTGCTACGGATAAACTCCGGAGGAAAACTGAGTCACAATCATGCTGGGTACGTCACCAAAGAGGGCAGGTCTGGAGACGAGTTCGAACCATCTGAAGGCCCCGGCCAAGGGATTGGTAGTGTTCATGGTGCAAGTGGTGCTGGCTTCGCCGGAACTGGTGGAAGAGGGACTGGGACGGGTCTTGTAGGGCAGTTCTATGGAGATTACAGAAGGCCAGATGATTACGGGAGTGCTGGAGGCTTTGGGTTACATTACGGTAAGATGATTGAGAAAAGATAAGTCTTAATAACCTGAACTAAAATACCAGAACAACTGATACAGGCAGCATGCATGATAAGTGACAAATCATGGCGAGAAAAACCATGTGTTAGAATGATTTTTACTTGTTTCTTTCTCAGGTAACTTGTACTATGGAGATTATCGCACAAGCTCTGTGGGCCCATACAGAAATTTCATCACCCGTAGTGGTCTGGGAGGACAAGGGGGTGGAGCGATAGAGATTGTAACGCGTCACTTGATTCTTGATGGACATTTGTCAGCGGATGGAGAAGACGGTCCCCCACCCAGCACAGCAGGAGGAGGCAGCGGAGGTAGTATTTGGATTGACTGCGAAGAGCTGGATGGCTACGGAACAATCAGTGCTAATGGAGGGGCAGGCTCACCAAGCAAAGGAGGAGGGGGATCTGGTGGACGAATAGCGATTTACCAGGCGTTCATGTTGAATTTTAACGGCACTCTCTCTGCCAAGGGTGGAAATAGCGCTGTGGAACCGGGTGCTTCAGGCACTGTCTTTCTTGAGACTCGAAACAACAGCAAAGTGGAGTACAGAGTTTTGAAGATAAACAACTTCGGCATGGCTTATCCCTGGGCTGTTGATAAATCACAGGGGAGGTTAAGAAACCTTATGAGGGGAATTTACACTGATACAAAATATGTTGGAGCTGTCACTTGGTTACACGAAGCAGATAAATACACCCTCGACGAATTTCATCTTCATGGAAACTCGCACGTGGCTCTGTATGGAAACGGGTCCCGCGGGAATGTCACGCTGTATGCGCACACGCTTCGCGGAGATCGCAGTGGCGTTTTTCACGTTGGTCGCTTTCAATCCGTAGTGTTTGACTTTATCGATTTGTATTTCCCAATTAATACGCTTGTATACTTTAACGCTACACTGGAGGTGCCTCGAAGGTTGTCGCTCCGTGAGGTTTACATGGAGATCAACGGGACGCTAGCCGACTCAGATGATTACACCATTGATAGAGACGGCAAGCTGTTTTTATGGTCGGGAGGACAATCACTGGGCGAAAAACAGGGACACTTTCGGTTTATAAACATGTCAATCAAGTCACTCGGCTTGCTGCACACTACAAAAATTCAGGGTCATGGTCCAGTAAGTCTGCACACCACACGATTTGTAGTAAATGCCGGTGGGCTGGCTAGTGTTGATGACTTCTTTCTGTACTCTGTGAATGCCACTATCGATGTTGCTGGTGAGAAATACGTTCCTTGTTTACTAAGCCGTTCCTTTTCTATTTTCGTGAGAAAACCCGTAATAGGAAAAATTGATCCTGTACGCCACTCGATCTACATAACGTTCTTGGAAATATTTGTTCAATCAATGCCATCTGTAGAGGCTGAAAGTAGTATTTCTAACGCTCTACAGACCCAGAATTGTCAAAAATACTAATCAGATAGCTCTGACGCTTGATTATCGAGGCCAACATTTTCCTGCACGATTAATTGTCTGCGTCAATTTTATTTATTTCGAAGTTAAGAAAGCTAACTTAGCAACATGAGCGAATCAATGTCTTCATGTTAAAAGCAGATAAGTAGAAAGGCAACGGAAACGGCAGCTTATCTTTCGCGACATAACTACATGTTAGGAAAGGCTTGTCACCTACGATTTGTTTTGCTGTTCCTTGACATAAATCTGATCATGAAAGTTTGATTTTTATTTTCCCGCTTGTGGTCGTCTTGACTAAGTCGCTCTCTAACTGTGTACGAAAGGTCAACTAAAAAATGTGGAGGGTGTCATAGTAGCGGTTAGAACAAAAGGAAGACTCCATACCCGTGGCCATGCTAAGATGGTTTGTTTTTCTGTGTGTAGGTGATGTGTCAGCAGACTTCAGGGGATATGGTACAGAACAAGGGCCAGGAACTGCTGTTCAGAGGACTCCTTATTACACTGGAGCTGGAGGAGGGAGCCACGGTGGCCGTGGTGGACGGGGGACAGCTGGACTCCACACGCCTTCTTCTTACGGCTCTATATACGAACCTACTCAGTTCGGCAGTGGTGGTGGTAATGGTCTTAACGGTATGGGTGGTGGGCAAGGTGGCGGTCGTATTGTCTTTGAAATATCAGATATGCTTCGACTGGAGGGACACGTTCATGCAGACGGAGAGCCGGGAAGTAGGAGCTCCGATCCAAGTGGTGGAGGCGCTGGAGGGAGCATTGTTATCCGTTCATTCAAGTTTGACGGCGAGGGTACTGTATCGGTGAACGGAGGATCATGTCCGTCCACGTATGCGCCCTATGGGGGCGGTGGAGCTGGTGGCCGCATTGCTGTCTATTACAATGGAAGTTACACTTTCATTGGATCATTCCAGAGTTATGGCGGAATCAGTCAGGCAGAATGGGGTGGAGCAGGAACAGTTTATATAAAAAACAACCAAAACATGAGCCAGCCCTATAGCATTCTTAGAATTGACAACAGAGCTACTCGCAGTGGACCATCAAGGCTTAACGAGATTCAAGAACTTCACCTGGCGGGAAACAGTGCTGATTATCCCTATTACTTGACATCGTATACGGCCCCCAATGGAGTTACTTTAACCACAACTGGAATTCCCTACTGTGAAAGAACTTCTCATCACGATTCCAAAATATGTGATACCGACGATTCCAAGATATCGAATTTGTTTAAGTCGACGTCCGATAGTTACTACACTCAGAATTCAAACCCCGTTGTGACTTACCGCTTTCCTTTACCTTTGTTCTTGGAGTACTTATTGATCTATCCTCACTGCAACTCATATCACTTGACGCAGTTTTATGTACGCGTTTATTTCAATGACAGTGAAGTTGTTGGATCCAATGGATGGATTAACCCAACAAACTGCCTCCAAGGACAACCGCTCAGAATGAACGTGAGACAGACAGTTGAAAAGGTAAAACTACGTCTGTAATGTATCACTTTAGGTTTTAAGAGCAAGTATTAAATTTGGTGCCTCGTAATGTTAGTAGGGTGTGTAAGATATCTTACGGCGACGTGTGGGAAAATATTTCTGAAAAAAGAAAGTTCCTTTCCCCTAAGAATTTCGCCAGTCGCAGGATTTCCCTTCGTCATAGCATGTGAATGCAGTGTTGAGTTCAAAGTAAAACCGAGTAAAACCGACCAAAATGCTGTTCAGGTTTCCTTGGTAGGAGTACGTAAAAGATGGTGATTCCAGGTTTTTGTTCTGTATAGGCTGGTTATGAAGTATACAAAGTTCTAAAACGAGAGTGCTGCGCTATTGTGTTGTTCTTTAGATCTTTCGTTTCGCTTGCTGTCGCCGTCGTAGTTTTTTTAAAGTTCCTAGTTGTATTTCGAAGTGGACTGTAACCAATGGCTGATGCTCGAAAGTCAGTTTTTTTTAAACATTTGACACGACCATATATTTCTCTCTTGTCATTAACAGGTAGAAATAAGTCTCCAAAAAATCAGCTCGTACTCGTCCCTCAGTCTCGTAAGATTTTTCGTTCGTGAAAACCCTTCAACCACGCTACAAACGCCACATTACACAAGTCCCAGTACTTCTTGGATCGTGACCGAAGAAGAAAAAACTACACAACATGATTTCAGTGAGGTATGATGTGCTGTTGGTGATTCAATTGCTATTTTTACCTTGAAGCAAGAAACTAAAAAATCGACGGCATGTTCACTGATCGTTCCGCCTTAAACGTCTTTTAAAAATCTAGAAAACAAAGCAGATCGCGACAGGCCTGGAAAGATAATTTTAACCTACCCACGTCCCCAACAAGTGTTGTTTCTATGTTTCACGAGTGCTCAAAAATAACATTTTGGATCACCCATCGCTTAAATTATGTCTACCGCTATGGTGGCCATAACATTCACTAATATTGCTTTTCATTATATACCATGAAGGAGAATAGCACTTTTCGCGCGCGCTGATTGGCTAGTTCGGAAGTGATTGGCAAGTATTATTCACCTCCGAGCAGCCGGAAAGACAAAGTTGTGCGTCAAGGTTTTAATTTCCGGCAATTTTTCGGTATATTGAACGAATTAAAATAGGTTTTTTTGTATTTGTGATATATACAGTAATTAACAATTATTTACCTCAGTGTCGGTGTTAGTCTTCCACTATTCACTTCCACTTCGGTAAATAATTGTTAATTATTCTTGTTTTTGAAGCTACAAATCATGGGCCAGGGAAGTCTGTCCATGTCCGGGAATTCCGTCAAGATGAGTGTAAACAAGGTTGTTGGTGACAACTCTGGTATCTTGACAATGCGCCCGACACAGAGCATTCTCATGAGAGGCTCAGAGGGACACCTTCCATTCTCGCTCCTCTCTCAGAAGGGCTCCAGTGTAGCCTTTCCCACCAGCATGAACTGTCGTGAGGTCGAGGTGACCATTCGTGGGGTGATGGGAGAGATGAAAAATCTTACCGTTGGACCACAGTGTCGGTTTGTTCTTGATAACTCTTCAGAAACGGAATTCATGTTAGATCATATGGTCGTACAGACTGACGGTTACATGGCAGTTCTTAGAGAAGATAGGGAGGACGTAAAAATGGTTGGAAAGACTTTTGATATAAGAGGAGGAGCCAAGGTCAGTAATCATTTACAACAGAGGCAAAGTTCTAATAGTAGATGTAAATCATTTTGTCATTCGCTTTGGAGGCACTGAGTCTTTGTATCCTAGATTTTTTTAAGGAAAAGAAGTTCCTGCACTATTGTTTTTCGACGCTTTGTGCATCTTGTCTTCAGAAATAATAGGCCTTGTACCTTCGTGGAATTTATATCGATTGATAAACTTAAGGATGTTGATAAATGTTTAACTCTCGATCATGGGCTGAAAGTTTGCTGAATAGACTTCTTTAGCTTGTATGTTTTTTTACAAATTTCAAGTCGTGATAATACTCTAAAGATTTGTTTCGTTCAAATTTCCTCCTATTCACGTGCATATGTACGCATAATATAGAAAAGATAAAGCTGTGAAGTCCCTTGAGACCTGAAATGGGTAAACTAAACATACAAGCTATTGAGTGGTTCAGCTTAGAGATGTTATGAGCATTTGCAATTGAGAGAACGCGCGTCTCCTTTTTATAACAGATGGAGGCTAACAGTCTTACATTGGACTACATCAACATCACAATAGAGCCTTTCGCTGATCTCTCAAGTGATGGGCTCGTCGATGAAGTTTCCGGATCACGTTACCATGGAGATGGATGGGGTGGTGATTCTGGTGGCGGATCCTCGGGCGCAGGGCATGGCGGTCATGGTGGGGTTGGTGGAAGGCAGCAAAAAGTTGGTATCTCCTACGGGAAGTATAGAAGGCCCACAACATTTGGAAGTACAGGCGGAGCTCAAGTATTTCCCTTTACTGGCGGATTAGGAGGAGGTCGTTTTAAAATTATTGCCCACGATACACTTGTGGTGGACGGAGTACTGTCCTCCAAAGGGGGAAATGCTCGAGCATCTCGTAGCGGTGGCGGAAGTGGTGGCAGCATTTTAGCATATACATCAAGAATCCATGGCGACGGAGAATTTGACGTTTCAGGAGGCAACGGAGACAGTTCAACCGGGTATCATGGAGGCGGAGGTGGAGCTGGTAGGATTTGCTTGTATTATCGAGAGAACCACTTCCTTGGTCGTTTTCTTGGTTTTGGAGGCACCAGTTCAATCGAACCCGGTGGTCCAGGGACAGTGTTTCTAGAGAACGTCCCTGGGATGAACGCTACCTATGGGCATGACCGTATAGACGAAGCAGCGCACGCAGAAAGAGTGCTTCTGGATGAAAACGTTGTCAACGGAACACAATGGGTTCGCAATAGAACATTGTACGCAAATGCTATGGGTCGAAAACCTCAAAGTCCAGACGCTAATCTAAGTTCAAGCTATCGTGATTTCAGCGTTGGTGGCTCAAGTAGAGTGTGGCTCATTTTGGACGATGAGGATCTGGAAGCGAACGGGACCGATGTTGAGCTTGACGAGTTACAGCTTTACGGCGGAGCACAACTCGCCATTATCAACCCAGCAAACACCAAAGCGTACATATCCATTGTGATTGGTCAGATGGAAGGAGACAGAACTGGTAGAATTCATCTCGGCTTTAATCAGACTTTCCTCTCTCTCCAGTCGTACCTTCCCATGGACATGATCATTTATCAAGGTGGACTCACCACTATGCAGGGCGAGCTGCTCGTTGCAGGGGTAACAGTCGAAATTGATGGTGTTTTGAGAAGATGTCAAAACATCACTGTGGTTGATGATGGTGTGATTCGCATGAAGGAGATGTATGATTTGGAGGGAAAACCAACTGAGGTAAAGGCACGAAGTTGCATGTGGATTGGATTTTTTTCTTTTTCATTAGAAACGAATACTGATTTACATCCATTTTTTATCCTCAAGTGCCAGAAATAAACCATAGATTAGGGAATGTCTTTTAGAATGTCTGGTTTGACATAATGATAAAAAGATATTCCTTTTTCCTGATTCATCTTTTTTTGTGGAAGAAACAATTAAAGACAGGCCGCCATAAAACCTTACTCACTTGAACTACAAGGGGAAAAAGTCTTTATGTATTTAGTGGAGCTTTTGCCGGGATCGTATTTCAGCGATATATGTTCTTGACTATTGCAAGTTTTTCTTGTATTGTATGTTTTTACTCTAATGTCTTAAAGCTCATTTTTCTACATTTCAGACATTTTATTTCGAAGCAATAAATGTTCGAAATAAGGGCACCATGATGGTAACCAATCAGGAGCGAGTTCGTGAATTTCGTGGAAAGTCCATGCAAATTTATGGAGGGGGAACATTTACAGCAGTTAATCTTCATGTACACGTCGTGAACTTTACCATCGATGCGCTAGCAACAGTCCACGCAACTTTGGAAGGGGAAAAATTCGATTACGAAGGTATGGCTGCTTTAAAACGCCATACTTTTGTAGAGTTATGTAAATTGAATTATCAGACAAGCTTTTTAAGTGCGAGACTTATCTTACCTTGGATTAGAACTAGAAATGAGACGACTTTCGCTTGCGAACAGCTATCAGATTCGAGCATTAACAAGACGTTCTAAGCATGTAAATTTCACAAGGAAAACTCTGTTACATGTATTTATGTCTTACGACTCTATTGTTTTCGCGAATTATATTGTCTTTGTGCCCAAAAACTTGAAATCTGAGACTACAGTTATGCTTTATTCTTGTAACTGACATTTTAGGTAAGGGCCCTGGTGCCAAGTATCCAACCCCAGGCTTTGCTGGAGGATCAGGCGGTGGTCACGGGGGACTGGGAGGACGTTCTACGAGTCAAGTGACAACTGGGGCTGCATATGGTTCAGTAAAGGAGCCTACAGAATTTGGTCGGTAGTTTGTTTTTCTGTTGATTTTCAATGCTTTTTTTTTGTTAGGATAAATGAATTGGTTTAGATCCTCCAAGATTTGTACGTGTGATTAATTTTGATGGAAAGTGCTCATGACAGGTGCCTGGAAGTTTCTCCATTTCGCCGTGCAATAATCGAAATAGGAAACTTCCATATGCGGCTAGAGATTCGTGTAGATAATGAATCACTCCACTATTATTAAGAAGGGTATTTCTATTTATGTCATTGGGCGTCCAATGAGGACGAATTACGAAAAAAAGGACCAATTAATGTGTTCAGAATTGTGCCTATAATGTAAATCCTAATGCTTCAAAGCTTAAAGCTAATGCTTATGGCGCATGTAGTTGCATATTTTCTTTCTCCCATGTGAGTGCTTGATGCTGTACCTACGGTGTTTTATTTATCTCTTTATTTATTTATTCATTTTGATTAAATAATCTAGCTTTCTGGACTGACCTTGGCGCTCTTGTCATGAAATAAAAATGCTGGGAAACGCTCGGCATGGTTACCTCTTATTTTTCCAGTTTCACGTTAAATAGAATGATTTTCAAATCCACAGGTAGCAGTGGTGGCAAGGGAAGCAGTGGGGCTCATGGAGGACGCGGTGGCGGTATTTTATTCCTGAACATCAGCGACACCCTGGACATCGAAGGAACCCTAAGTGTAGATGGTGCCAACAATGGTGGGTCCGAAGCTGGAGGAGGAAGTGCTGGAAGTATTCTAATCAGAACTGTTTTACTGGAGGGGAGTGGAACTGTTCAGGTAATTTTACCTTGAAGGGAAATCGCTTCTTGAACCAACCGTCGTTAAGCAATTAATAAAATAACGTAAAATAGTAGCAAACTTTTTGACAAGCGGACTACGAATCGAAAAAAATAATGTTTGATATTTTGAGATATAAAATTAATTTTCTAATACCTTTTCATTAGAAACTTAGAAGGTATCTTCTTACATCAAGAGCACGGTGAGGTACTTAAAAATATTATGTCTTAGTATTTACCACTCAGGTAAAAGATACAATTTTTTTGTATTTGTGTGGTATATGCTTAAATAATAATTCACCTCAGTGTCGGTGAAAGAGGTGGATATTGAAGCGGCGAGGTAAATATCCACCACTATTCACCTCCACTCCGGTGAATAATAATTAATTGTTATATACCTAGACTTTCACTCAACAAAACAGGCACTGTGGTTGGTTGATTCTTGGTCACGTGCTCCTGATCAAATTCAAATGTATCCCGACCAGGATACAATTGCGCAGTTGTTGCCCGCGCGCCGAGTACAACAGCACGTTTATTTGTTTTTGCCATATGATTGTTCAAGGGAAAGTCTAAATATATAACAAAGCACTTAATGTATGGTCCCTTGTGAATCTAGTTAGTTTTGTTTTCCCTCGAATCCCCACGACCCAGGACTCTCGGGAAAACAAAACTAACTGTTTCCTTGGGATCATAGATTAAATGTATATTATTTCGGAAGATTCATTGTCTTGAACATAAACATTGCTTTTTAATCAAGGCATTATCCTTTGATAACATGCTTTTGTTACTACTGGTAACAGCAACTGTCACATTATTCTTCTTATCAAGGCAAACGGTGGCAATGGTTACACTGGTTCTTCCAGAGGCGGAGGCGGTGGTTCTGGTGGCAGAGTCGCCTTGTACTACCAGGGAGGGTTCTTTGATGGTGTCCTTGAGGCCGCTGGCGGGAAGGGCGACTTAGAAAACGGTGCGGCAGGGACTGTGTACGTAGAAAAGGCGGTGAATAATTCAGACACGCCACATCGAACTTTGAAAGTCGACAACAAGGGTCGACCACCACTTAATGAACGAGTCAATGAGGTAAAAAAATGAGTCACTGACTTTAAAATTGCTTTAGAAAGGTATTGAAGAGGCAATTGATCATTATACACTCTAAACAAAAAAAAAAACAGGTATCGCGAAGAAAAAAAAACATTTTCTTTATATTTGTTATTTGCTGGCGCTCTCGTTTTGTTAATGAAAAAAGATAACGAGCCAATAATGAAATTAGAAGATCCTCGCAGCTAAGAACACTACTGAAACGAGTAGTTGTAAGTAGGACCTGAAAAAAAAAAAAAAAAAAAAAAAAAAATTTCAGGCCCGTACGGGATTTGAACCCATGACCTCTGCGATACCGGTGCAGCGCTCTACCAATTGAGCTAACAAGCCAACTGGGAGCTGGTCAATGAATTGGGTACAAATAAACATCCAAGTGAATGAAGATTTTAGATATATGAAAATTCACATATTTGCACTGCGGTGGAAAGATGAAATTAGAAGATCCTCGCAGCTAAGAACACTACTGAAACGAGTAGTTGTAAGTAGGACCTGAAAAAAATTTCAGGCCCGTACGGGATTTGAACCCATGACCTCTGCGATACCGGTGCAGCGCTCTACCAATTGAGCTAACAAGCCAACTGGGAGCTGGTCAATGAATTGGGTACAAATAAACATCCAAGTGAATGAAGATTTTAGATATATGAAAATTCACATATTTGCACTGCGGTGGAAAGATGAAATTAGAAGATCCTCGCAGCTAAGAACACTACTGAAACGAGTAGTTGTAAGTAGGACCTGAAAAAAATTTCAGGCCCGTACGGGATTTGAACCCATGACCTCTGCGATACCGGTGCAGCGCTCTACCAATTGAGCTAACAAGCCAACTGGGAGCTGGTCAATGAATTGGGTACAAATAAACATCCAAGTGAATGAAGATTTTAGATATATGAAAATTCACATATTTGCACTGCGGTGGAAAGATGAAATTAGAAGATCCTCGCAGCTAAGAACACTACTGAAACGAGTAGTTGTAAGTAGGACCTGAAAAAAAATTTCAGGCCCGTACGGGATTTGAACCCATGACCTCTGCGATACCGGTGCAGCGCTCTACCAATTGAGCTAACAAGCCAACTGGGAGCTGGTCAATGAATTGGGTACAAATAAACATCCAAGTGAATGAAGATTTTAGATATATGAAAATTCACATATTTGCACTGCGGTGGAAAGATGAAATTAGAAGATCCTCGCAGCTAAGAACACTACTGAAACGAGTAGTTGTAAGTAGGACCTGAAAAAAATTTCAGGCCCGTACGGGATTTGAACCCATGACCTCTGCGATACCGGTGCAGCGCTCTACCAATTGAGCTAACAAGCCAACTGGGAGCTGGTCAATGAATTGGGTACAAATAAACATCCAAGTGAATGAAGATTTTAGATATATGAAAATTCACATATTTGCACTGCGGTGAAGATGAAATTAGAAGATCCTCGCAGCTAAGAACACGGGCCTGAAATATGTGAATTTTCATATATCTAAGAGCCAATAATACTCCACACACTTCAAAAAATATGATTAATTTTGTTTTCTACCCTAACTGCGCAAAACGAATTAGAACCGCGTGTCTTCCATTTGGGCTGCAGGGCAATATAGTGATTTCATTGACGATTAAGCTTGTCCTTTACGATTGTTCTTGTCTTTAAGGAGGGAAGGATACGATTTGGACAGACAACGTTGAGTAGCCAATCACATACACACATTTACTCAGCCCTGGCTCTTCCAGCTCACTTCTACGTTGCAACACAGTTGTAAATACCCTAACATGTTACTCTGACATTGAGAAATATAAAGTTAATTTATAATGAGAAAAGCATCAAAGTTGACCTTTTGTTGGAGGTAAGGTGACGGCTAGATATTGATGTAGGTAGTTCTGCTTGCCTAATCTATATTTAAGTCACTCCATATTTTGTTACAGATCGAGGAAGTAAAATTGTATCCAGGAAGGTTGAAAGACGGCAGAGTCTACTCAGATGAGTACACCAGCATAAGTGGCCTGAGATTCAAATCCGATGGGTCTACGATGCCCCTCTCTTTAGGATCCAGCAGTTATTATTCGCTGTCCCGAATGTTCGACGGAGACCTCAAGAACGCTTACATAGTGCAATCGTCCTCCGTCCATGTAGTCATCGAGGCTACTTTGCCAAGGCTAATGTTCATACATCACATCAGGCTTTATCCTGTATGTAGTACAGATTTTTCTGTCTAGTACAATCCTTAGCTTATCAAGCTTTTACCTTCACAAGGAGAACGGTGGCATTATCCCTCAGGAAGAAGGGTGGAGCCCTTACAACTAATTTTTGTAGCGGAGAATTCTGTTATCGTTTTCGCAATTGTTATAACACTTCCCGTTGTCCCTTTTATTGTTAGTAACGGAGAAATTGACCTTATGAAAAATTTTATCATTGGTTTGGAGGCAAGGCGTGTCAGTATAACAAGACGAGGGTTTTACCATTAAATCTAACTCTGACGTCGTTGTTATGCCTTTAAGAAGCTTCTTCAAAAGTTTTTGAGTCATTTTTAGTGTCAATGATAACCGCTTCTATTTGTGTTAAACCTTGAAATAAATATTTGTATGGGTAGCAAATTTCCACGAGGCACTAAGAGGAGACAAATAATTAAGAAGTGAAAATTTGGTTTGTAAGAAAAAAATTTGTTCGGGCGTTCACCTGACAAGAACCTATTCAGGGATCGTAAATAAGGTGTTCACTAGATTTGTAGCAAGTTGTTTTGAAAGTACACAAGAAGCAAGCATTAGAGGCTAAAAGTGAAAATCTGTTACATGCACTATAACGCTTTCTTCTTTCATGTTTTTTAGTATTGTCATCAACACTACCGCGTGAGTTTCACCTTAACGACGGACCATCCAGTTACCGGTTGGAAAGACAGAACGAAAGGTTCGCGTTCATTCGCAAATTGTTTTGATACTTTGGTTTACAATGATGTAATCATAGAAGATACTATTTCGAAGTTCACGGTAACATTGACAAGACTTGAATCAAGCGTTGCGTTGAGCGAGCTTAAAGTGTTTGTCGGGCGTGATACGTCGTCCTTCAAAGCCATTACTCTTGAACAAGACAGCTCAAGAACATGGTTAGTATTCAACGATCAGGGAACCATGACATTTGAAGTTGACGAGTTGGATGTGCGTGGAAGTGCACACCTAGGTATTCAAAACGGAGCTGGAAAACTGGACTTCAACGTGAAAGAGTATAAGGGTGATTTTACAGGAACTGTTCATGTAGGTGGAGCACAGAATTGGTACCTGAACGCCAGCAACAATTCCGTGATTCCTTTTACCCTCAGAACTTACCAGGTGAGACTATTTTCTCAATCTACTGACTAACAGGGAAACTACCTTATTATGAGAGGGTTATTCTCGTGTTTATCAGGGTATTTAAAATCAACATGTAAGAGAGGTTAAATTTCAAACCTGACTCTTCCTTCCCTTTATACCCTTCCGCATAGAGAAACAGCATTTCTTGATTCCTTAGTCATGGTAAAATTACAGCATTGCAAATGCCAGAGAAGGATCAGGGAATTTTCGTAAGAAGTAGTTTTTAAAAGTCTTACTACTTCGACTGTTATTATTGTCTATGGTATTGACTCTTTGAAAATACGGTCGGCTAAAGAAAACGTCATTGTTTCGTAGTAATAAAAATATTTTTTTGTGCTAAGAGAATTAATAGCCTTATTAATGAAATTGAAGGATAGGAATTTAAAAGCTCTCGGAAAATAATGTGGAAATTAAGGCTAAGTAACTCAACGTGAATTGGGAGAAAGCTCGTTTATTTCAATGAAAAAGTCTGATAAGCCTACATAAAAAAGCATTTATTTTATTGTGTTTGGTTATTAGGTATTGTAAAAGAAAAACACATGTTACCACAGTAGGATAGGTATCGTTTTTATGTATGCTTACTTTTACTCCTGATGAGATGCTTTTTACGTTCTCAAAAATATGTTTTTGTCTTCATAGGGCTCACAAGTTTTCCTCCCACGGGAAGTCTATCTCCAAAAATCTTCAATTTACGCAGATTCTGAGCTGGAGGGGCTTAAAAACCTCTTCATTTCACAGGGAAGTCGCTTTGACGTTACGCAAGGAGCGCATGTAAATTCCCCCTCGAAAGCCACAATTTTGTTGGATCGCATCACCATTCTAAATGGGGGAACGTTCTACCAGCGGACCGCTGAGCCCGCAAAATTAGCCCTGAATCTGACAGGGGAGCTGATCATCAACGCTGGCGCGTCAATGGAAGTCAGCCAAGTTCATCTCCAGGCCCATAATATCTTCATCGACATTGACGGTGTCCTGTCCGCGAGTGGGCGGGGCTATTCCTCTATGAAGGGTGATGAACCAGGTCGGAAGTCCTACGTTGCAGCCTCCGGAGCTGGCCATGGAGGGGCTGGTGGAAGTAGCACGAGTCAAGAGTACGTTGGAAGGGCTTACGGATCCTTTCAGATCCCTCTTGACTTTGGAAGTGGTGGGGGACAGGGGTATCAGGACTTGGTGAGTTACACTGATAAATTGGTCTGCGGTTTAGAGCAGCTTAAGTGGTATATCTCATTACATGTCTAACTTCAGATCTTTGTTCATGTTTATTTCCAAATACATATCTAAAAAATTAGTTCGAGAAGTATGTTCTTTTCTGAGATCGAGTATTTATGGAAAGGGTGTCCAATTACAGAATATTCACTGGTTTAAAAACAATACTAAGGGTTATGTTTTCTATCGTTCTTAGCCTGGTAGCTCCGGCGGCGGGGCCGTCAAACTGAGTGCTTCACATATCGTACAAGTTGACGGGCTTCTTGATGTATCAGCTGGTGCAGCTGTCAATCCAGGCACCGGTGGCGGAAGTGGTGGTAGCGTCCTCATCCAAGCAACGCTATTTCTGGGGAAAGGCAAAATATTTGCCGATGGGGGCGAGGTTGCTCATTCGTCGCTTGGAGATGCTGGGGGAGGAGCTGGTGGTCGCATTTCTGCTCATTACAGAAGCACAAGATTTGCAGGCTCTTTTTCAGCCCATGGTGGGGCCAGCAGAAGCGAAGCTGGAGGGCCAGGAACGGTCTTTCTCTCTGAAAACTCCACACACACAACTATGATTATCGACAATAATGGTTACCGTGCTTCTAAATTGTATATATCAGACTACAGAGATCGCTCCAACGACGGAGGACGTGCCTGGCTCCTTGCTGGTTACATGGACGAGTTTACCTTAAACCTGTTACAATTACGAGGTGGCACTCACTTTGCCGTTTATCATCTTAAGCCTTCATTTACTCTCAACGTGGAACGACTGGAAGGTGACCTTGGGGGTTTAATTCACGTGTCAAAGAAAAACAGAGTGTATATCAAGAACGCTCCAAGACTGTTCCCTTCAAGTTTCCACATTTATAATGAGGGATTTCTTCATCTTCCCCGAGATGTCTTACTCAAGGACTTGTTTTATCCGAGGATTTCCCTTGAAGGGTTGATCAGTGGAATGGATAACTTGACACTTGGTGGAGGAGCGGAATTTGTGGTCACAGCAGAGGTACTGATTTTGAAGATTGTGAACTGAATGTAATTAAGAGTGTTATTAAATATGCTGAGCTTTCAAATGTGTTATTTAAAGGGTTATGGCTACTCGTTCAGCGAATGCTCAGTGTTATCCTTTCTTTGAAAGGATAGTTTTGTAAATTTTGAATGTGAAACTTGAATCCGCGCTTGTGGAAGTTGAAATGATTATGGAACGTCGCACAGCCTTATCTCTTTAATTATTATTGACGAGAGGGAAATAGGAGGTAGACCTATTCTTTGCGGGGTAAAATTGCTTTTTCTAACAACAAGCTCCTTCTTAGCTGTATTGTCAAAGTTTTAGTCAACCTTCAGTTTGTTATGTTTTAGTCTCGCTAGTTTGTTTGTTCAGGAAGAGAATCTCTCACAGCAAAGAAGCTATCCAACATTTATACGCAATTACCGATAAAATGAATTAGGATTTCAAAGTCTACCAACTAGCCTATGTGAAGAAGTTCAAATGTTTGTGGCGTCGGGAAAACGGACATAGGAGAATAACGGTGGTTTCGAATGATGGGGAACTTAAGATGCGAATGAAAAGGCACTTATGAATTGAAGGAATCTTGTCACAAACAGAAGAAACTACGAGTTACTAACCCGAAGGAAGTGAATGTGTCTAGAAGGAGAAAAATACGCTACAAAGCAAAAACTATGAGTGGAACGTGGTGTAACAAGGAAGTCGGTCAGCCAGTTTGTCATAGAGTCAGGGAGTGTGTTGGTCAGCCAGTCAGTCAGTCGGTCAGTCTGTTAGCTAATCAGTCGGTCGGTCGGTCGGTCGGTCGGTCGGTCGGTCGGTCGGTCGGTCGGTTAGGTAGGTAACTCTAGTTCAAATGTAATCATAGACGGCTTGGAAACATATCCCGCAAGTCTTAAATATTTTTCGTTATCTCACTAAACTTATCCCTTTTGCAGGGTCAAACGGAGGGCTATAGCAAAAAGACAATCCATTTAAATTCACTGACAATCATGAATGGTGCCAAACTCGTGGCCACTGATACTGTTTTGGACTCACCAACGGTTACCCTGCTACTGAATGAAAGTTTAAGAGTGATGGCTGGCGGTTGGATACAAGGCAAGTGGATAGACATCAATGCTGGTGATATTGAAGTGGAGGCATCTGGAGTCATAACCGCAGAGAAACAAGGCCACGATGCAAAAAGTGGATCTGGGTCGCCATCAGGTAAATAAGACTCTCACGCAGTTTGCATGTTTCGTGATATGTTTTGATTTCCACTCACAGAGTTATTGAGGATATGCAGTACAATAAGTTTCTTATAAACAGTGATATGAAACTATATATGACATTCTGTATGATGAGATGAATTATGCATTCATTTTGATTGGTTGTTGCTTATAAACTATTGTCAGAGAGATGCATGGATGACATCACCCTTAAAATCATTTTGGTTTTTTTTTGTTTTTATATAGAAAAAAAAAATAGATTCCATGATGCCGTGGGTTTGTACAGTATTGTGTCTCAGAGGATGTTCTCTGTGTTCTTACCACATTTTGATGTCATTTGTTATCTATTACAAAACAGATGCATGGCATTATGGAATCTCTTTGATAAGTAGATATGTATTTCAATCTCAAGATAAAAGTAATTTTAAACCACCATCATTTTTGTTTACCTCAAGAAAAAAACAATATCCATCATTTACAAGTTTACAGTTACATTTTATCGAAACCTCCCCTAAGTTTTCTTCAAGGATTTATTGTTGACTTCTTGATGAAATTACTTTAAGGTTCCGCTGGTGCCGGTCATGGAGGTCGCGGAGGTCTTGGAGACTCCGGGTCATCCCCAGGTAACTCATACGGCTCCCTTTTTCGACCTCTTTCACATGGAAGTGGCGGCATGTTTGCTGTTGGAGGTGGTGTCATTAAGCTGGCAACTAGCCAATCAGTTACTATAGATGGTTTAGTAGATGCAAACGGCGAGGATGCCCTCAACAAGTCTTCTGGAGGGGGGAGTGGGGGAAGTATCTGGATCCTATCCAAAGTCTTCAAAGGGAATGGAGTCATCAGAGCCTCAGGTGGAAGTGGATTGTTTTTCGAAAGTGGTGGAGGAGGTGGAGGACGAATCTCTATTGCATTTGACAACCGCACATTCAGTGGCAAAATAAATGTTTTTGGTGGAGCAAGCAACAAAACGGCAGGGGGCGCTGGTTCCTTATATCTCCATAATAAATACACAGATTTCAAACAGCTCATTGTTGACAACAACAATATAGGTTCACCTTTAACAGATGACATTACAGACGTCTCAAATGACGGAGGTCGAACCTGGCTGACACCAGAACCCAACACAATTGAAATGTCATTTGATGAAGTTGACATTCGAGGCCAATCACAACTAGCCGTCCTCACAACTCCACCTGACTCACCTTTCCGCTGGAACATTGGAGGTATCCGTGGTGATCGCTCGGGAATCCTGCATGTTAGAGCTAATCAAGAGATGCATATGACAATATCTGACAATGAGGGAAAACAGCCTCAATTGCTTTGGGGTGTCAATGTGTATCCAAGGGGTGACCTCAAGTTGCCCCATAACCTTGTTGTTGATGGGATCAAAATTATTACTGCGGGAAGTTTGAGTGGAGCTCAAAACGTCACTGTGGGAAATAATGGAAGACTCATCCTCAGGTAGAATAATTCTTGGTCGTCAATGCCTGCTTTATTAAAATTTCAATCCTTGCACAAATCACATTTAGGAACTTACCCTGTACTTTTGAATGGCCCCATAGTAAATGGCTAAGATTTATCCTATCACTCAATATTATTATACCTATTTGTTTTTTGATAGTCTGAACGCATGGATTTTATGATTATTGATTATTACTATTTGTAGGCAATTAATTTCTCCCAACAACCAGATGTCCAGAAACCTTACATTTGACGTGATTGAGATCCAGGGCGGAGGTAGAATTGAAATACAAAGCGACAAGGACGGCCTTTCAATAAAATGCACAGCCCTGTGGATCCGCAGTGGTGGCGTTCTCATCGCAGACCGCCTTTCAATTGTGGCCGACTCAGTTACAATTGAGCAGTCAGGAATTATTGATCTTAACTATAAGGTAAATTTTTGTTATGAAAGTGTTATCAGATATGGATTCTTAGATATGAAATTCCACAAATTTCTGTGCTGAATCAGTATATGGGAATGGTTTGGCATGGAAATGGACATGATATTCTGATATTACAACTTTTTCAATCTGTTCGGCTGTTTAGGAGACCCCACATGTACACTCACTTTTACCATCAAAAGCCTTTCTTAAACTCCCTACCTTTTCTTCAAAGACACAAGCCTTGGGAAGTACTATGGTTGAAATACACCATATTTCTCTTCTTGGAAAGTAATTCTCTTCCTTAATATCAACATTATAGCCTCCTGGCAATGTTTTTAATTGTCTTCTGTTTTTTTTCTAACAGGCTGTTGTGGCAGGCTCAGGACCAGGAGCTGGGTATTCACACTATTCGGGATCTTCAGGGGCCGGCCATGGCGGTCGGGGAGGTAGAGGTCAATCTGAGAATCGAACTGGTGGTTTCTATGGAGATTTCATCAGTCCAAAAATGTTTGGTAGCTCCGGTGGTGGAGGAAGTGGTAATGACATAGCAACCGGCGGAGGTGTTTTCTACTTACATGCTCAACGGATTGTGCACGATGGAGAAATTTCAGTAAATGGAAAAGATGCTTTAAACAATTCTGATTATGGTGGAGGAAGTGGAGGAAGTGTTTTTATTGAAGTAGAATATTTTGACGGTTCTGGGATAATTGAAGCAAATGGTGGTGCTGGTGGAATCAATGGCGGTGGTGGAGGTAGTGGTGGAAGAATTGCCATCTATTACAATCAGACATTCTTCACTGGACAGATTTTCGCATATGGGGGAGGGTCTACTGTTGAGAGTGGAGCAGCTGGGACTATTTACAAGAAAAACAAACATAATGGTAAGAGTATCCTAGAGGTTTACAATGAAGGGAAGAAGCCATTGAAAAAGGCAATCGCTGATTATTCAGACTTGACAAGTGATAGTGCGAGAACATGGCTGACGATAAGCCACATTATTGGTTCATTGGTGCCAGTTACTGTGCCAGATATAAATCTTGGGACCACTGTTTACAAAGGCCTCACAATTACCGAAGTGAAGCTAGGTGGATCAGCTCATCTTGCAATTGAACCTGACGCCACCAAAATTCGCCTTCACACGTTTGCACAGTTTTATGGAATGTTTGAAGGAAACAGCTTTGGCTTCGTTCATGTTGGACCTAAGCAACTACTTGCAATGCCAGACACAGACTACTACATTCCAGTTAATTTAAAGGTTTACCCGTCAGGCTACATTAAGTTACCGGACAGAGTCATGCTACACAAGAACTCCCTGTCTCTTGATGCTGGATATCTCATTGGTGTCGAAGACCTAGCTATCTCGCAGTGTACAGTTTCGTTTGGAGCCGGCTCTGGAGCACAAAGCACAGGATCATTACAAGCGATGTATTTTAAGATTCAAACACTGACGATCATGAGCCAAGGGATATTAGATATGGTTGCACCAAACTCTAATTATTCATTACATATTGACTCTCTAGTCATCAACTCGGGAGGTGCACTAAATGGACGAAAAGTAGATATTGTTGCAAAGAGCGTAACTGTTGATGAGTCAGGGAAGATAAACTTGGATGGCCAAGGAGAGAAGTGTCTAGATCCCAACGTTTACTACGCTGGGTCAGGAGGTAGTCATTCGGGCTATGGAGGGTTTGGAATTGGAAGCAAGCGACAAGACCCATTTGATTCAGTTTTTCTCCCAGTAGCATTTGGAACGGCTGGGTATGCTGGGCGTTCATCTTTTAGTTGTATGGGTGGATCTGGTGGTGGATCCCTGAACTTGACAGTCGATGGGACACTACAAATTGATGGTGAAATCTCGTCCAGGTGAGGATTTATAATGTATTTTATATTTTTCGAAAGAAGTAAACTATTTCAGTAAAGTTTACTGTTTTGAACTATTAAAAGTATCGTTTGGATGTTCTCTAGTCAGAATGTAATCCTCATTTTCATCATAAAAATTGAGATTAATAATAATAATACTTCTGATGTCCTGTGTGTTACTTTCTAAACCATTTCATGTAGTATATTGACCGTGTGCATTCATTTCCTTTTCTCCAGAGGCCAAAATGCTAAAGACAGTGAAAGTGGTGGAGGTGCAGGTGGTAGCATTTTAATCAGAATCACTACACTAGAGGGTACAGGTACGTTCGAAGCCCAAGGCGGTGATGGCGGAGTCACCTCTGGTGGAGGAGGTAGTGGTGGAATTGTTGCAATTTACTACAAGATATCATCACATCAGTTTTCCTACAAGGTTCATGGCGGAGGTGGCAAGAAGATCGGTGCTTCTGGCTTCCTGTACACAAAGAGGGATCTCCAGCGTAGTCGTCGGCAAGTATCTGAGTCAGATTCAGTACTGATCCTGGAAGGAAGGGAGGTTTTGTCTTTTGAATCTCCAAGCGTACTTGTCTGTGATCCAAAACTGATTGACTTTACTTTTGAGGAAGTGAAGCTTTTAAAATCCAGCACCCTGACGATGATTTCATGTTCTCAGGGAAGTCCTATGACTCTGATCGCAAGAACAATCAAGGGTGACAAAACAGCGTGGTTGGTCGTGAAACCAAATCATGATGTTTATATTGGCGTTACAAGCATAGTTGAGCCAAGCATGGAGCTAGAATTTAATGCGGAAATTGAAGATGGAGGAACGCTGTCTGTTCCGGGGAATTTCTTCATTTCTGGTGATACACAGATAAACCTTAGTGGCAGCTTAATTGGCGTGTCGGACTTAACAGTCAACGATAAAGGAAAACTTGTGCTTAAATATCCTGGACATACTGGCTTTAGAATAACTCCTGACCAGGGAAAATCTGTAGTGCAGATTTCAACTGTGCGAATCAAAGATGGTGGAAGCATTACAACAACTTCACCAAGCAAGGTTGAAATAAAATCGGATCTCTTACAAAAAGACTTTGGTGGGAATCTTGGACCTGGAATTTCTGTGTCTTCGAATCAACGAATAGAGCACACCATTGGACCCTCTCTCAATAAGCAGGGCTGCCCACATGGATACGAAGTTGTTGAAGTAGCTTCCAAAACTTTGTATAACCCATGCGGTGTTGGGAAGCACATTTTTAACAAAAGAAATGAATCTTACCTCGTATTAAAAAACGTCTCAGTGGCCATATCACATAATGAAACCATTTATGTAATTAAGAATGAGACACGCTTCAACGTCACATACTACATTGCTTGCGACTATGACGATTTCAAACTTTTACCTGGCCAATCTTGCAACCTAGCACCAGGAAGCTATAAATACAATTCTCTGGAAATACAAGGAAGTGCTGCGATGTATGTTGAACCAGGAACAGAAAAAGGAAATGCTAGTACTTTATCTGTTTCTAAGCTTACCATCTTCTCTCAAGGCCAACTAATTGCAAAGACGTCCAATTTTATTGATGCCATCTCGACACCCTCGGACTATGGTGGCAGCTATGGAGGTCTTGGAGGAGGTGCTTCTGAAAACAGCGCCTTATATGGTAACATTTCATTTCCTGTGGATTATGGTAGTAATGGTGGAGGAAGCAGTCAAAATCATGGATGGGGAGGAGGTGTGATAATCCTAAAGACAACAGAACTTTTCAACGATGGGCTTATTGATGCTAGTGGTGGGGACGGATCTTCTGGAGCTGGTGCTGGAAGCGGAGGCAGCATCCAAGTAGTAACAGATTATATGAAAGGATCTGGTATATTCAGGGCTCGTGGTGGAAATGCGAACTTCCCTGCGGGAGGGGGAGGCGGGGGAAGAGTTGGAATAACGATACGTAAGGGGCAGAGTGAATTTCGCGGTCTTTATGATGCTACTGGTGGAGATGGACGTAGACCAGGCTCATCTGGAACTGTTTTTGTACGTGACCAAAGACAAGGAGCTTCATATGAAATGATCATGTTCTGGAACAAGATCATTGGCTATCCTCCGGCTCAATTACCAAACACATCAGCTCCCTACACCTATGATGAAATCCGTTTAGAAAATCGCGGTACGTTCCTAGCAACAGCTCAGCTAGTAGTCGCTAAGAGCTTTGTTACCGATGGCACTGGCAAGCTAACAATTTCAGGAGGTGCCCGAGTTGACATTCTGAGTTTTTCAAAATCCTCGAGAACATTTTCATGTGACCTTGAAATACAAGCAGGTGGTTCCTTGTACTTCTACAATCAACCAATCTTTTTAGGTCCAGGTTCCCCTACTGTGGTAGTTGCCGGTATTTTGGATGCTAGAGAACCTTCTGTTGGCAAAGGCAAGTCTATAAAAATAACTTCAACAGGGGAAATAAGACTGGATAAGCTGAGACTTCTTAAAGACTCTGTGATGCGAGTGGATTCTGATGCCTCAATCAAGAAGAGCTTCTCGTATGCTCAATTCCATCTTACCTCACTGAGACTGGATACGAATGCACAACTTATATTTGCTCAAGAAAATGTTTCTTTGAGGGCTGATTTAATTCATCTTAGCCAGGGAGCAGCAATCACGTCTGATACCGATACGAAACTTATCAACATCACAAGTAATGATATTCTTATAGATAATCAAGCAAGAATAACTGCTGATGAAGGAGGCTTTTTGGGTGGTCCAGGAAAGGCCAACGGCTCTGGTAGTGGCTGTGGACATGGTGGAGGAGGTGGGGGAGGCCAGGGAGGAGAGTCGTATGGATCAGTATTTGAACCCCAGCATTATGGCAGTGGTAACAATGCCCGTGGTGGAGGAGTAATTTTCTTAAATATTAAAGGAGGATTTACTCTATATGGCAGTGTAAGTGCAAATGGTGCAAATGATTCAAGGGGAGGAGCAAGTGGCGGTAGTATACTGGTCCATGCAGGAACTTTATCTGGTCACGGGGAGGTTCTATCAAATGGTGGTGAGGGACTTAGTAATTCTGCCGGTGGCTCTGGTGGTCGTATAGCGCTGTACATTACAGATAGGACATCTTTCAAGGGTGTTCTTACTACTTACGGTGGATGTGGGACCACTTGTGCTGCAGCCGGAACAATCTTCATCCGTGAGTATGTGGTTGGACTGCCTCAGAACTCTACAGTAATAGACAATGGAGACAGGAAAACAGAAGCTAACACGATTATAATGCACGAAATGAAGATCTCTTACACGATGCGACTACTTAAACTCGTCAATGGGGCCCGGCTTGAGGTAGCAACTGTTCCTAATGTGGAAATGAAGATAGCCATTCAGAATCTTGAAGGTGATGGAAGTGGAAGCTTTCATGTGCATCACAATCAAACACTAACCCTGGGGGCTGGCAAGGCTGTTTCGTCACGACCGTTCATGTTTCCATGGGCAATGATCGTGGATGAGGGAGCAACGTTGAATCTAGATCCAGTACTTTTCATTACGCGAACAGCAATTTCGCCATCCCTGTACTTAGCTGGTAAACTGACTGGCGGCGAAAAAGTTACTGTTGGACAAGATGCCTCTGTGGTTATAGCAAAAAGTGGAGTTATTGGAACTCACTCCAACACACCTGGAAAGTACTCATTCCTCTCGCTTAAAGTCTCTAGTGGCGGACGCATTACAATTGAAGTTGATGAGGTTGCAAATGCTCCTGTCGAACTCAAGTCTCTCTCTGTTGATGTGGCTTTCGGTGGAGTTATAATTGGAAGATACCTTAGAGTTGACGCATCATTATTAAACATTGCCTTTAGTGGAACTTTGCAAGCAAATGGATTAGGTAACCCTGCAGGAGTTGGTCCTGGTGCTGGCAGTTCTTCTTTGTTAACAGGAGGTGGTTATGGAGGTTGTGGTGGAGGTAATACCAATGAAACCTGCGTGGTATATGGATCATTGTTTGAAGCAACAGAGTTCGGTAGTGGGGGAGGTACAACACAAGTTCCAGATGGTATCTTTGGTAGTGGTGGTGGTATCATAGAGGTAGAGGCTCAGGTTTTAATTGTTGATGGAACCATTTCTTCAAATGGTCAGAGTGGCAGCAGCACAACAGGCGGTGGTAGTGGTGGAAGTGTGGATATTTCTATCTCGCAAACATTCAGTGGTCGAGGAAAAATAAAAGCTGAAGGAGGATACGTATCTGGTCAAGTGACAGGGGCTGGTGGGGGAGGTCGCATTTCTATACTTATAACTGGTGATAACAAATTTAGTGGTTCTTTGAGTGCTCGTGGCGGAAGTTCATCGGCTAAAAGTGGATCGCCTGGAACGGTTTACACTGAAGATGGAAAAACAGTTTTACGTAAAAGAAAACTCTTTCTCGATAATGGCGGCATCTCTTCAAACTCACCTTTGCCAATTTTTTTGAATCAATCAGTTGTGGCTTCTTATGATTTTCAAGAAATCCACTTAAATGGCCTGGTTATGCTACACGTTGATAAAGATATGGAAGTTGAAAAGCTGGTCACAGACTCCGACAGCGTTATATATATCAAAGATAATGTTACTTTCACTGTCGAGCCAAATTCGAAGTATCTCCAGCCTGATTGTAGCTTTATTGTGGACGCCAATGGTGAAATTCGTATTCCAGACAAAGTTATGTTTCTCGGAAGAAACAACGTTTTCAAAGGTACTTTGACGGGTATACTGGATATGGTTATTGGTGAGAACAGAAAGGTTTATCTATTGGCCTCGGCGCGAACAGCTCGTTACATTGATGGTAAGTACACATTTATTACTCACCGTGGAGAATACAGATTTTCATCGCTGAGAATAAAGAATGGTGCATTCTTCTCGTTTGAAAATGCGCACTTGAAGAAAGTTCCTCTCACTCTTGGACGGCTTGAGGTAAACTTTGGGGCTTCGATGCAAGGCAGCTGGCTTGACATCAAGGCTTCTGATGTTATCATACACTCTGGCGCCACTATTGACCTCTCTGCTCAAGGATACGAAAGTGACAAGGGGCCTGGGGCAGGAGGTCTACATCAGTCCGATGGAACTGGCGCTGGGCATGGTGGCTATGGTGGAATTAGCACCGTAAACTTTGGAAAGTGGTATGGTTCTGCACTCAATCCAAACAATACCGGAAGTGGCGGTGGCAGCTCCAGTAGTGGTAAAGGAGGAAGAGGTGGTGGTTATCTTCGCTTAACAGTTGTTAGGTTACTTACACTTGAAGGGACAATATCAGTAGATGGAGATGGTGGAACAGTGTTAAATAGTGGGGGAGGTAGTGGAGGTAGCATTTGGATCTCAGCAGACAACATACAGGGTAATGGGATTATTAGTGCAGAAGGCGGTGATGGCAACGGTACTGGAGGTGGAGGCAGTGGTGGACGTGTTGCTCTCTACTTGCAAGGGTTGATGAGTTTTGAAGGTCTTTTGAATGCAAAAGGTGGTGACGGGAAAGACGCTGGTGCTGCTGGAACACTTTATATTCAGGATAATAACAAACGCATCCCTCGCAAACGCTTATGGATTGACAACCTGAAAGTTGGCAACAACAAACCTCAAACGGTGCTTTATGAGGCAGACAGAGTTAACTTCCTTTTTGATGAGCTTCGGCTTAATGGAATGTCTCGCTTTGAGATATACAATCTTCAAAGGAAGCTTCAAACTATCCAGGTTGCAAATTTTATCTCCGATGGTGTTGGTGAAATTGCCATAAGAAAAAACCAGACTCTTCTCGCAGAAGTCCTTGAGGCAAAAGAGAGTCACCTAACCTTGACAACGAACATCTACGTTGAGGAAGGTGCTAATCTGGTTGTGGCTTCGAATTTAACAATTGATGGTGCAACACTTACCTTGGATGGTAAACTATCAAATGTTCGACATCTTGTCGTTGAGTCAGGGAGTGCCATTAAATTTGGAGTCACATCACAGACAACGCTTATGGAGAACAAGAACTTTGTATTTCAGAGTGACCCTGGAACGCAACAGTTTGCAAGTGTGACGCTAAAGAGTGGCTCTGACTTTGGGGCTCCCCTTAATCTTAAGCTTAGTGTTGGAAAGTTGAATATGAAGAGTGGGGTGATTCTCCAAGGTAAATTTGTTGATATCAAATCCCAGTCGCTTCTCATTGGTCGTGGGGCAACTCTAACAACTAACGATATCATGGAAATAGAGTTAAATGCTGGTGGTAGAGGACACTCTTCGGGTAATGGTGGCTCTGGCGGCGGGCATGGAAGCATTGGTGGAACTGGATATAATACGTTAGCTGGTGGGATTCCCTATGGAACGATTTATGAGCCAAATCAACCAGGAAGTCCAGGTGGTGATGGCGGTTCTGGTGACTCAGGTGGAAAAGGCGGTGGAGTTATATCAATTGACACTGATATTCTAGAAAATGATGGATCCATCACAGCTAATGGTGGAGATGCATCTCAGAGCAGCCAAGCTGGTGGAGGAAGCGGTGGCAGTGTGTACATAATCGCCAGTAGCGTATTTTCTGGTACAGGGACAGTTTCTGCCCATGGTGGGCGTGGAGATGGCGCTGGTGGATGCGGTGCAGGCGGACGAGTGGCAATACATCTTAAATCTCAGTATGCATACCGTGGAACATTGGAGGCCTTAGGAGGACTTTCTAGTAGCAGTGGAGCTTCTGGTGGTCCAGGCACAGTTTACATCAAAGACGTCCGCTACAAGTTATATTTTGAACAGCTGCACGTTGATAACCAAGGGCAAAGTTGGCAAAACTATGTTACTCTAAACGAAAGTAAAACATCCTATCACTTTCATGAGCTTCACTTAGTACACAAAGCATCGTTACGTATGACTCCCAGTTCAAACTTGACTCAGTCTTCAACGCTTAGCATCGGGAAACTCTTTGGAGATCGATCAGGTCTTCTGCATCTGTATAATGGCCACAAAGCAATAATTGAAGTAGTAGAGGCACAGCTGACAACTACTAAGACCCCTGTGAACTTAAGAATTGACAGTGGGGCCGAAGCTGTTATGGCAACAACGGTTTACATTGTTGGCGATGGCGCTGTGGCGTTACATTGCAACGGAACATTAAACGGCGTTCGTAACCTTTATGTTACTCAAAAACGTGTCGTTCTCTTGGAACAAGGCTCACGAACACTAAGGGACGATGAACAACCAGGAACCTTTATGTTCTCCAATGTGAAGTTATTTAGCGGAAGTTCAGTGACCATGAAGGATGAGATCGTGATGAAAATTATTGCTGGATTCTTAAACATAAAGTTCCATGCAAGCTTGGAGGCTCATTATTTCGATATTGTCACTTCAAATCTTGACGTGGAAACTGGGGGACTACTTAGTGTTGCTGGTGATAACAAGGCACGTTTGGCTGTTGAACCAAGTGAAGTATCTTCACTTCCGCAGGGAGCTGGGGCAGGACATGCCAGCAACGGAGGAAGTGGCTATGGAGGGGCTGCTGGAGGCTTGTATCATGGATCCCTTTACAAACCGAAAGACTCTGGTCGCAGGGGTGGAAAAGGTACAAATAACGGTATTGGTGGAAGAGGTGGTGGATATGTTAAAATTGAGGCTGGCACACTCATCATCAACGATGGCATCATTACTGTTGAGGGTGGAAGTGCTGTAAGCGGTGGAGGAGCTGGTGGGGGAAGTGGCGGCAGCCTTCTATTCAACACAGAATCATTCATTGGTAAGTCTTTTCCAACCACCTTATTTCAACTACTACTGCTTTATTTCAGCTACTTATGCTGGGGCACGTAGGGGAGTTATTTTTCTGGAAGTAACAATTTTATTTCTCTTGTTAGCCCTTACCTTTAATAGTAACTCAATCAGCAAGCGAAACTCTCTCCCACAGGAAACTGATAATTATTTATAAGTACGGATGCTAATCGCATGACTTTATAATTATTGTATATGGAATATTACCCAAAATATCGCTTTATCTGTATGTATATTACATTATATGATAAGCTGAATTGGACAAGCATTTTGGTTGGTTCATACTTATAGTCCATCGGAGCGCAAACACATAAGATGGATAATCTGTTAAACAAATGGAGTCCTTGTCGCTGTGCGTCTGTTCAATAATAGATCAAAATGTGGGAGGAATTGCGCCTGGCTTGCCACTTTTTTTCTTACTACATTTTAACGTCAACTGTAATCTATTGTTGAAGAGACGCACGGCAACTTTAAATTATAAAAATGACCAACAACTGATCAGCAAACGATGTTGTCGTTTTAATTGGAAGTCTTTATTCTGAAAGGTTATGGAGAAATGAACAGTAATGGTGGGAATGGAGGAGGTACCAATGCTGGTGGAGGTTCCGGGGGAAGGATTGCAATTTATGCCACTGAGAACCTTTACAGAGGGACTTACCAAGCTTTCGGTGGAAGCTCCGTCTCAGGGGCTTATGGAGGACCAGGCACGGTGTTCTTGCAGGATATACGTTCAAAGAGGCCTTTCAAGCAGCTGCGAATTGACAACCTAATGCGTTCCATTAGAGATCCAGTCACGATAGATGAAGCCAACCTAACCAATCATGATTTCTCACAAGTTCACCTGTTTGGACGTGCAGCCATCAATATGGCTGTTAGAAAGGAACGAACGACTTTGAAAATGTCGAGATTGTTTGGAGATCGAACAGGACTTCTTCATTCCCGTGCGAACCAAACATTTTATTTGGAAGCGTCTGCCACGGAACATAGTGTGTCGAAGCCTGCTGTCAACTTGAGAATTGATGAAAATGCTGAGATGGTCTTTGGCGCGTCATTATACGTTATTGGAGATGGAGCCAAAGGAACTGGACAAATAACTGGTGACTCTTCTTTCACAATTGATGGAAGAATGATAGACGTTACTCACCTGTTCCTTACTAAGCGTTTGAAGTCAAGATTATTATCCCACGCTCATTCTGCAGATTACCATAATGAAACTTTAACTGTGAGTGCTGTAGGCACCTTCGTGCTAGCCACGTTTGAGATCCAAGATGGTTCAGAAGTATTTTTTCCTGATGTGCAAGGAGTTCAATGTGAAGTTGGACTTCTTCACATGAAATACGGCTCCGTGATTGTGGCAGATACATATCGCATTGGAGTTACGTCGCTTCTTCTTGAAACCGGAAGTAAAATAACTGCTTCCGGAAAAGTTCGTCCGAGTGATTATGACAGTTCTGTTCTTCCCAGTTCTTGTAAAGGTTCAGGTGGAAGCTATGGAAGCAAAGGTGGAAAAGGTAAAGTAGCTTTTAAGGAAGTGAAGTTCCCTTAAAATCTGCTGAGATTTTTATGTGGTCATATCTTAGTTGTGGAAATTTGTGTTTTGAAGCCGATCTGAAACTGAGTTACTTCAAAACCTTTACCATCCCCTTGAAGCGTACGCCGACAGGCCCTTTTGATCTGAGAAAGGAAATGATCTCGTCAATAAGACTTTGGAGGTGTTAATTTATGTTATCATGTTTGCTATTTCTTCTAGGTCATAATGGCGTTAATGAACTTCATTCCTATGGTAGTATCTTTACGCCTGGTCACTATGGCTCAGCTGGATGCCCAGGAAGTCAGAATGGTGGAAAGGGTGGAGGACTTATCATCATGGAAGTTGGGGATGAACTTTACCTTGATGGTACCATAGCGAACGACGGACAGGACGCTGCTAGTGGATCAGCCGGAGGGGGCGGAAGTGGCGGAAGCATCTGGATCAAATGTGGTAGATTTAATGGTCACGGCCTCATAACTTCAAACGGTGGTGCAGGCGATGGTCTCACCTCTGGTGGTGGATCCGGTGGACGGATTGCTGTTGATACTCCAACGCAGAATAAGTACGTTGGTGAATACACTGCCATTGGGGGAGATTCAGGCGACCCATCGAAAGACACAACTCAGTATTCTGGTGGGCCAGGCACAGTGTTCTTGAAAGATGCGCGAAATCAGTATGCGCACACGCAGCTTCGCTTGGACAACAAAGGTAGAACTTGGGATCATTATGTCACCCTCAACGAAAGTTTGAAGTCTTACACCTTTGACGAACTTTATCTCGTGCGCAAGGCCGCTATTCATTTGGTCCCAGATGGCAAACCATTGAACTTGACTGTGCACAAAGTGGAAGGTGATCGAACTGGACTTATTCACGTACACGAGAATCAAACTTTGAAAGCCGAGTTTTTAGACGCAGTGTACACCATCACCAGGACTGCTGCAAACTTCAAACTTGATAAGGGGGCCAATGCTATTATGGCGACGTCGGTGCACGTAGTTGGACAAGGAGAAGTGGCATTTGAATGGAACGGCCGTCTTATAGACGTGCAGCACTTCCATGTCGCTTACGGTCGAACCATTAAGATTGGTTTTTATGCTCACACTGCTGGTACTAAAGCAGGAAAGTATCGTTTTATTGATGGTTATGGTACGTTTCGTTTTTCAACGCTGGAATTTGGGAGTGGTACTTTAATACATTATCCACCGCCTATGGGAGTACACTTCATCGTCAGCCTATTGGTATGTGTGCAAGCTAATTCAAGTAAATGATGTTACGAAAATTATTGTTTTTGTTAGGTTAGAAATCAAACCAGGTTGGATAAAAAAAAATGTATGGCTAAAATAGAGTCGATATTGCATGCATCGTATTGAAAACGTTTATATTTAACTACAGTGTAAACTACATAGATGTTATGGCAAAATTCCTGAAGAAAATCCAAATCCACTATTCTCTCGTCACACTGCGTTATTACTGAAAGTGACAAAAGCGATAACAGATGTGGAAGGAAAAACCTTTTTTCATCTCAGTATCTGATATGCATGATACTAAACTAGGCTTCTTTAAAAACAGTGTTTTTTCGTTTGGACAGGATATCAAGTTCAGCTCATATTTCGAAGCAGAGTTCTTCAAAATTGAAGCTACTGACTTCTACCTTGAACCGAATGCTACCCTCAACTGCGCTGGAAGGGGGTTCGAAAATAAAACGGAGGGATCAGGAAAGGACTCTGCTTCAGGAGGTTCCGGAGCGGGGCATGGAACACCAGGCGGTGATGGTAAAGATGTCAGTGGAGGAGAAGAAGTGGGTTCCGTGTATGAGCCAGTACTTCCTGGTGCGAGAGGTGGGACGAGAACTGGAAGGACTACTGGTAGCAGGGGAGGGGGACGTGTTCGTGTAAGTGTTGGATTTGCCTTTCGATTGGATGGGATTATCAATGTCGATGGAGACGATGCAGCAACGAATTCAGGTTAGTGGTATATTAAAAGGACATGGTTACTGTATGAAAGTTAGAATATGTGCAGTGAGGTAGTGTGAGATTACCTCAAGGAGATATTTTCAACCAAAATGTTTAGCACCCATTTTTATCTAAATTTTCTGCTATTAGTGGCGGTTCTGAGGAGTCAGTGGTGCGTGGAAACTAGACTCTATGATTGCATCCGTGTACCTCAATAGATATATTTATGACTCGCGTTTTTGTCAGTAACATTTCCAAAATGAATGACTCAATACGTAAATAAGTAAATAAAGCAAAGAATAAATGGATAAGTAGTATGAAATTTATTGTTTGTTTAAGTATGGTAGATTGTATCACCAAAGCTTATGAATTGTGTCTTTTGAATTACAGGAAGTGGTGCCGGAAGTGGAGGTAGTGTCTGGATAACAACTGGCTATCTTCGTGGCCATGGCGATATATCTGCACGTGGCGGAGAAGGAAACACTGACGGCCTTGCCACAGGTGGAAGTGGCTCAGGAGGACGAATTGCAGTTCATGTGAAAATCAAAGACGAGTACAGAGGTGGCTTTTACGCCTTAGGTGGTGTATCTTCTGGGACCCAACATGGTGGTTCAGGAACTGTGTACATAGAGGAGATCCAGGGTGATAAGTTATTCAGACGGCTGTATATCGACAATCAGAATGCAAATCCACCAAAGGTCTTTACCTTGGACGAGATGAACCCAAAGACTGTGAAGGCGAATGCTACCGAAGAAAATGACGCAGAGTTTGGCTTTGATGAACTGATGCTACAAAGAGGCGTAAGTTCTTCCTTTTTTTTTACCTTGATTTTCGTTACATTTGCTCGATCATACTTTTGCGTTGGGTTTTCGTGGACTACGTTACTTCAACTTACCTAATTTTTTTATCAGACCTCAAACCCCCGAAAAACTCAGAATTGTGTTCGATGTTATGATGATCGCTTTGCTTTGGAGCCGTTATCTTGAGTATAAATATGGGGTAGACGGATGCGTAGCGTGATACTTTCTCCATAACAGTGTCACGTTATAGTGACCGGATGTGGTTTTTATGGATTTACCTCTGAGCGTCCTGGCGTTCTCGAAACCACACACACAAAAAAAAATGAACACGAGCTCGAACAATTCTATATAACAGTAACAAAAAAGCTCTCAATATCGTGTGCAATTTCGAAACCGTTCAGTAAATATTACAACTAATATTCGGGTGAACTATTTGTGTTACATCTGAGGGTCATTGCATTTATGATGTACTGGAGAACGCGTGATGACTTTAAAAGTCGAGAAGTAGATGAAAGAACGGGTCGATTAAACTCCCTTAATAACTCCTTCTGGTCGTAACTATTCTTATCTAAGTCGCCAAGCTTTTTGATAATCATTAACAGGTGAGCAACGCTTCTCTTTTAACACGACACCAAATGTCCCATGTCCAACACTGTCGATTTCCTCAAGGTTGTTGTAGTTGTAGTTGAATGGGGGCAATCCAGCATTTCTAGGAATTATTGTCTTCAATGTAATATTCGGCAACTCAAAATTCATGATCTCAACCGAATTACATAAATATTTTGGAAGAATCGCATCAACCTCGGACTGCCATGTCAGGACGCGAACAAATATGAAAACTGACGCGAAAAACCACGTCAAGAGGGAGATTAAATGATGAACAGGACCTAGACCTACCATGACCTCGAATAAACGAATATTACTGTTTTCCTTTCCAAACTTGTTGTTGTCCAGCACCGAGGGAAAAAATTGGGACATACGTTGACCATCGGTTTTTAGCCTTTTACTCTTGTTTGTTTGCTTGTTTGGTGGCTAATTGTGCGTTTTAGGAGTATCTGGTAGCTGTAGCTTGACATTGTCATGGTGAAATGTCAGACTATGGGAGAAACCCGGTCACTGAAACGTAACACTGTTATGGAGAGAGTATCACGCAACGCATCCGTCTACCCCACGTTTTTAATCAAGATAACGGCTCCAAAGCAAAGCGATCGTCATAAAATTGTACACAATTCTGAATTTTTACGGAGGTCTGAGTTTTCGAGGCACCCGTTTGGAAGATTATTATCTTTTGTGGTTACTACCTTTAGTAGGAAGAGAAGCCACGTATGTTGCCTAGATGGGAGAGTGAGTTTGTGTAACAATAGAATTCCGATTTTGACCCAATTTTGTCCCGATGTTTTCCGGCGACACCTATTGTCTTTTTCCGGAGTATCTTAGTATTTGGACAGTCGCATTCGGTACACAATTGAATTCTCTACTTTTGTGATTTCTGGCGTATAGCCACTAGCATATCATGTTTTCAGTTCTTGCCGTGACACCATGGAAGACAGCAGAAGACGATAATTTCAGGATTGCGCGCGATTCAAAACAAAAGTTTTCCTTGCAGAAAGATCTTAATGGATGTCATCAGCGCATCATGAAAATTCGAGGAAAAGTTTTGAAGAGAGAGCATTTTATCGTTTAAATCAGTAAATAACGTCGATCCGAAGATATAACCTTTGCAGTCCTTGTCGTGACACAACAAAAGACGATAAACTTCTCAAAATAGTTTTACAGTGGCGTCCACCGACGCATAATTTAAATCATATTTTTTTCTTCTAGGAATATCTCAATGGATGTGATCTGCACATCATGGAAGCTTTAAGAATAATTTTTTTCTTTGAAAAGAGGGCATTTTATTGTTTGAATCAGTAATTTATGCCGAAAAGAGCCGCTAAATTTGCAAGCTGCGAAATTCGATACCTTGAGTTATTCAATAGAATGATGGAATGATGGAATGAAGGAACGGTGGATGGGCGGAATGACAGAATATCTTAAGATGCGGAGTGGATGAGCATCCTAAAATGTGGAATTCCCTTTTGTGTAAAACAAACGTTTAAAGAAATGGAATTGCAATAAAATAAGAAAATTATTTATGATTAACAGGGAAAATTAAAAGAAACATAGGTAATCATGTTGAAGCCTAGAGGAAAAGGGAACCATGAGGCCTTCCAGCTAGCCTCTATTATATTACAAATATTATCATTATTATTATCGTTAACATTGTTATTTGTTATCAGTTAAATTACTGGTTGAATGCTAATTAGACATTATATTCTTCAATCATCCTTCTTTTGTGGAACAGGGTACTCATAAATATGTGGGATGCGGCAGGTTTTACTGTTCTGCTTGTGAGACAAATATTCTGCAACACTGCTTTCTAGCGTCTAGTCCTTTTTAATACAATAAAAATTGTGCCATAGCAATAGCCACATGCGGTATTTGAGAGTTTTTTTTTTCTTTTTTATTACCAGGTTGTGTTCCGGATTGCAGACTTGAGACTTAGTGAGCGCCCAGCTATTTCTGTTATAACTGTCCTCGGTGATGGTTCGTCTGTACTACATGTTATGGAGAATCAGACATTCTTCATAGAGTACCAGGAATATACCAGACGAAGGTCGTTCCCTCCCGTGAACTTTAAGGTCGATTACGGTGGGGAATTAATGTTAGTGTCAGACTTCCATGTCGCTGGGAAGAATAACCCGGCATTTGAGCTTGAAGGACGAATTACGGGAGTCTCGAACTTAAGTCTCACAGAGAGTCGAGTCCTGCGAGCGGGTGAAAACATGAGTAGTGCTTTGCTGAAGGACAAAGTTTACATTGAAACACCGATTGACGGACAGTTAAAATTTGGAGTTTTCATTATGGAAGCCTCATCAGGACTATATTTTGCTAAGCGCATGAAATTTGTTGTCAGCACACTCTACATGCGACAGAAGGCTGTCATTTCGGCAGACAAAATTCATATGGCTTTGAATGAAGTTCATATGGAAGGAAGCTCTAGAATCACGACATCTGGAAAGGGCCCCAAAGCAGGAGAGGGTCTGGGTCCTGGATCCAGTTTCAGTAATGTCGGTTCTGGTGGAGGTCATGGTGGGCAAGGTGGCCCAGGAAGTACAGTCGATGGGGGATCTGGGTATGGTTCCTATGTGTACCCAGTGCATCCAGGCAGTGGAGGAGGTGGAGACGGTGGCGGTGCTGGAGGATGCACGACTGAGGTAAAAGTTTCTCATTATTAAGATTAGAATTCAAAGGCAATGAGTCGCTGAGCTGTAAAAATCAAATATGTTTTTTGTTCCATGTTGGAGTTTCAATTGATACCTTATACCATTTTTGGTGCATAGAAGTCTTGGTTGCCCTGCAAGCGCCCCCCTAACTAACTTGTAACTCTACATTTTAACATAATTGTACAATCTGTTGATAAAGGTCACTTTTTCATTGAGGATCCTGCTGAGGCACGTAGGGGGAGAATTTGCTCTTCATTGCTGGGGATATGGCATAGTTATGAAGCCTAAAAAAACCCTGGCAGTTTGGTTTTCTTTTTTCTCAGATAACAGTTGGATATTCCCTACATTTGGATGGCATCATAGAGAGCGAGGGTGCCAATGGAACATCTAACAGTGGAGGTGGCAGTGGAGGCAGTATTCTGATCAAAACTGTGCTCTTCTCTGGACATGGGCTGATAATTGCGAATGGCGGAAGTGGTGACGGAAATGGAGGTGGTGGGGCAGGCGGCCGGATTGCAGCGCACGTTGCTTGGCTAAGAGAGTACGCTGGACAATATACAGCTTTTGGTGGAACAGGTTTGCTTGATTTTTCTATGCCTCTTTTTTCATTAATCTTTTCAGTCATTTGGCTACTAAGGTCACCATTGCGGGTGAGTGGCAGAAAGGAACTAATGTTTTTATAACCGCATGATAAATGGTGTCTCTCATACCTGGTATGGCTTTACGAGGAAATGCCCGAAAGGCCTACATGTTAATTGAAAAACGTGAAGATATACTTAAGTGCTAAAAGATACCAAAAAGCAAGGTTACAAAGGTAGCATAGTTATTTTGACTAGATCTGCTTCTGTTAACGTGAAAATTCTCGAAACTTAAACGGGTGTTGATGGCCTAAAAATGGCGGAAATCAGTGCCAAGAGAACAGACCTGGGAATTGTTCCCATCAGATATGTACAAGAAAGCAAACAAATGTAAATTTAATGAATTTGTGCGGGAGGGATTGAGAAGTGAATCAGTCTTAAGACAACACCTTTCAAATTACATTTCTGGCTTGCGTCACGTGTTTGAAATATTGCCAATCTTTCTAAATGTTAATGTCCCATTTTTAAGCAAACTTTCAATCTATAGGGGTCCGTCTGCCCTCCTATATGCATATTTACAAGACTAGTGTGTTGCGTCACCGTGAAATACCTCTTCAAAGAAAAACTGAAAGAGTGTTATACGTAATTAACTCGTCAATTGAATTATCTTGAGAGGAAAAAAACACTGTTTACATAGGCGATTTTGTTTTATTTATTTCCACTCATGAGATGGTCCTGATTGAACTTTCTCTCCCTGAAAAGAGTCAAGAGTACACGGACCTCTTCAGAACCAAACTGAAGAAAGAGTTGTTCATACTTGAATTCTCAAACTATGAAAAATATGCTCAACTTGTCTAGTATTTTGTTTGTTTTCTTTTCAAAAACATGATGTGTGACATGTTGTGGCATGACATGCCAAGATAAACTAACATGGTGAAAATTCATGTCTTTTTGTGAAGATGCATTCTAGTTAATGAATGAAACCGAGAAAAAATACTAATACTCAACTGATTCAATTTACTGAGTGAAAAAACGAGGGAAAGCTTTTTTCTTTCGCCTTAAATCTGACTTCAACAACGGAGACCCCAGTTAGATTATGTGGTGCTATCAACAAACCGACGAGGCGATTTTCACGAATTTCAGCGTGCTTTCAGAAAATTCGCTGTTAAGTTGTAATGAGCCCGATTGAATAGGAGGAAGAGTTGTAAGAGTAAAATATGAAAAGCTGAAGGTGGCTTTTAGCGCTCAATGGGACGAAATCTAATAATCTGGCATCTCTCTCAATCTCTAGGCTTTAAAGCAGGAGCCGCAGGCACTGTGTATTACACTGATACTAACCAAGGGCTAAGTCACAGGCCACTGCTTATCAACAAAGCAAACCACACAGTATTTGGCGAGGGATTCACAAAGCTTACAGTTGATAACTTTAATCGGAATCCCGATATTCCGACAATAATCATTTACGAAAACAGCTCATATTACGAAATCGACGAATTAGAGATGAGAAACCATGGCTTGCTTCACATACACGGCAACAATTCAAGTTTTGTCATCCACAACTTCACTGGAGACCGAACTGGTCTTGTGCACCTTAGGCAAGGTCAGAAGATGTTTGTTCAAGTTGTAGAGTCCAAGTCAGGCTACAGTGTTGCTCCTGTCAGCTATAAGATTGACAAAGGCGCCGAGATAGTATTCCCTTCTAGTTTAACACTTTTAGGGACGAGATGTTCCTTTGACGGACTGGTAATAGGTGTTCATCGGCTTATTGTTGCCGAAGGTGCTGAGGTTGTGTTTGCTTCAACAACCCAGACTGGTATCAAAGAGGACAGAAAATTCAGATTCCTGACCACGCCAGGCAACATTACCTTTGCAGAAGTGTACGTACAGAAAGGCTCAAGGCTGGAGTTTTCGCGGATCAACAACACCTTAGTCTTTACTGCGATAATTTTCCGACTGAAATATCATGGATTAGTCAACATCAACCATGGTGAGATCGATTCTTCTTGGGCTTGGGTTGAAAGTGAAGGCAAACTTGTTTTAGACTACACCGGACATCCAGCCGAAATGGGCTCAGGTCCAGGAAATACAGTGAACTTGATTGGATCCGGTGCAGGCCATGGCGGTATGGGTGGAGTTTCCCAGGCAGGGCAGCTTGGTGGTGAGCCATATGGCTCTATATACAAAGCAGTTCACCTAGGTAGCGGCGGAGGTAATGGGAATGGAAACGGTGGATCCGGTGGGGGTATGCTTCATTGGCGAATTGGACAGGAGATCGAACTGGATGGACTCGTTACTTTACGTGGTGGCGACGGTTCTGGAGCAAGCGCTGGCGGTGGTAGTGGTGGAAGTATCTTAATCGAGACAACGAACTTTACAGGCTATGGAGAAATTAATGTTATGGGAGGAGATGGCTCTGGTCCAAGTGGGTCTGGGGGAGCAGGTGGTAGAATATCGGCGCATGTACGCTTTCGTCATAAGTATGCTGGAGTATTCAAGGCGTATGGAGGAGATGGAAAAACTTACGCAGCAGCAGGCACAGTGTACATAGAAGAAACTGCGCGTGGACCACAATATGCTGACTTAAAGTATGACAAGAGTACGAATACGACTTATATTACAGCAACCCACAGGTACATGGAAGTTGATAATGAAGATCGCAAAACCGAGGTGTCTACGATGATGATGGAGAGTGAGCACTTATTCTATGAATTAGATGAGTTGTTCCTTACAAGGCATGCTAATTTGCAGGTTAGGCATCCACCAGGGAGTCTTAATGTCACTGTTATTGTACACCGATTTCTTGGAGATGGTACAGGAAGATTTCATGTCAGGATCAACCAAACCATATATGTTGAAGTGGTGGAGTCGGAGACTAATGAGACCATAGCACCTTGTAGTTACAAGATTGACCAGGGAGCTGAAGTAGTTTTCCCAGCTATTGTTAACATCTATGGTACTAGAAGCATTATCGAAGGACGAATAACGGGAGTGGAACATTTGATTATTGCAAGTGGTGGGTTTGTTGAGTTCTCGTCCACTGCTCAAACAGCAAGAGTGGAGAATCGCCGCTATGTAGAGATAGACGAAAATGGCAACTTTTCGTTTGCTACTGTGACAGTTGAAAGGAATTCAAGATTAACTTTCAGTCGCATTCTCAATTACACTCTCAGTTTGCGTTGCTCGGAGTTCAGGATTAAATACGAAGGACTGATGACTATGAACCATGGCTATATTTATTCTGCATTTGCTTGGATAGAAAGTGAAGGTATCCTGTCTTTGGACGGTACAGGATTTGGGCCAGAGCAAGGTTTTGGACATGGAACGACCAAAAATAATTTTGGCTCAGGGGCTGGTCACGGTGGGGAAGGTGGGAAAACAGACTATGGCGAAGGTGGAATCCCATACGATTCTGTCTACACCCCACGGTTGTATGGCAGTGGTGGAGGTAATGGCCGAGGAATAGGTGGCTCTGGTGGGGGTTCTTTGTTCTGGATCGTGGGTCAACGACTTCAAATCAACGGACTTTTGTCCTCAAAGGGAACTGATGGGGAAGGAATTGATGCTGGAGGAGGAAGCGGCGGTAGCATTTTGATAACTACTACAAACATGACTGGCCACGGCGAAATTGCTGTTCCTGGTGGCTCAGGAACTGGTTCGGGAAGTGCAGGATCTGGCGGGAGAGTTGGAATTCACTGCCGGTGGCGATACAAGTACGGAGGAAAGTTTACTGACCATGGAGGTCAGAAAGGAAGGAATGGAGGTCCAGCTGGAACAATCTATAAAGAAGAGAATTTCAGACCCCTACAATATCGTCACCTTAAATACATGAAAGAAACGAACACTACCATGTTAGCAGTTGATCACACTTACGTACATATTGACAATGATGGTTTTGATGTTCCCGGCGCAACTCTTCTCATGGAAGAAAATACCACCTACTATGAATTCGATGAAATGGAGCTAACAGGTTACTCACGACTTCTGGTCTATCATCCTGGAAACGTCACAGTAACTGCTGTTGTGCACAAGTTCATAGGTGATAAAAGTGGACAGTTCCACATCCGTCGTGATCAAAAGATTTTTGTGGAGTATGTTGAATCCGAAACAAACAAAACTGAAGCACCTTGTAGTTATAGGATCGATGTGGGAGGACAGATTATTTTACCGTCGGAGTTTTCAATGCATGGCACGCGTTCAGTTTTCGAAGGGATGATCATTGGCGTTCGTGATTTGCTTGTGTCTCTTGGTGCTGAGGCTGATTTCTATTCAACCTCACAGACAGCACTGATAGAGAATGGCGACTACATTGCAATATCGAAGCCAGGAAATATTTCTTTCGCAATTGTTATTGTCAAGAAGGGGGGTGACATCGAATTCCGTAAAAACACTGGATTCTTGAGAGTAAATGTTGACGAACTGAAGATAAAATATCAAGGAAAACTTAGTATGAACCACGGAGAGATGTTTTCAACATTCGCTTGGTTGGACAGCCAAGGTCATTTTAACTTGAACGAGGGGGGAAATACAGCTGAAAAGGGACAAGGTGCCGGAATTACGGTAAATTCAATTGGCCTTGGAGCAGGTCATGGAGGGAGAGGGGCTCGATCAGGAGGACAAGCGTATGGTTCAGTTTATCGCCCCCTGGTACTAGGTAGCGGAGGTGGAAACGGGGGAGGAACAGGAGGAACTGGGGGCGGTCAACTTCTTTGGGAAGTTGGAAAAAGATTAGAACTTAACGGACTTGTCTCAGCCATAGGCGGAACAGGTAATGGCGGTCACGCTGGTGGCGGAAGTGGTGGGAGCATTCTCATCAAAACAACAAACATGACTGGGCATGGCGAGATTGCTGTAACTGGAGGAGATGCTATTAACCAAGGGGGAGGAGGATCTGGAGGTCGTGTCGGAATACATTGTCGTTTTAGGTATACATTTGGCGGAAAATTTACCGACAGAGGTGGTTTTGGAACACAAAGCCAGTATGGAGCTCCTGCAGGGACAGTTTACAAGCAAGAGAATCTCCGTCCACTGGAGTACCGAATACTTAAATACAGTAAAGAAACTAACGAGACTTTCCTGGCTGTAGATCATACGTATCTTCATGTAGATAATGAAGGACATGATGTGCCTGAAGCCACCGTCCTTATGGAGGAAGGAACTACAGATTATGAGTTTGATGAGGTTGAACTCACCGGGTACTCACGCCTTATTGTTTATCATCCAAACGAAACGGACGTTACAGTGATAGCACATAGATTTATTGGGGACAAGACTGGACAGTTTCATCTGAGGGTTAATCAAACCATCTATGTGGAAGTAGTCGAATCTGAAACAAACAGAACTGAAGCTCCATGTAGTTATCGCATTGACGAGGGTGCAGAGATTGTCCTTCCAGCGGAGTTTCATGTTCATGGAGTTAGGTCGGAACTTTACGGGTTGATGACAGGTGTGCACTTTCTTTTCCTAGAAGACGGAGGCACCCTTAAGATAGCATCATCGGCACAAACGGCGCTAACGGAGAACCGGACTTATATTGATATCACCCAACCTGGTAACAGCTCTTTTGCTCACATCATAATAAAACAAGGCGGTTTGTTGGATCTGGTGCGTGTGGAAGATGTCGCTGTGTCAGTCACGTCGTCTGTGTTTGAGGTTCTACATAAGGGAACAGTGCGAGTGAACCATGGTGTATTTTATTCCGCCTTTGCTGAAGTGGAAACTAAAGGTGTAGTTGTACTTGATGGGGCTGGTTACGAGGCAGCGACTGGTCCCGGTGCAGGGTCGAGCTATTCGTCAAATTCAGGATCTGGAGGTGGTTTTGGTGGGCAAGGAGGACGATCTCATAGTAATAGCAACGGGGGTAGCGCTTATGGATCTGTGTACAGGCCGCTCTCTTATGGTAGTGGGGGAGGACATGGGAAGTGGAATGGAGGAGGAGCAGGTAAAGTGTTCTTAGTTTATCTTTACAAGTGATTTGGAGTTGTGTTTGGAGACTAGCGCACTCTGAGTGTAGTTTCAAGTTGAAAACTTGGAATAAATCGACAACTTTTTTGTACTCTTCACTGCAGCTGTCATTTTTTACATTATGATCAAACCAGGACCAAGGGTTTTTGTTTCTAAGAAAAGTAATCCCGCTTCTTGTAGTTCTTAATTCAAAGAACTGGGTAGCTGATAATCGATAGACATTTTTGCATCATTCTGTATGTGACACTAACGCACAGAAAACGTTATTTCTTTTAAATGCTTTTTGGCAGTGCTTAGACTGCTAAAAAAAAGACCGCATATCTGAAGCACTCCACCTCCCCCCAACGTAGTGTCATCGTGATTTTAAAATGTAATTGTTTACCTCCCATGCTAATGACTTTCGATATCTCAATATATATCGATGTTTTCAAACATATATAGGCGGTGGTTCTCTCTGGTGGCAAGTTGGCAAACTTGTTCATCTTGACGGCCTTCTATCATCCAAAGGAGAGAGCGGTAGCAGCAATGGTGGTGGAGGAAGTGGTGGGAGTGTTCTAATAGAGACCACGAACATGACTGGACACGGAGAAATAAATGTCAACGGCGGGGACGGGCAATCAAATGCAGGAGGTGGAGCAGGTGGAAGAATTGGCATTCATGTCGACTTCCAGAATAATTTTGGAGGTTGGTGTAAACAAGTTTATTAAGTTGTAATATAATTTGGTGTTATCGAATGAGTTGGTATTGTAAATTGCCACCGTAAAGAGTTGCTAAAGCTGAAGTTTCGAGCGTTAGATCTTCTTCAGAGTGACTATAGGAATTGTGGGTTTAAATGCAGAAATGTTGTTGGTAGGAGGATGGTAACGTAAAAAACGTATAAATTAATTGAATGAAAAGCGTTGGTTGATACCGTGGGGAATAAGAGTGCCGTTTTGAAAGATAGATATTTAAGATTTTGTCCGCCTGTTGGGGCATAGATCGCAGATGCGCTAATGTTATAATTGAAAAAAAAAATGGTGACACTTTCCAGGTAAATTCCGGTCTGCTGGGGGGAATGTTTCTGGCTATCCCGCCAACGCAGGCGCAGCTGGTACAGTTTACAAGTACGAAAGTCGGCGGGGTCCACAGTACCGTGACCTCAAGTACAATCCGGACGCAAACTTAACATCCTTCAAACCAGAGCACTCCAAGGTCAAAGTGGACAATGAAAATAACAACGTTGCTACTCCGACGGTTATCATGGAAAATCAAACCGTGTTTTATGAGTTTGATGAGATGCAAGTGGAGGGACATTCTACAGTGATCTTCTACCATCCAGAAACGGCACGGAATGTGACGGTCATAGCTCACGAAGTAACTGGAGATAAAACCGGTATTATAAAACTGGTGTCTCGACAGCGCTTGTTTGTATTTGTTGTGGAGTCAACGCACACTTACATGGACGCTCCGTGTGGATTTCATGTCGAGGACTATGCTGAAATTATCTTTCCTACGGAGGTTATCCTTCGCGGGGAAAGCTCAACCATAAGAGGGCGGATTACTGGAGTAGAGAGGCTTGTAATCGAGAGAAATGGCTTCATAGAGTTTGGAGGAACAGCTCATACTGCGCAGTTACCCGAGGAATCACAGTGGATTGCTGATAATCCATTTGACCCATTCACTCCAGGGCTTATCATCGTCCCACAGTTAATCATTAGTAATACCGGTGTAGTTAAAGTCAAGATGACTCCGATCCGAGTTGTACTTGATATCGCCGACACCAATGTCAAAAAAGGTGAGCCCAGGTTAATGCTGATGTGTAACACACTGGAAAAACCTCCATAATATTGTCCACACTCTGTCATTATATTCACTGCTGAAACTGAGATAGACAACAGGGAACAGTTAGCCTAGCTTTAATATTATAAATCACAAGTACCCGGCTGTGCTCGTAGGCTTCACTAAATCTTTACAGTATTTCTCTCATCACCGGGGTTTTAGACCTCCGGTAATATTAATTAATTCCTCTGACACTTATTTATAGACAGAAATCGACGATTACATTCCTCTTATGCGCTTAAAACTCTCTAGACTCTGAGCCGCAAATTGTGTATACAAAGCTCTTATTATAACTCATTCTTGATAATATTCGGACTTTTCTTTCAGGTGGTCAACTCATCCTTTATACAAACCACGTGACCATTAATGCTGACTTCGTTACTGTCGAAAGTGGAGGTCTGATAGACTCTTCAGGTGCTGGTTATACAGCTGCAAGTGGTCCTGGAGCTGGATCGGGAAGTACAGGTGGCAGCCACGCATCACCTGGTGGGGGAGCTGCCTCAGGAACACAGTATGGCTCTGTTTATTTGCCTGATGAACCAGGAAGTGGTGGTGGCTACGGTGCCGGTGGTGGACAGGTTTATATTAAGACCGGAGGATATGTTATAGTCGAGGGAACCATTCGAGCCAATGGTAATGGTTTGTCGTCAACATCCTCTGGAGGAGGAAGTGGTGGTGCTATTGTTGTGAGGAGTTTATTCCTTAAAGGCTATGGAACTATCGAGTGTCATGGAGGTTTGTATCAATTATTTCGAATCTAATAATTTTTTTTGTATGGATTTCCTTAAAAAAGTCTTAATCGAAACTAAAGGTTTCCGAATTGTTAATGTGTAGTTAGTATGTTTTTTTTTTACTTATTTCTTTGAGCGATAACAGGCTATTCCCTGCAAAGAGGAAGGTTGCTATCTAACTTAATCAATGCAAAAGTAGTTAATGCAGTAAAAGGGAGACATTTTAGGTTTAGCTACGTGTAAAACTTGGCTCGTGCATGTCGAGAACTTATAAGATCTTACTGTTGGCTCATTGCTCGTGACAGTTAGGTAAGCTATGTCATGCTGTAAAGTTATAAAGACAAGCGACCTTTGATTGGATTGTTAAATAAGAGGATGGTTGTAAGTCAATTCTAGGCAAAAATTTTGAAAGCCATCTCGCATTTTCAATCAATTTTCAGGTCCCAGTCACGATGGAGCTGGTTCAGGGGGCCGTATTGCTGTGTACCTCACAGAGCACTTCATCTTTAGAGGGAGCTTGACTGCACTAGGAGGCGATAGTGGCACCAAGAGATATGGAAGTCCAGGAACAGTTTACATTGATGTCAATGTGGGCGAGGAACCGTATCGCATTGTACAAATTGACAACAAAAACAGGGACAGTTTGCTACCAGTTACCCTAGCCGAGGCAAACACATCACTCTATGAGTTCGAGCGAATCCACTTAGTAAGGAAAGGAGCGCTTGCTTTTAAGGCGGTAAGCTTGAGATGATTGAATAGCTTCAGTGCCTCACGACAAATGAATAATAATTTAGTGTTTGTAGCGTTGGTGATCAGCTCCTTTTCTAGTCATGCTGTCGCATCTAGTTAATACTTTGAATCTCACTTTTTACGAAAAGAAAACTGAAGCCAACGACTGCTACGAGATTGTTTTTTTTCCTTCTTTGAATTCTCATGATCAAAGTTACCTATCGTAGACAAAATCATGAGCCACGTCGATAACTCTCAGACTTGGTGTTTTCGTTCGAAGGTTTCGGGAAAGCTGGTCAAAATATTTATAGGGAAAGCTACTGGTGACAAGACAGGCATTCTACTGGCATTGCGGAACACCAGAATATACGTTGAGAGTCATAGCGTTCGCACCGAGGCTCCTGTGAACTACCAAGCCGATACAGGAGGTCAGATTGTATTTCCAATACAAACCATTCTTCTTGGTACCAGGGCTCCAGCATTAACTGTCAACGGTGAGATCCACGGCATAGAGGAACTAAGGTTGTCGTCAAACGTCGGTAGCCTTGTTACAGAAAAAGGCTTCTCAGCTTGCCTAGATTGTCACAGTAACTATACATCCGATTACATTGGCCATTACTGGTTTAAAAAGCTGCAGGTGGATTTGGGAGGAACCTTTGAAGTGCAAAGCTCAGTACAAACAATCTCATCTCAGGCAGTACGTCTTCACATGGGAGAGATAGCTCTAGACTATACAGGATCACTGAAGGCGGACGCTGCGAAGTTGCTCACAGAATATTTCAGTCTCGAGTTTGACGCAGCTACGGACGCCTCAAGCTCTGGTTGGTCATCCCAACAGGGGCCTGGAAGTTCCACAACTTGTTCAGGTGTAGCGGGAGCTGGTCATGGTGGCCGAGGGGGGACAGGATATATCAGTGGATGTACATCGTGCACAGCAAATGGTTAGTGAACTTTTAGGGTCGGTTTCCTATAGAAACAGGGATGAAAATAACTCGATAAGGGTAACCCTGATGCTATCGAGCAAGGTGAAGCCATGTACTTCTTGATATATAGATTTGTGAATCGTGAAGTGGTATAAAAAACTAGACGTCATCCTAGGGGCGTCAGTAAAAGACTCAACAGTCGTTACAGACGTTTAGAAGTAAGGGTTCAAATAGTAGCCGGAGAGGTAAGGACTCATATTTTAAAAACCGAACATCTTGGGTTCACAATTCGTATACTCTGTTATTGTACATCGTGTTAATTCATCTTATTTTCAACGCGCTGAATATGTGGTTAAATTTTTCAGGAGGAAGAGAGGGTGTATTCTCTTATCAATCCAGTTGTTGTGCAAGGTACAACGACAGAAAATAAGCGTTTTAATTGAAAGATGTGTCTCTAGGACGCATTTGTGTGATGTTGCATTCTAAACTATTTCTCAAATTTTTTTTATTTTAATTATTTCCAGGTGGTAACACGTATGAAAATGTATCCCAAGCCATTCAAGCCGGTAGTGGAGGTGGAGTCAATTTAACTGATGGGGGAGGCGTCGTCTTTGTAAGTGTAGAAAAGCTCTTGGAGCTCGATGGTTCGATCAAGTCCGATGGCGCTAATGGAGACTATGGTGGAGGAGGAGCAAGCGGTGGAACTCTTTGGGTCGCCGGAAGACATTTTGAAGGGCATGGGCATCTCACTGTGAAGGGGGGTGCAGGAAGCCATCGATCTGAATGTTGCAGTGGTAGTCCCTGCAATAGCCATAGAAACTACCATGGTGGTGGGGGTGGTGGCGGACACCTTCGTCACTTTTCCCCCGATTACATCAGGCGCGACATAATACGAAACAGGGATGTATCTGGTGGGGCTTCGGGTGGTGGAAGTGCTGGTAACGGAGGAAGTGGACAGATAAGTGCAGCTGGTAATCAATGTAGTGGTCATGGAACATTTTCCGTTCAGAAAGGCAGTTGCACGTGTGATGCTGGTTCTTACGGCGTAAGTTGTCTGTACCAGTGTGACGCGTCAATCACATGTCTAGGACACGGACGTTGCTCGGCTTCTGGTGGGTGTGACTGTGACGCTGGTTATGTGGGTTATCGATGCGAACATAAGTGTGACGCCGCACGTGACTGTCACGGGAATGGTCGTTGTAGCGTGACAGGGAAGTGCGTATGTGACCCTTGCTATAGTGGAGATGACTGTAGGTACGAATGCTCAGGCAATGGGACCTGTATTGGTGGCAAGTGCAAATGTGATCCGTGCTATATCGGAACTCACTGCCATTCGCTCTGCTCGGGACATGGCACATGTAATAATGGCACTTGTTACTGCGGCAGTAAATGGAAGGGTGATTACTGCGAAGTCCCAAAATGTCCTAACGACTGCTCTGGAAACGGCATCTGCAACAGCGCTCTTCTCACATGTTTTTGTAACCCAGGCTGGCGTGGATTGGACTGCAGCGAGCTTGACTGCCCTGGTGAACCGGATTGTCATAATCGAGGTACCTGCTCATCGATTAATGGTACTGTAATGTGTGTCAACTGCAGTGTTGGTTGGATGGGCCCTGCCTGTAATGATCCTTGTATCAACGGTGTACAAGAGCCAATGGACAGTGGATTTTGTAAGTGCAATCCCTGCTGGGCTGGCAAGGGCTGTGATGCTCTATGTATGGGCCGAGGTACGTGCTCCGATAATGGAATTTGCAAGTGTGATCCTCTCCAAGGCTGGCGAGGAGACGTTTGCCAAATTCCTGGATGTCCTGGTGTTGGTAAGGATTGTACGGGTAATGGTGACTGTAACAGCGCTACACACGAGTGCACATGTTACCCGGGATGGGCTGGTCTGGGATGCGATATTCCTGATTGTCCAGGGGCGCCAAACTGCAATAACCGCGGCTACTGTAATGCGTCTGTTACTCCCCCACAATGTCAGAACTGCAGTCGAGGCTGGATGGGAGCTGCATGTGCTGATCCTTGTACGTTTGGAGAGCAAACTCCAATGGACAGTGGACAGTGTGTTTGTTGGCCTGGATACACAGGTAAAGATACAAATATCGGCTGGTTTGTCAATATAGCGTGTTCCTAGAGATTTTTTATTTTAATATCTTATCATAACTTTTACTTGCGTAAGTACTCCCAAAGAGGCTTTGGGGTGAATTTGACTCTGTCTCTGTATCTTTGAATTGAGTCACTGTATCTAACGTGAAGCACTGATAGAACTCATGCTTGTATTTGAGTGTTTTTTCGTTGGATAAGAAAACAAAAACTATTTCAACTTTATACAGCATATTTTAATGCTTTGTGGTGTGTATTACCTATGATTAGAAATGATTTTTCTCTTAAAAAATTATTGAAAGGAGAAGGTGGTGTTACATGGTGCAGAAGCAGTGACATAACAACCTTTCACACATGATTTTCAGCTAGCTATGTAATTTCCCTTTCAAAATTAACGTAAGCCCTTTGTTTTACATTCTTCGTGTAGCTCTAGGATATGGTTCCCGGTTGCCCATGTATTAAATTTCCGTTGTTTCTTCTAAAGGTGTTGGGTGTGACAGCGAGTGCTCCGAACACGGTAAGATTGTCAACAACAGTTGTGTGTGTGATATCGGGTGGCGAGGAGATCTCTGTGATAATCCAGGCTGCCCTGGTATTGGCTCAGACTGTACGGGCCACGGAATATGTAACTCCGCAACGCATATTTGCACTTGCAACGAAGGCTGGGCTGGTGAAGGCTGTGAAATTCCAGACTGTCCAGGGACCCCTAATTGCTTTGAACGAGGACTTTGCAACGCTTCTGTAAACCCACCCAAGTGCCAAAATTGCTCCAAAGGCTGGATGGGACCGGCTTGTAATAACCCTTGTGTGCATGGTCAACAAGTTCCAATGGACAGTGGCAATTGTGTGTGTGAGCCTGGGTGGGTAGGTGTGGGGTGTGATAGTGAATGCTCAGAGCATGGAACCATCGTTAATAGCAAATGCCAGTGTGACATTGGGTGGCGTGGAACATATTGCGAAAATCCTGGATGTCCAGGTGATGGAGAAGATTGTTCCGGTCATGGGGAATGTAACAGCGCTCTCCATACTTGTATATGTCAGAATGGATGGACTGGTGACGGATGCCATATTCCAGACTGCCCTGGAAATCCAAACTGTGCAGATAGAGGTAAGAATTCTGAATTACGGGAAACATTTTAAAGCAATTTATACTTATTTTCTCATTATTTTAATGCGAAATGAAATGCGTTGTGCACTTTTACATTCAGCAAAGCTTTAAGTAAGAGTTTCAATAATTCCGACAATAAATATTGTGGCGTTATTTCTATAAATTGGTAATCGTTTTTTCACGTGTGGTACGCGAGAAACAACTCCCTATTGGGACTCCGAGTCACTCACTTACTTACGCGCTCACTCAGGTGTAAACACTGTGGTAATTAGTCGTCGCGATCTTGCCTTAGGCTTAGCAACCGGCTCGTAAGCGATAGCCCGTTGCTTTAAAAACCACCTACCGAGCTATCAAAAATGTATCTAATCAAAGCACAAACCGCGTCGATTGTTTACGATCTGTTGTGAAGCGAGAACCGTGGGAACAATTAGAGTTTATTGATTAATTAATTAATTGAATTACATTGTCTTATGTAAACATTGGCGGTTGAATAACACTTTAGCGGTCGATAATAATCCTGTTTTTTTTTCTCTGACAAAATAAATTATCGGCCACGTGTTAAATTTCAAATCAAGCTAAAACTTGCGGTCACATAGAATACGTACCGAGGTGTATCGTTTTGTCGCAAAAAACTTTAGGGGTTTGTTATCAGATGCAAGAGGTAGAAAACCATCTCAACAAAGATAATCGCGTGACTATGCAGGCGAAACGTGATATGAAAATGTAATGAACCCCTGAATTTGGCTAATACAGGCGAAGAGGGATTTGGATCGTAGCGTCTAGGTTTGGTGAATTTTGCAAACGGAATTTGGTAAATTCAGGGCGCTTTTTCCTCTGCTGTTTTCAGTTTAGTACGCCTGAGGTATGCGTTAATTATTCTATGGAGTTTTGAGGAGTTGGATGGTTACCATCATTCTGGATTTCTCCTTGACCTCCTGAAAGTTTTCAAGCAATGTCACGAACGAAACCGAAAAAACCTTGAGACTTTTTCGGAGTTCTTTCAGTCACTTTAATCTTTACAACGCAATTTTTGATAAAAAACAATTGATATTTTCTGTTAAATTATTCCTTTCCCGAGTAGAATGGGATGTCGATTTCGGAAAATGAGCGAAAGATTGCGTACTTTTTACACTCCTCTGACATCTACTAAGGTGAAAGGAGAATACTGAACCGCTCTTTGCTTTTGGTTGTAAAATAACCGAGCTCCCCACTGGTGTGATCCCTGGAACGGGCGGAAAAGTCCATTAAAGGTCATAAACGATACAAGTTAAATTTCCAACATTCCTTCACGAATGAGTTTGTAATATGTGTGCGACAAAAGCGGACAAATAAGGCATTGGCTTTATGCGATGAAAGCAACCTTGCATGCTCCATTTTTTATCTCTAGATTTCTACCACAAACTGGCCAAATGTATTCTCTGATTGTTTGAAGCTACCAAGTTTAATTGTTAGCCCCAACAAAACGATCTGTATTGTGGAGACGGATAGAAAGAGAGACTAGCAAACAAGTATACGGAGTACAGATGAAACGAGCACCTAAAATACTAAAGCATTAACAAACTGACTGATTGACAAAACGCTGTCTCTCTGATGTTCACTACTTGAACTTTCCTAGACGCGCACATAAGATGATAATTCAATACGTTTTTTGTTTTACTCTCACAGGCGTTTGCAACACTACCTACAATCCTCCCAAGTGTACAAATTGTATTGCCGGCTGGATGGGTCCTGCGTGTGAAGACCTTTGCACAAATGGAACCCAGGTGCCAATGGACAGTGGAAACTGTGTTTGTGATCCGTGTTTCGCAGGTCGTGGATGTAATGTAGAGTGCAACGGATACGGAACATGCTTGGAAAACAAGTGTCGGTGTGATGAACTTACTGGCTGGCGTGGATCGCTTTGTGAAGTTCCCGGATGTCCAGGATCAAATGGGAAGGACTGCAGTGGAAATGGAAAATGCGACAGTGCAAATCATATCTGCATATGTGATCCAGGTGAGGAGAGTAAACCAAATTCAATTGAATAATGTTAAAAACTTTGAAATGGAGTAAACAGGTTTAGGAGGTATATAATGGCAGCTTTTGTCATTTCAAGACGTCATCTTCTCTTCCTTTCTAATTTGATGTCTTCTCTTTTATGTTGGTTTCTTCTGCAAAGAATTAAATCGAATTGAAATGTATTAAGTCACCTTTTGGTTTCAAACAAACTTTCTAAAAGTACTAAGGTGATAAGATGAAATACACTCAATACAATCCAGTCGGGAAAAAAATGACATCTCTCTAAGGATTCATGCTTTTTTATTCCCCACTGACGGCACGTTTTCGCTCGTTTTTCACTTCTATTAGAAATTCGATTATTTTTATTTCTATTAGAAATCAGTATAACTTGCACTGTTAAATAATCCTCCTCATCATCGAAAGGCAGTAGAAACGAAAAAACTCTTAGTAGACATTTTGGCAAAAGTTTCATTGATAAAAAAAGGCGCGTAAACGTAACTTATAATTTGTAGACCTGCAAAAGGGATTATTAAACACTTGTTGTAATGTTGTCCTTTTGTCAAGAAGAGGCACCCTACAGATGTATATCTGCGTTCTTGTTCTATGGGGAATGTAATTTTTATTAAGTAATTTACTTGAAACTTTTCTCAGGGTGGACGGGTGTTGGCTGCCATCTCCCTGACTGTCCTGGCGTTCCAAACTGTTTTGGTCGTGGACACTGCAACGCGACTAATCGTATGACTCCTGAATGCACGGACTGCATTCAAGGCTGGATGGGTCCAGCTTGTAACGATCCTTGTGTCCATGGTTACCCCAAAGATGGTATCTGCGTATGTGATCCTTGCTTTACGGGGAGCGGATGCCAAAGTGAGTGTTCCGGATTTGGAGAATGTATCGACAACAAATGTGATTGTGGCCAAGAAGAAGGTATTGCTCATATGGGAGAATACTGTGAACTGCCAGGATGCCCAGGCCAGTGCACCAGTCCCGATAACGGCTTTTGTAGCATGGACACTCAAAAATGTATTTGCGCTCAAGGTTGGGCTGGGGACGATTGCAGCACGCCCGATTGTCCAGGGGAACCCATTTGTTCTGGCCATGGAAGCTGCAGTAATTCGAACCCACGACGGTGCAACTGCGAGCCGGATTGGGCCGGTGTTATGTGTGAACTTCCTTGTGTCAATGGAACGAATTATGGTAACTCATCAGGTTGCATTTGCCACTCTTGTTTTTCTGGTTCGGGCTGTAATGTTGAATGCTCGTTGAATGGAAAGTGCGTGAATGACAAGTGTGTCTGCGATAAAATCTTGGGATACAAAGGAGACGTCTGTGAAATTGCAAGCTGTCCTGGGTGGCCATTTGACTGTAGTAACCACGGAAGCTGTAACGGAGCGACGTTTGAATGTACATGTGTTCCAGGGTGGTCAGGTGCTGCATGCGACATTCCAGACTGCCCCGGTGATCCGGACTGTAATGGACGTGGTGCGTGTACCCCATCCATTGCGGAAAATGAAACACCTAAGTGCATCTGCCAGCAAGGATGGATGGGTGTTGCTTGTGAGAAACCCTGCAAATTTGGCACACCAACAGCTGACCATATTTGCGACTGTGACGATTGCCACAATGGGCCTGCTTGTGACATGCTTTGCTCAAACCACAGCTCAAATTGTGTAAACAAAAAATGTGACTGTGGCTTTGATGGGTGGCGTGGAAATTATTGCGAGAAGAAAGGATGTCCCGGTTACAAGAAAGACTGCTCGGGGCATGGCCAATGCTTAAGTGCGTCACAAACGTGCATCTGCGATCCAGGCTGGAGTGGTATGCCTTTTCGTTTTAACTTTGCATTCAGAAATTATCCTTTATAACCATTTGTGTTTCTTTCAAAGACAGTTTAAAACGTTGAAAACCTGTAAAAACATCCTCCAGTGTGATTCATTAGGGGCGTTTTCTACTCGGCTAAAATAAATGTATTTTTAGATTAAAACACCGGGCAATTTCCAGTCACCATGCGTTCGATCGTGAAGAACCTCTGCAAATATTCTTATGAATCTAAAACTTTCTTACAGAGCTATGGTTCAATTTTGATCTCCAAGAATTTAAAGGATTACATGCTATAAACAGTATTTCAAAATCTGTGTCAATTATCTGACTTTTCTTGAATCTATAGGTATTGGTTGTGAACAAACGGATTGTCCTGGCGATCCAGACTGCAACAATAGAGGCCAATGTATACCAGCTGAGACTCCCTACTGTGGTAATTGTGCGCAGGGCTGGGCAGGCATTGCTTGCGAGTTACCTTGTGTGAATGGCACTCAAAACCAAGTAGATCCTACGGTCTGTGATTGTGAACCCTGCTTTAATGGACTGAGCTGTGATGTGTTTTGTTCTGCCAGAGGCAACGCTACGTGTACCGAGGGAAAATGCTATTGTGGTTTCGAAGGCTGGCGTGGAAATTTCTGCGAAAAGAAGGGATGTCCTGGTTTGTTTAACATGGACTGCTCCGGACGTGGTACATGTAACAGTGCGACGCAGACATGTGATTGTAATCCAGGATGGGCCGGGCGGGGATGCCATGAGCCAGCTTGTCCTGGAACCCCAATGTGCAGCGATCATGGTACGTGTGAGAGCCTTGCAACCATATCATTCTGTTCCTGTGACAAAGGTTGGATGGGCAGGGCTTGTGAAACCAAATGTGAACATGGCACCCCACAGCAAACAGCTGATGGATCCTTCTTTTGCCAGTGTGATGACTGCTTCAGTGGTATATCGTGCGACATGGAGTGTTCTGGTCGTGGAAACTGTACAAATAACACCTGTGACTGCGGATTTGAAGGGTGGCGTGGTCCCACGTGTGACACAAAAGGCTGTCCAGGTTGGGGATCAGACTGCTCCGGTCATGGTTCATGTATTACTGCTTTAGGTATATGTTACTGTCGACCTGGTTGGTCTGGGAGAGGGTGTCACATACCTCAGTGTGCAGGGGGTGGAAACTGCAGTGGGCATGGCGTCTGTGATGGGGTCAACCACGATCCCCCAGTTTGTGTCTCTTGTGACTCAGGATATATGGGAGAAGGCTGCGAGCAAAAATGCATAAATGGAACAGTTATAAAGTCTGGAGAGGGGGATACTTGTAAATGTGATAGTTGCCACACTGGGGTCGACTGTGGTGTGGAGTGCAATGGACATGGAAAATGTAACAACGGAAAATGTGCTTGTGATAGTGGCTGGAGAGGATCTAAGTGTGAGACTATTGGTTGTCCAGGACAAGGGGTCGATTGCACTAATCACGGTGTTTGTTTGCTGGTTACACAACAATGTGACTGCTTTAACGGATGGAAAGGAGAAGGCTGTGATATCCCAGATTGCCTTGGTGTCCCCGACTGCAATGCATTAGGAACATGTTATGGAGGGGTTGATCCGCCAAAATGTGTGAACTGTACCAACAATACGATGGGCCCCTCGTGTGAATTTCCTTGTATACATGGGAGGGAAAACCCACCAGACAGCGTTATATGCGAGTGTGATCCGTGCTATATCGGTCTGGCCTGTGACACTGAGTGTTCTGGACGAGGAACTTGTAGAGAAGACGTGAATCCGAAAAGATGTGAGTGTGACTCAGGATGGAAAGGCCCAACATGTGAAACATTAGACTGCCCTGGGGAACCAGACTGTAGCGGACGAGGAGCCTGTGTGCAGCAGGGTACTCCTCCTACAGCGGTATGCCTTTGCAATCAAGGATTTGATGGTGATGACTGCAGTAAACTTGTCTGCCCTGGTCGACCCATGTGCAGTAACAGAGGCACCTGCACATTAGTAGGCGGCATTCCAATGTGTGTATGTAATCATGGCTTTGATGGAAGTTCGTGTGAGCGTTGTCTGCCTCAGTTTACTGGATCAGAATGCGATAAATGCATCACAAATTACATCGGATGGGCAGTTGGCTGCAACATTTATTGTGTCCATGGTAACGGAACGGGACAAAACGAGGACATTTGTACGTGCCATAATGATGCAAATCTTGGTTACTGGAATGGAACAAGTTGTGATCGCTGTGTGTTTGGCTGGGGGCTGCCATCCTGTGCCGTGTGTGATGATGCACATGTAGGAGAGAATTGTAATATTGACTGTTTTTCTGCACATGCTCAGTACCGCGACGAACTTGACGGAGACTGGGGTAAACATCCTGTGGCACCAATTTTGAACTGTTTGTACGAGAACGCCCATAACGAAGTGTTTGCCTGGTTTGGATACCACAACAAAAATCCTCATAACGTATACCTGAATGTTGGAGCGGACAACTTTCTTACTAGACCTTACCTGGATATCGTTCCTGGAGGATTGAAGGGTTTTGTTCTGAAGACCGGTGGTGCAGACAATGCTACTGACAATCTTGTTCCTTTACCAACCCAAGATTATGGTCAACCTAATAAGTTCGTTCCTGGCAGACACGACAAGGCTTTTAAAGTTAGGTATGAACAAACTGACACCGCTAATAATTAACTCAGGACTTACACGAGTCACATAGATCACTCACAGAGTAGGATACCGCGGTAACTTTTACGTTTACATCTGATCGTCGGAATAATTCTTAGATGTGTCCCTTTTTGCTCTTCGAGATCAATTTTTGTTTCACCACTTAAATGGATTTAAAATTGTTGGAAATACCTGATTGAGATAAAATTATCGAAGAAGTTTTTATTCAAAAACAAAACTTTCTGAAGGTGAATGAAACCTTTTCCTGAAGGCTTCAACGTATTTAGAGTGCAGTCAAAACGCTAACAACTAGAACTGTTATGTAGTACTGTTGTTTTCCATTTTCCCTTCACTCAGAATGGAAGACGCCTATCCAATTGCCTGGGTTTTAGCATTCCCACTGTCAAACGAGAGAAATGCAGCAGTAGCAAATCAGTCTCTTCTCCATACTATGAAGTGTACCGATATTGAGGCACAGGAGAATAATGTAAGTTTAATGATGTTTATGTCTATCCCATGGAATGATTTCGTGGTATGTAATCACAACACTAATAAAAGCAGTAGCTCGAAGGAGTCATAGAAAGGAAAGGGGACTAATGTTGCAATAGTCAAAGGCTGAAATCATGAAGGATTCATAATGAAAATCATGTTGCAGTTCTTAACATCAAGCCTATTCAAATCTTAGTGTCTTGTTAAGAGAAATATCAAGCTAATATCATGAAATTTAATACTGTAGGTTTCGAGTGAAAATTACATATGTTCCTGTCTTGATGGACACTGGGGCTTTGCGTGCCAGTTTGATTGTCCCGGCGGACCTCAAGCGCCATGTCATAACAATGGCTTTTGCAATAAAACCACAGGATCGTGTTCATGTGATCCTAACTGGCGCGGAGACGAAAACTGTACCACATGTTCGCCAGGTTGGTACGGACTTGATTGCTCGGTAGTCAACCAAAGTACAAATAATTACACTGCAGCAGCATATGGACATGGTTACTTTATAACGATCGACGGCGCAGGTTACAAATTCTTAGGAAACGGAGAATATCATTTGCTGCTGTCTCATTTATGGGAAGTCCAGGTTCGAATGGTGACATGCTTTTCTTCGAGCTCTTGTGTTAATGCGGTTGCTGTGAGGATTGAACAGCACACGCTATTGCTGCATTCAAGGTTTGTTAATCGAAAGGAGCCTGTTGTTTTTGCAAATGGAAAGAGAGTGTATTCTGTTGATTTTGAATTTGGCCCAGCAAGTCACCGCTTTACTTTTAAACGAACCTCCCGGTTACAATTTGTACTCTCATCCTCTTATGGTGTCCGGCTCATAATTCGTTTATATGATCGATATCTTGATGTTCATTTGCGTGTAGACAATCAAACATATTGTAAAACAAGCCAGGGACTGTGGGGTAACTGTAACCTCAACTCACTCGATGACCTGTACAGCAGAGATGGCAAAATAGTTACAGGACTGAATGTCTCTCAGTCTTACGTCACTGAATTGTATGCAAAGTCTTGGAAAGTGACCGAAAGAGACAGTTTGTTCGTCTATGACATCAACAACTACCACGAGCAGAGAGAGCTCTATGGTGGCGGGTACGCGTTATATTTCAACAACTCGGGTGCCCATACCGAAGAAATCTACAGCTTCTCGTTATCTGACATCACTATTGAATTTATGGTTCGCGCTGAGAGTGAAAACGGAACTCTTCTCTCGTACACCAGCACAGACATGTTTGCTGTAATTCTGGAGTCCAGCAAGATCAAGTTACGCTACGATGATATCATTTTAGATACTTTGGCGGTAATTCAAACGCACGAATGGAATCATATTGCTTTGGTCTGGTCATTAACGACGCGAATTCTTCAATTCTACCACAGGGATGATACTGGACAACGTGTGAACAGTCGGAATTTTCCAATTACCAGTAATGTGAACGTCTTTCAACCAGGAGGAATTCTCGCCCTAGGTTACTGTATACCACCACCAGGTGGACTAACATTGTCTCTCACAGAAGGATTCATTGGCCAAATCGACGAACTACGAATTTGGAACCAAAAGCTCGATCCCTTTTCCATCTCGGCTAACTGGAGAGGAAACCTGGGTTGTACCATGCGAGTTCCAAACCTTGCAAGTCTTTGGAAGTTTAATGAAGGCGATGGCGTTGTTGCGCATGACTGTGTATCGGGCGCACATATATATTTTAAATCGGGTACCTGGAAAGGGCCCATGTGGGTCTTCTCAATGGTTGAAATTCCTCAGTTTTCAGTAGACACTAGTACCGCATACAGCTTCAGATTCGGTAGTTCCTGGATGAGTGCGGAACAGTTATGTTACAACCTCATTTTTGGGTCAATGTTGAAGTCAGGTCACATTCTTCTAACGACTTCGACATTGTGGTTTTACCACATGTCCTGTGTAACATCAGTTACCAGGAGCAACGATCATGGACATGCTTACTGGACCTTGATGGCTTTGTCGGATTTTAATCAACTGATCGTAGAACAAAGTTCGTGGTTTGCTCAGAGCCTTTGTAATTCAGTATCTGTTTTCAACTTCCCAGTTTGGTATGGAAAGAACTGCCACTATCAATGTAAATTTGGCCTTCCAGGTACCAATGAGCACAAGTGCTTTTGCATGAAAGGATTTTTCGGTTTGAACTGCTCAAGCGAATGCCCAGGTGGCAACAATGTGCCCTGCAATGGCCTATCTTCATGTGACATTTCAATCGGAACATGTAACTGTCCAGTTTCATCAAACACCACCTATGATTGTAGCGTCTGCAGTCCAGGGTGGATTGGATCGGATTGTTCTGTATCACTCGGAGAAAATAGGAGCAGTTCAGAAAACTTTACTTGCCAAGGTTTTGGAGCAACTCATTACACAACATTTGATGGCGTAGGTTACAATTTTAGGACTTACGGGGAGTTTTACCTTATGAAAACCAATCAGTTTACCGCGCAGGTGCGGCAGATACCTTGCATGAATGCTTCGTTTTGTATTTCATCGGTAGGAGTGAAAATCGGCTCGACAGAGATCGTCATAAGAGCTTCATACAATGGCACTGGAATGTCTTTGGTCTGGCTAAATCGTAAACTTACGGATGCGACATCTGTAATCCTGGAAAACAACTTCAGCTTTCAAAAGGCTTCCCCCAAAGTGTATGAAATTGCCAAACCTGGGAGGATTTTACTGAGAGTAAAAGCATGGCAGGACTATCTTTCGTTTGAATTAACGTCAGCTTCTCAATGGTGTATTGTTGGCTCTGGAATTTGTTCCTCTTGTGACTCAAACGTTGTAAATGACTTTACAAACAGTACAGGTACCATGTACTGGGGAGGCAGTATTTCAGAAAGTATTATAATTAATATCTTACATTCGCAGTGGCAAGTCTCTGCTATCGACTCGTTGTTTATATTTGGATACACGAGCTATAAAGAGCGACGAGAAATAACTTCTAATGGCTACGCCCTGAGCTTTAATGGTACAACTGCTTCAACAGGAATTTTGAATGCTTTTGTCAAAGACTTCACTATTCAACTGTTTGTCAAAGTTCACTCATCTGGAGGTACAATCCTTTCTTACTCAAATAAATTTACATTTGCCCTAGTGAACGATGTCCGAGTCAAAATCTTCCTAGGTGGAGCTTCGTACGACATGGGAATTACACTACCTTCTGGAACTTGGGTACTAGTGTCTATCGCGTACAGAGCTTCAACAGGTAAATATACTGGATGTACATATTGCTCGGTCTTTTAGTTCTTCATCCATCATTGAAACTGGATTAAGTTTATGAGATGTTAAGTCGTGCTTGTTGATTGAGCTCAACCTGAACATTAACTACGATGAGAGAAATACATGGTTTTGATTATTTGCTAGTGTTTGTCGGCAAGGGCGTGTAATTACAAATGATCACCTAGATGACAGATTATCACGAGATAACTTTGTACTGACTGCTTTTAAATATGAATTCTTGCTTGGTATATTTCTTAGCATTTCAAACATTAACTGTGAGAATTTAATGAATCAAAAAAGGTTCCACTTTTATTGTAATAAAGCCTGTTTTTTTTTATTTGTTTTCAGGAGTTCTAACTTACTACCAGCTGAACGCTCAAGGCGACCTTTATTTCAAACAGACATACATTGGCGTAGAAATGTTTACATCGGGTGGTACCCTATGGCTTGGTCACTGGCACATAACAAAAGAACATATAACTGGTGTTCCGCTGCAGCCTTTCTTTGGAGTCATTGATGAAGTTCGTATCTGGTCTTTTTCACTGGATACCTTGCTTATCCGCCAGAGTTTTCGTCTTGTTATTACAGCAAACCTACCGTCACTGAGTGCCCTTTGGTTGTTTGATGAAGGTGTAGGTAGAGTAATCGCAAATTTTATATCCAGCTCCCCAAATATGTACCTTCCAGAAGTCATCAGTCGTCGTCCAACGTGGCAGTTCTCCTACGTCCGTGAAGTGTTTCCATCCATGGTTGATAGTGCATCTGTGCAGTTTAGTGTTAGCTTTGGACTACTGGCCAAAAAACGATGTTTGGAACTTATTTATCACCACCACCTACAAGCTCAATGTGGAAAGCTTTTGTCTGCTGCTGTTACCCAGTTTTACTTTAAGGCCTGTCTTTTTGATGTCCAGTCCTCCAGTTCCCTGGACACCGCTTATATCGCACTGATAGCGTATGCTGACTACTGCATGACAGTTCTTCATCTATCCTCATGGCCTGCTCAACGCCTATGTAAACAATTACCTCAAAGTCTTCCTCGAGGATGGATTGGTCCTGACTGTTCAGTGAAGTGTGTGTTTGGAAGCGCAGACAAAAATAATGCTAGTTTATGTGTGTGCCATCGTGGATACTGGGGCGAGGACTGTGCTAACGAGTGCCTCGGAGGCGGAAATAAACCCTGCAACGATCATGGCAACTGTAACGTCAGAACAGGGTCCTGTGAGTGTGATTTGAACTGGGGGGGAAATGGCGACTGCTCTAACTGTACGCCTGGTTGGACAGGATCTGATTGTGCAATAGCTGTGGCAGTAACCCAGTTGCCGACGTGTTCCGCTTTTCTTGGAGGACATTTTACCAACTTCGACGGTGCTCACTTTAACTTTTTTGGAGTAGGTGAATTTTGGTTTGTGCGAAGCATTCACTTCAATGGCCAGTTAAGACAAATTCCATGCTATAATGGAGAATCTCGTTGCATAAATGCGGTAGCGTTTTCGTTTCTATCAGGATGGAAGGTGGTAGTCCACGCACCATACGAAGAAAGCAAGCAACCTGTTGTTTGGTTAAATGGGAGAGAAGCAGTATATAGTTCAACAAGAATTCAAATTTCCAGCGACGTATTCCTAGAGAAGACATCTTCAACTACCTATCTTCTAAGCAGTCTACTAAAGGGTTTTAAATTTCAACTGCGTGTTGTAGGAAGAGGACTCGTAATTGCTGGTCACGTGAACCAATCCTTTTGTAACGGCACGAACGTGCTGTGTGGAAACTGCGACGGCAACAGGGATAACGACTTCAATGTGACGGCTGGGTCTTCTCTTGAAGAAATTTGGAGAGTTTCTATGGAGGAAAGCCTCTTTATCTATCACGATACAGGTTATATGGAAGAACGAGCTGTAACAGGTGCTGAGTACGCTTTAATGTTCAATGGTGTCGGCGTCTGTAGCGATCTCATGCCTGATGTCTTAAACGCTTCCTCCATCACAATGGAACTTCTCTTCAAAATGTATTCTGAACCAAAAGTGGGAGGTGTCCTCTTAACGTACAGCAAAGCGATATCACTTACACTGTTTATCGAAGGGACCCTTAAAGTACGGATAGGAATAGAAATTTGGGATACCGGACTTTCTCCACAAGTTGACTCTTGGAACCAAGTTACTCTTGTCTACTATAACACCACTGGAGCAGTTTACATTTACCACATAAACTCCATAGGTGTTGTTCGTTTAGCTACACGAACTATGACTGCAGGAATAATCAACAGAGGAAGCATAATTTCCATTGGACAATGGATACCATCTCTGGAAATCAACACCAAAGAAAGCGATAGTCTGCCAGGTTTTGTTGGAGTGATTGATGAAGTACGCTTCTGGAACCGTGAATTCAGCCTGCAAGATGTCACAACAAGCTGGAGGGTGAACGTCCTTTCCAATGCACGGTACCTTGTAATTTTGTGGAAGTTCAATGAAGGTCAAAGTGGTGTCATACACGACTTGATAAGCAGAGTTCACTTGTACATTCCATCCATTCGCGAGGCTCCACGATGGGTTTTCAGTTACGCTGACATCAAAGTTCTACCTGTTACCCCTGAGATTACGTTCAGTACGAGCAAGGTAAGAGTTGAAGCAGAGTCTTGGTGCCACACGCACATCCAAAACTCACCTCTGGGCATCGCGTGTGGTGGTCTTGGTGGTGGAACAGTGGCCTTCTACGTCAGGGCATGTTTACGAGTAATTGCCTCGGGTAAACAGGTGTCTCTTGGAATAAGTGTTGTGGTGGCTTTTGCAGACACCTGTGAGATCCAAGCTAACCTTACCATTTGGCCAGCAAGGCAGATGTGTACATATGAAATATTCAGGAACTCAAGGCTCATGAACTGGATAGGATTAGATTGCAATATCCCTTGCCCCTATGGTTACCAGCTCCTTGGACTGTATGGAAGCTGTCAGTGTGATTCAGGCTTCTGGGGACAGACCTGTAATGGTGTATGCCCCGGTGGACTTGTGAACGTTTGTAGTGGACATGGAAATTGTATAGATAGTAATGGAATATGCAAGTGTAAACGGAGATGGCAAGGAGCACTTGACTGCAGCCAATGCACACCTGGTTTCTTTGGAAAAGACTGTTCGGTAGCCGTTGCACCACCTATAACGGAGCTCCCAGTAACATCAGTTTTCGGGACTGGCTATATTGTGACCTTAGATGGTATCAAGATCAGTGTCAACGTTGCTGGTGAATTCAGAGTGCTAGCTCTGTCTCGCTATGGACTAAGCATCCAGTTTCGACAGGTACGAATCGGAAGTTATGTACGAGTAAGGTGCGTGATAGTGGTGGTACAACAGGATGTGCTAGCTATCCACAGCAGTGTCGGAGTTGCTGGCCAAGTTTTGGTGACGCTGAATGGTCTACCCATAAGTCAAAATAGCTTAGTTTCATTAGGAGTTTCAGGATTTGAGTTTCGACGAACGTCGCTTAACACTTACGTGATGGTTGGTCCAGAAGGCTTCAACTTTGTCATTAATTCCCTTGCCATTCACTTTGATGTATCCATAACCATGAATAAAGATTTGTGCCAGGAAACCTGTGGTCTCCTTGGCAGGTGTCATATTTCAGGATCACGTGTTCCGCCATCAAACTGTACCGCTGGAGGAATATTGGATACTCAAGAAGTGTCAAACATAACTCAAGAACTCTTGATTTCCTATGTGAATTCATGGGCTGTTCCACAAAACGAAAGTTCCTTTGGTCCCATACTGAACATTTCTGGTGAACCTCAACTTAGTAGTGTTGCAGGGAGCTGTCTCTACTTCAACGGTACATCAGTGATCAGCGCACCACTGCTCAACACTTTTGTCGGAAATTATATAACAATCCAGTTCTTTGTCAAAGCCAAGAATCCAGATGTTTACACTGGGACCATCATCTCATATGCACTCAATGAAACATTTGCAATAGCGGTAAACAAAACAATACACATTTACTTTGGCACCACCGTCATTGACACTCAACTTGTACTTGAAAGAGAACTTTGGAATCACATATCTTTCGTCTACATGCGGAGTTCAGGTCAAGTGCAGTTCTATCTCGTTAACTCCATCGGCATCATACAATCAAAAGTATTCCTCGTTGGTGTAGGGATATTTGCGGATGGTGGTACCCTAGCCCTGGCCCTTTGGCAGGTGACTAAAGTATCGCTCTCTCTGCCTGGCTTTGTGGGCTGGATAGACGAGCTGAGCTTTTGGAATAAGCGATTTGATTCAGTCACCATACTACAAACTTGGAATTCTAACCTGCAATCAGGAACACCGGGAATTGCACTCTTATGGAAGTTTAATGAAGGAAGTGGATTTATTTGTCGGGCTACTGTAGGATCTCTTAATTTTGGCCTTCCTACCCCTCCCTGGAAGAGCCCACTTTGGTACCCTTCAGATGCTATTAAAGAAGCCAATGTTTTCATCACGTCTGATCTCTCTGAAAAAGAACCAGACAAGTCGACGCAAGATCTATGTTCAGATGTTTTTCTGAAAGGTCCGCTTCTGAATGAGTGTGCTAATGTGACTGGAGGGTCCAAATTTTACTACGAAGCTTGCTTATCCGAAGTGTCTACTTCAGGAACACCTGAATCAGCTCTTATGATAGCAACTAACTTTGCAAAAGAATGCCAGGCAGCCTTGAACTTGTCGAGTTTGCCAGGAAAAGGACTTTGTAATGTCATACCGGGTGGACGCTATAATGACTGGGTTGGGGTAAACTGTACCACAAAGTGCGAGGTTGGATGGTTCACTGATGGCGATTGCAAATGTGACAATGGATACTGGGGAATAAATTGTTCAAGAGAGTGCCCTGGAGGAGCAGCAAACCCCTGTTATGGAAATGGGAAGTGCGATATTAGGAGCGGTAAATGTAACTGTCGCCCAAATTGGGATGAAAGTGAAAATTGTTTTAAATGCGCTCCTGGCTGGATCGGAAAATCATGTTCAGTGGCAGTGTCAACAACAGAATCATCCGTGACTGGTCAGACGTCTAAAGTATGTACAATATTAGAGAGAGGCTATGTTACCGGATTTGATGGCTCACTCTTTACATTCACAACATTAGGAGAGTTCATAATGATCAATTCTTCCATTCTTCAAGTGCAAGTTCGACAAGTACCATGCGAGAAGAGCTCCGTCTGTTTAAACGCCATTGGTGTGAGGTTCAATGACTTAACAATTAGCGTCCACGCGGCCTACGAGAGTGATTCATTTCCAGTGGTGTATGTAAACGAAGAACTTACAAAAGTAGGCGGAGAGCCCTCTAAAGATATGCTCAAAAATAATATTAGCATTCAACCAATTTACAGGTCTGCCTACAGGATTGTTGTCTCACACTATTTGTCTATACAAACAGTATTCTCAGATCGTTACATGAGTGTGGAGTCAACAGTGACGTCTAATTTTTGTCAGCTTGTCGATGGTTTATGTGGCTCCTGTGCTAAACTACGTGTCGGTCAAAATGCAACTCAGGGAAGTGGTGGTTCTGTCACTTCGATAAATAGACCAACGACTGTTTTGGAGGAGCTTGGTAAACCAAATGCCACAAGTGATAACGTTAATGAATTTATAACAAAAGTGTTTCCAGTTCAAGATCCCATTATAGTCATCGATGCAGAAATGCACAAAGAAACGCGGGTTGTTTACGGAGGTTTGTACAGTCTGTACTACCGTTTTACTGCTGTGGTCACTCAAACAGTTGTCAAACTCTTTGTGAGTCAAACGTTGACCTTCCAGCTCTTAGTTAAATCATGCAATCCCCAAATATGTGGAGGAACAGTAATCTCCTACACATCGAATGTCACGTTTTACATCAGCAACCATGTAACAGTGAGGGTGGTTATTGGATTAGACGTCTTTGACACTGGTATCGCAACCGAAGCAGATGTGTGGAATCAAATTACCGTAGTATTTGTCCGTGAGAAACTTCAACTCTTTGTGTTCGTCACATTTTCATCTGGACTTGTGCAAGTGCGAAAGTTTAGTTTTACTATCGACCCTTTTATAAGTGCAGGAACATTTGCTATAGGTATGTGGCAACCGGCCTCAGGATCAATTAGCGTTCAGCCAACCAATGTCTTCCTTGGTCAAATAGATGAGGTAAGCGTGTGGGAGAGACCCTTCGATTATGCATTGGTTGAACAAAGCTGGCGATCAAATATTCAACTGGGTGCCCCATCGCTCACAAATTTGTGGAAATTCAACGAGGGCAAGAATTCCATTGTTAAAGACCTAGTGGCTGATGTTGCTCTACTCTTCCCGAGGTATCCATTAGGTAAACCAGAATGGGTTTTCTCAGATGCTCCCATCACATCCGTTGTCACAGTGAACCCAAATGAAGATAATGCCACTCTACATACAATCGCCATCAAGGTTTGTTTCGAGTTCATATATGAGGGACCAATCCATTCAGCTTGTAATGCCTTAGGCAACGTCACTCTAGAATTTTACCTCCGTGCTTGTGTTCAAGCAGTAGTGGACACCGGATTGACTGTTGAATCCATTGATGTCGTAATAACAATCGCAGATTATTGCCAAAAAATATTTGGTTTGCCTTATTGGCCAGCTCAGTCTTTGTGTAACAAGTTTCCTGGAAAGCGTTTTCCCAACTGGATGGGAAAGAACTGTACCATCCCTTGCATTTTTGGTCAAGCTGCTAACGAAAGTGAAGTCTGTGTATGTGATCCTGGATTTTATGGCACGAACTGCTCAGGCATCTGCCCAGGAGGAAAAGGGAATGCATGTAACAATCATGGAATCTGCGATGTCGTGACTGGCAAGTGTTCTTGTGAGCTTAATTGGCAAGGTAATGAAAACTGTTCCACTTGTGCTCGAGGTTGGGCTGGAACAGACTGCTCAATCGCAGTCACTCAGTGGCCATCCGGCAGTGTCATAATAGGCATTGGTGCAGTATCGCTTGGCGGGCAATTTACGTCACTCAGTGGTATCAGCTACAGCTTGCAAGTGACCGGGGAGTACTATCTTATTTACTCCATACATCTCTCTGTAAATGTGCAAATTCGCCTAGTATCTTGCACTCAACAAGAGTCGTGTATCAATTCTATTGCACTGCAAATTGCCTCTTATAAAGTAGTTTTGCATGGACCGTACAGCTCTGGGGGAAGCCTGATCGTCTGGTTAAACGGAAAAGTCATCGATATAGATTTGCATCCAATCACTCTCGACGTCTACGGTTTTACTGTCAGCAAAATCACAGCTCACCTGTGGGAAGTGAAATATGCTGGTTTGTACCTAAAAATACGCGTGACTGGGCGCTTTCTAAGCGTTAGTGTTGAGGCATCGGGTTTGGTTTGCAAGTCATCCATCGGACTACTAGGCTCCTGTAACCAGGGACTCGTACAATCGCTTTTGTCGTATTATCCGACTAAAGATTGTTCTGAAGAAGGCTTTATGTTCAACGTAAGCGGGAACCATTCAAATGCGTTTAGGCAAGGAAGTGATATTCTAAGTGAAAAGAACGCTTCTGATACCAAGGCAAAGACTCAAGATATCATTAGCACTCTTATAACTACTAAGCTAAAGGTGAAGAAATGCCATAGTTTGTTCGAGTACAAGTATAAGGAGATCGTAGAATATCGAGAGGCGAATGCAGGATATGCTCTTTACTTCGACCACACTACTGTTGTGACAGATGTAATCTACAAGGCATTTTCCTTCACAGACATTACAGTTAAGATCATGTTTAAAACGGTGCGTTACGGGGTGATAATATCCTATACCATGAGGAAGACATTTTTCGTAACAAACACGGGTGGAAAGTTCACCATCTTCTACGGAGAGAATGTTTACCATACAAACATAGTTGCAGAGCGTAACAAATGGAACCAGGTCAGTCTGGTGTTCAGAAAATCCACTACAGTCTTGCAATTTTACTACTTTTCTTCTGGAGGCCAGTTACATCGCCTCGACATAAACGTTGGATTTGATATCTTTACACCAGGAGGAACAATTGCTTTGGCTGGTTGGATGCCATCTCTCGACGGATCTGGAATTCAACCAACTGATTTCTTTGCTGGATTCATAGATGAAGTTCGCATATGGACACGCTATTTCCATCCTGCGTTCATACTGCAAACTTGGAACAGATCGGTAAGCGTAAATGCCCAAGACCTCGCGCACGCATGGAAATTTAACGAAGGAGAAGGAATTGCAGCTGTTGATAAAGTAACTGGTATGAAGCTAGTCCTTCCTTTTAAGCCTTGGAGAAAACCCGAATGGAGATATTCTGATGTAGAATTACAGCTGCCCTTCTACGATAGACCACTAGATTTCAGTTTTACGAACAAAACTCTGCAAGTAGCCGCAGAACTTTTCTGCAATAGAACACTACTAATGGGCACATTACATTCGCATTGTAAATCCTTGGGACCTGGCGTTTCTACCTTCTACTTCAGGTCCTGCCTCCAAAGAATCGCAACTTCTGAGTCCTTGTACATGTCTATGGAAGTGATTATAGCGTATGCCGATTATTGTCAAGCATTCAACAACTTAACAGTCTGGCCAGCGAAACATCTTTGTAATGAATTTCCTGGAAGAGAATTTCCCATTTGGTTCGGAGAGCGATGCGAAAGAAAGTGTATCTTCGGTAAGAAGCTGGCCTCTGAGACATGCGTATGCTACCACGGCTACTGGGGACTGGAATGCTCAAACACCTGCCCTGGCGGAGCTGCGAACCCATGTAACAACAACGGAATGTGTAATGTCATCACAGGAGAGTGTGAATGTAATGTTAATTATAATGGAACGCAGGACTGTGGTAAATGTTCTCCAGGGTGGCATGGCTTTGATTGTTCCTTGGCTCTTGTATCACTCAACTTGAACCGTCATATCTCCATCGGCATGTCATCGACTGGCGGCCATTATGTCTCGTTTGATGGCTACAGCTTTACTCTTGTGTCCCTGGGTCAATTTTATCTGATGAATCTACCTGACCTGTCATTCCAGATTCAAGTTCGCCATGTCCCCTGCAGACAACAGACGGTTTGTGTGAATGCCATTGGAATACGGATTACGACGACTGTTGTTTCTTTTCACGCTCCTTACACTACCGGTGGAGCTCCAGTAATCTGGGTCAATGGAAAGCTTCTACTTCTTTCAGGATTGATTTCCACACTAGGATCACCACATCTTGGCATCCTACTGAAGTACAATGGGCGCAACTACTATCAAATTATTTGGAAAGACAATTTTGCCATGGCCATTCGAATTCATGGTCGATACTTGAGTTTTAAAGTCGACGTCACGTCTGCTTATTGCTATAACTCTACAGGCTTACTTGGATCCTGCGATAACGAGCCCGACAACGATCTCAAAGTTAGCTCCAATGGAAGTATCATACCAGCAAATGTCACTCAGCCCGTCTTAAATACAGAAATTGGAAGTCATGCCATTGTGTATGACAAAGACAGTTTGATCGTTCTTAAATATGAGCATTACCACGAAACACGACTACCAACTGGAGGTATGTATGCCCTTCTGTTTAATAAGACAGGGGCCTCATCGAAACCACTGATAAAAACGTTCAACCTCAATGTAGATATAACGCTTGAAATTCTACTGAAGCCGTACCAATTCAGTGGAACAATCTTCTCTTATGCAGTCTTACAAACGTTTGCAGTTTTGATTGAAAGTTCACTTAGAATTCACTTTGGAAAAGCGATCATTGATACGGGCGTGAATGTGACTATCAACCAGTGGAGCCACGTATCACTTGTTTGGTACCACAAGTCTCGAGTGCTAGAGTTTTATCACTTCAACTTTAAGGGGAAAGTGCAACGACGATCCTACGTGCTCCCGTCAAATCCATTTCTACCAGGCGGTATTCTTTCCCTCGGACAATGGGAGCTGTCTCCTGGAGACAGCGAAACTCATACGGTCGCATCTTTTGTTGGCACCATTGACGAGATCCGTGTATGGAAGCGAGCCTTTAATCCTGCATTTATACTTCAGAACTGGCGAATGAATGTTGTCCCCACTCATCCTGACCTCACTGGGCTTTGGAAAATGAACGAAGGTGAAAGTGACGTCATAATGAACCTTGTGACCGACGAACACATCTATCTACCGAGATCACCATGGCAACAGCCACACTGGGTATTTTCTGATGCTGACATCAACACGAACTTAACATCATCCGATAAACCGTTCGAAATGCACTTTCTCAATAAGACGTTAGAGAAGATGGCAAAGGCCTTCTGTTTCGAGCTGTTCTACAAGAGTACACTTCATGATCAGTGCCACGGCCAGTTAAAATCTGAGCTGGAATTTCATTACCTTGTTTGCTTGATAGACATTGCAACAACCGACGACATCAGTGCAGCCCTGACAGTTATAGTTACCTTCGCTGATCACTGTCAAGCTGTCTTGAACTATAGTACCTGGCCAGCTCAGCCACTTTGCAATAAGTTCCCTGGATCCCACTTCCCCCTATGGATTGGAGACAGGTGCGACATAAAATGCGTCTTTGGTGCTGCGGATCCTGATGATCGTAACCTATGCATCTGTATGGAAGGCTACTGGGGAAGCGATTGTTCACAGATATGTCCAGGTGGACTGCTAAATATTTGTGGAGGACACGGTTGGTGTGATAGTTCAACTGGACAATGTCAGTGCCAAGTGAACTGGAGAGGAAACGAAAATTGTAGTAGCTGTAGTCCAGGATGGAATGGAACTGATTGTCAATTTGCCGTGGAGCTTGTCACTAGTATAACATCACAAACCGTCTTAGTTGCAGCTATTGGAGGAAATGGCTACTTTACAACATTTTGTGGCGTCAGTTTTACCTACAGAGTGGTAGGTGAGTTCTATGTACTGCGGTCTGCTTCCCAAAATCTCGTCATCCAGCTTCGACAAGCACCATGTCCAATCGATGGCAGTTACATCCCGCTTTGCACAACTGGTTTCTCGTTTAGTCTGAATAATAATGTCATTGCCATCCGCGCGCCAGTTGCTACGTTTTCAAGAACTGTTCCAATCTTTCCTCTCATTTGGTTGAATGGAAATTTGGTACAAGTTGACCACAGGACGCAACTATCGGTGGACTTTGTCATGTTGCGTATCTCCACGGTTGCATTTGAGATCTACGGTCCAAACGGTGTGAAATTTGGTATAACTGTAGGACATAGTCTTTCTGTAACTATTCACCTGCCAGCCATATACTGTCGAAACTCCACAGGCCTTCTTGGCGCATGTACAGGCGTCTCCTTTAACAACTCGAACAGTCTTGAATCGTACATCACCTCTCTGAAGCATAATTCAGTAGTTGACAAGTCACAAACATTGTTTATTTACAAGTACCTGCATTACTCTGAATACCGAAGTCCATCTGGTGCAGGATTTAATCTATTTTTCAAGGATCACTCGGTGCGCTCAGGCCCCCTACAATTACCTCCTGTTGATGTGCTAACAATTGAACTGCTTATAAAAACCCACCAAACAGGAGGAATCATCTTCTCGTATTTAAGCCAAAACATCTTTGCTGTCATCGACAATACAACACTAGAAATTATCTACAATGGCTCTGTTTTTGACACTGGGCTTAAACTGGAGATCAAACAGTGGAATCAACTCACAATTGTCTTAAAACAACTCGTTGGGACTCTCTACTTCTACCACGTCAGCTCCTCTGGGGTAGTTAAAGTCCGCGTATTTAAGTTGGATGGAAACGTTTTCTCAAACGGCGGTGTCTTGGCACTGGGACAGTGGCAGCCATCACCCAGCTCGGACAGCATGCTTCCTCAGTCAAGTTTTGTTGGTGAGATCGACGAGTTTCGTATCTGGAAGCGACGGACGAACTCAGACCTCGTGAAAAGTAATTGGAGATTGAATGTACAGGCTGGCATTTACCCTGATCTGCTTCACCTTTGGAAGTTCAACCAGGCTAACGGAAGGGTAATTCCTGACATACTTGGAAAAAATGATCTCTTCCTGACAAAGTTTCATGAGCCACAGTGGACGTTCTCAGATGCTGATATTCCTCGCTTGAACCCGGAAGAAACAACTTTTGTCAACTTAAGCTTGCAGCGAGATGCAGAATCCTTCTGTTTTAGCCTCATTCTCAGTGGACCGCTGTATGCTAATTGCGAAGATCTCAGTATTCAAGTAGCACAGTTCTACTACAAAGTGTGCCTGCACGACATTTCGCTGTCGTCAAAGTTACGTTCGGCCGTTTATGCCGTGGTCACATTCGCCGACTACTGCCAGAACACTCTCAACCTAAGCGAGTGGCCAGGAAAAGAACTTTGTCATCACTTTGTCGACCAAAGATTTCCCTACTGGATTGGCTCACGCTGTAATACGCGATGCGTATTTGGGTATCCAAGGCCAGATATAAACTCAACGGATGGCGTTTCTTGCAAGTGCGAACAAAACTACTGGGGAGTGGACTGTGCAAATCTATGTCCAGGTGGGCTAAGGGAAACTTGTAACGGACACGGTGTTTGTAGTGTAACTAATGGTACCTGCGAGTGCGAACCACACTGGAAAGGGAATATATCGGCTGAATATAACGCTCCAATCGATGAAAACAATTCCGTCTCGCCAATACCATGTAGCAGGTGCACACCCGGTTGGACAGGAGCTGACTGTGCGATTGCAGAGGACTCCTCCATACTGGACAATTCCTCTATCCCTAGAATAGCTATAAACTTTGGTGATCCTCATTTTACGAGTGTGACAGGGGTAAACTTTCACTTCGAAGCTCCCGGTGCGTACCATCTTTTCAACTCATCAATTGTAGATGCACAGGTGCTGATAGTTCCATGTAACAACAGAGTGTCCTGTCGACGAATCAGTGAGGTTTCCCTCCGCACCTCGAAAACAGAGCTGTCGGTTCGTTACAACGATTTTGAGACAGTGGTAAGCAGTTTATTTGATAAAACAAGCAACACCTCCAAGGAGCTTTCCAAGTCTGATGAATGGGTCGAGGATGCAGATATCCGATACCGTTGGCTAACAGTTAACATCCTGGAAGTTCGCATCCAAGATGAAATTCAGTTTAACATTCTATCTTATTACGGTACCATTGGAACGGCTATTGAAGTTTTAAAACAGAGAGATCAGACAGATGGCATCTGTGGCGAGAAGGAGAGCAGTTGGATACGACAACAAGGGAACCAAAGCCTTACATCGGAAAACCAAATAGCTGATACTTCTAACAATGACACAACAGATCAGCAAGGCCTTACTCAAGCAACGATCCAAAAAAGACTCATTACACGGTTCAGAATCATGGAGAAGGACAATTCCTTGACGACAAAATATGCCTCGCGCAGTTATTCTGGGGCTGGCTACATGTTGGAGTTCTCGTCTGGTAACACTGCTGTTATGTACGCAAGCAACACAAGTTTGCCAGTTCTCGATGAGTTTACTATTGAAATTTGGGTCTGTTTGACGAATGCAGGCGAAAGCGTTGCTCGATTCTGTTCCTCAGATCAGAGAAACAACACTGAACCCGTCACTGGCAGTCACGCTGTTTTCTCTGTTGTCACCGCTATTGGGGACTTTGCAATAGTTTGCAACGACGGACTGCAAGTGAAATGGGACAAGGAGAAATTTATAACGGATATTAATCTTTACGAAGGAGTTTGGACTCATTTAGCTGTAACGTGGAGGACGATCGATGGTCGAATGCAAGCGTTCGTCTATTCCAACGGAAAGCATCGTCAATCAACAACATATGGGATAAAAAATGGAAAGCAATTCTCTTTCAATGGTCTGTTTATTCTAGGACGTTACATGCGAGGCTATATGGTAGACAGTGAATACGACATGCTTGGAGCGTTGGACGAGTTAAAGGTGTGGCAATATGCAAAGACGATGGAACAAATCAGGGCGTCCATGAGCGTCAAGTTCGAGGACTACCGCGAAGGACTGGTGTTAAACGTACCTTTTGACGAAGGAATGGGGCGAACGACGGTGGGGCACCTTTATAGTCCGATTTCTGTTGAAGTAGCGCTCTCTCTTTTCGAGGCCCAAGTCGTAAATGTGACCAATATTCATCTGTTTATTCATTCTGGAGACTACCCCGGATGGGCTCCGTCAGGGGTGCACTTGAGTCCCTTAGCGAACTACAGTCTAGCGTTCCTTAACAAAACTCTGGAAGGAAAGGCCTTAGAGAAGTGTTACGAGTCGTTTTATGAAGGAAAGCTACAGGAACATTGCAGTCCGAAACTGGTATCACAAGCCCTGTTTTACTATGAGTCTTGCCTCGCGGACATTGCCGATTCAGGCAGTCTTGCACACAGCAAGCTTTCTGTAAGTCTCTTCGGCTTTTACTGCCAAAAAGTCCTTGGAATTAAAGAGTGCTTGTTGCACGGAACCTACGACGCTTTCCTACGCTGTCCAGGCGACGACGAAAAACAAACCAAATTCACTCCACTAGAGATAATTGTTACGACTGTATCTTCACTACTCTTCCTTTTATTTCTGCTTATCATACTTATCCTGGTGTGTCGACGAAGAAAGCGCAGAAAGTCCGAAGTGGAGCAGATTTACCTCCATGAAGCTGGAGGTGAAAGATCGCATAAGTACGTCGCTGAAGATGAGGGTGACCACCCTCAAGCATATTCCATGAGGCAGATGTTGGACGAGTACGACTTTGAACCGGACATGGATGATAGCCCACATGATACACCAAGCGTTGTGCGAAAACCGCTGGTTCGAAATCCTGCTGGCGGTGTGCTGCCTGAAGGAGAGGAGGAGAGTGCTGTGTGATTTGATAGGAATTAGTGACTCTAAAATAATTAGCGTAGATTTAAATTTAGATTTTTTACTTTGGTAAAAATTTTTTATAAATACATAAGTTATTTCAATGAATATTGATACTTTTAATAAAGTCATCCACGTGATTGATCGGAAACTTGAATAACACATGATTTTTTGCACCAACCAATGAGAAATACGCAATTAGATTTCTTTTAGAAAGTTTTGATTTTCATCGCTTTTTAACCTTTTTAATGATTGTTTACTACCGATTCATGACTCGTTTCTAGTTGTTAGATTTTCTTCCTACAAATCAGTCGATCTTTCATTTCAGTCATTGAAAACATCACGTACAGTAATCAGCAGGGAAAAAATGAGATCCAAGAAGACATGCAGACGAATACTAAAACATTCGTCGATGCATTTCGTAGGCGACATAGTATTCAGATAGATCATACGCTGATTGTTAAAACGTAATTTTTTTTTAGGAATGAGAGTATCATACTCAGCTAAATTCATGCGTAATGTTGTTAGTCTTTTAGTGTGTGCGATGATTGTTGCATAATTGTTGTTTTCGGAGTGTAAACAGTTTCTTATTGTTTTGCTTTTTCATGAATGTGTGAATTTAATATCACTGTGTCCATGAATCTCACCTTGAGTGTTATACTTAGCATAACTGCAATACTAAAAGAGTGTACTTGTTTTGAGTGATAAAATGCAATTTCGTTTTGAATGAATGAACTTTACAATCATTTAAACGCCCTCAGCAAAGTTTTGAGGGTATTTCCTATTTACAGTGTGAGTTTAATACCACTTTAAGTTTTGTTTCCTCAATGTAAAAAGAGGACTTAGCACGAATCTGGATGTAACCTTTAGTGCCAAATATTTACCATAGAAAACAAAATAACATCGAGTGCTTTAAGAGTGTTTTGATTGCATTTCCCTTGCTTCATTTTCGTTATTCCAAGCTCTGCAGAATGTATTCTGTGTGGTAGATTTTAGATTAAGCAATAAATAGAAGATTATACGAATGCATGGGGAAATTGATTTTTAATTTACTCTAAAACAAATGAAGCACTTAGGAAGCGGCTAGAGCTATCAAGAAGTAGAGTGAACACTCGAATACATCTCGTGTTTCCCTCCTACACTTCTTCATACTTTAGCCGCTTTCTGCGTGCTTGACAACAGAACTGACCACAATCAAGGCTTCTTTATTTGTTAAGTGATGAGTCTCAATACGCCGGACGAGGCACTATCTTGTTGAACGGGCGCCAATTTTGTTTTTTAGTTTGTACGCGAGCGGATGAAAGCGCTCGGGGCGAGACACGTTTCACCCTCCTCCACTTGCACTGGTTTCATCCCTCGCGCTTTCTTCCTGCTCGTGCTTTACTCTGCTCGCCAAAAAAAATCATGTGACCGTACGCTGTCTCAGAAAAAGCAACTGAATCGATGATTTTTTCTTGAACTAGCCATGGTTTTAGAGAGGCACCCTGACTAAGAACATCAAACAACCTTTAAAAAAAATAGATGGTAAATTGCCTTGTCTCTGTCTTATTATGTTTACACATATGGCACTTTTGGCAATGCTTAGCGTAGCTATATGTTGGACGCGTGACATATATGGACCTCGTAATGCTTTATCGCATTGTGGAGTCTCCGAGGCTCAGTGGTAGAGCATCGAAGCGTTGGAATCCGGAGGTTTGACGTTCGGTTACCCATGGAGACTGATAATTTTTTCCTCCCATGCTTGAAACAAGACGAATAAACAGTTTCCTTCACAACCTTTCAACCGTATTTTACCACTTCTTAAAACTTTTATCAATCTTAACTCCACGGACTGCTGCAGCTCGACGCACGGTGTTGCTGCTCGCTTTTTCCTTGTTTGATAGAAGGAAAGCTCTTTTAATTTATTTTGCGTACTTTTTATCTTGTTTTTCTTCATGAGAAAGTAACGGTGCGTTAACTTTCTCCACTCTGTCACTCTCAACGCCTTTTATTGAGCTTGATTCTTGATTAGCTGGCTGCGCGTGCAGACAAAATTCTGCGCCAAATCTATGACGTAAGAGCCGATTGTTGATTGCAGTTGTTAATCCATATTCATTAGGAGTTGTAGAATTTTCAGCAACCACGCTTTCCGTCGTAGAGTGAAGACGTGTCGTCCGTTGTGTAAGACATAAAGTTTCGCACGACGCTTCTAAAAGGAAGAACGCACTGGGCCTGTAACAAAGAGCAACGAAAAACGCCTATGTCACAAAAACAGCAGGTGAGCTTTGCCTCTGGAAATTGTCGCCTCGAGCTCCTTCAGAGATCTTGACGAGTCACATTATCTTGGTTCAACGACGTACCACGATTCGGTTGCTTAGTCTGAGCGGCTATTCAACTCAAAATTTATCTGAATTAGTGTTGGCTTCAAGAAAAGCAAAATATATTCTTGTATTTTTAGAGAAACGCTCAAACAAAAACGTTTTGCTTTTTCAATCTGTCGGTTGCTTTATTCTGTATTTGAATGCTGCCACGTGGAGGTGTGACGACTTCTTCTCCGTGGCCTTTGCTTCATTGTAACTGACATCTTAAACAACTGATGCTGTAATTTCTGTAATTGTGTCGTGTAAACAATCACACAGAATTTAATTTGTAGTTTTCGTCTACATGGAAAATAAGCATTCCCGGATCACATTCATATTTTCTACTTTCAGGAAGAACGCTGTCGTCCGAAGGATGGAAGAACAAAGATTCTGATCAAGAGAAGACACTGGAATCGCTGAATTTTTTAGTGGATACTGCAAAGATAAGAACTTCAAAATAATTTGACAATACTAGCAAAAATGGTGGCCCTAATATGCCCTTACAATTGTTATGCGAGGTCTTTGATCTCTTTAATTGTCTTTGAATGGGTTAAACTGATTACCTGTGAGTGAATAGCTCGCAATTAGCCACCATTTTTTGAATAGCGTGTTGTGTTACGGATTGTTACGCAGACCTCGGTAAAATTTCCGCACAGCCCCATCCTACACTATGCATTCAGTTCTTGAACAGAGAAAACAATGACAAAAACAATGCATTTCCATTGGGAAAACAGATTTGTTTTACAATAGTATGGGGCTGTGCGGAAACTTTACCCAGACCTCGAGCGATCTTTTAATTTATTTGAACTACTAGCTATAATTTGGTGAAATCTATCTCGGATATTCTTGTTTCATCGATTTAAAGACAGAAACCAACTGGAAACTGATATAATCCTGGCTACGAAATGCTGACACTTAAATCATTAATTTCGAAGCTCTGATTGCTCATTGTTTTTGGTATGCTTACCAGTTAGTATCACAGTTTTCTCCCAGTTGATGTCGCACAAAGGTGATATTAGGAGGTTCTGTAAGAAAATAATTCGGCTGAAAAAATGCCAAGTGCAGCTCAAATTGAAATATTTTGATAAGTTTAGTTGATTCTGCGCATTTTCTTCACACCAAAATCACTCTGCTGAACACTATAAACGTACGCTATCTTCAAGGAATAACTCTGACAAGCTAGTGCACTAACTTGTAGAAGAATGTTGACTACAGACGACACCAGCTATCCTCACCGTACAAGCGACTTAAAAAACCAACGCAGTGACCAACGTATCAAACAAAACAAAGTAACTTTACCTACTAATCTAAATCTATTAATCTACGGACGAATGCAATTTGAGCCTGACAGACACTACCACAAAACTGATTAATCAGTTTTTTGAAACCAAATTTTTACCGTTTAACTCATAAACATTTGTTCACTCGACCCTGATGCCTTGTACTAACGCTAGTCACCTTCACGACTACTCTCAACCGAACGATCGTAATTTACGATTGAAAACCGAATTGCATCAAAAGGAAAAATTTGCCGAAAACAAATCGATTCAATCGAAAATCAGCATTGCCGACATCAACTGCATTGTCTGTATTAAACTGTAAATTTAGGAGTTTTTCATTCAAAAGAAAGTAGTTGTTTTTCAAACACGGAGCAAGACTTCAGTAGAGTGCCATCTTAGATCAGATCCGTTACTTTGTGCCATCAACTGGGTTCGGTTTCTGTTTAAAGTAATATATGTTTCAAAACTCAAATGCCTGATCACGAGCTATGTCGAGACTCCGAAGTTTACCGCTTCATCAACCAGTTTAAATTGACCTCTTTTCACAAAGAAGAAATATAGATTTTCGTGTTTTGAGAATAGTTTATTCGATGAAAATTAAGATGGTGGATTCGCAAATAGCTGAAAAGAAATTTACAGACTGCGGGAAAGAGCCAATCTTTTGACCGGTAAAAAATAACAAGTTGCTGGCGAAGATTCTTTGTTATGAATCAATATAACTGTCTTACACGAGCAAGAAAACCACATTCTTATTTGCTCAACACAATTTTCAATTTTGCCGGTTAGAACACGTTAATTCCAGACCAACATTGGAAAACAAAAATATGGCTCAAAATCAGAGAATTTGATAGTTATCCAAATAAAAAAAGTTATGTTTTGTTGTTGAATACTTTTCCATATATTGGTGACGAGTTTCATGAAATTTAAAAATTCGAAACATGTTCGTTGTTTTAAAATTGAAATTTATACAGAAAGGTCGTGGATTTTATAAAAACCGGCAAAGCGCGAGCCAAAAAAATGCAAATTAGTTACATTTCAACCTAAAGCTTATCGAAAACATTTGAGTTTGTGTCCTCGCTCTGAAAAGCCTAGTAATTTTGATTATTTTACAGTGATGGTTGTCTTTTTGCTGGTTTACATGAAATTACTTCTTTGATACTTGTGAACTAAGTCGCATACGGAAAAAGGATCACTTGTTACCCTTTGGACCAGGCATTTGGTTTTGAAATGTATCGTAATTAGTTTATTTACTCCTTATTGTTTTGTTAGGGAAGATCTTTTGTGCAGTCACTTAATTGGTGTAACATAAGAATGCAAAAAAAAAAAAAGGGTGATGCGCAAAAGTTTAAAACTTTGATCTTCAAATTCAGTTTGGAAATGAACGCGTTTGACGACGAAATTTGAGACAAATTCGCCCCAATAATTCAGCGTTAATAACTTAAATTAAAGGCTAAAATCAAATTAAAAGAATTTTCTCCAACCACTTCATCTCTCTCAAAATTCCGCTCGGGTCTAGTTTACGAAACTTTTTGCCAAATTGTCGCAGTTCTTAGCTAATAAAGGCTAAAATCAAATTGAGAGAGTCCACCCCAATTTTTCTTCATTGACACCGTTTTCTCAAATTTCTAGAAATTGGACACTAATCAAGAATTCTTGGCTGTTGCGACTAAATTGATTCTACTTTTTTTCTCAAAAGCTCAGCAGAGTTATTATAGCAAACCGCCGAGGGAACAACTTAGAGTCAGTCCTCACGGAAAACCAGAGCTCGCCGGACTCAAGCGGAATCTCAAAATTGCATTTGACGAAATAGAGTTGGAGAGCGTTGCAAAACTTGCTAAATTGACCATGCCATGCCAGGAAGTTGCTGATGAGGCAATCCTCACGGATGGTAGTGCGGGAGAAGTTGGAGCGATGGCAGAGGATGCGGTAAAGAACGTCAGAGGGCAGACAGACAGACATTGAAGAGCGGAAAGACCAGTTCTTAAGAACTGTCGAAAGATTGCTCAAGCCGTCGGAAAGAAAGAGACATGTCATTGGGACAGAGACGAAAAATGAATAGGGGCGGAGACAATACATAGTTGACAAGACGAAATGGCCTGGAAACGTTAAATGTTGCGGAAAAACCTTTTTCCCCCGCTGGTGCGTTTAGATACCACGTAGACAAAACCGCTTTTAATCCTCGTGGTATCTAAACCCACTAGCAATGTGGAAAGTCGTCGATTTCATCTTGGAGCAGATTCGTAAAGTCAGTTTTAAAACGGCTCCTTTAGGAGCTCACCAAATACTCGAAAGTCAATGATACGAATGCTTCAACTCTTCTGAGTCGAATTATAATTTAGCATAATTTCAGCAACTTTTTATTGTTTTGAGCCGCAGACGAGTTTTCACTGCTGCAACTTTTCGTAG